CGTAGCCCTGCGCCTTTGCATGCTCTCTAAGCACTTCCTCGGCTTCATCTAGCGTACAGTAGGACCGTGGCGGTGGTGGTTTGAGGGCCATGGTGAGTGTATTGAGGAAGTTGAGGATCAGGATGTAATGCTTTGTGGCCACGCCGCACTTGGAGAGAGCATTTGGAATTAGTGAGAAACGTAAGCGAGCGAATCGGAGGCCCCGGAGCACTCCTCCGGACCAATCAGAAGATCAGACGTAAGAAGGGTGTATACGGAGTAGAAAAGGGGTGTACACCGAGTAAATATAGGGTGTACATTTAGCAGCGCCCAGAGAGGAAGGGCCGACAACGAGCCTAATCACGGATAAGGCAGAATTACATGTTGCTGTTGAATTCTATTCGCACACCCTGGGCCTACCTATACAGGCCGTTTGGACGAAATCATTTCCAAGTCAAACGGCCAAATTTCTCTCAAATCATCCTCGCTTCTAATCGGCTCATCATCATCAGGGTCTCCGTTGTTCAGTACAGCTTCCAATATTCCATCATAATATTCCTTGTGGGCCTGCTTCACCGTTTCCCAGTCTTCAGGCGGGGCCCAGCCATCTGTTGCGGTGTTGAGCAGAACTGAGAGATTGCTCCTCAGTTCCTGAGCCGCCAGAAATAGTTGGTACTCTTTCTTGTGAGTTGCTAGCTCCACGGGTGTCGGGGTAGGGTAAGGACAAGTATCTGCGAGGCCAAGCTCTTCCCAGCGACGCGCCGTTTGAATTAATTCATCACGGAACGCTACCGCCCCATCTTTCCAGGTCCTGTAGCAATAGCGATATGGACGAAAGAAGGCTTCGTCCATCAATCTAGGGCGAGCTAGAGTGGGGGTGAGAAATTGAGTGGAGATATTGAACACCTTAACGCATTGCTCGCTGTTGAACTCCAATTGATCTTCCAGAGTCGGGTGCGGAATAGGTTTTGCAAAGTCTGGTATCAAATCTGCGTACCAAAAGGCCGGCTCTACAGCAGCGCTCTGCCAGTCAATGATGGCCGTAACACTGGTCGGATCGTCGTCCGAAACGAATATATTCCTTTTGTGCAGATCGGGGTGAAATAAGGTCGGTGTAGCCGCATCCTGTACCCTAGAGTCTTCAGAGATCTTTTTAAGAACGATGCGGCCCGACTCCAGAAGACCTAGGTGCTCTTCGATAGTCCCATGGTACCGTGGTCGTTTGGGCAGTACAGGTTCACTTGGTGGAATTCTAGAGATACCGGTATCAATAAGGCCATCGCAGTAAGCCCGAAGGCTTGTCCCTGTAGTCATTCGTGAGTGATTGGTCTAGCAACCCATGGGAAATCGTAGGTCTCTTACGTGGACCCCGATTGGGGACTGTGTTGTGGTAATAACGAGATTCACCAATTTCGCAGTCCCAGTACATGGCCCCGCAATGCGGACCGATAGAAAAGCGCGGGTCTTCCAGGACATGCTGCGACGCGGAGCTTGGTAAGGAATGTTCCATATACAAGCTCCCGTAGACCGGAAACTTGATTGCCGCCATCTCTTTCAATTTCTGATAGATGTCGCTGATGCATCGGACTTGCTGCTCTGAAGTCATAGTCGGCCACCTCTGGTGCAATTGAATCCCACTGGCGTGCTCCATAAGGATATATTCAGTACCAATGGGGGTTGAAGCATCGTCATTCCAGTCGATGATCTTTGGGATGGGGATACCCGTATTCATCTGGACTAGATTATTTGCAGTCGTAAGTTACACTGCCAATCAAGTTACACTGCCAATCAAGTTACACTGCCAATCAAAAGCGTGGACTACACTTACGATATCTAATGGTAGCCACTTCCGAGGTGGTTGTCAATCTAGGCGGGCCGGCAAGTTTAAACGGCAGTCTCGCTACTACGCGCTTCGCGTTGTCGAGGGTGAAGATGAAGACGCGATTGAAGCCGCCTTCTTTCTTTTCATATGATATGATTGAAGCGGCTCCATGGGAACATGTGAGGACCTTTTCACACAAAGCATCGAAATCGAACGTAATGTAACGTGATTCGCGCTCTGATGTGTCACGACGAAGCCACCGGCCACTCGTATACGCGTGAGGATCAAGGGCTGTAAAAACGTTAGTGCACAGACCTGTACATAGCTCGACGTAACTCAGTTGGCTTGCGGGACATAAAACTCACGGTCTAATGACTGCGATGCTATACTCTGCTCGGAGTGATGGAGTTGTGCGTAATGGGACAACTGCTGATGGACTTGAGGTTGGAGACACCTAGTTTTATCTGCAAGAAAGGCGCCAAACGCATGTTGCGCACAGACGGGTCGCGACGTCACGCAGCGAAGAACGCTGGACGTTCTCATCAGTATATTGCGATCCATAGAACTAATTCTATGATTTAAGGCCGACTTAAGAGACAGATGTGGAGTCACTGGGGCTTTTATAAAAGGTGGTAGTAGAGGCGAGCAAAATTAAACCACAGTACTTTCTCTACCGTCCTAACCTAGCCTCTAGGAGGTAGATGTCGGACTGCGCCCCATATGACAACACCAACCAATTTCAAAGTGACTTAGGGGTTCCTAGACTTGACAAAGCAAAAAAGGAGCTAAGATTGCATGGACTATATTGTCTTACAAAGGTATCAAAAGTCTGAGCAAACCCTTTTGCTACTGCCTGGGGTCCCTACGAGTCTCTAGAAGTCCAATTAGGATGTGAATGACGATACAATAGGAACTGTGCTACCTTTTGACTAACGGGCTAACTGCTAGCTGGCCGGGAGTGAAATGCAAGCAGTGCTATAACCGGGTGCGCAAATTTCTTGATAAAAGTCTGCGCACACTTGCCTGCTACCAACAAGGCATAGTACACGAGATCTGGTTAGCATGTGCAGTCCTCAAGGACACCAATAAAGGAGGCTTCCGAGTAAACTTGTGTCAAATATCAGCATCGCGTTCGCGACAGTTCTCGACAGCTTTAGACCCTCCTCCCTCAAATAGGCCCACGCCAGCCCTCACAACCACCGCCTAAACCACTCCACTGCCTGCCCACACGCCTCCTCCGCGCCCCTCTCCTGCACCTCATCCCCCGGCCTTGCCCTGACCGCAAACCCATGCTGACAGCCCGCATACACCCTCAACTCATACCAACACCCCCTCTCCCCCATCCCATCCCCCGCCTTGACCCTCAGCGCCGCCTCCGTCTCCTCCACCTGCTTCCCCTTAAACACAAAATCCCTGTCTCCCACCGCCACCGCATACGGCACTTTCCACCGCGTCACCGCCTCCACCACCATCTCCGCCGTCAACGCACTCGGATGCGCGCAAAACTGCGCATCCACCAACCTTTCCCCGCCCCCTGCCACCGCCGCCTCCCCACACAACTTCGTGCTCGAGTACCCGCCCCAGCAGAACCCACACACCCCCAGCCGCGCGCCCGGCGGCAGGCCCGCCTTCACGGCCCGCGCGTACGCCAGGATGGGCGCGTACGTACTCGCGCGCCCAGGGTTCGCGCGCAGGTAGAATAGCGCGAGGAGCCGGATCGTCGTAAAGAGGTTCCCGAGCCGTGTCAGTTGGCCCCAGAGGTCCCACCACGCGATGCTGTCGAAGGCGGCCTCCATAGGCTCGAGCAACGCGAGGGGCGCGGGCCCGCCAGGAATGAGGGCGGGGGCGAGGACGCGTAGGCCGGTGCGGGTGGCGTAGGCATCGGCGAGGAGTTTGTTGTTGATGAGGGAGAGGCCGAAGGCGTCGGTGAGGTAGATGATGGTGGATTGGGAGGTGGACGGGGAGGCGGAGGCGGAGGTCGGGGGGCCGGTGATGTAGGTGCGGACGCCGTGGAGGTCTTCCTCGTGGCCGCGGGGGGAGCCTTTGTGGGAGTGGATGGCGCCTTTGAAGCAGTCGGGGCAGGACATTTCGGGGGTTGGACGTTGGAAGGGTGGAGGTTAGGGAAGAAGGGGAAGGGGGAAAGGGAGATGGCGAAGGTAATGGGATGAGTGAGATGAAAGAAATGAGACAGCGCTGTTTATGTATGTACGATGGTTTAGGTGGTGGATACAAAGATAGGATAAGGCGGGGGATTATACGGGCGTTGGGCGGGGTAATCGAGTTTATACGAAGATATAAGGCCTCGCGACTACGGCCGTAAGTAGGACTTAAAATGCCGATATGTTCTGCACTCGGGCGCCATTTTATCGATAAAGACACTTTTTATCAACCTTGGAACGGCTGACTTTTAGCTTAGCGATTAGTTCAAAATCGATTTCAAGCTCGCTCAAAACCTGAAACCACGAAGACCGTCAGCAGTTTAAGAAATAGTATCGAAGTGAAGTACCGTTATGTCATTCAAATGCCCTGACGCCGCCCGTGGTCCCAACCACCACCCGCGACGACATCTATAATACACCCATCCCATACCTTTACCTCTAGATCCCAGATCCCCGCTCGAGATCCAACACGCTACAGTACTGTACAAATGCTGAAAGCACGCTTCTGTATAAATGGCAGCGCTACCTCCTCCCAAGCTTCCACCTCGCGATGCGTTCCTGGATCTCCTGCCACTTGAAGTCCTTCCGCCTTAAGCCCTCCTGATCACCCTCTTGCAGCACCACCGTCGGCGCTCCGCTCCCCTGGCCCGGGTTCTGGATCTCACCACCAAAGACCTGCCTCGCCACTCTCCGCAAGTCTTGGATCGTGACGTCCTCAATCTTCTTACACATCTCCTTAACGCCAACCTTCCGTCCATGCACCTGAACCTGCCGTCCCAAATCCTCAAGCTCCACCATCCGACTCTCCAGGTTCATAAGCAGATTGCTTCTCAGTTGATTCTTCGCACGCTGCACTTCGCCCTCTTTCAGCGCAGAGTATCCTGTATCCTGCCCCAGCGCATTCAACTCGCGGCACATGACCTCCAGCATCTGTGACACCTGCGCCGGAGCACAGGAGGACGCAATTCCGAAGAGGCCGCTGTCAGTATAGCTGTTGTTGAAGGCGATGCAACTCTCGACCCAGCCGTGTTGGTTCAGCACGTTGGTGTAGAGACGCGAGTACATGCCTTTCCCAGGGCCGCCAGCACTGAAGGAACCACCACCGCCAAGGAGGGTTTGGAGGGTTGCGAGGGCGTAAATGTCCGGGGAGGATATCGGGAGGGCTTCGAAGGCGATGTGGATGTGGGAGAGGCGGGGCATGTTCGGGTTGAGGGGCGGAGGGATTGTGGGGAGGGTGAGGAAGCCGCCGGTGTAGCGGGACGGTAGAGAGACGTCGATGGGGGAGAAGTTGGCAGATGAGGGGTCGAATGAGTTCTGGATAGAGGCGTTTGAGGTTGCAGAAGTGGAGAGGTTTTTGAAGAAGGGGATCTTTGAGAGGAGTTTGGAGGGCTCTTGTGGTGGTGTGCTGGAAGGGCTGTACGGTGACGAGATTGAGGCTTGATCCTGAGTTGAGACGTCTAAAGTGGACAGTTCCTGGCCATCCAGTCCTAGCAATGCCGGGCCTTGTCCTTTGGTCATGTCGCCGAAGTATTCTTCCGCAAGTCTTACGCCCTCGTTGTGTTCCACTCCAGCAAAGGCGACTACTATTCTTTCTGGCTTGTAAAACTCGCTACGATACGCCTCTACTACTGCGCGATTTATTTCCGGAAGACGTTCTTTTGGACAAAGTAAAGGGTTTCCTAGTGTGTTATCTTTATAAGCGGCCATATGCACCAATTCTGGCAGAATCAGCTCCGGCTTCGACCATATCTCGCCGATCTCGTAGTCGGCAGTCTCAAGCTGCTGTTCAACCTCTTCATCCGTGATGAGGGGGTCCCGGATAGTCTCGGCGAGAAGCGCAACGGTGGTGGGAACGGCGGAGTTGAAGGTTGCCGACTGGTACATGATGGACTCCCGGGACGAGGCGCACTGGATGTTACCACCCAGCGACTCTAGAGACTCTATCATCTCGTCTGACGTCCTCAACTTTGTAGACTTGAAGGCAAGCCGATCCACGATATGACTGACGCCTCGCAGTGCTTCGTTCTCGTATCTCGAACCGGCATCAACGTAGACGCCAATGCCGGAGAAATGGCCCGGGAGGGCTTCGGTCGCAACGCGGATGCCATTCGGGAGGGTGGTTATTTGGTCAAGCTCTGCAGGATCCTAATAGTCGAATGTGAGATGAGTCCAACGAAACGGGATATAGGAAGTTTACCTTCTCCTCTGCGGCGGCCGAGGCCAGATGCCGCCTACCAGAGTGAACGACTTGAGATGTGCATGATGGAGCAAAATGGGGCAGCCTCCGCGACAGGCCTCGCACGGTTTGAGGCTTCAACATGGCCTAGATGTGATAGAATAGATGATGTTTCCTGAGCGGCAGAATTTCATTTCACGGAGGTTTCGCGGGACTTGACCCGGGGTTTCCCCGGAGCCTCACCACGAGAGAGCACGGGAGCACCCAAATTATTTCGTGGTGACATCTCAATACATGTTTCATAGATCTCTTTCTACATCTCCCAGTATTCCAAGCAGAGCTCAAGCATCGTAGACTGCTTGTATGCTGTTCAAGTCTTTTCTAGCCATATCACGTGCCGATTCTTTGGCCCAGAGCTTCTAGACTGTGGGGCTTGTAACCATACCTAGCATAAAGTCTGAGGATAAGGTAGTTGATGTACATAGTAGTACTAATAGTCAGGCACAGCATTGATAGCACTCCTGTCCAGGTTCATGGCGCTGGCATTTTCTATCCAGCACCGCGTCGATGCTGTCCCCGGTTGCAGCAGTCGTGGGCAGCACTTGTCGTCAGGCCTCACCCTGCATCTCCACTCACCAGGAAACCGGGGCCAGCTAGCTCTGAGGGGGTGGCAGGAGGCGACGAGACAGCCAAGCAGCAGCGATGGAGCAACCTTATCTCCAAATCGACGGGGCTGGAGCCGCTTACATTCATTGCACACCGACCGTGACAGCTTCGCAGTCCATCAAATTCCTCTTCACCCTCTGCCTGCTGCGCGCGTCTCCTGCATCTTGGTTCTTCACCACTCGTCGCCGGCGGCAACAGCGATGCGCTGAGAGTCTCCCAAGCAACAATCGTTCAGCCCCCATCCCATCCCGGCGGCCCGCATCACGCCTGGCGTATATCGCCCCCGGCTCCCGCTGCTCACCCACGGCTGTCTGCGCCTGGCCTCTACTTTTGCCCCAGGCAGCGCACTCTCGCCCTTCGCATTCCCTTCGCCCTCAGGGTGCTGAGATCCGCCTGTTAATCCGCCCGGCCGCCTCGAAGGCTAGACCATGTTCACGACTGCGCATTCGGCCCCAACTCTGTCCACCACCACCTCACCAGCCTCGCCGACGACGCCTTCGCGCTCGACCCGCCTGAGGGGTCTCAGTTACATCAGACAATACACTCACAATCACCTTCACTCGAGCCCTGCTCCGCCCTCTCCGCCCTCTCCTCCCGCTAATTCCCGTCCCGCGCCTACAAGAACCGCGAGCTCGCCATCTGAGCCCGCCGGCGCTCTTCTCAGCGTCAACCCCAGCTCTGCCGCCCGCGACTCCGATCGTCCACTGCCCACTCACGAACCTTCGACCTCTACTGAAGCGAATCCCCCATTGACGAGCGGCTGGCTTCCCACCGTTGCCGGTAGGAGTGTCTTGTCCCGGATACCCACCCGTCAACACTCGCTCGATTCCAGCGCCCTCCTCGACAGTCCTACCATGACCCGGAACAGGTCTGAGACCGCAGCCCCGTTACTCTCTGTGCGAAACCAGTCTGGGCCGACGCCAACGAACATGGACGGGGCCGAACACAGCGTCGAGACCCCTCAAAACCGACCCTTCCCTTCTATCCGTTTCATCCCCCACCACGACCCCCGCGCTGGCAGACCTTCGTTGGTATTCCCCACCATATCCCGAACGCTCCCAGATGACGATGCTATAATACGGGTTGGAAGATATTCCGAGAGAGACAATATTCCCGAAATACCGGCCAACGTCCCTTCCGCGGCTGCAGTTGGGTTCAAGTCCAAGGTCGTGAGCAGGAAACACTGCGAGTTCTGGTGCGCGGATTCGCAATGGTATATTCGGGATGTCAAGAGCTCCTCTGGGACCTTTCTCAACCACATACGGCTGAGTCAACCGAATCAAGAATCCAAGCCCTTCAAAGTCAAGGACGGAGATGTCGTGCAGCTTGGGATCGATTTCCGAGGTGGAGAAGAGATGATTTTCCGTTGCGTCAAGATTCGCATAGAGTGTAATAGAAATTGGCAGCAAAGCATAAACACATTCAAGTAAGGCAGTTTGTTGATTTACAGGAGCTTTAGCTAACGTCTTTCAGCAAACAAACACATCAAAGACTCCGCAACTTGGCAAAACCGAAAAAGGACACCGACACTGCCTCAACGCACAGTTCTCAGGAGTGCTCAATATGTTTGATGTCCATTGCGGTGAGGTTCCCTAGACTTTCATGTTGTTGAAATCTGTTATACTGATACATGAACAGCCATGCCAATCGTTGTTTGTGGCTCCATGTTCACATGTTTGGCATTACAAGTGCATTCGCCCGATTCTCCAGGGTCCGACATGGCCCAACTTCTTATGTCCAAACTGCCGTGCGGTGGCGGATCTCGAAGCCGATGTCGAAGAACCAGACGCCGAGGACTGGGAGTCAGAACACGAAGATGCCGACGAAAAAGACGAGCAGAAGGGCGACACATCGAAACATGTCACGCCTCGGGCTTCGCAGATGCCACTAGCAAGCCCTGTGGTAGCAGCTGGCGCTCGCACGCCAAATAGCCGCCTCAGTTTGGGCGATCTAGAAGCTGCTATTTCAACAATCATTCCAGACGATACTGTAAGCATCCAGACTCCAGCTCCGCCAACGTTATCTACCCCGCAAACAAGTCCTTCGCGGCTTGTACACTCTCCGCCTCCTGGATCGCAACCCGTACACATCGTTAGGGAAGCTGCGGCTACAACGGAGAACACGGCGCTCTTCCCCAACCGTTCCACTTCGGACGTCACCTCACAATACGCGCTCATCCCCGAGCGCGTTCCCGAGTGCCCAATGACTCCTCGGAACGATGCCGGGCCTTTTGTCTTTGACGGCAGCGCTGGGCGGGGTTCGGTCCGACGCGGCATTGACGAGGCATCTACTCCCTCGTCATTGAGCGTGCCTTCAACGACAACCGCCGTGCCATGATTTTGTAACACTGCTGGTCTTCTTATCTATCGACTTGGCTGCCTTCACCCGCCATGGGTGATTAACGTGAAGGCTTCCATGAACGGCGTCTTCTACGTGCATTCGGGTGGGTAAGGCAACAGCGCCTTTTGTATTGAATTATGCGAGCATTATCCATTATTTACGGCATTGGCGTTCTTCGGACTAGGATCTTCTCTCATATCTCTTCCTGGCTGCACGGATTTCCTTGGATGGGGAGGGCGGGACTTTGAGAGGCGCATGCGCATTTTGGGTATGCCCTTTGGGTGAAGATAATTGAATATTGCTATAGGGGAAGGCTCCTGTTGGCATCGTTCATTGGATATAGCATTTTTGGATATAACGAGCACACAAGAGCCTTGCTTTGCATGTGTTTTATGAACATATTGGAGAGTTGCTGGACCAGTGCAATGAACTAAGAGACAGGAGCCTACTAAGCTATTAATCAATCAACTCTATGATCATTTCTCGACACTGCTTTGATAGCTTCGCAGTCATACCTAGCCAACATGCGAATCGCCATTGTAAATATTGAAATATACAAGGAAACCCTGAATCCCACACCAAGTATGCAGGGTCCAGCCCTGAAACAAAAAAGTGGAGTGGCGCTCCCCGCGCATGCAACAAATCCAAGCTCCCGTCTACTCCATATTCGTGACCTCAACTCAACCTTCTCTGCACCCATCCTCCTCCTCTTCAATTTCTCCCAATTCCTTTTACAATCAGCCCTCAACCATGTCTCCCGAACGCCCACGCCACCACCAACGCCGCCCGACCTACCCTCTCGCCCATGCCACGCGGCAGAAACCCCGCCGCATCCCACTCGTTCTCCGCGTCTCAAAAGGCACATTTTCCCCCTCAATCCCCACCTCACCCCCAATCAGCCCCTGAAGTAGCTAACTCATATCCCAGGCTCCGTCCACGCCTCCATCGCCGTCCCCGTCCTCCTGCACTCCCTCTTCACGGTGCTAATCGTCTACCTCGACCGCCACGTCGGCAACATCGGGCTGCCGGCGCTCATCATCCCCTCGCTGTCCATCGTGGTGGGGCTGATGCTCGTGTTCCGCAACAGCACGAGCTACGACCGGTTCTGGTCGGGCCGGAACTGCTTGACGACGATCGGCACGTGCGTGCGGAACCTCACGCGGAGTTTCCTGGTCAGCGCGACGCCGAAGCCGGGCGAGGTGCTGGCGGAGGCGGAGCGCGAGGATGTGGAGAAGACGGTGTGTGTGCTGGTCGCGGTGTTGTATGCGGTGAAGCATAATCTGCGCGCGGAGTATAACATCCCGCCCGCGTCTACGCTCAACGGGGATGGCGCGGGTGCTGGGGAGGGCGAGGTGGAGCAGGGGATCACGGCGGCGAAGGCGGAGTATATCTCGCTGCTGCCGGATCACCTGGTTGGGTTCGAGGACCAGGGGCTCAGTCTGCCGCTGCAGCTGACGGTGCTGGTCGAGGCGTATATCCGGCGCGCGTTTGAGCGGGGGTGGGTGCATGGGCCGCAGGCGAGCCAGCTCACGGTGCAGGTGAATACGCTCGTGGATGCGTATGGGAGGATGGAGACGATTCGGAGTACGCCGATGCCGGTGGCGCATTTGTATGTGTACCCCTGTGGTAAGGTTTTATGGGCTCGGGCGATTTGCTAATGGGGGATGCGTACAGGATTCATCAGAAACAGGTGCTTGCTCTCTTCAATTGCGTCCTTCCCTTCGCTACGGTCGATGACTTTGGGTGGTGGGCTGTGCCGATTGTTGCGATTGTCGCATTCACACTGTATGGGATTGAGGGGATAGGGGTTCAACTCGAAGACCCGTTTGGATATGACAAGAACGATATCAAGATGGATGGGATTATTGAAGATACGAGACGGGAGGTTATGGTGCTTCTTGATGCGTGGAAGGCGAAGAGGAGTGGAAGCGGTATGCATGGGGGGATGTTTGAGTAATTTGGGGGGGAGGGAAGAGACCATCCTCTCCCGGGTGTCAGGGGTGAGATTTAGAGGAGGAGATTGGTAAGTAAAGTAATTGCTGATGTGCTAGTTCGAAGATTTGAGATGCATTTACATGAGCGGAGCGGAGCGGTGCGATAGATACCCTTAGCGTTCTAGATCGAAGAGTGTAGTTCTTTAGTTCGACTCATCCGCAAAAGCCTCTCGGAAGAAATGGTGCTGTTTTCGACGGAGTGAGGTAGATAAAGGGAAAGAGCTGGTTGATCTTCGGTCGATGCAGAATGAGATATGCTAATTGAAGTCTGTTATTAGAGAGCTACTATTAACATTCTCAGGCCCAAATTTGGATCTCTCGATCCCGAAAATATCATCCCAGATGCTCATATAGAGAGCTTGTATGTACATCTCAGTTTGGTTTGAATTGGAATGAACCAGACTGAGAGATAGGAACATCAATCGTTAGTGTAATAGTTCTTAGGATATATGAGCGGTAAAACATTACGAGGTCTCTAAAGTGAAGTGCTATGTCACAGAGGCGGAGTAGTAACGCCTGACGTGCCTAGCGTGCGTAGGACCTTATTTTGCTGTTTTCTTTCTACTAGGTGATCCTCCCTTAGAGTCTCGCGGAGAGGGCGTTCGCTTTTTGCCTTATCTGATTTCTCACTCATGGAGGTGGCTCAGATTTGTGACGGGTGGGAATGGTAGAATATCTCCAGCAAGGACGGCTTAGGAGAAATTGGCGCTAAAGCACCCGGTCTTTTGGGATAAAGATCTCGAGAAAATACTCCCCAAGTACCAGAACAGGTCAGAGCCGAGGTAGCATATACTTTTCGTAAATATAGACTACGAACAACTCATAAGGGCAGAATCAGACGTAGTTGATAAGATGGTTTAGGAAGGTCAATCATTCCCATAGAGGATTCCGTACAGCCCCTTTGCGCATGCTGTGGTTAACGTGCAGGTGGCCGTAAGTATAGAGTGCGGTACTGGAAGTTAATGAGATGCATCTGAAAGGCCTGAATAGCCTTCTGCAAGGTACTAAAGTCTCTGTTACGCAGCTTTTCTAGAATACGCTAAGCACAGCATGTGCAAAGGCGCCGTACTCTCAAGGTCGATACCTGTTAAGGCCTTGTTGCCTCGTTGCCTTATTCTATTACTGGCCCATCAACCGTGACTGGTCCATCGACATGCATCAACCTGCATGCCAACAAGGCTGAGAATCGAAGGTGGTGGCGCAGCTTAAATTGAGGCCCAACTAACTTATTTGCGTTGCTGCCACCTTATCTTGTTTTCGTCTCTTTCTATGCAAATTCCTTTTCCGCGACTCGGAGTAAGACAATGTCGTTCGGTTTCTCCGTCGGCGACATTATCACAGTCGGCAACCTTATTGCGGACATCATCAACTCCCTCCGCGAAGCCGGGGGCTCGAAGTCGGAGTATCAAGAGGTTATTCGCGAGCTTGAGACCCTCGACGGTGTTCTCAAGCACATCGACCAGTTGAAACCTAGTAGAAGCCCGTCGGGGAGCCTCGATTCGATCAAGTATGCAGCACTTAGCTGCCGGCAGCCTTTGGAGCAGTTTCTAGGAAAGATCAGGAAGTATGAGAATGGGTTAGGAGTCTGGGAGAAGCGGCGTGGCCTGGGCCTTGCGAAGGATAAGTTGCAATGGGCACTTGGACACAAGAAGGAGATTGGCAAGCTGCAGAGTTACTTGTACATCCATATCGGAACGATCAACATGTTGTTGGCCGAACATGGGCTTGAAAGGATGGATATCATATCGGAAAATATCGAGGCGGATAGTCTTCACGTTCGAGAGAGACTAGATGGCACAAGAAGCATCATGCAGTACATCAAAGACAGTGTGACAGCCCAAGCAGCTGTTATACGAACAACCCATGTTATGCTCGCCAAAATGTTCCAAATGGTTAGTGGGGAGCTCACAACGTCGTTGGCCACGCTTGGTGATACCGTGGCAAAAATGTGGTAAGTATACTTCGCGAGTATTCCTCGTTAATCCTTGCTCGGACTAACCACGTTGTGATCAGTGTCACCACACAGCAGATACATGGCGTTGTCCTCGATATCAGGGACTCTTTAGGCGCGGTAGATACACGGTGGACATTCTTTCAAGCGCCACTTGCCATAGAAGATGCCCTGGGGTTCAAGTTTCCCTTTCTCTCCGAGTACGACTACGGCTATCTTGAAGTTATTCTCAAACACCGATTCCTTGAAGGCCCTGGATCGCTCGCCGTAAAGGACGGAAACTATGAGGTATTCGCAACGAGGAACAGTGCTCAGATCATCTCCGAGGATGTCCGCTTACGCCCAGGAACCGCTCTAACCATGGCCATTTTGGTGGCTGGACCAATCTTTGATGAGGAGTGCCCTATGCCACATTGTCATTCGAGTCGGACAAGCCTTATACCGGATGGCGGAAGGATCTGGTCAGTCGAACGAGTGCTTCCGTGTAGTTAAGCTTTAAGCGCTCAATCTAATCTGAAATAGTGGTGACTGCGATGTACGGTTTGAGCGATCCGAGAAGAAACGGAAAACTGTAGATGCCCCAATGGAGATTATCGAGCCTGGCCATAGTTCTAACCTGCTGCGTACACTAATACTAATCGAGCTCCCACAAGGCAAAGATAATGAGTACGCATTCAAAAACGTGAGGTACTCTACAACCAGGTGGGAAGAATACTGGAATCTCGAGTCTTCACATTTGAGCGGGCGGCGAGGAATCGATATGATGAGTAATGGGAAGACTAATGCGGGAAATTTCGATGCCTGGCTTCACGAGTCCAGAGTGCCGATTCCTCAGTTGGCGTTGAGATATTTATGTAAATGCGCAGGAGGGCATGAGCGCGTTCATAGTCAGCACAGCAAATTGAGATGAGCTTCGCTTTGAACCAACCTCTGATGTACTTTTGCCAGAACCCGAATCTTTCGTTTCGAATGTAGGGACATCAGAGTTCTATGATACTCATCTATACTTTAATCAAGTTCAAATAGGCCCGAGCCCTTTCTCAATACTAAAACCACGCTGTCATTAAGCAACTAAGTGGAGTTTTAATAGAGCATGATAGATGGGAAAGGCGAACCCTTCGGTTAACTTAAGTCTATTCAAAATGAACACGTTCTTTCTACGTAGTCGTCACGCAGAAATAGCTGCTGCAATGGATTGCCGCTATTCCAAAGCGTAATCCAAGAATTAGCCATTAATCGCAACCAGTTTCGCAGAAGTGTCACTGGGAATATCAGACTAAGAAATGGGTAATTCAGAATCCAGAGTTATACATAGTACTAGTCCATAAGTCTAGGCACACGGACAGAGCACTGCTTGGGTCTTGCTTTGGAAGCTAGATACCACCGTCAGGTGGCGGCCCCGCTACAAGGAAGCTGGCCAATCAAAGGTAGGCCAAACTCCACTGCCTGGAACTTGACATCGCGCGTAGATGTTCGAAAGCTCATGGGGGTACCCCAAGCAGTGGTAAACTGGTGCGCACAGCCGATATCACAGCCTTCCAAGCCATACGTCTGCATTGAGTTAGCGCAAAAAAGCAACAGGACTTCATGGTGGCACAGTGGTGCACAGTGGCGGCAGTGCAATAGGACCCTGCAACCAAAGTCCCGCTACCTACATATCTAGCTGCGCTCAACAACAGCAAGAACGAAACTTACGACGTCTCCAATACTGGTTTCGACCTTTCCACACGCAACTCGGCAGATCCCGGATGATGGGAGCAGTAGAAAGCGCTTCATAGAAGTGTGCACTTTCTTGCCGCCGTCAGAGGTGCCTTAACAGACTTAAACGGACCTCAACTGAATCAGTTTGAGCACCCAGTAAACTTGCTAAGCTACCTCAGACAGTGGCCACAACGTTCTTGATGGATACGGTCTCAACATGTCGGCAAAGGGAAATGATGCGACGGGACTTTGCAGCTCTTGCAGATGTCTGAGTTTCCGCCCGCCCAGTCAGGCTCAGTTGAAACGACGAAAGAGATTTATTCACATTGGTACCATCCTGAATATTCAGTCTGAGAACTGTTCACTTTGTCCGTTCTTCCGCGAGCTACGAAGCCTAAGAACATCTGTAGGTGTGGATATCACAAAGGAGCTCGGAAGGGCGTACAAGGTTGAGGTTATTTCCGCGGCTAGAATGTTCAACGTCGAAGGTCTATCCGATACTTCTATCATCTTCCTAGTGTTGCCTAAGGATCCGCGCGATTCTTCAGAGCGATACGATCCACCGACCGACTACATACACTGTGGTCGTTCGTTTGGAAGATTCTTCTTCAGTCACCGGAACAGCTACCTCCAACCACCATCCGCCGTCGTTGATTATGCGAAAGTAACGGAGTGGCTCCTTTTCTGCGAAAATCACCATTCGAAGCTGTGTAGAACTCCAACGCTTCCGCAACTACCCTCATTCCAGGTTATCGACTGTCAATCCCGAACAGTCGTCCCTTGGATTTATGAGGATGCAGGAAATGTCTTTCTGACACTGAGCTATGTCTGGGGTACGGCAAATGTTGATTCTCTGAGCGCAGACGGAGCTCTCCCGACCCTTCTCCCCGCTGTCATTGAGGACTCTATTTCTGTCACTCTACGTCTGGGATATCGATATCTGTGGGTCGACAGATACTGCATTCCACAGACCGACGAGGCTGCAAAGGCCGTTCAAATTGGGAACATGAACATGATCTTTAAGCACTCTGAGCTAACGCTCATTGCTGCGTCTGGCAAAGACCCTTCATATGGATTACCAGGAGTGAACGGGAACCCTCGAAGGACCTATCCCTCGGTTACGGTCGAGGATCAAACGTTTTACCCGTTTCTCTCCAATGCCGCACACGAGATCACTCATTCATTGTGGAATACCAGAGGTTGGACCTACCAAGAAGCGCTTCTTTCACGCCGGTGTTTGATGTTCACGGACAGCCAGGTGTTTTTTCAGTGTCGAGGGATGCACTGCCAAGAGAGCATCTCTATCCCCTTGGACATTTTGCACCGTCCTGAAAAGCAAAAGGTGCGGGGATCTATATTAACAGTTCCGAAAACGTTTGCATCCGATGATCCAGGCACTCAACCAACTCCGTTCGAAAACGTTGTGAACGACTACGCCCGGAGAAGCTTGACTTATGAAACAGATGCCCTAAATGCATTTCAGGGGGTTCTACGGGCACTTGCTATGCCTACGGGAAGTGGTCCCAAACCTGTGCATAATTTCTTTGGCATCTTTCTCTACTCCTCCGAATTGAAACATACCGACGTATTGACGTTTGGAATGATCTGGGCAATCAATGATGCCATATACGATGACGTTATGGGACACAACCGGATTGTAAAAACAATAGTGACTCAAGTTGGATCCGCATCACGACGGCGACAATTCCCTAGCTGGACCTGGCTTGGATGGAAGATCTCAAATTCCTTGAAATTCGAATTTGCGCCGCCCTACATTTTCAACACACTTACATTTTCGAGTTCAAGCACTCCCCAATACGCCGCTTGCGTGGAGCTATACGTCCAATACCCCAACGAGCCGCTCCTAGCTTGGGAAGATAATAGGGATGCGATTGTAGAGAGGTATCTTCAAGACCCTATACCTCCGAGGCTGGTAATAGATGGCTGGATCACTAATCTCGACGTCCCTCTTTACGACCTCGAAGATATCTTCATCTGCGACTCTCAGGAGAAACTGCAGTTTCCTTGCTTCAGTGTCGACAAGCGGTTGTTGAAAGCCGCCTATACTATTACCAAGAAACGGGGTGTTTTTGTCTCAATGCAACGCGACACGGTGCAGTTAATGTTGCTGCTCTTGAGTCGGTGGTGGAAATCCGAAAAATTCTGCATGACTGCTATGGTAATTATGAAGTACGATGCTGCCAACAACGACGTGTTGTACGAGAAGGCGGGCATAGTGTTCGTATATTTCAACGGGGATCCTCATCCATTGATCTGGAATGTGGAAACAAACAGCCCAGGGCCGGATTTTATGCCAGAATGTTCTAGGGAAAGGATATGGCTAGACTAGCGAAAGGTTGGGACAATCCGGGCAAGCTTTCAAGCGGCCAACTTACGTTTGCCAAGCGCCTTTCTTAAGATTTCAGAGGCCTCCGGTGACAACCCATACTTCTGTGCACTTTCGTTTACCACTGCATGGGGTACCCCTATGAGCTTCTAGATATCTACACGCGATGTTCAATTCTAAGTAGTGAAGTCTGGCCTACCTTTTGATCGGCCAGACTCCTCGTAGCGAGGCCGCTCCTGATATTTGCACTCTGCTACAAATCCATCTACCCGCAACGGAACCTTCCATCTACGATCTACTCATAGTTATCCGCCGCCTTCACGAGGATGAGAGTACGCTTGGTAATGGCTAGACTATGAGAGTCGAAGATTCCAATATATTAAAACCCTCTACTGAAATCATCAATGCGTCTGCATCTCTTGTTCGATCAGGAACGGAGGTGCTTTGCGGTATTATGCGAGCTCTGAAGGGTAGCTAGTACGCGAAGTTTACTTCCTCAAACAAACGATGAGTATTCGGGTTCTATACCAAGTCTATATTATCAGGACAGAGGATACCGTTTAAAGAGCTGATAACTAGTTATCTTATTACAAGAGGTAGAATTACAACGTATAGCTTTTAGCTGGGAAAGTGTATGTACAAATCTCCAACGCTAGTCCCACCCAAGTATGAATGAATGACAAGAGAGGACTCTAGTTACAATTCTTTTTGCATCTCGACGGCCATCTATAGATAGATGTAGCAAAACGGGCCGGATGTCGTGCTCATCAGATCGCGCATAGTGACTGGTGGGCCGGCGGCATATCCAAGGTCTATAACAGTATCAAGCGTCGTGTTGGCAGATGGAGGAGAGTCGAGGAAAGTTCCAGTCCCTGAGATACCCTGCGCACCGGTCCGTTCCTGAATATCTAAGGTTTGCCAGATCCACCAAGTGCGATCAATCATTCCATGATGCAGATAAAAAACAGGATCGCCAGGGGAGACGAATAAGTCACGGCCTGGGTCACCTCCGATAGTATAGTGACCTGGAAGAGTTAGAGTCAGATGCAGACTTAGAGATATGGACATGTTGAGGACTTACCACCACCGTGAACACCAATGTTTCCACTGCCAGGGTAACCTTGCATCGTCATCTGGAAGTCGTACACATCCTTCGGCTTGAGGATCTGGTTAACGATGGCCGTCGCATTTGCATACTTTTGGTTGACAGCGGTGGTAAGGTCGCGCTTCAGACAACGCGGGTTGTATGACAGACCATCTCCGTTCGATTCGCTGGTCCCATTGGTCAAGCCAAGAGAAACTGGTCCGAGGTTCACCTTCATGTCTTTAAAAGGACCACTTGTGACGCATCCGCCTCCCGACCCGCGAGGAAGGAGTAGATCCGGCAGGCCATTTCCACCTAGAACAACATTACCTTCACCAGCGACATAAGCGCCGTTGCCGGACATGGACGTGGCCGATCCATCAAAGATGGGAGACGATTCAACGCCTGTTTCAGCGGTCTTGCCCCAATTCCAGTATGGCTGAGTACCAGTATACCCGCACTCATTGCGCAATGCCTGCTCATACGACCAGGTGAAGTACCGGTGCCAAGCGAGGAAGGTTCCCTACTCGATAAGTGAGTCACTGCCATAACGTACCAAGCTGATTGCTGTGGACCAGGCCAAGGAGGGTTTCTCACGGTGTAATGGATGGTCATGGTTTGGTTGATGTGAGTTCCGACGAAGTCATCGAACCGACTCTTGGCTCCAGGGATTAGGCTCGAAGGAGTTTTTGCTTGTTTTGCCTGGAGGCAAAGTGCAGCTTTTGTGTAAGCTTCTTGCTCAGTCGCTGAGAGAGTACCCCTTTTGAATGGTCAGCGGTTAATGTCTCAAAAAAACAATGTGGCGTGGCAGCGTAACGACAGCACGTTCAGCGGGGCAAGAATACTGCCGTGGGGTGGACTCACCATTCTCTCCGAATGGACAAGTTGCTGAGTGTACATCCTCCTCTTTTTTGCTTGCTACTTGCTTCATTGAACGTCGAGTTTGTATAGTCAGCGGCAAACGAAGCAAGATCATCAAGTTGATCACTAGCGACTGAGGTGTTTGTCGACGCAACAACCGGCAACACTGTAGTAGCGCCGTCCGGAAGGGTGGTTGTTGATACTGCTTCTTGAGGGACAGGAGCAGGAGCTGCAGACGCCAATGCTCGGAAGAGGAGCGTGAGGGCTGAAAGTATGCTGACCCTCATGATGCTGCCAAAAAGCTTTCTGGAAGGACGCCACCAGAATCCGAGGACCGACCTGAAACTAACAGAGAAATCCTAGTAGACACGATGACAAGACGTACACCACGAATGGTAAGGGAGTGGATCTTTTTTGGGTAATAGACGGGAAGAAAAGGTCAGATTCTGGATGATATGGCGCAGATCTGGGTGCTGCTGTTTATTTAATACCTAAAGCTCGGAAAGCTGAAGCCTTGGGCAGAACGCGAACTGAGTCGCTGGTATGTTTTCTCGTGGAACCCACGTTGCCAATACCTTGCAGCAACTTCCTGCATCCAGAGACCTAGCGTGGAAATCAAGCCACAGAGTCAGCCGTAATCGAGGGCCAATAGTTGAACGCAACAGCTAAGATTACACAGTACTGTGCTTTTATCAAATTGAGTCCAGTTCTGGCAAGAGTCAGTCCAGAAAAGTGTTTTCCCCGTCTTCCTTCACTTGTGGCGTTGAATCCGCGCTAAGTCATCGGACGCACCTGCAGGCACACACAAGGTGCTGTATCGAATGTGGAGCTCGGCTACAGTGTGCGGACAGCATCGTAGGGAGCTCCGCAGCTTCCGGCCAGTCTCCTGGCAGTCCCATGGCTGCATTCTGCATCAGTTTGGGGCTGGCCTTGTAATTGCAACCGACAGCTAGTCAACCTTGCGAATGACTGACGAAGGGTTGCATGAAGCAAAAAGTTCCAGCAGGCACAACGATTTCGGGCGGGAGCGAGGCATTGAAGAATTGCCCCGATGTGAACCGATACGGCGCGGAAGGGCTTGGCGGTGGTGTGTTCCAAAATTGAAGGATGCGGCACAGCTAGCTCAGGCAGTGGAGTCACAAGCCACAGTGCTAAATCCAATGAGCAGTACCCAAAGGCAAATTAAGGTTTGCGGACAACGGGGGCCGGTCCCGGGGACTTTGCTGCCGAGTATCCCGTGACATCCCGTGACTAGCGCAAACATCGTGGATCCCGTCCTGATCCCCGGGTCAGGGCCACTGTTGTGCCCAGACACAATACCCAGTGCAATTTCGAAACGCCACTGGTGCGTATGCCTTCCAGCCGTTTTGGCTCGACGCAATATCTACCAGCTAAGAGACCCGCGAAGGTAATCGTGACCCTAGAGATCCTGCATTGTGCACATAGGAGGCGGTAGTCCTAGTGATACAGGTGTGCATTCGGCGCTGGTTTAGTCGGGAAGGTTGTGTGCCTTCACAGTACCGCCTCTCTGTACGTCCGGTGACCTAGCGCCAAAATCAAGCCGCGAAATTACTGTATAAGGTAACGATTCCGGACGCCTCTAGGGGCGAATAACAGCCGCCTAGCCAATGAACCTTCAAGCTGGCTTATCATTAGCCCAGAAAAGGAGATTCACAGAGGTCGACTCAGTTTCCGCGCTAGGTCATCGGACGTACAGAGAGGCTGTACGCCACCATATGCATCTCCTAGGATAAGCCTGCTGCATTTACTGTGTGAAAGCTGGACGAGCTTCCTCTGTTCCGCGGACCCATATCCCAAGGCCGGGGTATAGTCCTGTGAATCCAGAGCGTTCAACACTCCCGCTGATCTGTCGCTTTTTGAGCTTTCAACAACACATCTTCACCTTAATTCAACTTCTAGTCGTTGCTATGGCCACTCCACCACTTCCCAATTATCCCAACGATAATCAGGGACCCATCATTCTTGCAACGACCGGGACTGTGACAGCGCTGGCACTGATTACCCTAGCTCTTCGACTATTCGTGCGCATAAGGATGATTCGGAATGTTGGATGGGATGTAAGCATCGCTGGCGGTGGCCGGTTGATCGTCTCAATTTGTGGTCTCCTACTAAATAAGCTTAAGGACTACGCAATGATCATGGCAGCGGCACTGTGCATCGCGGGTTTCATTTGCATTGTAATACGCCTCCAATCTGTGCGAGCCAGCAATAAACTCACCTATTAACAGGTACCGGAAGTTCATAATGGCGCTGGACAGCATATCAATCATGTTGACCGTGCACATTTTGGTCGGGGTCTCAAATGGAACTTCGTAACACAGCCAATTTACCTGTGGTCAATCTGCTTGGTCAAGATTTCAATTGGCTTCTTCCTTCTCCGAGTCGCAGCTACGACCTTCTTCAGACGACTAATCATTAGCATCATGGGTATGTTTGAAGGTTCCACGCACCAGTGACAGATGGCTGATTAGCAAAGTCTTCATGATGGTGTATACTCTAGTGTGCTTTTTTGTAAGTTGAACTAGTCTTTGGTTTTTCACTTCATGTACGCGTTGTACTAGTTTTGTACTAGTTCACATCAATTGGCTAATGAGGTGTGAACAGACAATTGTGCTTCAATGCACACATCTTTCAGTGCTGTGGGACTCCACAGTCAAATCAAAGTGTTTTGCGCCAACCACACTTAGAGCGTTGAGTTACACCAATGTTTGTACGTTGCTCCAAGTAAATCAGAGTTTGGACTGATACTGATATATACTAACTAGCACTGAACATCCTGACCGATTTCATGTTCTCCATATTCATTCCTGTAAGTGATTCCTCGAGATCATAGAAACTACGGCTGATGCGAAACACAGATCCCGATGTTATGGTACTCACACTTTGTATTGGACGACTCCCAGTAATATGTGCTAACGACTGATTCAGGCACGTTCAAATGAATTTCAGAACTAAGAGCTCTATTGTTGGAATCTTGGCCTTAGGTATTTTGTAAGGACTTCTATTATCTTACGCTGTGTGCAATTGCTAATCCCGTCTTCTACCATCCAGTGCTACTGCTGCCGCACTTGTCAAGACGAGCTATCTCCCGAACTACGGCCGTCACGGGGACTGGCTTTGGGACTCCCGAAACTTGACAATCTGGACCGTGTACGTTGTGCGCCCTTCTCCTCACTCTATATATTACATCGTTGGCTGAACAAATCACACAGCATGGAATCCTGCGTCGGCATCGTAGCAGGTAATCTCCCATGCATGAAACCTCTCTTCAAACGCGTACTAGGCAGCACCTATGGCCGCGGCTCGGCCAAACGATCCTCAAACCTCCAGTATTACCGGGGCGGATACGGAGGAGCCACCGGCCACTCAGCCAAAAACTACAACTCACTAGAGTCGCGCACGACAAAGGAAGGGGTAGCGGTGGGGGTAGACGCAAACGGCGACAACGACGCAATCATGATGACGCGGATCACAGCTCGGAGCAAGTCTGCAAATAGCGTGGATAGCCAGAGCAATATCAGCGACGACAGCATTACACGGCTAGAAGGCGGCCGATTCGGCATCACTAAAACGACTACGACCAAGGTCGCGTTCACCAAGAAATCGGAGAGCAAAGACGAGGTGGCCCCCGAGAGGAAGGAAACGCATTTAGTATAATCTTCAATGCTTAAGATGTCTTCTTTATGTGGTGGAGGTCTGTTTCTGGCTGGGGCAGTTCACCACGACGATATACAATCTCTGCAACACCGAAAGCTCGCTTGCTCAACCTGTAGATCCTGTTCTACCCGCCCACCGTTCCTTAGATCGTTGCCTCTTTTGAGGTGCATAGGAGGTTTCCTTTGGAGGGCATATGAGCTTGTTTTTGGTGTGTAGCTTGCAAGCAACCGCTCAGCGGTTGAGCGGCTCAACTAGCTTGCGAATAGCTTCAGTTGACGCGACGTTAGCCGTCGAGCGGCTGGCCTACACTGCCTACAGAGGCTTTCGTGCCTAATACCAGCATTAGTGCGCATGTAAAGAAGCATTTGACTTTGCTTAGTCTGGGAAATAACATTCGGAATTCGAGGGGTATCAGCGGTAGATCCTTACTAATAACAGTTTTTCAGGCTGATACTACCATCATACATGTCAACCTCAAAACTTCTGTCATGTAAATAGCAGAAAAAAACTTCAAGTTTCAAGATTTCGTCCGGACAGGAACACTTCTACCGCCCCTATTAGCGTCATGTCCGGGTTGCTAATGCTTAACATCGCGCCCACTAGTTATAGCCTATGGAAGCACTGTAAGTGCTTCATATTTCTTGTTGATATAATGAGGTGAATGAGATGTTCGGACAGCTTGAAATCGGGAACATCGCCGGGTGACCACGGCCTTTTCCTCGAGCGTTCAACGGAGATTCACTACCGCCGGACGCTTCTCGACTTGCACTCACAACTTTCGTAGCGCACGAGGCTTCTAATAGGGCTATTTTATTAGCACATTCTAGGAAACTCTCCTTTCTCCGTAATTTCGCTAACGTCACCCGCACCAACACACCACCTCTGCGACTATCGTTTTCTTCAACCTTGCTATCATTCTTATTCTTTCTCTTTATCACTACTTCTCTGTATTATAGGCTCTTTCGTTCAAGATGTTCCGCGTACCATCACTAACGTCGGATGCACCAGATGACTCTCAGAACGCCTCTATACCACCAGCCGCGGAGGCACCAAGGTATGGCACTCCTGGCGAAAGCCAGACACCGCCCCGGACCATGCCTGCTGGTTGGGTTCCCGAGCCTGCGTGGATGGTTTCGCAGACGGAGGCGTCAATTGACTCATACTCTCGCGGGTCAGGTTTCTATTTCCCAGAACCAACCCGGGAGGTCCTCCAAGTGGATGATAGTGTTCCCCCGGCGTGGTCAAGTCAAGAACACTACACTGGTAGAGCTCCCTCGAACGAGGCTCCGAGCCAGATCATCACAGACAGCTACTCAGATGGCGTCTTTGCAGGTGGAAGGCTGGAATCGTTCGACTCGGACGGGAGAATCACGCCAACCCAGTCAACGACAAATAGTGTTCGAACCACGGTACCCAGTTTCTTCAAACCCCATCTGGGTCTAGATTATGCGCAAGTCTCCTATTCCGCAAACAGGACAATCAGACTACCTCTTGCTCCGGCGGCTTCTGCAACATCTTCTCGAGGATCTGATGCATCGAGCATGCGGTCTCCTCTCGCTCCGGCGGTCCGTACGCCTCCTTCTCGTGCGAATGTTGCACCAGGCTCTTCTCGACTGTCTGCTGGCCTGACAACGGGCACCAGGTACCCAGGCACTGCCTCTAGCCCTCCTGCAAGCAGCGCATCGAGCTTATATGTGACGGCGAAGACGACGATAGAACGATCGGAGAAGCTTACTCAGCATAAAGCAAGCAGGCCCGCTAGGCAGAGAGAGACGGACAGGAATACCACAGGGTCTCGTGGAATTGCTCAACCACCAAGTCGCCAACGGCCGTCAAGCGCTAGTGCGGGTGCTCAGCCAGCCCATTCTCCATTTAGCCCCGTAGATCCTCATCAGCCAAGCACTCGAGCATTTGCTAGTCAAAACGAAAATGCCAGTGGTCCTTCTACTATCAACGCGTCTGCTCCAGCTAGTTCCACGCCTGGGCACCTGGGTTTCGCGCCAATGGACATCAGCAACACATTCGTGCCACAGAAGATCAACGGCCTAAATGAGAATCGGAGACTAACGGGGTTCTTTAGCAGCCACCAGTCCATGGATATCTGTAGCCCTCCACCATCTTCCAACTTCAAAGGAAAGGAGTCCCCAGCCGGGAAGATTGAACCTACAGCCGGAAAGACTCAACCAGGCATGAAGTATAAGTACAAGGGAGCTGTCCAGAGTGAGTACACCGAAGGCGAGCTGGAGGAGGCGCGTTTCAACGAGTCACTCGTAGATCTTGTCTACTACGCGGTCTTAACAACTGCTGGAATGAACCAGCAGACGTGGATAGGCCCCTGGGCCTCGGTTGCCGGCTTGCGGACTGGTCTCCGTACTTACCTTGACACTCTTCCTAAGTTCATTACAGAGAACGGGAATCAAGCAAAGCCGCGGGACCTGTTCCAGCATCTGATCAATGGCCCCTATTTCAACGGCTGGGGGCTCGTGTGGATGGACTTCCAGTGGCCCCTTGGTGACGGTATCGACACTGCGTGCAAGATGGTGAAAGAGCAGAACTCCGAGGTTCGGGCGCATCTTGAAGAGTACGTGGACGTATGGTTCGTTCTGTACACCGGCATCATGGATTTGAGCCAGTGGCGGGAGCTGAGTATGAAAGAGCTCAGAGGCCGAAGTAGTTTTGATCTCGACGGCGCATTTACGACGTTAAAGGACGCGAACAGCCGCATGTGCGAGTTGATCAAGAACAACCACCCGGACTCGAAAATAGCGATCTACAAGACGGAGGACAAGAGGATGTTCGGAGAATCATGGCTGTCCGATAAGTCACTGGTGAAGTTCGCGCGGGTGGAAAAGAAGCGGAGGGACCTTGGGTAGGTGTCGATGCGTGGGTATGTTGATATTCATATTCGACGAAGGTTTTTCTTCCAGGGCAGCGGGCCTCCATCAGACATTTCTTTATGCTTTGGTCTAAGTGCATAGGCGGACGGGCACTGTCTCTGTCAACGACGTAATACTGAGGCTTCGGGGTGTACGGCTTGACTAAACTGATGGTGCCTATGACTGTGAGGTCTTGCGATAACTGAGAGAAATTTGACAGAAGAATCTGAAATATTCACAGTAGTTTCTTCCCTATCGAGTGGAACAATAATACACGCACAAGATAGAAAGAATAATCCTAGGAATTAGCCTCGTCGAAATTCGTTGAGTGTTTCTTGGCATGGTGATTTCGGATACAAAAGCTAGCCAAAGATGATTACTTCCCAGCTTCAACCTCATCGGGCGTCACGACGTCTCTAGTGCTGCTGTATGCCGAATAGGTGGCTCCTATAGCGGTGTTCTTCATTTCTGTCTTGTTATAGGGGTCGCAAAAGGGGTGGTTCCAACCACATGAAGAAATCTTCCATCCTGACCGCGAATGTCTCGTTATAAACCTCATACCACTCTGGTCGCATTCCATTAACGTGTTTTGAACATAAAGCATGACATACAGTGCCTTGCCACAGATATCCGTACACTTTCCTCCCACTGTCTGTGGAGCTCTAACGTACTAATAGAACATGGGGCAAGCGGATACACTTCCTATCTGCATACACCCTGTTGGCGCTGAGGTACCTTGCAAGATTACTAGTTGTCCAAAATACCCAACTCCTCTCTTATTTGGAATGCCGAAAACACTATAAAGCTCCTCGCGCAGCGGCAAACAAGTGTATGGATTTCAATGATGAGGCACTGTACTTGTGCCGTTGGTGAATTTGTGAAGGGGAAAGGTGTGGTTGGTTTATGATGATGAACGCCAAGGCTATTTAAGGTGCTTAGTAATTTTTCGCATTTTTGTGGACGATGCACTGGCAGAGGAGACCACGTATCAATACGCCGTCCTAACCTCCGACCCTCCTTTAGTCCTCCTTCCTCCCACTTCAATCCTTCACTCCCTCTCTCCCTTTTGTTCTCTTCTAGACTTATTGAACCGCAGTCATGAGTGGCTGTAAGTACCTCCCATCTTTCAGCATTTCCCGCGCCTCCAGTCCAAGAGGCGCACTGCATTCAGGGAAACAGATCGCTGACCGTCAATTGCATCACAGTACGGTTCCTTGACCTTGTAAAGCCTTTTGTGCCTCTCGTGCCTGAGATTCAGCTCCCCGAAACCAAGGTTCCATTCAACAACCGCCTGGTGTGGACTGGTGTTACCCTCCTTGTTTTCCTGGTGATGAGCCAGATGCCATTGTACGGCATCGTTTCGTCGGACACGTCCGATCCGCTATACTGGCTACGAATGATGATGGCGAGTAACCGAGGAACGCTGATGGAGCTGGGTATAACACCAATTATCTCGTCGGGCATGGTTTTCCAGCTCCTTGCTGGCACCCACCTCATCGATGTCAACCTCGACCTCAAGACCGATCGCGAGCTGTACCAGACCGCGCAGAAGCTCCTCGCTATCATTCTGTCCTTCGGCCAGGCTGTCGTCTACGTTCTCTCTGGTCTCTATGGCCAGCCGTCTGATCTGGGTGCTGGAATCTGCATCCTCCTTGTCGTCCAGCTGATCGTCGCCGGCCTCATCGTCATTCTCCTCGATGAGCTTCTCCAGAAGGGCTACGGCCTCGGAAGCGGTATTTCCTTGTTCATCGCAACCAACATCTGCGAGTCTATCGTGTGGAAGGCCTTCTCGCCCACCACTATCAACACCGGCCGTGGCCCCGAATTCGAGGGTGCCATCGTTGCCCTGGTGCATCTCCTCTTCACCTGGCCTAACAAGACCATTGCTCTGAAGGAGGCTTTCTACCGCCAGAATCTCCCCAACGTGATGAACCTGCTGGCGACTCTCGTCGTCTTTGGCGCCGTCATCTACCTGCAGGGCTTCCGTGTGGAGATCCCCGTCAAGTCCTCGCGCCAGCGTGGTGTACGCGGCTCTTACCCCGTCCGCCTGTTCTACACCTCCAACATGCCCATCATGCTGCAGTCTGCGCTTTCCTCCAACGTCTTTCTCGTCAGCCAGATGCTGTACTCGCGCTTCTCTGAGAACCTCCTTGTCCGCCTTATCGGCACCTGGGAGCCGCGCGAGGGATCGTCGCAGCTCTTCGCTACGTCCGGTGTCGCCTACTACATGTTCGTTGCTCTATTACCACCTTAATCCCAGAATGGTGCTAATCTGAATCTAGGTCCCCACCCCTCAGCATCACCGAAGCCCTCTCCGACCCTCTCAAGACCGCGGTCTTCATCGTCTACATGCTCACCGCCTGCGCCGTCTTCTCCAAGACTTGGATCGAAGTCTCCGGCTCTTCCCCCCGCGACGTCGCCAAGCAGCTCAAGGAACAAGGTCTCGTCATGGCCGGACATCGTGAGGAATCTATGTACAAGGAACTCAAGCGCGTCATCCCGACTGCTGCCGCTTTCGGAGGCGCCTGCATTGGAGCCTTGTCTGTTACAAGCGACTTGCTCGGTGCATTGGGTAGCGGCACTGGCATCTTGCTCGCTGTCACGATCATCTACGGATACTTTGAAATTGCCGCCAAGGAGGGCGATATGGGCGGTTTGAAGGGTATGGTTATGGGATAAGCCTTAGAGTTGAGGTTTAAGATTCTTGATACGGACGGGGAAGATGTCACTGAGCACTTTTTGCCGTTCAAACGGTTTGGGAAAAGCGTTGAGGGAGCGGTGAATACTACTACGTTGTGCATATAAGAGAATATGAATTTAGTCGGTGTGCTTTAACAAGCACATATGAGTAAAAACAATCTTGTTGCTGGAATCGCGCAAAGGGTGATAACAACCCATAAGAGGGCTTCATTGTCCTTTGATAATTCATGCGTATATTAAACTCCTCGGCAGAAACACCTCCGTTACAGGCCAGTCTTCAAATAACTTAGATATGGGATATTGGGTTGGCTTCCATTTGTACTTCTTGTTACCTTAATTGATCGGTTTAATTCAGGGTGCTACAAACATCGGGTACCAAAAGGTACCAAAAGAGTCTGAAAATCGAGCGGACCGGCTCCTGTTCACCCTCTAACGTTAGATCAACTCGATGGTCTAATCTACAATGTTGCGGACTTTATTTGTAAAATTACGGCACAAATCAAAACGGACCTGCGCAGAATATTTGCTGAGATCCAAGTTAGACCCTTTAGATTATGCTTCACAAGAGCAACTGAAAGTCAAGAGGCCTAGTTTCGTCACGTATCCACAGGAAATGGAATGCTCGATTGACTTATAAAAGAAAGAAAGGTCCTACTGTGTTTCGAACCTGTGACCTTCAGGTAGCAAAGACCTAGAGCCCACCGAAGTGAGCTCACCACCTGAGTGGCCGCCGGCGAAACCCCTTGGAAGAAGTTTTTTATAGCGATCAGTCCGCAGACCATTTAGTTTTTTCTTGTTGTGAAAGCTCTAGGAAATAAAGTGAATATATACCGAGTGTCAAACGGGCGTGAGTCAAGGTCGGGCCGTGATATCTCTAGGCTCTCGCACCTTCCACGAGTCTTGAGACTGGAAGAACCTCCGTGTGTGCATTGCTTCTTGTTGGCATGTATTTCCCCATAGCTTCATGTACAGCGAGCGGCAATGACATGCCATAACAGAGTCGAAATCACACAGACTGGCCCCCGTTTACGCTTCTCACTATGTTATAGATTTCTTCGTTCCAAGGTCTGATTCGAGGTGCCGCGGATTTGGCATGCTAGAAGAGAGTGAGGATTAAGTGCAGGGATGGTTGGATCGAGCTGGTGTATATACCGGAATACCTCCTCTCCACTCTTCTCAAGCGTGATACACCTTCGAGGCACAACCAAGAGATTCCTAATATCAAGACACGTTCTTAGTTAAAACCTACCTCGTGCCACAGTACAACCAAATCCCATTGTGACCGATCCCAGCCTCGTCATCCCTCACTCCCTCCTGCTCGCCATAGTCGATGAGTTCCACGATATGCAGCTACTAGAACCTCCCTCCGAGAGCGCTATGATCAAAGGTGCTTGTATGCCGCTACAAGGACCTGGACAAGATAGGAGGAAGACAGAGGCTCAAGCCAGCCCAAGCGTTGCAACGACGATACAACGTACTCAGAACCTAGCTGTTAGGCTGGGATGATTTCAGCTTCCAGCCAATCGTGGAGGGCTTCGGATGCTCGGGCGAAGCGCGAGATACTTCTCATGCCTGAGAGCGCTGTCTCTACGCAACGGAGTCCGAACGTAGCGGGCAGGTAATATTGTTCAGTTCGACATGATCGAGGAAGTTTCCATGACGGGCGAAATGATGAAAATGGGCTTGTTCAGGCGGGACCTGAAGACTCAGAAGCTCGATCATCACCCCAAGTCCTGCGCGGGTGGTGGAGGCAGGCTACGGACATCACTATGTCATTGGCTTGCGTTGCTTAGGACGAATTGGGAGTTGTAGGTGTTCACAGAGGCCTTCCTCTCTCCGCACCAACACTTGACACATCGACGCAAGCTGCTGGCGGTGAAGTACGCGATCACCACCATCAAAGTGTTTCCCGAGGCCCATTGTACGGTACAGCTTCGGGCCGAACACCTCACCGCCTCTAGACGAAGCCTTCAGGAGGCGAAATTTAGTCGAGTTCAGGGCCGGGAATAGGCGAGGTGGATCTGCGGGATAGCATGGCGGTGAAAAAGCGAAGTGAGTGCATAGTAATTAGTAGTGAACAAGCGAAAGCGTCGGGAAGAATTGAGATGTGAGACAGAAGTATGCGAGTTCTTTTCCGATTTAGTTGAGTAGATCTATTGATTAATACCTGGTATCGAAAAAAGGAAGAGTGTACAGGTAGGAAGAGTGTATAGGTGAGAAGAGTATAGGATGAGACAGTGGAATATGAAAACGTTGCTCTGGTACGTATTGGAGATTCGCGAATACCTTGAGAGCGCGAGTGAGGGTTCTGCTTTGGCGAGCATGCAGAGTCGCGATCTGGACGCCGGCAAGTCCTGAGAATAACACTAGCGGTCGAGCGGTCATGCGGACATGAAAGTGGCATAAACGACTTGTTTGATCATCGCTACCACACACTGCGCCGTTCTCGTAGCCCGTCCGGGGAGCTTCGACAAGCGCAAAGGTCCGCAGACAGTAGCTTCAAGCCTTCAAATAAACCCCTCAAGTCCCCTCCTCGTAAAACACACCGCCACGCTCGTTCAAGCAGGCAAAACGCACACATGCGTTACAACTAGCTCCAATCATATCCGAATCAAATTGCCCCATTGAATGGTGGTGAGGGCCGGGGCATGTCAACAGCGCTCGCGCCGCTCCGCTGGGAGCGCGCGAGGATACACCTGACGCCGAGCCGTGAATCATCTTGGGTATTAGTTGTGCTGACAAGAAGACGGGGGCCACCAGCCTTTTGAACCCCGAGCCGTGCGTGCCGCGGGAATGATGCATGTACCCAGCACCCCTGGAAGAACCTCGGAAGTGCTGTACCATGGTACCGATGGACTATTGCTAGGGAACTGGAGGTCTCCATGCGGTCCAAAGCCACGGCCGAATATGGTCGAACATGCTACCTTTGTGTCTCGGCATTGGAGCGGAATCCTATAAAGCCATTTTCAGATGCGAAGGAGAGTATTAGTTATCACATTCCATGATAAAACTCAGTCCCGCATGTTTGCGACATGAGGAAAAAGAGGATTCTGCAAGATCTTCCCGGATGCAACATATCTTAGGCTGACGCCTACCCTACCAAGGCAAGGTCGACAACTCTGGACATCAACGATTCGACCTGCCTGTGAAAGTTTTTTGTCCTGGGATGACCTCACCTTCCCTGAGTAGCGGCGTGGTTGTGCATCCAGGGAAAAGAAAAAGAACGGGCATGTGAGACCCACAACCCATGGAACACGTTCGGGATATGGGGAACGCTTCCAGCTGCAATGAAATACATATGTACGTGATCGTGAGATCCTGGCTTTCCGTGGGGTGAAGGGGCTTCGTACGAAGCACGAAGCCGACATGTGCGTCGTCCTCATGATAAGAGAGGCATTCCTCGCGAGAGACCGGACGTGGCGACTAGTCAGCGTTTCGACAGCCCGGAACGAGGACCAAAAAGTCGCGAACCACTGTCGTGGTTGACAAATGTAGATGCCTGCGGCAGATCTCGGTGAAATTAGGCCAGGGAGGCAAATCGCTTTTAGGCCGATTTCAAGGAGCGCCTTCGAGCCTTGCATCCAAGCATTGTCATGGATGAGAATTCGTAAGCGTGGCACGATCGGCACGTATGATCAAGAAGGAGCAGGAGGTTGGAGGATGGCGGCGTGGGTGTGGACAATCGTAACCTGACGCTGGAGAAGGGGATAAAAATAAAATAGGTCCGCCCGATGTGCAACGGTCATCAGGACGCTGCCTAGGAGGATGCTCTGCTCGTAAACTCCCTTGTAGACAAGCTGTAATACTGGGCGTCAGGGTGGTCCGACCTCGGCTGCAGGGCCCTAGAAAGCTCTCGGAGATATGGGGAGAGTGTTGTAGAGTGGGACTGCCGGCGTGTGCCGCCCTGGTTGCGGTGCTGACATGAAACTGTTTTGGGTCGCATGTCGTACCCACAAGATCGAGCAAGGAGCGCATGAATGCATTCGGATCTACATCGTGATCACCCGAGATATTATGCGGAGGAGGAGGGGTCAGTGCCTGCAACGAGGAGCTTGTTAGAGAGACGGAAGGGCTTCTTGCGGGACGGAAAACAGCCAAAAGGAAAAAAATTGCTCGTTTGCCGCGGCGGTATTCCTTGCAGCCCTGCATGGGCGAGCAGCACACAAAGCACACAAGGAGGCAAGACTGCCACTGTCTGGAGACTGCTGCCGTGCCGGTTACGTTGTAGACCCTCCACAGCGCTAAAAGCCATATGCTTCCAGCCCCCAGATAATTGTTTTAGTTAGCCTCTCGGAAAACCTCACAGACGAGGATACCAGCCGTGTCTTCTCGAACAGCTGAGCTCCGTACTACTGCAAGGCAAAGGCGAGATACAATTTTTCGCAGGAGCTGAAGCCTAATAATTAATCCAGGGCTTGAACTAAGACATGGAATTAAGGAAATGGAGCCTTCCCCTTTTCGGGGTTAGATAGCACACAACATACCCGACCCCGAGACAGGCGGCCTGCTGAAGGTTTCAGCGGTGGAATCCAACAAAAACAGCCTCCATCGTCGCTTCGGCCGGCCGATATCACCTACCACCAACGTCCTAACGCCAACGAGTCCGACATGGTTCAGCGGAGGTGCATGGTGCTACAGGACACCCGCAGCGGACAGTCTCATCGCGCTCGTGTCGACGCAGGTAATCCCGCGATTCGAGTTGATAGCAGACTCCAGCTGACAGCCACCACCACAAACATGACATCCACCTTGCCGCAGTCGTGTGCCGTGAAGCAGTAGTCTACCAGGCTATAAGATGGCGGTAGGCGAGACACGGCCCGCTCGCAGCCAGCCTCGACGCCTAATGCTGTGCCGCAGAGGTGGACCGCTGGCTGGTGAGATTGCGTTTGTCGCCGGCGGGGCGCATGACAGTGCGAAGTGTGAAAGATCCACGAGCTGCAGGCGCAGACGTGGGCGAAAGAAACTTCACCGATTTCCCCATTGGGCGACGATCGAAGGAATCAAGGGGGAATGTCGGGTGCGATGCTGCTGAGTCAAGTAGCGGAGCCAACACCTATCGTGCCAGACTGCCGAGAGGGCTGCTCCACAACCTTAGCCGGAGCGTCCATGCTTGTTGATAGTCTAGAACACGAGATGCAGAAGCCTGGGCAGGAGAGAACTTTGGAAAGGGTGTCCTGGGGAGCGCTCACTGTCGTCGCCAACAGTACCAAACAGGCCTGGCGCTTGTGGTGGTGGTGTACGTACCTCGCCGTGCTTGCACATACTGTATCATACATGCCACCTCCAGACAGTGTCATAAGCGGGATCCCTGCCGGTCTGGCGCAGACGGCGGTTGCACGAGAACGGCGCACACGGGCTTGTTCCTTTTGGATGTTCCCTGAGGCCGGAGAGGGGCCCTGGCCAGACGGCTGCACGGGGGGCGCTGGGCGAAGCCGTTCATGCCGCAGTGCTTTCTTTTGCTCCTTGAGACTCAGCGCCACGTTGGGACCCACCCATCTCGTGGGACTCGCGGGGGTACGTCATCCAGGGTTTCGATATGAGCTTACTCTGTACGTGCTTACCTCCCGCGCTGCAGATTGCCGCGCCGTGTTGGATGCTGATGCCCGCAGAACGGCCGGCCTGTCTGTCTGTCTGCGCGGTCGCCAGCCAGCGGATGGATGCCTTCACAACATGGAGGCGAGCCGGGCGCTGCTGAAACCACGGCCGGAGTCATTTGTGAGGGGGCCTTGGATGCATAATGCCTTTCAGCGCGCTCCCCACGTCCAGCAGCGAGGATCATGTCCGTGGGCTGCGATGCAATGAAAGACCTGCCGCACTGGTTCGTCCACAGGCACGGCTGGTCAGCGCCCAATCACCCGCCTGAACACGGCCTGCTGTTGGGAACAGCGCAGTGTGAGGGCGGCTGCAAGTGAGGATACCGATGCAAGCCCACATCGTTCGAGAGGCTGGTCTGGCGGCCCGCCGCTCGTGGAACGCCAATAATAACCACCGCAAACGACCGAGGAGTACCTGCTTGCGTCCCTAGTCCGGTGTACTCGGCGGCCTTGTGATGCGCGATACGGCCCCAGGCGAGGCGATTCAGGCGGATGACATGCTCAAGGTACATCTGGAGCCCGACTAATAATTGCCCTCTTGCCATACATATTGCAGTTGCAGCGGCGGCGCTGGTGCACGCAGCCACGCTCGTCGGGCCAGCTGCGCATCTGACTGGCCGGGGCAGTTGGGTCAGCATCCAGCGGCTGGGAGCGAGTGGTAATGGATGCCAGGCGGGCCTCGCCGGTGATGAGCCTTTCACCACTGCATCGTGCTCCTCGGCGCCAACAACGCTGCCATGCTCTTAGACCCCAGCCCCCGGCCTCCCCGGAGGAGTGCTATGGCGCCGCCGCTAGGGCCTTTGGCTTCTCCAGAATTGCTGTCGATCACCGGCGGGAAGGGGCCAGGGTTCGTTCGGCGCGTCGGCTTCTGGCATGCTTGGGGCAGCCGCCACACCATGCCACCAACGGGGCTGCCTAGGTCTTATCGAGGCTATCGGCTCGTATGCTTGCCAATACGGGTCTGGTCGCCGTAGTCGTGGGAGCGAGCTCATAGCCGTCATCATCGTTTCGGTAGCGAGCGTGATCGTCCGTCTTCTCGATAGCGCCATGGCCCATGGATATCAATGGCCCCTTTCCTCACGCGACGATGGTATCGCCGTCACACTGCATGCTTTCCGACCAGCGCGCTGCTGGTGGGTGCTGGTGATGGCTGTGGCAACTCGCAGCCATCAAATGGGGGACGATGAGGCCTGGCGCGGTGCTTGCTGTGCAAATGACATCGCATCGTCACCCGCTGCGGAGTACATGAGGCCACCTTCCGACACCAGCAGTGCTGCACACGATGGAGCTCGGCAGGGCACGACGGACGCGCGTTTGGCCTCGCCCTCGCAGTCTTGGCTCTGCTCGACGCCAGCAGGCCCATGACCGCATCCACAGCCCGCTCGTCTCTGACAAGGCGGCGGCCGGGATTGATCCGTCCGAGAAACCCTGAAAGTGTGCTGATACGTTCCGGAAGGCATCTGGCTGGCGGTTGGATCCTTCCACCGTTTCAGACTCCACATGCGCGAAAGAGGCTGCGTGCTTTTCATGGGCGGGCCTGGGACAGGGACGCGGTGCTGGGCCAATGTCCGCGCCTGTCGACTCCCAAGGCGGCTAGAGGGAGTCCACGGTGGTGGTTCTGCGCCAGGCCGGAGAAAGTGGAGCTGCCAACGAGGCTGAAGGACGCCCATGCGATGCCTGCGCAGGCGGCCACAGTGATTGATGCAATTTCCGTGCTACGGCTGCCGTTGCAAGTGCGACAAGCCAGCGCGCAGATGCTGAATCGCCGCTGCGACCGCCCGTTGGTCAGCGTCTGCTGGTGGCCGGCATCTGCTGGGGATCGATTCCGTCTGGTCGCCCGCTGGGCTGGCATGCATGGCGCGGGCCTCGCAGGGCGATTCTGGAAACTGGCAAAGCCGTTCGTCTGGGAGAACTGGGAGAAGCGAATCGCCAGCTGCTCCGGTGCAATTCTGGCTGCCAGATCGCGCCAGGCAAACCACTCGGCCCCCTGTCCGGCCCTCCGCTGCCCCAAGCCCACGCACTCTGTCCGAAACCTTGCCCGCCATGGCCCAAGACCCCTTCATGTGGGTGCATCGACACGAGACGAGCTCCCAGCGCCGTCCGTCTGCCACGCCCATCACACCTCCACCACCTCCACCACCCCAGCCCGCCCTAACGAGCCTCTTGTGCGGCGCTCCCCGTCGTACGATTGGCTTGGCCCACCGAGCATTCATGCCCTCTCGCGCGGCTAAACAAGGGCGGGCGACGTGCCGATGCTGCCATGCAGCGCACCGCGTCCTTCCTTCGTCCAACATCGACACCGGCCTAGTTTCCAGCCTGCAAAAGGACGACTGACCGCCTCGACGGCCGACCCCCCATGCCCAATGCTCGAAACCTTGCTTGCGCCCAGCTGAGTCGCCGCCGCAACGCGAACTCGGGAGTCTAGTCGCACTAACCCTCCTGGCATCGTCGTGAGAGTGGTGGTTGCCGTGTCTGGGGAGCGCCCAGCACATGCGGCACAGATCTCCGTTGCGCCATGATACATACCCGCGCGCTGAGGTAGGCCCGTCCTGTGATTTGGTCACTATTGGTTTTCGCCGGCTGGTCCGTTGATTGTGATTTCGTTGATCAGCTTGCTCGCGTTCCAGCCGTGCCACCCGGCTTCTCGTCACCACCCCGTTCCTTTACCAGTGCCGCCTCTTTTTTAGAGCCCCGTAATTGACTCTCGCCCCGGCTGCATGGTTGTCGTAGTCTCCGCTGGCATGAGGTCCTCCTAGCTTTTTCCTAGTCCCACACCATGACAACCAAGACATGGTAACCTTCTCACTTCCCGTAAGGCACAGCCTGCCCAATTAGTCCTCCTTTCTTGGCTCATCATATACCTATGCAGCCCCTCCGCCTTCGGCGACCACCCCGATGCCGCACTACCATACCACAACACTCAGCTCTCCTTTGATTCACCTCACTACCATCTCATGAATTTTGATCATCGACCTCTATCAATGTCTCTGGACACCAGCCCTGAGCAAGATGCTCTGGTCAACGATGTCTCCAGACAGATGGCTGCCTCGCAACTCACCCGCAGGTACTCTCGTAGCTCCGGAAGCCAATCTGGGCGTCGACCTGCGCGAGTTGAAAAACCTCGAAGCAACCACAACAGCCCTAGGACATTGGAAAGGAGGAAAACGACAAGTGGAACTAAGCGATACGCAACCCTGGACGACCATTACAACATGATGTTCGGTGTGGCAGGAGGAGAAGAAGGGGCTGCTGAAGACCGACGAGAGCCGTCACGACCTTTGAGCTGGCATCCATCATCCACACATCCTCAGGGGCAATCTCGATCATCAATGCCAGGTCCCCTGCCAAACCATAACCAAGGTGACTGGGCACCATTCCAATCAGCTGTCTCTCGCATCTCTGGATTCGAGTCAGAATTTGAATCGATATCAGCGCGGAGTTCTGTCTACCAGGATAGCAACCCACGCTTCAGCAGCACCGCACAGACCGAGTCTAGCTGGCAAGAAGCGCGCCAACAAATATCGGTCACCCCATACACTTCGAACACTCATACAGATGGACGAGTCGGGCCAACACCGTGGTATCTTCAGAACTGGGCGAAGATGGTCCAAGCTCAGGCACAGTGTTCAAGGCCGGAATCGATGGAGTTCCTTCCGATCCAACATCCTTCGGCCCACACACATGGACAGAACCAGTCAGCCTTTGACGACGATGAGTCAGAAGAAGATAGCGATGGAGACCTGGTCGGCATGGGCCTCTACGATCCTCCCGAAGGAATCCAAGTCTGGCAACCATCTGCATTATGTCAAGGAACAGGAAAAGGATTGAAGCTGGAAGAAACTTGGCAACCACCCGAACAAATGGAAGACGGGGACGACGCGAGCTCGGATGATGGAAGCGTCGATGATCCGCTTGCAAAGGACGAAGACCATTGGTCTTTGAAGGCAAACGAGGTGGTCCCTGCCAACATGGACGGAAAGAGCTTCTTTTTTGATGACGAGGAGACATACACCAAAGAGCCATGGTTTCAGCAAGTGAAGCAACCAACGGTGCAGGACACCGACCTAGCATATGGATGGCTGTGAATATGAAGGAGTGTTTTGAGCTCGAGGCCGACGTCGAATCAATGTTTCAGCGTAGCTTGGAGTTTGGGAAAAGGGATCGATTATACCCCTTCGATTGCATCATCGAATAGCAATCTTCCTTCTAGGGACAGGACAATGAGGCCTCCCGAAAGGACCTACGAATAGTTTTGAAATGAACAAATCAAACCAATGGATCCTACGAGACATCAGTGAAAACACGTTGTTGACTTCGAACGACTCGGCGGTTTCGACCCGTGATAAACACGCTGTCCTAGTCAAAGAACCCTCTGACAGATTGGTGGAGACCGACTTAGTGTTGATCAAACTCGGTCGCCTCGGCCTTGCAACGAAAACGTGTCTTGATCAATCGGAGCGCTGATTAGCAAGTGACCTTGAACGAATTCAATGATGGTTCCACAAAGGGTTAGTAGTTGAAGTACAGGGCTGCGAGGTGGAGTTCCAATAAGAATTCGGTAAAAATGGATCCTCCGTTCGCCTAGTCTTAGTGCCTTGGCAGAACAGACTTTCACCTATCAACATCATCTCTAACATACGCATCTTCAGATTGAAGTCCACGTCAGACGGGCTTGCAAGCCCGAACCATACCAGATGTGTAAAGATTCAGGTCGCAGCTGGTATTGCTCTCGCTGATTTGGATTCATCACACCGAACTGTTAGGACTCTGTTTTGAATCTCCACCCGTTCTTGCGGCTGCAACCTTTGGAGCTATCGCGATTTTTATCATCCATGCCGCGCTTTACGGTCACTCCATGGCGGGACCCAGCCGAGCTGATGAAAGTACGAGGGCAGCTTTACCAGTTCGGGGAATTCGAACACGATGATCGCCGACAGGAGGCAGTGAATCAGGTAATTCTTTTCTTTAAGAGCTTCACGATTCTCCCTTTGAGCTCATAACTAACCTAGAAAATAGGTGCTTGCATGGCGTACCCGAAAAGCCGACTTTCCTCTTGCTTTGGAATCTACTTGTGTTTTAGTCGAGGCGACCGTACAGGACGGAGGCGGAGTCCTAAGCACCCATTCTGTTCGAATGCTCTATGCATCGGCCATCAGCAGGTACAGGCTCCCTTTATGCGCACAAAGTAGAGCAAATTGACATCATTCCATAGATTTGTGACAGGGTTCTGCGATACGACTCAAGAGACGAGCTACAAGCAATCGATGCACCAGAGAGCTGCGGAGCTGAAGCTTCCCATCAGCCTGGTTGAGATCCGCCACGAAATCACCCACCGAGATCTACCATCTCTGATCCGCCTCCGCGAGAATGCGAAGAAGTCCTTGGATTGGCTGTGGCGTTGGTATTGGTTGCAGCTTGAAGTCATGTTCGACACGCCCGACGAAACTAGTAGACAACGCAACCTTGATGAAGCTAGAGACGCACTTCAAGCAACCCTGAACACCTACGTTACCGCTAGAATTGATGACGTTAGGAACAAAACTACTCAAAACTCGGCTCGAGCCAATGTTGCTTGTGCGGAGATTATCAGAATATGCCAAGGAAAAGAAGAATGTCTCCAGTTGCTGGCGGAAATTCTAACGACCCCGAGCAAGAAGGCAAAATGCCTAATCCCAGCGGACAAGGCGTAGGCACTTTCCTACTCGCGCTATAGCTCTTATTCTAACACTTCAGGTTAAGTTCCTCTATGGACGGTGCTTATCTCATATGGGACAAGCTCTTGGTCCAACTTCACACCCATCAAGTCGGTTTTCTATCTATCCTTCTGGCACAAATGGTCGACTACCTCGGCGAACCTAGCACCCAACACGTCAGCTACGAGCCCACAAAGGACGCCCTCTTCGAGTGGATCATCCACCTCTTGTCACAAAAGTCCTGGAAAGCGTCCCTCGGGAAATCTCAAATCACGCTCACGGAGGAAGTTCTGGCGAAATGCCTACTCAGCGTGACAACATGGACCACAAAGCTTGCCGAGGCTTTGGTCACAAAAGGGGACAAAAGCCTCCAAAAGGGCTGGATGCCGCTTGTCGACATCGCGCAAGGCCGGATCTGCGCGGATGCCAGGTCGAATTGCCCGCCCACAAAGGACACCGAGGCGCCCCCAGCGCGTAAAGGCTGGACCAGATGCCGCGGGCTGTGGCCCCAATCTGCCATCGGCGCGCTCCCACGCGAGACTGACTATCAAAATCAGCTTGCTGTCAAAAAGCTGATAGAGGAGGCTGGAATTCAGGAGGCGGAGCAGGAGGATTTGGAGGTCGAGTAGATGTATCGAAGTTCTTCAACGAGCTATGAGTGTACCCAACATCAATGAGTACGCAGCGTGATCTGTGACGTATATATGACGACTATGGCTAGGTCTTGTAAGCTAAGTATTAGATTCTTCAAGCCTCATGTCTGCTTATTGGTTTCGAATTCCTTTTGCTAGATTCTGATAACACGTTAAAGCACCCCACACAGCGGCGACATAGGTCGATCAGAAGCGTTTGAAACCGTTCGAATTCACACTCCCTAGACTTTGACATCTCATACGGGATTTTTATGATGCACCAAGGCACTCCAGACAGTGGTGAGCAAGCGTCTATCCAGGAACTGTATCCCTACATACTGGAAAAATCTGTAGCAGATATAATACTTGATTTAGCCTAACTTAGACATAGTTCACGATGACGCTGCCTGAGGTGGCCCCAATATACCACCAACAGTCCAATTAAGATGGCAATTCCTCGCACGCCCAAATTAAAACGACTTCTCAACGCTTTTGACACCCAACACCCGCTCGTCAAACTTCCCCTGCCCAACCAACGCCGAAACCCCCAATAGTCTCACAACATAGCATCCGGATCCGGCTGCCACAGCAAAAGATCTTTATCCGCGCTCACAATCAGATTATGCCGCTGATTATACCCCACCACGGCCGCCCTGCCCTGCCCGGGGAGGTCCGTCGTCGGATGCAGCACATTATCGGCGGTCGGCGCCTTGCTGATATCCCACACCAGCAGCCCTTCCTCCCCCGAGCCGCCCACCACAAACTGCCCATCGGGGCTCACGCACACGTCGCCCTGGCCCGCGGGCGTCGAGGTCCCGCCCGCATACCCGGGCGCCGCGCGCCCGCTCGGCCCGCCCTTGCGGTAGCAGAAGTGGCTGATGTCGCCGGAGAAGGCGTCGAGGACGAAGTGGCCGGCGCCCGTGGTGCCGACGAGCAGGCTCTTGCCGTCGTTTGTGAACTCGAGCCGCGACCAGCCACCGCCGCCGCCGCCGAGGAAGCGCTGCTCGAGCGCCTGCATGTCGAAGGTCGCGAAGGGCGGCTTGTCGTAGTTGCGCAGGTCGTAGAGCAGGATGGAGTGCGTCGGGGGCGAGGCGACGGCGATGACGGAGGCGGACGGGTCGTAAGTGGCGAGGTAGGGCGCGTGCAGCTTCAGCATGCCTTGGTAGTTGCCGGATTGCAGCGTCCAGAGGCGCACGGTGTTGTCGGTGGAGCAGGAGAGGAAGTTGTCTGAGGACGGGCACAGGGAGATGCTGGTTACGGTCTCGGTGTGGCCTTTGAAGTAGCGGATGTAGGAGTTGTCGTGGGTGGAGACGAAGCGGAGGTTGTCTGTGTAGCTTCATATTAGATGCACGTCTTTTTCATAGTTTCGGATTGCTGGAGAAGTGATGATACGTACGGTCTACCTTCGTACTGGCATATACGACACTCTGCGCATGATGCGAGAAGCGCGCCAGATGCACGCCATACTTCTGGCTCTTCAGCTCCTTCGCATGCTTGCCCTCCTTGCAATTGTAAATCTGCAGCGTGTCATCGTCGCGAGCTACAATCGCAAGCTCGCCGCTGTCGTCGAAGTCGAGAGACGTGACTGAGGTCTTGGAGTCGTCCGGCCTGAATCGCTAAAAACAAGGGTCAAAGGTATCCCACATAAGGGTACAGGCGGCCTACTCTCGACGGGCGGAAGCTCGATATGACTTCGCTGACTTTCTGCGTGGGCGGCCCCACGGCGGAGGGCGTCGCTGAGCCTGCGGCCATTTTCGGTGAAGAGACGCGTGAGGCTACCGAGGTGGAGGGCGCATGTCGAGTGGAAATACCGCGAGCTGATCAGGTCCCCTTTGCGTGCGAGGCACGGTTAGCAACGGGCAGGGCAATGGGCCTATATGCTGAAGTGAATGTACGTACTCCACGGGAGTGCGAATTGATAGCCGCATCCGTGTGCTACGTAGCTTCAGCACGGAGGATTATTAAAACTAAACTCCGGTCTCGGCAGCGTTTTGTCTTTCACCACCATCTCAGTCAGCACCGTCAGCTCTGACACCCCCAATTCACGCTCCTTTTTGCCTTTTAGACACGTCGCCGACAAGCTTGCTACAACACTTGCTTTTGTGAGAAAAGGACCCCAAACCGCAACCTGTGAGGCCTGGAAACGGCCAAAAAGGACGCCATGTCGACAACCCTGGGGTATGCGCCGCGTGCTGGAGAGCTCTGGGAGCATCGAGGAGGCACTGGGCTGACTGAGGGAACACAGGGCATTCATCGCGGGAGGTATCGCAGCATGCGGAGCTGTCACCGTCACTCACGGCTTCGAAACGGTCAAGATTCGGTACATATATGCCTGGCCGGCTTCACATTTACACTGGCTAAATCTCTGGCAGACTACAGCTCCAGGGAGAGCTTCAATCGAAAAAGGACGCGCCGCGCATGTACAGAGGTGTCTTTCACGGAGTCGGGGTCATCTATAAAAATGAAGGCCCAAGGGGACTGCTACGAGGGCTAAGTTGCGCCGTAAGTCTGGTTCATTCGGGGATCAAAAGGACACCAAGCGCAGCAACAGCTAACACGCTAGCTGCAGTATATCTACCAAATGACCCTCAATGGGTGTCGGTTAGGTTTCTATGAGCCCATTCGGACTCACCTCACAAATATTGTGTACAAGGATTCAACCGTGCAATCCCTCGGCATCAACATCTTCTCCGGCGCATCATCTGGCATCCTCGGCGCCGCCGCTGGTTCCCCCTTCTTCCTGGTGAAGACGCGACTACAATCATTTTCTCCATTCCTACCCGTGGGCACACAGCACCACTACAAGAACGCATGGGACGGACTACGGCAGATCTACACGAGCGAAGGGATGAAAGGGCTGTACCGTGGTGTAGGACCCGCTATGATACGAACAGGTTTCGGCAGTTCGGTGCAGCTTCCAACATACTTCTTCGCGAAGCGGCGGCTGGTGAGACATCTAGGGATGGAGGAGGGTGTACCGCTGCATCTTGCCAGCAGCGCGGCCAGCGGTTTCGTGGTGTGCTGCGTCATGCACCCCCCGGATACGGTCATGTCGCGGATGTACAACCAGACAGGGAATCTCTACAACAGCGCCTTTGACTGTTTAGTTCGGACAGTCAAGACAGAGGGGATATTAGCGGTCTACAAGGGCTACTTTGCGCATCTTGCGCGGATATTACCACATACAGTGAGCAGTACACCGATGGAATGAATCGGAGGAAATTGCTGACAAGAGATAGATCCTCACCCTCAGCCTGGCGGAGCAGACGAACAAATACATGCGGAAATTCGAGAACCGGTACGTTTTTAAGGACGTCAAGAGCATAATATGAACTCGGAAGAGTTTCAAGAGGGCACCGATTCGATCTGTATATTATCTTCCTATGTTGATGGTAAGCTAGGAGTGGCCGATGTAGGTATTTGGAAAAAGGTAGAATTCTGGCATGTTCCGACGTCACCTATAGATTCCGATATCAGCTTTAGAACAATGCCTCGTCATTGAAATCCGCACACTCGTTTACCGCTGCGTGAGGAGCTTCATAGTGTTTTCAGTATTCCAAATAAGAGAGGAGTTGGGTATTTTGGACAACTAGTAGTCTCGTGAGGCAACCTTAGACAGCACCAACAGGGTGTACGCAGATTGGAAGCGTATCTGCTGCCCCCGTTTTCTATTAGTACGTTGGAGCCCCACAGACAGTGGGAGGAACGTGTACGGATATCTATGGCAAGGCACTGAACCACCAAATTATCACTAAGAACCTACAAGACCTACAGCTCAAAAACGATTGACGTCCTAGCCGACCGTGAGAAAAGTCACAACAGGCATCGGGAGATAGTCAACGAAGAGAAGAGAAGAGAAGAATCAATTACGTGGTTGCTTGTGCTGCGCCGCTGTCCCTGGACTGCTGAACGACACGTGCAAATAGCAATGTAACGGCACAACCTCGCCTTCGACTCACAATCACACCATCCAGCACTCTCGTCCACATCCATCCACCACTAATTCGGACACCAGCAGCCCTCCTTCCCTTTCCATCTCCCGCTCCACGTACATCTTACGTCCTCGCCGCCCGCAGCAGGGGCGTTGGGCGTCGAAACGAACCGCAGACATCACACTTACCGCGTGAAGAGGATTTTACTATCCGTCCGTGATCTCCAGACTTACTAGGGATTGGTTTGAATCGCGAAGCACAGTCCAACTCTGCCATCTCGGCAATCAAATAGCAGACGCACCACGTGAACTTATGTACTATCCCTTCGCCACATCTAGGGGCTCGAAACGAATCGCACGCACATACTACATACTACAGTACTCCAAAGTATGCATGTCACAGCTTCATGAGCGTTCGCCATCTCAGGGGTTTGCTGGGCAGGAAGACACACGCACTCCTGCAGCTCTGCGTCCTGCGTCATCTGTCGTCAAAAGCCTCCCAATAGCACGCACATTCAGACCCCCCAGAGGCGAACACACGGCGTTTTCGGTGGTCAAGGCTAAAGGAATCGTTTGAGGCAGGCCGTGCGAAGCCTGGAGAACATGCCCTATGCGAAAAAGCAAGCAAAACAAAGCACGGTGGCATTCGTCAGCAGCATCGGAGGGGGTGGTTCATTTGTGACACCGATCGCCGACCTCACCAAGACGCGTTGAGGTTTCGAGTTACAAATGCCAACGACACTGTCTGGGCGAGTGTTGAGGCTCGAGCGGTGAGGTGGCGGCACATGCGGGAATTCTATCAGAGTTGAGCTGGTGACAGCGATGCAACGACAGCGGATTATTCGGATGCCTGGACAGCTGCATCTTGCAGTATGTACCATGGTACATGACTTAGCCGTATTACTGTGGTATGCTGCGTCACAGTACCTCGAGGCGCGGCAAGCGGAGGATGCTTCACCACTCACAGCGGTTTTTCCAGCGCTCAGCACCACTCACTCACCACGCCTCAAGCCCAACACCATGTCGCACAGCAGCAGTGCATGATTCCAAGCAGTTCCCCTTGCACCACGGCATCCAGGCCCGGACGCGGCCCCACCTTGCGTGCCTGCTTTCCCCGCTGTCTTGCCCCAGACTTCGTCTCGTCGTACCCGTGCTTGTTGCGTGCAGCATCCCAGCTGGCGACGCGCCGTCGACCTGCCGCTTTTTCTATTCTCTCATCTCGCCAGCGCAGCGCCAGCAACAGCACAGCACAGCGCGTGGTCTCGGTGCTGTCATGTGCTGGAAATTGTGAAGAATATGCCGCAGGAGCAAGGCAAGCGGAAGAAAAGGATCCAGTCCATCCAATGGGCCCACGCTACGGTCCCGCGAATGTGACACTCGACCCCATCTGTGCCTCGTCCGTAATTCTTCTTCGAAAGAAAAATTTTCATTGCCGTCTGCGCATTCCTACTCGTCGAAACACCGACAGCAACCTGCGCGGAGGATGTGTGAGCTGCGACCGTCACCGTCGGACCAACATGTCCCTCCCCTCTCCTCCCACTCTTGAGCACCGCGCAGAAGGTCTCCGGTCAGCCAGAACGCTCGTGTGTCAGCCAGCGCAAAAAAAACTTTTCGCTCTCGCAGGGCTGGGCTGCCAACACGACCAAACAGGGGCCGCTCATGTCACTCTCTGCAACCGGCCGGCCGCGCCCTGCTGATCGGCCCTCCCTCGGGCTCCTGGGCGCGCCCAAATTCTCTGCTGTTTCCCAGCTGCGGGTTTGATCAGCCCGCAGCCCGCGACGTGCTGAATCGCAACAAGGGAAAGGCGCGCTGCTTTTGGCAACGCCTGCTCCACTCCGCTACTGCAGATCGTTGCGCATTGCGCATGGAGCGAGGCTGAACGGTGAGGGCAAAAAGCATCCACGCATCCACAACTTGCCAACCTCTCTGCGAGGGAGTCCCAGCCCGTACTCGCCATGGCCTGCTCGAAGCGGCAGCCCGCTGGCCGCTCACCTGTCAATTCTCCGCACTCGTCGCGGATGTGGCCAAGTGCGGCCGCCTGTCAGTTGAGTTTTTGCGCTCTGGTTGCTCGCCGACCACCGCGGCACACCGCGGGCTGGCGAAAGATTTGGTAATGGGGGCGCGCAGGGCGTTCTCGGAGGCGTCCTTTTGCACGACTTTTGCTGCGCGAGGCGTGAGGGGGGCGGCCAGTGAAGGAGACGCGCTGGACGCCATCCCCTGCGCGGGCTTGTCAGATGAGCACGTCGCCCCCAGAGCCTGCACGGCGACGCCCAGGTTCTCCGCAGTTTCCGAGGCAGCGGGTCAGGCCAAGTGAGGGCAAAAACGGTGGTGAACAGCAATATTAGCTGCAGCCCATCCTTCCCAAGCCCCAAGCCTCCACCCCCGGGCGGTATCCACTTCCCCATCCTTCGTTCAGCCTCCACTTCTTCTCTTCCGCTTCTTCAACAGTCCCTCTTCACGCTTTCGCGGTCCATAGCAAGCGGTGATGCTGCCGGTGGGCGAGTCCAGCGCCTGCTTTCATGCACACACAGCACCGACGTGACATGCGCCACGGCCGCGCAACCACCGACGACATCGCTTGATAGCTCCGAACTCGGGGGCAGGCACACGACATCTTGGCCGCCTGCGATTCAGAACTGCGCCATCCTCGACTCCCAGAACATCCCATATCGAAATATCAGGCCTCCGACGAAGCACCGGCGATGCTCACACCACCCGAACCGACACTCCCGCCCACACACCCCGACAAACGGCGCAGAAAATGGGCAGAGCCTTCGACCGGCTGGCGGCGCCTCTGATGGCCTCCACCCAACGCTTCCCGTCCCTGACATCCATAGGCATGAGCGCCGTCTTCACCTTCGTCCCCTCGCCGCTCCCCACCACGCCGCTGTCGTTCCCAGCGCCCCCGACTCGCGCGCCCCACCTCACCACCACCCCGCAAAAACGCACCCGCGCCCTCACAGACGTCGACGGCGAGTACTCCTGCGTCGAGAAGAAGAAGCGGAGGTTGCGCCTCTTCCTCATAACGTCGCGGCTCTCGCGCCCATTTTCCGCGCCCGCAACCAACATCGTCGACCGCGGATCCTCGAAAATAGCCGTCTGGGCGAAGCAGAAAGCGCTGGGACGGAACCTTTTGCGGAAAGCGGCCATCTTGAACCGCATACGGCGAAACGCTATCCGGACACACACAGAAGGACGCGGAATATCATGCGTCCTAGACCAGGAGAAAGAGCAGAAACAACTCGAGCTGGCGCGGTTGGCGTTCTTGTATGGAAGCCACGATACCCACACACGGCCGGTGTTCCAGCGGCCGCCGGATTTCCCGCCGGCACAGGCGGTGCGGAGCGGGAACTACTGGGCGCTGAGTGGGAGCCCGAACGTTGCTGGGAGGCCTCTGTCGTCAGCGTCAGCGTCGACATCGCCAGATCCAAATACCAGGGATATCGCGACCACGGCCGGACACGAGATAGAAAGCGTGCTTAGAGAAGATGACGCGACCGACGACGACACGAGGTATAGCTCCCCGAACGAAATGTACACGCACCAGCACCAGCTCCCCGTGCCGCAGCTGCCGCGGCACGACTACCTCCCGCTCCCGCCCTCGCCGCTCGGGCTGTCGAACTACGACGCTTTCGACCTCGAGGACGAGATCCACGACCCGTATTCGGCGTTTGACGATGACGACGACGACGACGACGGGTCGGTGTCTATCTTCAACCAGCGCCCACAGTCGCCCGCTTACAGGCCGCACGCAGACGAGACGATGCACGACACCTCGCCGTTTAATTTCGGCAGCCCCAATACCGCGGTCTCGTACGTCACGGACTCGACGCTGAGTAGCGTGCATACCCCTCCGCCGTTGCAGCAGCAGCCGCGGATGGTGTACTCGGATTTCAGTCTGCTGGATCCGGATGAGGCGGTCGTAGGGGACTATGATGGGTTGGACGGCGTTGATGGCGTGAGGGCTGTGTGGCCGCATGTTAGTAGCGGGGAAGTGGTGAAGCCGACACATCTACCAACTGCGAGGCCGCCGGAGAGTAATTGGCGGTAGAAAGGGCGAAGCATAGAAAGAAATGGAAAGCGACGACACGACGTGTTTTGAAAGAGGAGAGAGAGTGACGACGCGGCCACATATCGTGGTCTTCCTTTAGGCTTGGAACTGAAATGTGATGAGCAGTCTGCATTGCATAGCAGCGTATGGACAGGACACTTCCGGGACAAACCATTCCGACATGGCGTTTTAAAGGGAAAGGGGTGGGGGATAATATGGGCATATCTGGGTGCATTTTCTTCTCTGGGTTTAGGGGTTTGTAAGGTGCATTTGTGAGCCGGAATGCGAAAACTGGGTGGCATGTTGTAGGTGGGTGCATAATGCTGCGTAAAGCGGCCTGGCTGGGAGATGAGATGGAAACTTTGTGTGTATATTTGAGAAATGAATGAGATGTGTGTATTTGAAGTAGTTTTTGTTGCGGCTTTTGGTGGTTTAAGCCGCTTTGTACGGGTCTAGTGAGGTCAGAGGTTTGAGGTTTTGTGCGTTCTTTGGACGAAAGAGGCAAGGCTTGGCGCGTATCAAGTGTCGGGCTTTGGAGGGATAAACGGCATCGGAGACGCTCCTGGAGCCCTTGAGACCCGGGACGGCGGGCACGCCAAAATCGGTGGAATGCTACCAGGCAGTCGGTATTGATATTCCAGATGTCGTGAACGAGGCGGCGTTCTCGTCGCAGTCGTGATAACGCCAGGGGTGCCTGAAGTGAATGAAGACGCCTATCCCATTGTATTATACTTTCGTTGCAAGCTTCTCGGAGGTAGAGGATACGGCATATTTTCATTAATTTGAGAGTTTCTGTGCCCGATCGGCGGCGATGTCGCACATAGCCTATATTACAGTCTTGTTACGATCGACACTTTAGAGATATCCTGGGGTCTAGTACCTGTATAGCATCTTGCCGCTCCGCAGCGATATCGTTCCTCGCGATGCGAGACTTCATGTTCTCCATGATGGCAGGACGGGGACGGCCAGCGACAAAGACGCTACGATGGCAACGTTAGCAAATAGCCAAGCGATCCTTCACTCTCGTCTCATCCATGTCAGACATACACGTATCTCAGTCCCGGAAACGTCTCCTCATACGCATTATTCAACCTCTTCAGCTCCTCTGCCTCCTCCTGGCCACCTTTGTTCAGCTGTGCCTGCTCCGCCCGGCTCTGTTCTGAGTCCACTTTCTTCTCGCCGAGCCGTGGGTGTGCGCAGAGGATCTCTGACAGTGTTTCGGTGTCTTTCGAGGCGGTTGAGGAGGCGAGAGCGGTCAGTAGGGCGTTGATGGCGGCGATGAGGGTAGGGTAAGATGGAAAGGTGGTGCTTTTCAGGATCGGGAGTGAGAGATCATGGAGAGGCGGCGAGGGCTCGAAGAGGAGGTCGAGGATTGCGGTTATTTCTGCAGGAGGAAGTGACGGGAGGGTGGAAATGGCTGGGAGGGCTTGTGTGGTCATCTTGAATAGCGTCGAATATGTAAGTAGTAAGCGAGAAGGGGTTTGATGGATTGAGAAGTGTGTGTATAGAGGGCCTAAGGCAGTGAGGATAGCGGAATAAGGTTGGATTGAGGTAGAAGCAAATATATCTATGTATGATAAGAGACGACCCTCCGCGGCAGGTGAGTTATTCACGAAGTTTTGACCCTCTGCGGCGGGCACCGGCCGATGTTGAGCTGTGGCTCTGCCGAATGCCGCTGATGGAACAAAACCTCACTGATGAAAGAGAAAGTCTATGCCAGGAATCGAGAGCTGGTGGTTTCGCAACACAATTAATTGCGACGGTTGCGGTTGTGAGACGTGGTGCAGGTCCCGAGGTCTGATAAGGACCACTTTTTTGGACCCCTGCCGTCTTGGCAGAGCGCGTCCAGAATGATTGGCGTCATTCGAGGTTCAAAGGTTAGGTGCCTAGACATTCACCTCTTTCATCAGCATTCACGCTTCGATCACTGAGCCTTCATGATTCAACTGTTGTATGATCTGTATGCCCGTTTGAATCGTGAGTAATGACTACCAAACGACCGTACAAAAAGAGCACTTCGGGCTGTAGAACGTGCAAAAGGAGACGCGTTAAGGTGAGAACTCCCTCACAAGTCCAAAAATCCCATGTTAGTTTACGTGAGCTTCAGTTACTGACTTAGGACTCTATGGTGCAGTGCAACGAGATCCGTCCACAATGTGGGCAGTGCTCCAAGCATGGCGTTGTGTGTGACTTCGCAGATACCCCAACATCTTCTTCTACCTCTTCTTCTACCTCTTCTTCTACCTCTTCTGCTACGTCTCCTTCTTCTACTCACACTCAATCCTCACTGCTCGGGCCACTGTCTCAGCCCACAGCTATCCACCCCCTTTATGATGACACTATGTCTTCTCGGATGATGGAGCTTCGCCTCATGCACCATAGCACCGCTGTGGCGTGGTCAATGTCGTAAGCAACGGCTTACTATTCAATTAAAAGCTCATTTCAAACTAATATTGAATATAGGGGCTTGGGACAGGCCGCCAGGTGGAAAATTTGGTCTGAATACGTCCCCATGCTCGCATTCGAAGGTGGCCCGTCGAACCCTCTCCTTGATCTAATTCTCGCCAACTCGGCACTCCATCTGCAAATACTTAACCCAACGGATCCATCTTTCAAATTAGTGTCATCTCAAAAGTTTGCACAGGGTCTTGGGAAGATGAAAGCCCTGCTCCCGCAAGTTAATGAGGAGAACTCTCCAGCAGCTTTTGCTGCTAGCGCGCTGATCTCACTACATGTGTTGGTCTTTCGGCAAGAAAAGCTACCTGGGAGTCAGTTCCGACCGGCAAGTAATTTCTTCCGGGCTGTGCACGGCACTAGAAGTATCACGGTACATTCTCGAAGCTGGATTCAAAATTCGAGGTTCAAGGCACTCCTTCTCGACGAACCCAATCTTCTCGACGACCCTGTGACGTTTGCTGGCTGGGTCATGGCCGAAGACTCTCCTTTCGCAGAACTCCTGTACGGACTAGATGATGAGCCATTAGGGTGTAAGAAGGTCGCTACTTACAAAATCACGGTCAGATATCTCAGTTGGGCTTTTACTTCTTATCTTTCAGGCGAAGACCCGCACATTTTCCGAAGAAAGGTCCTAGGATTTCCCGTCGTTGCCCCGTCTTATTTTGTAGACCTCCTAGAAGCTCACGATCCACGAACATTGGCTATTACCGGACACTTCTTTGGCCTCAGCACGCTTTTGAACGACATCTGGTGGTTTCAGGGCGTCGCTGACAGAGAGATTCCTGGCATGTTCAGTCTCATGCCTCCGGAATGGACATGGGCCATGTCGTGGCCACTTCAACAGATCAACAAGACTCCGAAAACGATACAGCATCAAGCAAGCGGCCACTATGTCAGTTTAGAACCACTAGTCGTCCCAAACAAACCAAAAACGTTGATTGTGGGCTGCTTTTGACTCCGGCAAAACAGGCTTTCATGCCGTGCTGTATAGCCTATCTGTACGAGATCAAAAAGCATTAGTACCCGAAAAAGCAGGGTCCTAGTAACAAAGCTGGAGCCAACGAGTCAAGCTCGCGTTTGGCACCTGATTGAGTTCGCGTTGAGCTCGGGCCATTTCGCTTGTGTTCGCATTGGAGTGGCACGAGTGAGTATGTGCTACTACCTTTGTATGGCTTACACCGCTATATAATCCATAGCCTTCCGCTTTCTTCAGCTCTCAATTCCGATCAACTCGCTTCGCCAAGTCACCAACTCATCCTCACAAATGAGCAAGATGTCTTCTCATCCACTTCGCCTACCTTACGATCCAGAGTTGCAAGCGGTACTGAATGGAATGAGTTTTACGCCAACTATCACACTAGACGACATCCCCCGAGTCCGGAAAGTCACGTGCCCTACAGCTAGCCAGGCTCTCGCCGGACAAGCTGTCGAACACGAAGAACACGTCATCGCTAGCCCTGAGGGCAACCTGGTGGTATCCATCTTCAGTCCATCCACCGCGTCAAAGGCAGACGTGGAAGTGCCGCATACAGACAAGGTTTTACGTCCAGGTATGTACTACATACATGGATGTGGAATGTTTACTGGATCACGGTTCCTCGGTGTACAAATGGTCCTTGATTGGATTGTAAAACTAGGCGTCAACTGTGTGGCGATTGAATATCGCCTGCCACCGGAACATCCATATCCAGCTCCTGTTGACGACTGCTATGGTGGCTTGTTATAGATGTCGACACATGCGACTGAGCTTGGGATTGATCCAGATAACATAAGCATTGCGAGTACATCTGCAGGGGGTGGTTTGGCGGCCGGAACTGCTCTGCTAGCCCGCGACCGAGGTGGGCCAGCATTGCGAGCTCAGATTCTCGAATGTCCGATGCTAGATGACCGCAACAACACATTCTCAGCGAAGCAATTTGCTACGGGAGGCACATGGAGTCAAGGAAGCAATGCAACGGGTTGGTCTTGTTTACTAGGTGGAAAGGGCAATGAAGATGATGTGAGCATATGCGCCGCTCCATCTCGAGCAACTGATCTATCCCGACTACCTCCTACCTTCATCTCTGTGGGCTCTGCAGAGATCTTCCGAGAGAGGCTTTCGCGTATGCTTCAACCCTCTGGAAAAGTGGTGTTCAGGCCGAAGTGCATGTCTGGGCTGGGGGATTCCATGGCTTTATGGAGTTGGCGCCAACTACAGCCGTCTCTATCGCTTCTCGCGAGGCTAGGACAGCATGGGTGCAGCGTACGCTTTGCTCGAACATTAACACATAACAGTCCCAAAAATATCACAAGACAGACTCTCGAAGGGCAATATCGTATCTAAGCAGTTCCTCATCAAACTAGAACTACTGTTAGTCTCTCCCAATTTCTGCCATTCAGACCTCCAAGCCCTATCTTTGCCGTATTGGTGCTCTCGGTACACTTCGGCACGGTGTTCTTCCACGGGCCGCCACCTTGGCATTGCACCTCAGCGTTAGAGAGAGTAAACTCCGAGGAGGTTGCATACTATTCGTCAACGAATCTATAGTGAAATTAATGACTGGACCCTACACGCTTGAGCTGGGATTTAGAATAGCCCATGTGGCACTTGCTGTATCGGTGATCAAAAATGCACCTCACTTGCCTCTGCGGCTTTCCTCCATCCACTAGCACTTGGAACACTATTAACCTGTGTGCGGCAGCCATGTCCTTCAATTTAAGAAGTCGGCCTGGCCCGACCCGAGATCTGCCACCAACTGAAAAGGTGGAGGTTGGTGCAGAAATCTCACGCTTCTAATTCCCAACTTGGGGCCATTCCTAGTACACAATGCTCGTCGCCCCTGATTTCAATATTCAATTCCCGGCCACTCCTTCTTGCTCCCCAACATCCCAAAATACTGCCACGCGTCTTTCTGGCCCCAGCACCATGCGAAGCCCTTGCGCTGAGGGCAGCGTCGCTGATCCCCTTCATGGCACCCTCACACACGCCCTTCAAAAAGACAACTTAGACTGCGGGGCTGTATGTTGGATCCGCTGCTCGGCGACAAGATCTATCCGTGCAGACCTGCTCAGCTGCTGGGATTCGCCCACGATCGCCGGTCTGCTTTCCTTGGTTGTTGCCCGTTTGGTATTACGCTTAAGGCAGATTTCCTTGCAATCATGCTTGAAGGGATGCAGTTCTTGCAACACGGACCCCATGCAACATGGTGTGAGCCAACCATCACTACGGAATATAGCCGCCGAGGAGACCGTGGCGGATCAACCTTATAGTCCCTGCCCTGTCCTTCTCTTGCAATCCTTTGCGCAATCTCGTTCACCATATGAGGATATGAATAGAACTGTCCGCTGAAGGATGAATGTAAGTTGCTATCATCATTGTGTCTACCGCGCCATGATTATAGCTGCTAACGCGTCTCTAGAAAGGTCAAGAGGGCTTAGAGGTCTATCATCCTGAGGCAGGCCTCGAGGTTGTGCCGGGGCAAGACCAGAAATGGGCACATCATTATCAGGATCCAACTCATGGTGGACAAAGCTATCAAGAGCATCAAGACCAACCTTTGCCCCAGACTGTCCTCCATGAACCACCACTATATTCTGAAAATGAGAAAGAAGTAACACGTGGGCCTAAGAGCAAGTCCCCATTGCGGTCGAAATGGAAACTTTGGCTCGCCATTGCGGTGACTCTCCTGGTTGTCATCGCAGCTGTACTCGGAGGAGTGCTTGGGACAACCCTACATCACAAGAAGAAGAATTACTCTAGCAAAGCTTCTAGCACCGCAAGTGCGACTGCATCTCTTGCTGCTCCAACTTCAACGGCATCACCAACAAGCGGACCGCCTGGAATACGAGCAAAATCACCGCTCTCGGTTACGGGATGGCTTTCTGGCAACGATTACTCCATCCGCGTCGTCTTCCAGAGCGATGATGATATGGTCCAGTACTTAGCATATGATTCCGAGAGCCAGGCTTGGAAGCAAACATCGAACATAACTAAAGCGAAGGCGGGATCGTCATTAGCTCTAACATCGTTCGAAACAACATGGTATGGAACTCTAACACCTCAAACGCAGTTCAACCAAGTGGAGCTATTTTTCCTCGACTCTGAAAGTGAGTCACTAGTCGTCTTAGAACAGAGACTATTCTCAAGCTAATCGTTATAGATCACCTTAACGAATGGAGCTGGAACCCAACCGCCAGCACTTTAGGAACTAGCGGCAGCTTAACGCCTTACACGATCCCAACAGGATCTGACTCCCATCTCACATCATATTGGCCTTTCATTGTTTACCAAGACGCTGGGTTAAACCTCCACGAGGTCGTGTACGACTGTAGATTTCCTGGCTGCTGGTTTAACCGAACAATGAACGAAACTGCGTACGACGGCGCCGACATCGTAATCGTCCCCGCGCAGCAGAATCTGAGGGAAATGAATATCATCTACCAGGAGGGCGACCAGAAGCTAATGAGCATGGGCCGCAACTCCACCACGGGGGATCTCAGCACGGGTAAGCACCTTCACTCCGCATCAGCACCCGCAACCATTTGCAAGCGAACTATCTAAGCTGATATCTCCCAGCCGCCGCCTTCAGCATCGACCTTCCCGCCACCGCCTCTTTCGCCGCCCTGACCGTCGTGCGCCCTTCCTCTGATAACACCGTGCTAAACACTTACATCCTGTACCAAGACAGCACCGGCACGATCCAGGTAGTCTGGAATGACGATGCGTCGAGCTGGAAAGGACCGGCGACGTTCCCGGCCTTCAACGACGCAGACAACGGCACCAGTATTGCGTGCTTGACGCAATCCGCCTTTTTCACGGATACGCCGCTACAGTCGAATAGTCCATTAAGCAGGTGCTACTTCCAGGTTAAGGGAGCATTGACAGAGGTGAGGTTAAATGGGTCGGATTGGGAAATCGTAGGAGCGGTCGATGTTGTGCCGTAATCTCTGGAATTCTTGCGTATCAACAGGGACGGTTCGCGGTCTTGTAATATGGCAACATTTGGGGAAAGGACAGATGAGGTCTGGAATATAGGATCACTTGCTAGTGCAGTTACAGGCGAGGTCAAGCTGTTTTGGACTTCCCTGCTAAGGAGACTTTTCTTTTGATGTACTCATTGGAAAATTTTGCTACGTAAAAGATTTCAAATGATATATCGGTTTACTTACAGGCCCTTGCAATCCGCGAGCTGATCGCTTCACTCCGTCTAATTCTCCGTGGAAAACGATATCCCTTTTCCTAAACAATTAAGCTAGCACGCATTTGCGAGACACCCCTCTAACAAGCTGGATATTATTTGATATCGCAAGCAATTGGCAACGGAGTTTCCGCCTCTCCTCATACACGGATCTTCATCTCTCTTGCTAAGCACTTCGGTTGGTCCTCGCTTTCTCTCCCCTCACTCTACCCTCATCGCAGCGCACCTTTCATTTATTTGAGGTAGATGGATAGAGCTTTGTAGTTTCAGCGATTATTGCAGGTACGTACCCCCTCAACCTCCCAGCCCTAACCGGCCTCTTGCTTCTTCTTCTTCAATTCCATGGGATAGATGCAGGCAGCTCCTAGCTCCTAGCGTCAAGGTATATTTTCATATCTACAGGCGCTTTAATTGGAAAGCTTTTGAATAGAAAGGTTGACACCCGTAAATCACTTAAAGCACCCAGAAGGTGGCTAGAAAGCCCTGCCTCTACATTCCACACATACCAATCCATTTGCTACAACCTTAAGCTACGCCTGGAGTCCACACTCTAGAATTTCATATCATTTCAAGCTGCGTTTACTATAGTTTGCCACTACTAGGGTTGCTCTTATAAGTCTCACTGAAACGTCGCCCTGGGCCGTCTGAATCCGGGTCTAGCTTTTGGCATAGCGTAGGGAGTTTCCAAAAGGCTGCAACAGCACCAAGAAGGCAGAGAACTGAACCGTTGGGAAGGCTTGAATATGTATATACAGCGTCACCCACCTTTCGCACCAAGCAGTCTCGCCCAACGGACAATGTCTTCGTTGAAATCACCAGCCCAAATCCCCTTCACTCCCCTAACTCGTCCCCGTGCACCCAACAAAATCATTATCGCTCGCCCCCGTATGCGTAATCTCGCCCGCAAGATCACCATCAGTGTTGAACACAATCCTATCCGCGCCGGGAGAACCTTCAAAAACGTCAGCCCACGCTCTCAAACCCGTTCGCCCATCCCACGGTATCCACAAAGCCCACCAACAACGTAACTGAGAAGCACTCACCGCCCGAGTAAACCCCACTCTCCAAAATCGGGAACTCATAATACGGCCCACTCACACCCCCGAAATCAAAACCCTCGTAGTCATTGTACTTCTCCGGGTACTTCGAGCTGCCCGCCTTGTCGCCGGACTCGTAGTAGTTATACCCCGCGCTCAGCGCTTCGTTGATTTGGCTGCTTGTGTAGCAGTTGCTCCCGCACGTAGTAGCACAAGCGCGGGGGATCAGCGGGAGAGGTTTTGCAGGGAGGGCGAGGGAAAGGTGGATCAAGAAGAAAGGGAGAAGGAGGTCGAGGGGACGCATTTTGGAGTTTGGACGAAAGATTGCGCTGGGGATCGTGCTGGAGGATCGAAGGACCGGATTGGTGAGCTGTGTATGGATTGTGAGTGCTGAAGGGGGAACGTCCGCTGGTGATCATGGGGATTTTATATCCAGAAGTCGTCGGTGGACTCCGCGGTGAGGATACTGGATGGGAAGTTGGGATATGCTTTCCCAGCATTCCAATCCACGATATCGGCATTTGTGCCCCGCATTCTGAGCCATCTGCTAACTTTCTAGCCTCTGGTTGGTCCGAGACGTTGCGTCTGGTGCGGAGATAGATATATCGTGAGATGGAATGGGAAGGTCGCGGTTGATAGGCTGGCGTTGCATGGGGTACCTGTAGGAACAATGGCCGAAACGGAAGGTAAGATCGAGATACCCGGAGAGCTGACCTATCCTGCATACGCGTGCTGTGTTCTAGTGGTCGGCGATGGTTGGTTTGGTGTTGATGAAAGGGCTCGGGAGAAGTGCCGGGAGCTAACGGCTTTGAGAAGGTGAGTAGATCGGACCCTGGATTGAATCGTCGGGCGACAGGACACTTTGGATTTATTAAACTTTTATGCGAGACCTTAAAAAGTCCCTAATTGGAGTAAGTAAGAATGATTCGATGTCGCTACCACGAAAAGGGCATGTTGCTCGATATACGATCCTATCCACGCTAGTAAGTGTCTTAAGAGACCAATGCTCTAGCAGCTAGGCTCCAGTTTGTCCACTTCTTGTACATTATTTGACTGTAACATTTCATTCAGTATAACGTGGTATCCTTTAGCTAGCATCGAGGCCTGAAGACTCATCTCTGAGATACGTAGACGTATCAGACCGCCATGCTTTTTCCGTGAACCAAGCGGCCTCCAGCACTCCATGAACTCCATTAAATGCAACAACATGCCAAGTCCGACTCAATTCCGCTTGGCTCTCCTGTTCTTGCCTAGCCTCTTACTTGCGCCAGTCTTGCTGATTTTGTCTTTGTCCTCACGCATGCGCTTGTTGGAGAATCCACTCATGTCAGCGCTCGATTTTGCGTCGTTGCTCTTGGCGAATCGTTTCTTGCCACCGAAACCATGTTTCTCGTCCTTCTTTTGTCGTTTAGGGTTTGGTCTGCCGTCTTTCGAATCTTTGCGTTCCGACCTTGACGGCTTGGCAGCATCGTCGAGGGTAACATCGAACAGATCTTCTTCGTTCGTCTTGGTAAGATCTTGGCCTTGACGCTCTGTATGGATGTCAGTATATAGTGTTGACTAGAGAAAGTGAAATAACGAAGACACGTACTTCGCTTCAACAAACTGATTTTGTCCAAAGTCTCCCTCTTCGCTTTATCTCTCTCCTGTAATTTCGCAATCTGCACCTGCTTGCCGAACTTCTTGAGGTCGCGCTGTCTCCTCGCGTCCGCGGAAGCCTTCTTACTTGCAGCCGAGTCTATCAGCTTCTGCTTGATCTTGCCCATATGCTCGTCACTCTTCACCATCTCCGCGAAATAGTCCACAGGCCGAGAGAACGCTGCTCCTTCTTTCTTAAGCAGCTTCCGAGCTTCTGTCACCGCGGATAGCGACTGCTTGTAGAATGCCAATTCTCGGTTGAGGTCGTCTTCAACGTCGGTAATTTCGACAGGTTCGGATGTAGTGACAGATTGATGTTCGGAGAACTCCATCTTCGAGAGAGGGAGTTGTATGCGGTGGAGAGCGGCGGTGAGGGCAGTTGTGTTGTTTATCGTAAGACGTTGGTGGGGTATGATGTCGCCTCTATCTTCAGAAGCTAGTGACTCGATATCGGAAAGGGCTATGTCGTCTTCTTCGTCTTCTTCAGCCTCGTCTCCCTCTTCGGGGTCCTCTTCGTCCGCTTCTGACTCGCTTTCGGAGGTATCGTCGATGTCGTCCAGACGTGAAGTGTCAAACTACAAATCGCATAGTCAGTATTCGTAATGCTATGCAAGTACAGCTTGACTTCGTACCACTCCTCGCACCGGCATATCATCCTCGTCATCACTCCCCTCTTCCTCGTCCTCTTCAGTCTCCCAGTGCTCTTCATCGTCTGTAGGCTTTGCGGCGCCATTCGTCTTGCTTTTCTTTAAGCTGCTCTTCTTCAAGCTACTCTTCTTCACCGCCTTTCCGTTGAGCTCCGATTGAATATCCGCTTCGCCATTTGTGCCTAACAAGACTCCACCGTCATCCTCATCCTCACCGTCACCCTTCGGTCCCTCCCGTGCAAGCTTTCGTTTCCGAGCCTCTTTCTCTTGCTTTCTTTGCTTCTCAAGCTTGAGATCGCGGCCCTTGTAGCGGTCCAATGCACCGAGTAGCTTGCTCTTAGCCATTATGCCAGTTTTTCTGGGGTTCAGTATGCGAAATGTCGAGGTCGAGTATTTTCGATATTGGTGGAGTAGTTTGCGCAAAGCTCGAGATTTTTGTCGACGCTAAGCTCACCGCCTGGCAAGACGGCGCCTAGCGCAGAATTTATGTGGACCTTCCCGGCCACTTGCATGATATGCTACCAACAACAACAAGGGATACCAAACAATCTGCAAGTTGTTGGAGCTGTTTCTTGTGCACGGTAAAAAAGGTCCAGAATACCGCTTCGAGGATGTCAAAACGCCCAGAAATTGGGACGTTGGACGGCGCGGTAGGTCTTCATTCACTCTTCATGTCGGATCTACAAGCTGGATAGCTATCCCTCTATTCTCTTCGAGTTTCATAAGACTTTTATAAGACTCTCATACTGACAGTAAATAGCCCGCTGGTGAAACACCTTCTGGGGAGCTTACCGCCGTTGTGGACGAGCTACTCGGACAACTATCAAACAAGTTTTCTACCATCTCAAGCGAACTGCTTTCTAAGAGTAAGAGGACCTTCTGCTTCTTTCTAACCGCCCTCAACTTCCGGTTTTCTATCCATCCGTTCGGAAATCTGACTTCCTCTAGTGGACGATATGTCCCGAAGGCTTGACAACCTTGAAGCAACGATACAAGCCGGGGAAACGCCAAAGGGAGACGGATCTAGCAAATAGAGTTTCTTTCCTCACTTTGCGATTATGTTAGGTTCTGAGCAGGGAAAACTATTCAGGCTTTCAAACGGTAGCGATGTCACGTCAAGCACAGGAGTGTTATGGAGCTTTCAACGGCTGGTATTGGGTTCTTGGAGTTCCTTGGAGTTCGTAATTTGGGTACTATCAGGTTGGCAAAGCGCTGGTTATGAAGTCACATCACATGCCACTCTAGTACATAGTTTGTGTAAATCACGCAGCCCTAAAGCAATATTATATCAAGCCAGACTTAGGCAACCTCTCCAGAACGCCCTCCAGATATCTTTTGTAGAGTTACAAAGGCCTTCGGTACAACAGTCTAAGCAGTCACCCCGCCATGCAGCAGTCCGTTGTCTCCCTGTAATAATATCCAACCGTAACGTCATATTTGCAATCCTCTACAACTCGCTCTTCTCCTGCTTGCCCAAGAACCGCCTGAGAATGTTGCTGCGGCTGGTCAAGTCATCAACCTTCTCCGGAGCAAGGCTGCCCTTCTTGAGCAGACCTTCTAGGCGCTTAAGCTCCTTCTCGACGTATCCCTTGTTGGCGTCGACCTTCTGGAATACCTTGACGTAGTATTCGGCATACTTATCCTGCAATCCCTGTGCCGCCTTCTTGATCTCCTCGAGACCATCGCCATAGGCGCCATAGAACTTCTCGGCAATGGTGTCGAGTGCCTCAATGGTGCCACCAGTGGCATCCAGGCCGCCACCCACGGCGCGGTGCGTACCAGCCTTCTCGTTGATGTAGGCAACGAAGTCCTTCTCGTTGCGGCCTCCCTCGTATGGAACGGCCTCGGTGGAGCCCTTGGGGAAGAACTTGATTGTGGGGTAGGATGAGACGCCCTGATCTCCAGCGGTCTTCTTGGCGTTCGGTGCTTCGGCGTCAACTTTGGCGATTAAGACTGTAGGCTCGGCGACGAAGTCAGTGGCGAGGGATTCCCAGGTTGGAGCAAGAGTCTTGCAGTCTGCAAAAGGCTTTGTTAGATTTTGAAAGGACTCATGACATTGAGATCCAAGGACAAAAACTTACGTCCACACCATGGCGCCGTGAATGCTACGAGAACATCTTGATCCTTGCCAATCTTCTCCTCGAAGCTCTTATCATCCAGCATAACCACAGAGCTGGCAACCTTGCCCTTGCCCTTGACCTTAGGCTTCAGGCCGGTCTTGTCCGTGATCCATTTGCTCAAGCTCTCCAAGTCCCGGCCTCCACTGTATTCCGAAGGAGTATCACTCTTGCCATCAAACCACTTAAGGGTGGGGAAGCCCTGGACTTTGAATTGCTTCCCAAGCGATTTGTGCTCGTCCGCATCAACCTTGCCAATGACTACCTTATCTGATGCGTATGCAAAAGCCGAGGCTAGTTCTTCGTACACCGGAGCAAGGTTCTTACAGTGGCCGCACCAGGGAGCAAAGAACTCGACCAACGCGGGCTTGCCTGACTTTAGGACCACACTGTCGAAGTTGCTTGGGATAAGGTCGATGACGGAGGAGGATGCGGCGACGGTGGAGGATGTAAGGAGCGCAAACGCCGGGAGGAGGAGATTGAGAAGCATAACGGGTAGTATTCGGCGTTCTCGTATATACTGGGGGTTGGTGGTGTATTTGAACAGCTTTATATGAAGTGTGGGGGTTGTTCTTTGAGCCTCGTTCGCCGCTTTGAAGTGGCTCGATTAATCAGCCCGATGTGGAAACGTTGCAGCTTCTCCGGCGCCTATAAAGTTTCACCTTTCTTCTGGCTCAGCCTCTAGATTATCAATCTGGATTCAGGGGTGTCAAGACACGTATACTAATCGTGCGGAGCTTACATGTATCTGCTTTTCGATCTGAAATCAACTATGGGTGCATCGATGCTTGCGGCGGTCAATGCGAGGTTAAATCCATTCATCACAGACTCAACCCCTTGCAAAGCGGGGAGTATCAGAGCATTGCTTCATCAAATGATACCGAGGATTCACCAAAATCTATAGAATCAGACTTCACAATTCACTACGAATTATGTAGAATAGTCCACACCTATTTCGGACTGGAACCCGTTCAACACTTCAGAGAGGATTCCGTACTTTACTTTCTTTACATTATTCATGAGTACCCTCATCATCGATAGACTGGGCCAACGTAGCCTTCATGGACTAGAAGTCTATGTGCTAAGCAGGAAGAGCAAGCTCGCCGCAGTTAAGATGTCTGCGAAAATACTCTCATATCTTCTGTTCACTGATTGTCCAATCTCTAAATAACTAGACATCCACTCCTAGAGCATATTAATTGGCCCCTTGGATACGTCATGAATAGTGGGCTTGATAGACTCGACGAAGAAAGAACTGGCCCGCGCCGCCAATCTCCTCTTCGACATGGGTCTCGTTGGTCTGTACCGCCAGCCGTTGGTCTGTACCGCGTGCTCATGATGCGCAAGCATGCAGTTCTTTTCAAGTGATGGGGTATAGCGAAAAGGCGGACTCCATACATGACAAATAGCACGAAGGCTTTCCACAGATGGAGAGGCACCGTATATCGCCCATGCATTGGACTCGGAAGAAATCCAGAGCGAAATGCTAGGAGCATAGAGTGTATGTGCCTCTAAGTTTCATATTGTTAACATTCCGGAAGAAGAAATCATCGAATTGTCGATCTTGACGGGATTGCAGAAGGTACGCGACTGATGACGGAACTCGGTGCACGACCACAAGGGAATGATGGTGAGTGATCAATATGAAGTAGGAAAAGAACTGATCAGGAGGGCGAAGGATGAGACGATTCCGAGAAGTGCGAACACTTCAGAAGCGAGAAAAGAGTGGGAGAGGTTGTGGCCTTTCGATCACTGATTGGGATAAGCATTACCTTTGCCGAATGATAAATTGCTATATCTTTCCGGCTTGGTATACCACCTTCGAAATATCTTAGAGTTTGCATTAGAACACGACGCGTAAGCTTTGCAAGTCTGCCTTGCGAAAAAGGCTGTGTCCTCTGCTCAGGGCTGATTCGTGAGGTTGAGAGACGTGGCGGCGCTTAAGGTAGAGAATTGCAGGACTGCCGTTTCTGCCTAGACACAGCCCTCCCGCATATTCGATTCTTTGCCCCATAGTACTCAGCCATGTTGTTCTTTGTACATATTTACCTTTGAGTCAGATACGCTTTGTCTTTTCTACAAAGTGTTGACATGTTATGTTCGAGCGCGTGGTAAGTACATAAAGCTGAGTGTGTTAAGACCGCGATAGCTCAGTATCTTTCCTCCATTTTCCACCAGATCTCGAATCAAATCTACGAGGCACTTGAAACAATTTGTGACAGTCACCATCTAATCAAAAGAATCCTATCGCAATGTAGAATGCTGGCTAAGACCTCCAATTCGAACGAAGCGCACTAAGGTTAATCCTAGCTATCACCAGTACTTTAAAAGTGCGTTTATCTGCGATCAATCCTTCCAATACCAACACTTCCATTCGCAATGTCTGACGACGAAAGCACCAAACGGGATTTAGAGACTGCAGAGCTCCACTACAAGCAGTACCATGCTCCCTCTCCACCAGCGCATGCTTCGAAGAAGGTCGACTCATTGGAAATCAAATACGTTGGTGGCGGTCTCGGTACTCTTGTTGCCCAAGAGGCTGACGACTACCCTCCTTATCTTGACGACCTCGAGGACGTCAAGTGCGGGTCCGCCCCCCGTACTCTCGGTGCACAGTTTCGTTCCGTTGCCCAACGCCTCCACCAATACCCCACAACCCCAGTAGATGATCAAGAGCCTCAGAGAACCAGCCCGCGGTAGCGCTTCGTTCTTGAGGAATCAGAGCAGGGGCTCACAAACTGGGAGCATCAACTTCGCCAATCCGTGGCACTGCAAAATCCATCGCTGCCCCGTCAGCGTGGACGCTCCCCAATCCGTTCGCCGAGTTATGGTATGTCTGGGGTTAAACCTCTTCCACCTTTCTCATCTAATTCATAGAGCTTCACCAATCTAAAATCTAGACCGCGACTCAAGTAACGAGTCCTATGACTCTGCTCGTGAAAGGCTGTCCTCTTCTTCTACTGGCGACAGCAGCTACTCTAGCGATATTAGCAATATTTTCTACACGCCTGGTCAGTCCCCTAGCCTCGAGCCGTCACACTTCAGCTTCCAGAGTAGAAATCTCACGCATGTTGATGATGGTCTCCTTCCGGAACCTCGAGCCTTACAACACCCGTATCCGTTTGATGCGTATGCTCCCTGTGACCTTATACCCGAGGAGCTGCAGCATTTTTCTTCGGCTTTCTCAGAATATCACCGTCACCATCCCTTTACATACTCTTCGCACTATACACACGCTGCGAATGCAATCAAGAAGGAGTTTTTAAGGCCGTCTATCATTCCAGACCAGCGCACAACACATGATCACTCGGAGAATGATAGACGGGAAACGGACCTTAATCTTGGTAGTCCGAGACCGGAACAGTTGTCTTCGGAGCGTCGGGGAGCTGCTTTTCCCCACGAATCATGTGCTCAAGTTGACAGCAATGATCATTCAATCCGCCCAGCGATCAGGAAAATGGCCTCCATGCCGGATGCCCTGAGAAGCACAAGTTGTCGTAGAAGTACCGTAAGCTCAGAGAATCTAGGAGCGGATGACGTTAGATATCCCAAATATCCTCTGCGTCGTACTCTATCCTTGCAATTACCCCAAACGCTTTCAGTTGACGCAAAGGTGCTGGGGGGTGCAGAACTCTCGATCCCCCAAGCATCTGCCTCGGAAGCAGCCCAGATACCGTTGCCCGACACATCTCTGCGAAAAAGCCGAAAACTACTGGAACCACCTGAAACTTCCGAGCATTCTAATGCTGCATCCACTTGTCCATCACCGTCGTTTGAAGTCGACTGTGGCGATTTGGTAACTCCTTTAGCTGAAAAATCGTCGGGGAATTCTATATATACGACAGATCAATGAGGGTTATCACGCCACCTCCTCGAGGCGGTTTGAAACGGCTAGTGTGGGAATGTGTAAGATGCAATCGAGTGACGTACGTGGAGTATATCTGTTGACTGAGTCAATGTAGAGCTGCGAAGAAAGTCTGTTTGGTGAGTACGAGGACGATAACGCATATGTATTCTCAGAAATTCTCCATCGCTACGGAGATCAACTGCCGGCTTCTATTACTGTTGGCACTGAGTTTGATAGAGAAGTTTCGCTAGGTTCACAATCCCAAGATTCCAGCGAAGATTCCACGCAGTTGACCGAAAACGCGACAAACTCGGAGCCCAGCAGCTCAAACAATTCAGCAGCATCTTCTGTTACATCTCGGAGCGATCAGGATAACGAAAGATCAATTGATCGTCTCCCATTGCGACCCATGTTCTTCGAGCTCTGCGTCAACACGAGTCTTCTCAATATTGTTCTGTGTGAGATCTCGTTAATCAGAATCGACCCTACTAGCGGCCAGCTCAAGCACGAGGTAGATACTGATGGCGAGCTCTTCGCGAAGATCTACGAAAGCTACTACAACATTCGAAAGCAATGGTGGTTTCCAATCATGTTCAGACCGACGAACATCAAATTCGTTCATTTCCACCTCTACGAAGGCCATCGCGTAGGCATATTCGATAACTCGCCGGACTCAATCCCGCCAGAGTGCGAAGTCGTTGCCCAACGATATCATTATCACGAATGCCCTCTGTATCCTCTTCCACCAATGGACTACCGCTCATTCCTGCACTTTTTCGGATCACAAGGAAAGCATACGCACTCGAAATGCAATCTATGGCTGGATCGGCTTCCGAAAAAGGTCGGTAATAGCATAAAGGTGCAGCATGATCCAAACGTGTTACAGCTTGGGTGGGGTGTGCACATCGTTGAGGGTCCGAATTGGCTTGTTATCTCTTGGACTATGTTCGGGCTCTTGCTTGTGAGCTTTCTTGTGTCACTCATCTATGCTCTGGCAGCGAAATCGCAAGAAAGCGGATTCGGCATTGGACAGTGGATTGTTGGCGTGCTGAGTCTCATGGCTGCTGGACTCACCGCGGTTTGTCTACAGCTACGGGAACTTTGATACCGCTTTCATGAGACTTGCGATGGAGAAAATGCCCTCAACTCCTTCCAGGATTTTGCTTTTTGAAGCATTGCTTCTGTTCCTTTTTGATGATCATCATCACAGCGAGACAGCACTCCACTTCGGAATGTCTCGGGCGGCGCCTTTATCAATCAAATGAGCTATTCGATGCCGCAAGACCTCGTTTCCCCGCGATTATCGCCGCTGACGTAACGAAGAACGACACGCGGCGCGAGTCGGTGAGCCTCCAGCTCGGTATCGATCACACGGTGCGAAGATATCCCGGGTGAGAGCGGAAAGTCCTGACGTGGCTTCAATTCACCGCATTGGGCTGACAGCTCTCCTCCGCCCGGCCCCGGGGCTCCGAGGCCACCTACCTATATAGGCACTCCGCCCAACCACACTGACACGACAGAAACAATCCACCTGGCATATTTGATCAAAGCATTCGAATCACTCCTGAACATGGAGCAAGGCAATCGTGGACGCGGCAGCACTAGTGTGCAGCAGCGTTGGATGGCAGCGCATGGGAGGAAGGGCGGAGGGGGTGCCACTGGGTCTGGCAATGTCAATAGGCGTGGGCGTGGGCCTGGTCATGTCAATAGATCTTGCAGTGTGGTCGATGGACAGTGGGCCGGTGCGCCTGAGGATACGGTTTCTGAACCTACCATGAATGAGAAAGAAGTGTATGGTGACGATGACTATGGAGACGACAGACATGACGATAGTAGATATGAGCAGAGCTTGTATGAACAGTATGGAGAACAGTATGGAGAACAATATGGAGATGGATATGAGGGAGATGGATCCGATGAGTCCTCGGCCACGAGCTCTCTTACATATGGCAGCCCAGTCGCCAAACACGTATCTCCTGGTCGACACCGGATCAGCGCCGAAGAGTGAGTCGATATTATCCTGCAACAAGCAATCAGAACTGACATCATTGTAGCCCGAAAGCATCAAATTCGGATCGCTTTAGGAGTCGCGGACATCAATACGCCGAACAAACCTACCAGCACCTACCCGTCTCGGGTGCCAACCCCAGATCCCGGAAACGTCAACGAAGTCATTATGGAGGGATTCAAGATGAGAATGAACCAGATGCTGCGGTCGTTGGCCACATGTTCTCTAGCATGGTGAAAATCATCGAGAAGACGTCCAGCTTTGAGCGCAAGCTCCAGGAGATGGTCAAAGATGCGAGGAGCCTGTCCACTGAAGCTTCCGATGCGTGTGAAGTCCTGATGTCTTCCCACTCGTTTCCATCGCAAGTCAACGCTCAAGAAGTTCGGATCCTCATGGACTTCCGTCATGAAGCTGGGAGGCGGGAGGACGCTGATCGCGAACACACACCAGCTAATCCATCGAAGCGAAGATTCACTCGCCCTGCACCGCGATCTTCTCGTGTGTTGCACTCAAGTACGAGATACTCGCCTTCACACAGATTTCAGGATTCTGTGGTCCCAGAGCAGTCATCATCGGCGTCGTACCGTACTCATGATGGGTCCGATGGCTACACCAGCGGCATTACCGCTACCATCGGCGAACAATCGCAGCGCATCGAAGGCGCACCAGTGGCTCAAAATACGCCAAACGACGAACAATCGCAGTGCATCGAAGAGACACCAGTGGCTCAAACTACGCAGAACGACGAAGTCGACCTCTCCCACATTGCGGAATACAACCAAGATGGAACACCTCCTCCCTTTAAGCGCGCTAGCTCCGACAACCCTCAGCATATGTACTCTCCGTGCACGAACTGCGTTCTTGCAGAGCTTCCCTGCGACGGCACATCCGGCACCGTTTGCAGCGCCTGCGTGAAGGACTGCCCCACCTCGCTCTGCATATATGAGCCTGACGACCGCAAACCCAAGTGGGCGATGTCGACGGTTGAGCTGCTCGCCATCACACCAAACCCTTTCCGCGAGCCTGTCGTCATCGGCGGCAAACGGTATCAGAAGACAGACGCAGAATGGGACGGAATGGCCAAAGCACGGAAGAGGAGGTTTCTCCACTGCCTGGACATCGAAGGTGCTGGCGGTGTGGATGCATCGCCGCCGTGTAGTGAATGTCGAAAGGAGGGGGTCAGATGTCGCGGTCCGGGTCCAGAAACTTCATATGGCAAATACAACAAGTTCACGCTCGCAAAAGGGAACGCGAAGTGTGCGAGGTGTTCCCTTTTCGGTAGAACGGTTTGCTCACTAATTGTGAAGAGCCCGGGGAAGTCCGTAGGACCATGTGGAGGCCCACTGAAACCGGGTGGTCCAGTGCAATCGTCGGCCTTGGATGAAGGGGCTAGCTCCCAGGAGCCGTTTACCTTTCCAGCGTTACCGGATGGAGCCGCGCTGTCTGAACAGTGGGCCCCGGAGTTGAGCTTCCTTGATACCTTTCTGTGAGAGTGATTTTTCAGTGCTTCATCAGTAGATGAGAGATGAGGGAGCTGGGACGAGACGGGACGGCAATGGGGTTGATACAACGGCTGTATGTGGAACTACTCAAGACCTTGCACCAAAGTCCAGAAGGATATCCCATGATGCGAATGGATCTTCATTCGGCTATAGATAGTCAATTGAAAACTTTAGGAAATTTACAAAGTGACCCTGAAAAGATGATAGAGGATACATAGTGAGGCGGGTTTTTTCGGTTGCAAGAGGAACACGCAAATGCATGATAAACGGAGGATTCAGAAAGGCCCACGCGGGGCATGAAAAAAGTGACACTCTACACGGGTGTGTGCGCGTGTATGCCACTGTTTGGGGTGCTTCAATGCATTTCCAGAAATCTAAACGGGGTAGAATCTCTTCACCCCGGGTTATGTGAAAACTCGCTGAAGCACTTCAAGCAGTATGAGACAGCGTGGTTGATGAGTGTCAACAGAAAGTGGCAGTCCACAAATCCATGAGGTATTACACACTCCCGTTGTTTCTATGCTTGTTCAGCACCGCTTGAAGTCCTCTAGTATGCTATTGTTATTCATGAAGACTAGCTTTGGGAAGCCTGATAGCTCTCTTGGCCACCCCAGACGGTGTTGAGCTGCTGAGTGTGCCACCTTTTTTATGCCCCGCGTAAGCCCATAGAGTTCCTTGGCATTACCTGAGCCGAAACGCGTGTTTGAGAGCTTTGACGTGCGCGTTGTGGCCTGAATCGTGAACAAAGAGATGAGATACTCTACCACATCGATGACATAACCATACCGTAACGCCGAAAAGACATGTAGGCACCTCCTTCTGTTATCACTCCGAAATCGCCTGACAATTCCATGACAAAAGCTTCGTAAAGGCGCCGATATCGACACGGGACGGATTCCGCGTGAGTGGCTGGGAGAGTGGGGATGGTGGTCTTGTTGTGAGCGCTTGGGCCGACACGTGACCACGCCAGACGCGTTCCTCAGCCCATAAATTCAGGCCCGTCTCCCAGCGTCTTTCACTCCGCCATCACAACACGACTTCTCTACCCGCCACCTATTCTTGACATCCTGGACAGTTCCTCTGTTAGCAATTGCACTTCGTTAACAGCTCGAACTCTTAATCAATCATGTCTACCCTGTCTACTCAGATTACTCCATCAAAGAAGGTACCGTCGCCACCACTATATCTTATAACGCGCCTATATTAACGCGACAACAGGCTGCTTCGGCAATCCAGTCCCTCAAGATGTCAGACTCGCCTGCGAAGAAGCTCGACTTCTCCTCGGATAACAAGGAAAATATTTTCGCGCCTATCGTCGGCATTCCCATCTTGGACGAGCCAGAAGTCGCGTCCGACAAACTCGCTGTGGCCCCAACCATCAAGCAAGAGGAAGCACACGAGCCGCTGCTACAAGAGAATCCCCAGCGCTTCGTGTTGTTCCCCATCAAGTACCATGAGGTGAGTTTACCTCGACACGTCGATTGGGACGCGTAAAGTGGGCCCAGTACCATGCAAGCATTGAGGCTGACCATTGGCCGAACCATAGATCTGGCAAATGTACAAGAAGGCCGAAGCTTCCTTCTGGACGGCCGAGGAAATTGATTTGTCCAAAGACCTTCACGACTGGAACAAGCGTCTGAACAACGACGAGCGCTTCTTCATCTCCCACGTCCTTGCCTTTTTTGCCGCTTCGGATGGCATTGTCAACGAAAACCTTGTTGAACGGTTCAGCGGCGAAGTCCAGGTGCCTGAGGCACGTTGCTTCTACGGGTTCCAAATCATGATGGAAAACATCCACTCGGAGACATACTCTTTGTTGATTGATACCTACATCAGCGAACCTAAGCAGCGCACCTATCTATTGAACGCCATTGATAACAGTAAGCAACGCGTTTCAATACTCTATGCAGTTTCAATACTCTACAGTTTCAATCTAACGCGTCTTCTAGTCCCCTGCGTCCGCAAGAAGGCTGATTGGGCTTTGAAGTGGATCTCGGACAAGAACTCCACCTTTGCTTCCCGACTCGTCGCGTTCGCCGCCGTCGAGGGTATCTTCTTCAGCGGCTCCTTTGCGTCGATATTCTGGCTCAAGAAGCGCGGTCTGATGCCCGGCCTCACATTCTCCAACGAACTCATCTCGCGTGATGAGGGTATGCACACCGACTTCGCCTGCCTCCTCTTCTCCCATCTCAACACACGACCGAGCCCCAAGGAAGTCGAAGCTATTATAACAGAGGCGGTCGCAATCGAGCAGGAGTTCCTCACGGACGCGCTCCCATGCGCCCTCTTGGGCATGAACGCGAAGCTCATGTGCCAATACATTGAGTTTGTCGCCGATCGTCTACTGTTGTCTCTCGGCAACCAGAAGACCTACAACGCGACAAACCCTTTCGACTTCATGGAGAACATCTCCCTAGCAGGCAAGACAAACTTCTTCGAGAAGCGCGTTGGTGACTACCAGAAGGCCGGCGTCATGGCCAGCACTAAGAAGCACGACAAGGATGGCGAGAGCAAAGAGGACGCGCCGGTAATGAGCGGTGACTTCGCCTTCGATGAGGACTTTTAGATGTGTCGATGATGATATCCCTTCCTTATTGTTCTATCTGCATGGCTGCTGGTTTGGCTTTCTATATTCTCGCGTCTATTCTGCATTACCGGAGTATGCTACAACATGTAGGAATACTGGAGGCTGCATTCTTGGGAAAGGGTGAATCTTCACTTACTCTCCTGTTATTTTGGCGTTCACGGTATGGTCGCCTTGGATAGGCGGATTGAATGGGCATGGCTTATGGGTATGGGGGATAATGATGCTCAGCTCAATTGGATTGATAATCTCAAGACTGAACTTTTGTATATGACTGTGATGCGGACTGGGTCGCTCCATAGAGTGGCGAGAATATATACCTACTTGTCAAGTACTATCAGTCCGGAATGTTTACGCGTTTTGAGTTTACCAAGCCTCAGTTCCTGAATGACTACTGGCTGGCGGCATGTTTTCGCGCGTGACGCCGCAGGTGGTCACCATTTGCTGGACCCAGAGCTCAGCTCAGCAGTGTAACTGTTCCCAAATGGCCCTCCCAACTCTTGTACCCGGACTCGTGTACTGTCTGCCAATATGGTGCTGGGTCGCGCCGGAAAAAGACACTTGGTCAAGGAGGCGAGTAGATGGCATGACGTCTTCGGACATCGAGCCTCGCAAGGCCGTCAGCAGCGAACAACATGCCAAGAACTTTCCCTAAACACTTCGCATCCCGATACACTTCGACCCACACCATCACTTACGCTGAAATCCTCAATTGCTTCTTTCTCGGTCGCTTTTCACCTAGCTGTATTGCTATCTGTCGTCGCAAGCCTCTTCCGCCGCGATCCGCTCTACCCACGCCGTCCTCCACTATAGTTGCCCGTCCCCAGGCATGTCCACGACCGCCGCACGATACCCATGAAGCTGGATAGGCCATGGCGGAAGTCCTTCCCAAGATCCGGGTGACCGACCCTCAGAGCAGAGAAGCCGCCGTGCAGAGTCCTGCATCGATAAAGTCGCCGAGCACCGAGGGTGACTCCGGGAGACTGTCTAAGCCGGTATCAAAGACTGAACGTACGTCGCATCTACAATCTGGAGCAGGATACTGGGTCGCAAAGGTCGATTGTGCTTGGTCGGAGGCTGATCAGATGAAAACAGGCCCAGTATCGAGCGGAAAGACGTCCCCAACGAAGCTGCGAACTGCTCCAGGAAGCCCTTCTTCCCAAACAAATGGACAAGGCGCGCAGAATGGAGGCAGCGGAGCGAAGCAGCAGTCAGAGGCAGCCATAGACCCACTCTCACAAGTGCGCTGGCATTGGAATCCTACTCTTCGGGCCCATAGCTGACCGGTGGACTTATCTGTATAGCATATCCTCAAGCGCACACATACTCAAGCTACGCTCCCTCAAATATTACGATCGCCTACGAATACTGAACATGGATCGGTCCAGTCTCCTACATTGGCTGGTAGCGAGACTTTTCCAAGTACAAAACACGCGGCAGACTCCGTAAGAGAGGTTCCAAATGCGCCAGCAAAAGAAAAGAAGTAAGCTACTGCTTTTCACTACATCTGGGAGGCGATAAGAAGTTGTTGTCACTGCAAGGGGGTCCTGTAATGCTCGCCTATTACTTTTTCACTTGTCATGTTTCCCTAAGCTAAAGATAGGCTGCTTATGGGTCTGTTTCTACTGTTGTAAAAATGGCATTGGTGATTGGTGTGCGAGTCGAACACTCAAAGCAGCAGGCCTAGGTGGTTGGGGGGCTGCATATAGAGTGCTGACAGTGCTGACGTGTGACCCGGGAAATAGGAAAGGTGTTTCATTCCTTAGCCGGTTCATTGGGAACAAAAAGAAAGGCACCCTCGACGGCCCTGGTGACGATGAATCGGAAACTGGCGAGCGTCCCGAAGGCATGGACGCGCAGCTCTTTTCCCAACCATTCGACAATCTGGGCTACTCTCCACGATATCCGCAACCACCTGCATACATAAAAGTCAGGACGAAATTCAAGAAAGAGAAGGAGTTCAATAGGCTGTTCCTGGCACAAGAGCTACGTTCAAAAAAGAATCCAGCTGACAAGAAGAAGTCAGTAGATGGGACGGGCGTTCCTCCAACTCCATCTGGCTCTGCGGCAAGTAACGACCCTGTTTGGGCGACTGAGTTTAGCAAGGATGGGAAGTATCTTGCTGCTGGTGGCCAAGACAGAATTGTCCGCGTGTGGGCGGTGATTTCAACGCCTGAAGAACGAAGGCGGCATGAGAAAGAGGAGGCAGAAGGGGAAGCCGCTGACGATCGACGGCAGCAGCTGACTGCGCCTGTCTTCCAGAGCGGAACGTTTCGAGAGTATCTAGGCCATACGGCAACGATACTCGACCTAAGTTGGAGTAAAGTAAGTTTGCTGCATTGGGAGCCTGTGCCCGACAAACTCCTCAATAGTCGGCGATTCCCAGAACGAGGCCCGTTGGGCCCTCTCAAGTCAGCGCTTGCTCCATATCCAGCACAATATGCTCCGCAGAAGGCATTGGCTTGCAATTAAAGAGATTGGTTTACCAGGACCCTCGTGTTTCCTACGAGTGGTCCGCCGGCGGACGCGGAGGGTTATCAGAATGTACCAGATTCATTGCAACTTCAAATCCATGACGCCGAGCTGTTGTGCTGCATGTTGAGTAAGAAGCGCAGATTTGAGAGCGGTCTACTGGCACAGCCTAAGGATATCAAGCTATTGCGGAGGACTTCCGAACTATCGCTTTCATTGCACCTACTCTTAAGCATACCCAACGCTAACGATGTCAGAATAACTTCCTTCTCTCGTCATCTATGGACAAAACGGTACGGTTGTGGCACATTAGCAGAAGCGAATGTCTTTGTACCTTCAAGCATACCGATTTCGTTCCGTCAATCCAATTTCATCCTCGAGATGACCGATTCTTTCTCGCAGGCTCTCTTGATACGAAATTACGACTATGGAGTATACCTGATAAAAGTGTGGCTTTCTGGAATCAATTGCCAGACATGATCACGGCCGTGTCTTTTACTCCGGATGGAAAGACATGCATTGCAGGTACTCTCAGCGGCCTTTGCATGTTCTACGAAACGGAAGGATTGAAATATCAAACCCAAATTCACGTCAAGTCAACTCATGGCAAGAATGCGAAAGGGAGCAAGATTACTGGTATTCAGACGATGAGCATACCCCCAGAAAAGAGCAATGGTGAGGTCAAACTTTTGATCTCAAGTAACGACTCTAGAATACGACTCTACAACTTCAGGGATAAGAGCTTGGAAGTCAAGTTCAGGGGGCATGAAAACAATTACAGCCAGATACGTGCGACCTTTTCCGAAGACGCAAGTTATGTCCTTTGTGGCAGTGAAGACCGCAAAGCATATATCTGGTCCACTGGTCCATCTGAAGGCGAAAAGAGAAACCAGCGGCCAGTAGAGATGTTTGAAGCACACACGTCCATCACTACTTGCACAACCATGGCCCCCCTCAAGACTAGACAGCTACTGAGCACCTCCGAAGACCCTGTCTACGACCTTTGCAACCCACCACCCGTAACGCTCATGTCTCGCGCCGACTCTCTCAACTCATCCCGTGCGCCAACCGATGCCGGCAGCGCGCAAGCTACTCCGGCCGCCTCTGACCCTCACTTCAAGCGTGTTGAGGAGTCACCAGCCTACATCGCGCGCTCCTCACATCCAGGCGGTAACATCATCGTCACAGCGGACTACACCGGCTCAATCAAGGTCTTCCGCCAAGATTGCGCCTACTCAAAACGTCTCCGCGCCCTCTCAAACGAAGCATGGGAGACGTCCTCCGTCTTTTCCAAAAAGATCGGCTCCGCCCCCTTCGGCCGCCCCAGCAGCATTGCAACCAAAGCCTCAGGCCGCACGAGGCGCGACAGCACCTCCACCCAACCCCCCTCCGACCGCATCCTCTCCTGGCGCCGTGACATGGAGAAGGACGGCTCATTCGACTCTGCCAGCGGCCCGAAACGCAAAGGCCGCTCTGTCTCCCCGAGGAAAAGCCTCGGCGCCGTCAGCATGGGCAGCTTATCCCGCCAGGCCAACACCACACCGCCCCTCAACCCGACATCTACCACCGAGACCCTCCCCTCCGTCGTCACTACCTCGCCCAAGAGCTCCCTGGACAAAGAGGGGAGCGGCATCCCCATTGATCCCATAAAGCTCATCCAGCTCCGCTCGCGTAGCGATCCCGCGATCGACGCCAATAACCGTGATGCGCAGAACCCGATGTGGGTGCAAGGCGGGCAGAGTTGGGCGTTTTGGAATATGAGCCGGTATAGGGATCAGACTGGGTCGTCGTCGAGTCAACAGCTAAGGCCGCCGCGGCCGGAGCTAAACAATCGGCGGAGTACGGTTAGTGCGTTGAGCAGTGAGGAAGAGGAGGACGGGATTGCAGAAGGAGCGGGAGCGGAGGACGAGGTTAGGTGCAAGAGCTGTGGAGGGAGTGAGTTTAAGCTGAGGGTTGTGAGGGAGGAGGGGAGGGAAGAGAAGAGGGTTGTTTGTATGACTTGTGGGGCGGAGGCGGGATAGAGATGCTGCGTTGGTAAGGGGATGGGTTGGGTTGGGTTGGGTTGGGAAAGGGGGATGTGTGAGTAGCCCTGCAGTGTGTATAATCTGGACGTGAAGGCCGGTCGCCCGGGCGGTTTCTTCATTGATTCCTTGTATGTTAGGTGTTCTTTGTCGAAGCATTAGGATACTGCGTCCCAACGAGGGAGAATCGGTATACTACGAGAACTTTGAGAACTTTACTGGAGGACACTGTTTTAACGTTGGCTGAAGTGCTTCATAGCAATTTCGACTCTCTGGAGGAAATTCAGATCTGTTCCTTTGAAAGGCCTGGTACCTTAACAAACCACCTCAAATGGTGTACACAGGTCGAACAGGGACCCATCAATTTGCTGGAGCACTACAAGCGGTATTAGGATCATGTAGGCAGTTTGCACATTTGTCACAGTGCTATATGTATCGTGAAGGGGTATCATTCGTAACACTACCTGCCTAATCCCTCTATCCCCATATCATGAAGGCAAGGTATACCTTGTAGACCCAAAGGCACCATCCCCGTCAACCCCTCTATGCACCCCAACTCCTCTAACGGCATCACCCAATCATCCCCAACACCAAAGTTCCACCCAATCGCATCAAGTTCACAATTTCTGTTCAATTCAGCGACGTCTTCCAGCCATTGCCGCCCGTCATGCCATAGCTCCCACTAACCGTCTTCTCCTCCACGACCTCCTTCGGCGCCTCGGCCTTCTTCGCCTCGGCCTTCTTCGCCTCGGCCGCGAGCTCGGCCTTCACTTTCTGCACAATCGCCTTCAGCGCGTTCGGGTTCACGGCGTTGAGAGTCTGCTCGACTTTGCCGTTCTTGAAGAGGATGAAGGTTGGGATGCTATATTTTACGCACATGCATGTTAGCCGCTGTGATTGAGTGGTTGCGGGATATTCGGGCGGCGGTGGGTAGGCGGGCGGTAGGTAGGCTTACGTTCTGATGCTGTACTTCGACGCGAGTTCGGTCTGGTCGTCTACGTTTATCTTGACGAAGGCGAGGGAGCCGGGGACGGTGTTTTGGGTGGAGAGTTGGGAGTAAAAGGGCGCGATGGTCTTGCAGGGGCCGCACCAGTCGGCGTAGAAGTCGGCGAGGACGTAGGTGGTGCTGCCGGCGAGGGTGGTGAGGTGGAGGGGGGCGGTTATTTGAGTTGGGGTGGCCATGGCTGTGGGAGTGTCGAGAGGATTGTGTTTCGAGAGAGGTATGGAGGTAGAAGATTGGAGCTGTGGACTATGGACTGTGGTTTAGTTGTTGGAAGGTAGTTAGGTAGCAAGATGCGTGAGAAGAGGAACTGTGGTTTAGTTGTTGTAGGCGCTGAGGATGAGATTTATAGGATCGGGGGTTAGTGCTAGAATCTTCTTGCGCAATGCGATGGTGACAGATGCTTTGGCGATGGTGTTTGAGGGGGCCTGAGGGCCGTCGTCGGCTTTCATCAGAATCTTGGTAAGCGGGGAAATCTGGATCGCGGGCTCCTACAAAGGTGCCACTTACCATATACACACCCTAATGGTTACAAACAGTTATCTGACACTGCGTATTGAGCCGTCCGCTCTCTTAGATGATGCTGGGATATGGTTATAGACATCAAAGGTAAAGTGATGGCGATTAGATGAGATGGCCTCCAGTCCACATTCGTTGGGGTGTCTCGGTAGGTTGCCAGGTGATGAAATAATAAATGGGCACATGAAGTTTGATACATCCGTATTTCCTTTAGCGGTCGTACCGTCTCGGAAATCTTTCTACGCACACAAAAAATGCCTGCCCTCTAACTTCGTTTCTCATATTTACTACTCAGCCATCACACACTCTTCTACTACCAACGCACGTCTTTCTTTTCGAGACCACTCCACTCAAATCGACCCTTTTCCATAGGCCTTGTCCGTAGTATCATCGCTTACCCTCACCGCTTTCGATCGGGTCTCTCTTCCCACTCACTGTGCGTCGCTTTTCGGCAATCTAGCCTCCAAATAAAGCATCAACCCGCCTAAGATGGCTTCGGAGAGTTCTCAGGAGCAAGGACCGTGTGCATTACCTACATTCCTCGAGATTGCGAATGCATTCGGCCTATCGGATGAGACCGAACTACTCGACTTGATGACCACGGAACCAGTCAGAGACTCTGACGTCGAGATCAACACCAACTTCCTTGATGCGTACGCCATCTTTAGAGATCTCTGCCTCCCTCGTCAGTCGACATTAAAAGATGCGGCAGGACCAGGCTTATGGGATGTTTATATAGAGTTGGACAGGTCCGGGCATCGCAAAGAGAGCCAATACGGTAGAGAGACACGTCACGATGACTACATTTACTCTGTTACTGAACATTATGCTCGCTTCATGTTTGTTATGATGGAAGCATGGGATAGTGCTTTCTTGGATCTATTGCTACTGGATGATACGGCACGCTGGAACTGGCTGTTGCAGCATGAGGACCAGCAGAACGTGGCATTGGAGAAATTCTATGATTTGATCGAACGTATACGATACCACTACTACGATGGCAGCGGGTAGCACCGTGTCATCCAGGCACTAGAAGCAAGAAGACCAAAGAAGCCCAGCGAAGTCAGGCCTCCAGACGACACGAACCAAGGTCCTTTGGCACCCTTTCCGAGCTACTGATGTTGTCAGGCAGCACTCTCTTCTTCCTGACTTCATATGGTCTCACATTACCTTACCGCTATGCCTATCTGGATTTCCGAGAGGAGTGCCTGGACGCTGGCACGGGCCTTGGTAGCCGACTTGGCTTCATTTCATCTCATGAGTGGCCCACAAATCTCGAGGACCCTGACTGGAGTGCACGTGGGTGTACCTTGGTCAACGTCTTGTGGCTGGTCCGGTGGATCAAGAGCCAGCACTACAGCAAACGGGGCCATTCGCTCATAAGAACAATAGATCGGAGCATCGGCGGTGATTTACGCACCATGTATTATCGCCGGATGATGAAACCTAGGAATGTAACTCCCAGAACCAGAGCATGCGCACGTCGGTTACGCCTGTTGTGAGGCTTGGTAGTCGCTAGAATACCATTATGCTCAAGATATGGGTCGCAGCTTGTCAGGCAGATGGACGCGAACGAAACAGCATCAAAACTGTAAGACTCTAAATTCAAAAACGTATCAAAGGACTTCAACCACGGGTCAAAGCATCCACAATTCTGCGACGAGACCGTGTAGGTCCATCTTGTCATACATTTCCCGTTTCCACCACAGCCCATCGCCTCATCGTCGCCATGCAGCATTCCAAAACGCCAAACCCACCCGCCATAAGGGCTCTGTACGCGCTTAGCCAGAATGTCTCCCCACTGTGGTCTCACCTCCTTATCTCAACTCGCACAGCCAGCTCGTGGTAAACCACGTCGCTCGATGTCGGGTCTGTTGTCCACTGGTTTTCACCCCCGCAATCACACCTGTTACGATGCCGTTTTCGCTTTGCTTCAGAAGTCGCACTTGTAAGAGGTGGGCCCGGGGTCCCCGCGTTCTCGAATTACACATGTGCTGCCATGCTTTATAAATCACGTCTCTGGTCGTTCGACCGTCGTGTGAGGAGTTGCCACTATCTGTTCGAGAATCACGTATATCAAGGCCATCACTCTGCTCAATTTTAGACTCTCAACTTCAAGAGCTTCCCATGAATCACCATCCTCTACAGCAAAAGCAAAAGCAAAACCTTGATCCCGAACCACCATAATCATCATAACCCACATACACACTCAACAAACCTTCCGAGAATCATAATGCAACCCATCGCCCAATTCTCCCTCATCTCCGCCGGCATCGGCGCACTCCAGATCACTAGAACGGTCGCTGCGCGGTCGTATGCCAGGGGAAAGCTGCAGAGCTTGAAGACGCCGGTGGCGTGTGGGCATGGGACGAGGAGTGCTGGTGCTAGGTACGGTATCCAATCTTCGCATTTTGAGAGGGTGGTGTTGACGAGGACGCAGGGGTGCTGAGTTCGAGAAGGTGGCATCCTTCGTAGGGGGAAAATGAAGCGGGAATGGTGGGACTTGTGGGCAGAGATTTGGGAGACAAGTAGTGGGGCCCGATGGATATTTGGCTCTGGGAAGCTCTGGGAAGAGCCAAACACTGGGAAGCGGAAAGTGCTGATGTGCCGGTGTCTGTGTGACATGCTGAGAAAAAAGGAAAGAGAGTCGGGTAGTTTCTGGCTCTGGAAGCGCTTTGGAGAGAACATTGGCGAGCTTTCTGGGGATTGAGAGGGGGATTTGAGGGGGCCTTGATGTGTATACTGCTTAGTTTTCAGCCAGCCAGGCTACCTTGGATTTGAAGTAGCATTTCAACACCGTCTGGGGTAGTCTGGAGAGTAATCAGGCTTGCCAAAACTGTCGCTTTTCAATTTTTCATAGTGTACCAGGGGACCTCAGGCAGTGCTAAACCAGTGGATAACTTTGACACCAGATGCCACAAGCCTGCTTCTCTAGTTCCCTGATCGTCCAATGTGGGTTCATCTTCTCGCGTTGATATATGATATACCGGACGAGCCATATCAGCTTCTTCAATATACCCCGGCGCATACTCTTGTCGGGGTCATCAGATTTCTCATGGGGCCATTCGAACACGGCGAAGCAGTTGTAGTCCGAAAGAAGGCAGCAGACCAGATAGCTGTACTGCTCGAGTACTGTAAAATCATCCTTCTCCTCAAAGTCCAACGGCGCGTACTTGTAGTGGCGCACTTCGTCATCACCAGTCTTATAGACACCCGGGATAATATCTGTCATAATCTCCTCGGCGCTAGGTTGGCTGGGTTGGCGCCAGTCCGACCGCCTCTGAAGCCCCGGCCCATCGTCGTACTCCAGGCATACGAGCACGAAGTCTAGATATTGCTCTGTGAAGTATGGCATTTGCAAGAAGCTCTTGAGACCGTATTCCTCTTGGAGGACGAACAGACATGCGAGTTCGTCGAAATTGCTCGGCTGGTAATCGTCTACAGGGCGAAGGATATTTTTGGGCGGCCTGTGTTGGTTCAAGGATTGTAGGATGGTATTGGGGCTGTTCGGATCGGCATACTAGTATCGTATGCGTTGAACCAGACCGTAGAGCCTCCTGACGACCTTGACGACCATTTGGTGCAGCTTTGTGTGATCGAACGATCCGCCAGGCGTTAGGACCTGACCATTCTCACCCCATTCCAATAGCATGAGTATGATGAAGCGAAGGTAGTGTTCTTTTTCATCGTAGTATTGGTATACCTCTTCCATCTCTTGGCCAATTGGGTGGGTATATTTGCCAGACGCGTCCCTTTCCGTGTTGATGTCCATTACTTCATAAGCTATGGATGAGAATTTGGGCCCTGGAGCCTCTTTCGCAGTTGATATGTGCGGTAAGCAAAAGTCTCTGAAGACAGCACAGGCATCGAGGAAGCAAGAAGCTACGCCGGAGCTGGGGTTCGGTGTAGGCTCCCTCAACGTCAAGTTGAGGAGCTCTTCTTCATTCTTCATGCCGAAGTTTTTCGCAACATCGAGAAATGTAGGTTGGTATTGGATGTCGAGAAAACTCCAATCTTTGGTCGTCTCAGCAGCCCAATCAGGAGTGCCCCAACCCCATTGTGCCGCCGCTTCGGACATTTCGAAGTATCTGGGATATGAAGTTGGAAAGTTGAAGGTGCTTCAGGCGACCAACCAGGGGTGTCTAATTAAGGAAGAGAGCGATAAGGCGTCTGCGCAGACGGAGAGATTGCAAGCTTGATGAAGCTGAGGAGGAAAGATGAAGGTGTGAAAGGTGGAGGACTAGGTGAGAGCCAGGCGGCAGTGTCGATGTGAAGCTTCACGTGAAGCGTGAGGTGACAATCATTCTTTTCTTTTAGACGCAAGCTATAAGCTGAGTATGATCGTGCTTTATCAGTGTTCTACCCTACCTCAATCTCCACATTATTCTTCGATCCCTTCTAGACAGGACTAAGTCCGCATGGTAAAAGCTGCGTTTAAGTAAGTCCGCTGTCCTCTACAGCCTCTGCATGATACTTGTCTGTCTTGTGCTGTGGTGCTGATTCTTTATGCATCGCACTAGGAACAGTAGCTTGATCAAGATAAGCCGACGGAGACTCTTGTCCGAATCCGCATCGTCTTCTGGCCAGACCATAAAGTTGTTCCATCTAGTTCGCCATGAAGCGGCAAACTGAAAGACAATGTAGCTGTAGTGCTCTAAGACGGTCCAATCTTTCCTTTGATCGGTTGTTGCACTGCTGTACTTTTGACTGATTGGACGTTTGCCGATGGTAGAGTCTATGTGCGAAAGCACTTCGTTCACAACATCGTCCGCGCGTGGCCCGTCAGCTTTGGTATAGTGAAGGTGCAAATAGGCAACACCATCTAAGCATTCGTCCCGGAAGTTCATGTAGGTGTGGATGAACGCTGGATCCCTAAAAACGGCTGCGACAAAACGGAGCAACGATCTTTTCAATGGCAGAAGCTGCAACATTTGCTCAAAGCATGTCGGCTCATAGTCGATTGGAGGAATTATATTGATCTTTGGCCGTGCTTGATCTAACGCCTGGATGATAGGATGCGGTTGGCTTGGATCGCAGCAGTGCTGCCGGATACATTGAACGAGACGGTACAGATCTTTGACCACGATCACGCGCTCTTGCGTAGACCGCCGAGCCCAAGGACGGCGCGATCGATCTGAACATCGTACTTGCAGGTTCTTGTCCCATTCGAGTATTATCAAATAGATGAAACGAGCGTAGTGGGAGACCTCATCATAATATCGATATTCGTCCTTGGTGTCGCAACCCCACAGTGGAGATGACAACTTTCGCTTAACCTCTCGGCGACCGAACCCATACTCCACTTGAGCGAGCACATCGCTGAGATTTGGTCCTTTCGCGTCTTTTGCGGTAGATTGGTGTGGTAGACAAAAGTCTCTAAAGATGGCGTGCGCATCAGGGAACCTGGAGCTCTCCTCTTGATCAGGGCCAGAAACTCGTTCCTCCATCATGAGTTTTAGCAAGTCGTCCTCATCCTGGAGACCTAGATCTTTGTCAGTCTGGCAAAATGTAGGTGTCGACTGTGGATCTGGACCCAACCTTGAGATCGAGGACCTCGCATCGTTGGAAACTTCGAAACGAGACGAGGCCATGAGGCTTGTGTGATAGTCGCAAGGTTGTGTGCGAGAGAAGTTGAAATTGAGATATCGGAGAGGTCAAAGAGACTAATGTGGGCGCCGGGCTAAGGAAGTTGGTGGTGAATGAAAGTTTGAAGCGGTAGGCTATGAGTGGGGTCAGAGGACTATGATTGAGAATTAATAAGGTGCTGAGCGAGCGTGGTTCAGCAGCGGTTTTGTGGATGGTCAAGTATTGTGTTCTTCCAATGATGAGTGGAGGATGGAGGGAGGAAGCTAGCTACAACGGAAGCATAGACCTACGCGATTGGGCTGAGTGAGCCAAATACGGAGAAAGGGGTGCCACAGTACCGAGACGAGAGCACCAAGGTTGAGGTTGAGGAAGAACCGGGGTTGAGACTGAGGTTGCTTCAGTCGAACATGATCTTGAAAAGCTGTTGATATATAGTTTGTGCAGCTCATACCTTATCCATCGGGCAGGCAAATTTAAGTGTAGGTATACCGAATTCAATCAAAATTCAAACGAAAGAAAAGAAAGGCACTTATAATGTCCCTTCTGCCACCTAACTTCGCCCGACTAACCCTGACACTGATCTCGTTGGTCACCACAATGCCCTCATGCCTCCGATCCCGGCCCAGCTCTCTTCCTCATCTCTCTCTTCCCCTCTTTTATTCTGACCAGTAATGACCGTACTAGGCCCATGCACGTTGCTGTCATGTGCATACCCTTGGTATTCGGAGTTATCGCTGATCGAGCCCTCGCGGTGCGACGAACCTGCGAGCTTGTATGTCGAGTCGCCGTCTTCCTCTTCGTCGGAGCCGTGCTGCTTCTTGTTTATGGTGATGGTGATGGTGCCGAGTCCCTTGTCGCCGTTGGAGGTTTGGTGCCTGAAGATGTCGGAGGACTGGGCCGCGTAGGGGCCGGCACCTCTAGAGGAGGTGCGTTTGCTGAGCGAGTGGCGGGTTGCGAGGAACCAGATGGGGCGGAGCATAGGGAAGCAGGCTGTACGGAATTCAGTATCGGGGTTGGCTTGAGGTTGAGGGAAAACGAAATGCAGGTATGGGGAAGGAGAAGGGAAACTGTGGGGCGCTTACCGGATACAACGGTGAAGTTTACTTCGGCCGTCGCCCAGATGATGATGGGGGAGACATTCCATGGCATCTCTGGGGAGCTGGTGTCGTATTTCAGGGACTCGCTGAGCATAACGACCGAGGCTATGCAGACGCTGCGTTGAGTTGTGAATCGGCATTCTTAGTCGCTGTACCGGCAGTGAATGAGCAAAGATTGTGTGCACTCACAAGAAACCGAACATGAACATGGCGATGATGGCGACCTTTTTCGTGATTGGCAGCTGCAGCTTTCGGATTTGCATGATGAGCAAGATTAGAATCGCGATATCAATGATTAAGTGGGCTAGCACGGTGCCGAAGAAGAAATTGGAGTCATTGATGTTGCAGGTCCCCTTGACGTTGCTTTCCTAGAAAGCTTGCATAGGGAGACAGTGGAATATGGCCATGAACGTCTGTTGGCAATGGATTAGGGTCTAGCGGGTGAAATGTGGATCTCCTTTTGGATCACTTGCCAGCAAAATCAGCCAGATTATAGCGCAGACAAAGAGTATTATGATAGGTTTCTTGATGTTGGAGTTCTTGAACATGCGCCAGTAGAATGCGAGGATAGAAAGTTTGGAAAAAGCGAGGGAGAAGGCGTAGAAAATCTCCTCGTTCCAGAGGATGAGCTTAGATCTCTCAAGGACTTGGTCGACGGGCGTGTCAATTTCACTAAGGAAGAGCCCGAGTCCACATTGCAGCCCTGTTCCTGTTAGGTCTACCTAACGAAAATCAGATGCTCAATACTTTACACCATATGAGGAGACCTGACCAAACTATCGCAAATATCTGTTCTACTGTTTAGTTCCCAGCAGCTTCTAGTCTTAAATGCCGGACTTACAAACGCCATGATCCCAAGCCAATCATCAAACTAGAGGGGGATTTTTGTGACTCTTCTGGCAGTGAGCCTCAAGGCCATGCACATGAGAGCCGCAAAAAAGGTAATGGCAAGACAGGCGTAGGCATCGACCTGCCTCGACTGTGTTGTATGTTGTCCTTCCATTGTAAAAGTGGATATATGCTGTGGGGGAAAGGAAAAATAGACAAGAATTCAATAAAACCCAGCTTGTCGGTATATGCACTCCACTTTATCAGTGTTACAGAGAGGACTGGGGCTGTCAAGATATAAGTGTAAATCTCTCATATGCTCTCCCCAGGCCACGAAGCTGGGTGGAACTGTAGCTGTGGTCATTCTGCTAGTCATTCATGAAGGGTGTTCCTAGCAACTGCCGACGCAATATGGAGATCTGCGCATCATGTCTACCTTTGTACCTTGGGAACACGGTGGAGTGTCGGGTGGCTGTTTTTAGAGTTCAGATAGCGGTGGTGATCTGTTACTCACGATTCAAGGAAGGAACATGTTCTTCCCGTGACTCCCATCAGCGTTAGCAACGTAAGCTAGACAAGTAGAATTTAAGAAATATTTCCCGTAGCGGAGAATACCACTTGGGCGAAAACGGTTGGTAAGGGTGAGTGATGCGAGTAAGGGTAGCCCTGATCGTCCTTGCAGCGAGTCAAGGAGCAGGAGATCGTTGCAGAAGTGCAAGGTGAGAAGGGATATGGCGAAGCTTATTATGCTAAAGTAGCTTCTACGGTGCTGGACTGACACGCCGCTACACCTCCCTCATACGCCCGAAGGATCGTCAGTGGGTGCTCTGGGGCGTAACAAGAGGGTAAAAGTCGGTGTCAAGGTTGTGCTGAAAATCTGATTGACCAGAACCGACTCCTATCCATTAAGCTTTTACACGCAATATTGACACCGGGGGAAAATAGTTTGATAGAGACGACCTCATGGATATGCAGATCGACAAGAGGGATTCTCCATCAGCCGGATCTTGGATCTTTGCTGAGCCCCTCCCAGGACCCACCAGGGCCACAGTTCTTGCGTGATCGTCGATCCTCTAGCTCCAAGCTCAGAAAGTTTTGTCTCGGTCCTCGCCTTGTCGATAAGAACGGGTCCGGATGGAGAGTGAGAAGAGAGCAATACGAAGGAGACACGAAAGATTTGGATGAAGCGAAACAGTGAATGTACGGTGTGCGTGGTAGCTGAGACGGTTGCAAAGTTTAAATAAGATGGGTGAAAGCTTACCCAGGATTGCTTGAACAGAGGATGCCCAGGTGAGGCGTCGGAGCGAGGAACCTGCCCAGCGTTGGGCACCAGGGGTGTTGTGGCCGGATATTCTATTCTACCTATCGCGTAGCCGCTCGAGGTGGTGCCCGTCGCGGTCTCAGCACCATCCATGAACAAGAACGCGTGGTATCGTAGAGCATACGCGACGGAGAGAAGTCCAATTATCCGTACAGGGGGATAACAAAAGCCTCGGTTCAGCATCTCGATATCTTTATTTATTCCTGATGCAGACACGAGGCTGACATGAGAGACGAGGTAGCATCGTTCAAAAGAGCTAGGTGAGGCTGATGAAAGAGGGTCGCCCAAGCGTCCGTACTTTTGAATACAGTGAGATTGGCAAAAGAGTCTTCGCCATTGTGTCTTAACGGCTCTGTACGGTGGAGAGCGGCGCTGTCACTGTTGTGGCTGGCGAGGTGGCGCGACAAGTATTCTGTCACGTGACTGTCACGTGAATATAGCTCTCCTCTACCACTCCACTACGTACTACTAGACCAGATCCATGAACTCGCCATCCTCTATTCTAGCTTACCTTAACTCTCTCAGCTTGGATAATGCTGCCCCTGAAATGACGACATACCGAGAGACGACGTGTGCAGCACACTATCAGAGACAGCATTGGGCCATAAGGACCCCTAGCTATCCTGAGCTGCGGCTAGCTTGATGGCCCTGCATCAGTTTTCTTATTGCTGGCATTCTAGCTGCATACCCATGACTTCTCTAGCCTTCAGACTAGAGATCGGCGGTGATTTCAGGTGGAGGTACCAAGTATACCCCCACGAGGGACCATCAAGGTATCGAGAATGCAACCAGTCTTGCCAATAAACGGAGCAATGCATATTAAGACGCAGTGCCTCGAAGCCTTCACCGCATCGCCAGCGCACAGAGCCACCCAATTGGCAGCTCGAACCGACGCTATTGCTCAGAGGTCGCATCCAACCCACGGCCAGCACATCGACAATTCATCCCACCAGCCGCCCACGACGCCCATCGGTCTGCCCACTCGGATGCCACGTCCGCACGCCATGCTTGCCATGACGACTCTGGGGCCCCGGATCCAGAGGGAGGGAGCATGAGGGGAAACGCACGTTCCCTCGATGGCGCCGTCATACGCGACCTTGACGCCTACCAGGTGACTCCAATAGCGCCCTTCTCCAGCACGCGACCTGAGAGACACGGCCAGCACAACGCCAATCGCCTACATGTCGCCCACCTACAGGCTCTTCTCGCCACCGCTCGTCTGTTCTCGCCGCCAACGGACCGCACGCCTCTTATCGTCGTATGCAATCCTGGACTAAAAGCAACGGAGACACACCTTCTTCTGTAGCTCTGCAAAGGACCTGTCCAATGCCCATATGGCCGGAGTCTGCGACGGCGGCTCGTGTCGCGCAGCTCCTGTTTGGGATGCTGATTCGTATGTGCTGGTGCGAATGATGCCCAGTAGACGGCTCATGCTGCGTGGGAGGAGGCGATGCTGTCAAGCCTAGCATCTGTGCTGAGAATGGCGCAAGCGGCGGCAGCAAGGTAGGTGTGGTGGGGTAGGTCAATAGTTTATATCATCCGTGCCATTGCGGGAGCGGTGTGTCGTAATACCATCCTTTTCCTACTTCAATTGCGTTGGATTTCTGCCAATTGCTCTTCGCGAAGCTCATATTCACTCTCAATTGTCGTATTACGCCCAATCGTCTTAAATCACTACGGAGCAATGCCTTCTATCATAGACAAGATCTCTGAAAAGCTCCACAAGAACAAACATGGGGAGGGGGATGACGTGAAGCAAGAAGCTCCCCATGGCCATCAACGGATCGATTCTGCCCAAGAACCCATTGAAGCTTATTCCAAGCCAGAGGAGAAGGCCCCAGAAAGTCTCCCAATTGCTGAGGAACCGGCTGAAAGCTCTGCCAAACCAGAGGAAATTACAGAACCACCGATCTCGAACCCTGTGATTCCCGCCGAGGTTCCCGCTGAGATCCCTGCTGAGGAAGCTCCCGCCCAGCCGGACACAGCCACAGAGGAACCGTTGAAGTCCGAGGCGCCAGAAAGCTCTGACAAAACGGAGGAGCTCCCACAAGAATCCGAACATCAAGCCCCAACTGAGACTCTCGAGCCTGAACTCCAAGCTGCAACTGAGACTCTTGAGCCTGAATCCAAAGCTCCAGTGGAGACCCTCGAGCCCGAACCACAAGCGCCAGTAGAGACCCTCGAGCCCGAACCCCAAGCTCCAACTGAGACCACCGAGCCCGAATCCACAGCTCCAGTAGAGACTCTTGAGTCCGAACCTCAAGCTTCAGCGGAGACTCTCGAACCTGAACCCGAACCCCAAGCTCCAACCGAAACCATCGAGCCCGAATCCAAAGCTCCGGTCGACACCCTCGAACCTGAACATGAAATTCCAACAGAGAATCTTGAGCCCGCCAAGCCCGTGGAACATCAAGCAGAAGAGACACCCGTAGAGGCACCGAAAGAGAGTGAGGAGGTGAAGGCTACCGATTCCGTCGATGAGCCGAGTGAAGCCCCGGGACTGAAAGATTTCGAGGTACGTTTCACTTACTAGATCCTTTGCCGTCAATTTCCTGAAGTATGTATCCCTCATTGCATTTGGCTGCACTGTTTTGCTGCTGTTTGAGGTATCTTGGCGAGGTATCAAGGTTGTCAACCCAATGGACCTGTATCTTGTTCCGGATAATGGAAACCCTTTGATTATCTTTGGAGAGCGGTAGGGCAGTGCACAAAGACTCACGAGAAGATGTGTTCAGAGAAATGGACATGTCCGAACAATTAGTACTTGTCGCATAGACCATATTTGTGAAAGTATGCTAATTTGGATGCTCAACCTCAGGAGCCACAGGACTCGATTCAAGAACCAATTACCAGCCACGAATCCGAACCGAAAGAAGAGCAGATCGATAGTTCCGAGTTCAAGGAGTTCGTCCAGGAACCGGTTACTAGCAACGAGCCTGAATCGAAAGGTAAGCTACTCTAACCCTTTAGTATCTCATCATATGCGTACGTTCTCTTGCAACCGCCGAGAGTGCTTCTACACACTTCTACATTACAAACCTGAATGTGCTGGAAGTTTCCCGTTTTGATAAATTGGTAAACTTGCTGGACCTCTGCAGGCGGCAATATCTGCGAGAACATACATAGGATGAAGCACTGTCCTATATGAATGAAGCTGACGAAATTGTAGAATCAGCTTCCGAACCTACTATCACTAGCGACGAAACCGAAGCGAAACCTGAGCTAGTCGAGAGCTCCGAGCCGAAGGAGGAAGGAATTCCGCAGAGCTTGGAACACAAAGAAAGCGAGAAAACAGAGAAACTAGAAGAAACAACGGGGCCGTCCGAAACCGAAAAGCTCGACGAAGCACCCGAAGCAAAGACTATTGATGAAGAGACAAAGTCTCCTGAGAGCAGCGAAGAGCAGCCATCTACTGTGGTTGCTGATAGCACCGAAAAGGAGCCCACCCAGGAACAAGCCACGAGGGAAGAACCTGAGACAGGTGAGAAGCAAGAGGGTATTCCCGAGGCAAAAGAATCGGAGCAGGTACCAGAGACCTTGAAAGAAGACGAATCTACGCTTCCTGAGAAGTCCGATGCTATCACGGAGGAGGACAAAGGTGAACAACCAGAGGACACGTCCGCCAAAGAAACAGAACCAGTGCCAGAAACCTTGAAAGAAGACGACTCTACCCTTCCTGAGAAGTCAGATGCTGTTACAGAGGAGTACAAGAGTGAACAGCCCGAGGATACCCCTGCGGAGAAAAGCGACGAAGCCGAAGAGCCCGCTAATACCAGTGCTGTTGAGGAGCCATCGACTCTCGGCGGAGACAGCATCGAAGAAAACGTAGTTCCCAAGACTAAGGACGATGAGCCAACCACGTTTGGGGAGGCGAAGAATGTCGACACGGAGAAGCCGGCGACTGCCGAGACTCCCGCTGAGGAGCCAGCCACATTGAGTAGCGACAAAGTTGAAGAGGCCCATGTGCCTGAGACCCAAGAGACTGATGCACCTACGACTCTTGGCGAGGAGCCTGTTTCGAGTGCTGTAGAACCGCCATCTGAGGAGCTGTCTAAGCCCAAGGACGTTGACGAACCGGAACCGTCCCAGGAGAAAAAAGAGGTCACAGAAGCGGAACCTCCGAGTTATGCGGAAGATAAGGAAGCACCATCTACTGAAGAGGCCCTCCCTTCTGAGACGAAGGAGGAAAGCTCCCCAAGTGAGGCAGTTGATGCTCCGAAGACCGAAGAGCAATCGGAGGAGCCAACGAAGGAGAGCCAGGAGGAGACGCCAGCTATTACCGAGCCGGAAGCTACACCAAAGCTCGCAGATGAAGAAGCTCCCAAGCCTGAAGAAAAGATACTGGACGAGAGTCCAGCTGTTGGGGAGACCGAGGAAGCTCCGCAAAGCGAAGAAAAGGCAGTTGATGAAGCCCCGACGGCTGGAGAGACCGAACCAACCTCGAAAGCTACAGAGGAAGGAGAGAAAGTTGGTGAGCCACTTGAAGAGGTTCCAGAGAAAAAAGGCTCCTTTACTGAAGAACCCGAAGCTTCGCCTCTCGCCACGGAGAAGGTAGCAAACGAGCCTAATTCCTCAAACGAACCAACCTCAGAGACACAACCACTCGATACCGAAAAGCCAGTAGAGGAAGCGTCCGAGGAGCCTACCTCCACCGAGAAGACAGCAGAAGAGCCTTCCTCAACTGAGGCACCAACCTTAGAAACCCCTCAAACGCTCGAATCTGAAAAGCCGCAAGAAGCAGCCCCCGAAGAGCCCATTTCCACCGGGAAGGCAACAGAAGAACCTTCCCTAGCCGAGCCGACCACAGAGGCTCCCGAAACGCTCGACTCTGAAAAGCCGTTAGAGGAAGCGCCTAAGGAGCCTGGCCCCACCGAAGAGGCAGCAGACAAACCTGCCTCAGTCGAGCCGTCCGCAGAGGCTTCCGAAACACTTGAATCCGAAAAACCACAAGAAGAAGCACCCAAGGAAGCCACCTCCACTGAGCAGGTATCTGAGGAACCTGCTTCAGTCGAGCCAACAACCTCAGAGGCTCCCGAAACGCTCGACTCTGAAAAGCCGTTAGAGGAAGCGCCTAAGGAGCCTGGCCCCACCGAAGAGGCAGCAGACAAACCTGCCTCGGTCGAGCCGACCGCAGAGGCTTCCGAAACGCTTGAATCCGAAAAGCCGCAAGAAGAAGCACCCAAGGAAGCCACCTCCACTGAACAGGTATCTGAGGAACCTTCAGTCGAGCCAGCAATCTCAGAGGCTCCCGAAACGCTTGAATCCGAAAAGCCGCAAGGAGCTCCCAAGGAGCTTGCCCCCACCGAGAAGGCAGCAGAGGAACCTTCCTCAACCGAACCAACAACCTCAGAGGCTCCTCGACCGCTCGATTCCGAAAAGCCGCAAGAAGAAGCGCCCAAGGAAGCCGAACCCAGCTCTATCACCGAAGAGGCACCATCCCAGCCTTCTGAACCAAAGGCCGAGGACACGATCCTGAACCAAAGTCAGTTACACCTAGACCTGCTCGTTTGCGCCTTCATCCTTTGTGCTCTCGCCATGACCTTCCGCTAACTGCCATCACGTCTTAGAAATCGAAGAGTTCGCGACTGCGGCGGGTATTCCGGCAGAGCACCACGATCGCATGAAGGAAGCTGCTGCTGGGTTGTTTTCAGGCGGGAAGTGAGTGCGGAATGCACGCTGCCTCGTCCTGGGTCTGTGTACGCCTGTTTGCCACGTATGAAGTCTTCTGTAGGGATTTTGGAAGTCTGGATGAGTTAGGACTGGTTGTTTCAACCAGCATGGAAACTTTCTGGTCCAACTCAAACAGTGGTGTCTATGAGTAGTGGCAGAAGAAGCGTATGCGGACACCTGACGAGGCACGACTTGACCAAGATGTTTCGCTTAATTGTGGGTGGCTGTATCGGTGGTTCTCTCATTTCAGCTCGGCGGATATGTTTGGCTTCTGGAAGGATACTGTCTTTTGCGCTAACTTGTGTAGTCGTATGCAAGCCTACTCCACTCTCTTCCCAATATTACGCTCTTTGCAAGCTCTGGAGATGACTTTTCCTGCCTCATAGCAATATGATGTGCACCCCAAGACCAGTAACTCCGCAGAATGCACCACAAGAAACCTATATCAAACCCGTCCATTCCTCCCCTCAAAAACGCCAGAAACCTAATCGCATCGCCTAGAACTCACTCCTCACCGCTCCCTCCAACCACGTCACCCCCGCCTGCACCCCGTCCACAACCCTCACCCTTCTTCCCTCCTCCCCAAGCTCCTCCACACACGCCTCCCGCACCATCTCCCCCATCCCCGCCATCCCCGCACACCCCAGACACACCGCGCCCACCTTGCCCCCCTCTTTCCGCAGCAGCCTCTTCACCGCCTCCTTCATCCGCCGCCGCACCTCCTCCGCCGGCGCGTCGTGCAGCCCGGTCGCCGTCAGCCCGGTCGTCTCCACCCCCGCGAACCGCGCGGCAGACGCTGCACCGAGGAAGTCAGCAACGGCTTCGCTCAGAATCCCCTCCCACACCTTGCCGGTGCTGACGATGCCGAAGCGCTCGTCCGGCGCAATGAGCTGGAGGGCGGTGGCGACGGAGGCTTCGAAGATGCCGGTGACGGGCTTGTCGGAGGTGCGGATCGCGTCTTTGGACTTTAGGAGCGGGACGAGGGGGTGTTTGGAGTAGCAAGCGACGAGGAAGCCGGCGTGGTGGTCGAGGAGGGGGAGGAGGTGGGGCAGGGCGTGGCGAGCGGAGTCGGCGGCGTCGGTTTCGTCGTTGATGCTGCTCGGGCCGGTTGGGGAGGTGAAGAAGGTGTGGGTGGTCTTCAGGGGAGGTGTTAGTTAGTTGGGGTAGGTTTGGGGGTGGTTGAGAGAGGAGGGAATATAAAGGAGGGAATGCAGAGAATGAAACCCAAAGAGTAGATGCGGAGAACGAAGTAGAGAATGTTCAAGAAATATAGGGGCATAAGAAAAGGCGTGTATGTACATCTTTAAAGTTGAGGCTATCGACAAGGGGTTCGAGACCTCGAGTCATTGATTTGGTGGAGTTGGGGTTGATGATGAGGATGGAGCGGCGTGCATGGGCGGTCTTCGTCATTTCAACCATTTCTTCAACTCTGAAGCTATCCCAAGAATGTAAAGAGGGTTAATTGAGGTCGGAGATACAGCTTTCAATCGAGGGGCAATAAGGGGTTGTGCGAGTGATAGATTTTTTGTACGTAAAAGTGGTCGCTTGGCAGATGACGTAATCCAATTTTTTGAGGTCACCCGTACGAGAGAAAGTTCTAAGGTGTGTGGTGCGTCCCTGGGTGGCGAGAAACTCCGCGTGCCGAGAAAAATATATTGTTCAATCAGCTTAAGTCTTTCCTAGCAAGCCTATAAAGTTAGGGGGCTACTAACTAGTTAGAGGATCGAAATGGGATACGGCCGACGTTGGGACATAGAATGGGGGTGAGCAGTCACGTGTCCCTTCTTGTTCACGTGACTTGCCCCGCGCATTGTTGTCCGCTCGCTGGTCACCGTCGCCTGTCTTCCTGCAACTGCCTCTGCTGCGTTCTTGTTGGCCTTGTTCTATAACGTTTATAACCACATAATCGCTAACATGGACCGAGCTAGCCAGGTGCTGGTGGACGACCTCCCTCTGGTCGCGCCCACTCTAAAGCGAATTATTCTTCGCTTTAATATTAAACACAAGCTTAAGGAAGCAACTATTGATAAAAGGGAGGGATAAACGCACACTCCATCCCCCCTGTCACTTCACCACTTTTTGATTGGCTCGGAGTACTGCTCCGGAGCTTCTGATTCGCTCGCTTAACTCGCTCACTAATTCCGAATGCTCTCTCCAAATACGGCCATGTACAACACAAACAATCACATTATGCCGATTTGTATAGCCTCACGTACAAGCTCACGTACGGCCTCGCGTATAGCATCACGTGCAGAGAGATGTAAAGGTGAATGCCCGAAGGAAGCTCCGCATTACTCCGAGCCAATTAGAAGGTGGTGAAGCGCCAAGAGGAGGGGGGGTGTGCGTGGAGTGAAAAGGGGGTGTAAGTCTAGGAATTAGGGGGTGTGGGATTAGCGGCGCCCATGAGTTATCACTGTGTCTGCGTAAAACTCTGGGATACACCCAGACTACCCCGTGCTTCGACGACGCATTCCATTTCAAGTTCAAGTCGTGTGAATATTGCAATATATTCCTGCCCATCCGATCATACATTAACCTAGCTGTAGTGCCTTCACTTCACGAACTTAAAGCTATTCTATCGTACTATGGGAGGAACGAAGCTCTGCGAAGCGCGGCACCCTGGATTCTCCATACAGGCTGGCCGAGATTGATAAGTTAAGTACCGAAATCCGACAGCACATCATCCACGTCACTGTATGGCCCCAAACGGGCCTCCAAATGGCCAGCGTCGCTTCCGAAAGTTGCTACGTACCACTCCTTCTTCCAAGTAGCCACAGCTTGCAATGCATCCACGCTCTGAGATTGTACCTGTTCGGCGACGACGTAAAACGACGATCTGATGGCGTGTTTCTTTCTTGGCTTAAACAATTGCAGTGACGAGAACTTGCTAAGTGTGTGCAGCAGCGCGACAGTATCCCAAGCGTCTAGTCTGTGCAGTAGCGCGACAATTTTCCCATTGACTCTAATCCGCTGTAATGCGAGTACGAGTTAGCTAGTCAACAGCCGCCAAGCTTCGCGCCTCTCACGATACTCCGCCCTGGAATGCATTCGAAGAACCTGCCCATCGCAAAAGATGAGGTCGAATTTTTCGCCATGAAACGGGCGATCTGACAAGAAGTTGGCGGCGTCAGGGTGCTCCGCTGGGATATCGGTAATGCCCATCTCCGCCGCGAGCATCGTGATATCCAGGAAGCATACCTGGATTCTAGAGTCCGTTTGCCAATTAGGCAGCAAAATCTTATAGCCGCCTTGCGAGAGAGGCAAACTGATTCCACACACCCTCGCGCTGCGATTCTCTTTAAGCACAGAGGCTGTGAAGCCGCCAGGTGCCATGCAGAGGTCGAGGACGCTGGGACGTCCGCCGATTGCGGACGATAAGAGTAAAGCCGAAGTGTTGTTATTCAGTTCAGCGCCAATTTGGCACATCATGTTATAAAACACACTTTGACCGGAGGCATCTGCATGATCAGCCCGGATGCGTTGCTCTTTGAAAAAGTCGTCTCCTTTCGGATTCTCCCATCCCTGTCAAGACACTTAGCATCCTTGTATAACGATCTAACAGTCTGGTTTCCGGGCAAACTTACCCTCCGTTTAAGTTTCATAAGCTCTTTAAACACAGCCACATGCCTAAGGAGGTACTCTTCGACGATAGAATTGGGAGTTTGGACTGCTGCTGTGCCTGGTGACAGGCTACAGTCTACATCGTCCAGCATTTCGTTTTGAAGCATGGCACTCGATGTCCTTTGGAATATTCGTTCTAGGAGTGGCCACATATTCAACACGCAAGACCCTCGTTCCTAGGCTACTATATACTTCTTAAAATCGTTGGTAAAAGCAAAAGGACCGGTCAGGCACCCTTGTAGAACCACTGGATATAATTGGCGTCTCAGATGCAAGCTATCGAAGATGCCCCATCCTGTACAATGAACCTTATTCACCTTAATCGAACTACCTTGCAGTTCTTTTGGATCCACGCGTCCGTCGACCTACACGCATACCATATCTTGCTCAGATAGTCTTACGATACATAAATTCGCAAGCTCCACAGAAATTCTGAGTTTATGTAAGATTACTGAGGATATTGCCACAGGCTAGTCGTGAAAGAATAGGCTTTGAATCTAGCCCAACTCGCCATGGATAGCATCCATAACACGCTCGAGTTTGGAAAGTGCGACAAACAATCATCACAGAAGCTTCTCTCCCCTGCCTGGATCTCGTGGCCTTAATTCCGGTCGTTGCTCACTGTCACTGCTGTGAAACATTGCCCAGACTGTTGGCTCGACGTCCTGACGTATTAATGACGTCTAATGCAGCCTTTGCTGCGGTGTGATGGAGGAAATCTTAGATAAGACATCGTTGACGTACTAGAAATCCGGAGGCCAATTCCCTTCACGAGTTATTGGTAACGATCAAGAGTGAGAGAATATAGGCTTACTCGGACCCAGTGTTGATTGACCAATGATCCTAAGCCATGGCGAACTTTAACTGCAGCATCCCTGCCTTATAGTGGAACGATCTCTTACCCTTTGTAATGGTCCGGCACGATTGCTAAGCTAACTCTTCAGCTTCTAGATGTTATTAACATGGTGGACATAGAGTGGCTCCAGGCAACCTCCAATAAAAAATCGCGCATGCAAGCTTACTCCAAAAAACAAACAATGCTGTGTACAGAAGTCATTCAGCGAGACGGCACATTGGAGAATGGGCTTCTACCACACGGCGTGCTCTCCGCCGTTGCCCTGGCGAGCCAAACATTATCAAACAGAGAGCATGCAAGCCCACGTACATACGACTTTGTCGCCGGTACATGAAATTTTTTTGAGGAGACATCAGTAAGACTGACCTGGCAAGGAGCTCACAACGTGTCGGCATCGTTCCGGACGTCCCAGGCGCATTTAGAAGTGTCGCAAGCTATCGTCGATCAACCTGCGAATTGAAAATCGAGTGATCACAGGACTACTTTCACATGCTATCTCGGCCAGCATATAAACCATAGCCCGGAATTCCTGTAGCTGATATATCTTCGAACTTATTAGATGGATCAAAACTCACTATGTCTGTGAAACAGAATGGGATCAAGAGCCGACAGGTGGGGATATGTTATCAGTTTTCCGAATCTGGCCGGTGTAGTTATGGAGAGTCTTGCAAATTTCCACATTTTTCATCGAACCAAGTGAGCCATAGTCAGAGTTACAAAAAGGTATCCGTTCCCAAATCCTAATCAAACCTCGAGTAACGATATTCCAAGAAGAAAACGGCCCCAAAATCTCGCAGGAGAGCTCTAGCCGTGGACTTAAATCTCGTGGAAACCTTCTTCGCGCAGTATCCGGACTTCAGCTATCGCAAAGGGAGACCAATTGTGCAGGAATTCTATAGGATGTGCGACTTCTTTGAGTGGGACAGAGATGACGACGAAAAAAAGACGGCTCACGAGGACTTCAAAACTGCTATGGTCCTCACGTTCAACACCCTTTATGGGACAGATGTTGACGACATTGACTCCTGGCACAGATTATGCGTTGCTTTGAATATTAGTCCGTTACCAAAAGGACTTAGGGAATGTCGGAGGGTACGTACTCCATCTTGCAACTCTTATAGAAGCTAATAACTACTTTGAACGGACAGGCTGTTCAGGGTGTGTATGTGAACCTCGTCGATTTAGTGGATACCAGAGGAGGGCAAGTCGAAATTTTTGATAGTCTGGAAGAGTTACAGGATTATACTATTGAAACTGGAAAATTCTTTCCTAAGGAGTCTGCATACGCTGGGGGTGTATTAAAGGCCCTGCTCAAGGAGATACCCAATAAACGACGCAGGAGACCAGGTGGCGTCGGTTCATATGGAGGTTATGGTGGGCCCTTCTAAGAATGAATGTCTAGTTGCAGTAATGTTCAATTCTTTTAAGTGATATCAAGTGTTACACCGTAAAGGCATTGGTGACGCAGGCTTGAGAGTCAAAGCCGATGTCACCTTTCTATTAACAGCCACGTTCTAGTAGAGATCCGAGGAGAGCTTTCTAGTAAGTCGTAGCAGGGTCGCGATCGCTATGGGTATATAGAACAGATCGACAACTAGACTTCTTATGCCTCATTATCCCCTTTGTTTTTCTCATAGCTTCGTCAGCCTGTAGATTCGCTACATCGAATATGTGCGTCATATGAAGGAACTAGAATGAAATGAAAGTCTGCGTGTTTCCCGTCGAATCAGGGATAGGTGTGCGAGAGCGAAGCTGTCCTGCGATGGCCTATGCTGGGCGGGAGCGTACATGGAAGCGAATTCACTAGAAAGCAGGCCGAAGCGTCTTTGAGCCTATCCGAAGGACCGAAGGAACGCCCAATTCTCTTAGACATTAGTCAAGCAATCGTGGTGGGTACGGCAGACTGACATGGTGCATACGTTCCGCTCCCTAAAAGACGAGGGCCGAAACTCCCACCAAGCAGCAAATGATTCCATACTCCTCAAAGAGTTGAATAAGTTGCATGATATGATGAGTCGCATGGCCGCCACAAGAGGCTCGCTGGAGAATTTCAGGCCGAAGACTTGTTGAAACGGTGTTTGACATATCTATCACCATGTGTATCTCGTTGCCGATACTCAGGTGGATCAGTTGGAGCAGAAGGGCGCATCTGCGGTTCGGTCGGGAAGTCCAAAAACCGGCTTAGGTGGGGCGTGGGGCTCGAGCTAGACATGGCTCTCGCATGTCTCTTTTGCTACGTGTCTAAACTAAGTACTCATTCAGTGAAGCTGCCCCAGGAGAACGCCAATCCCCGTATGTAAATATGAGAAACACCAAGTCTTGAAAGTCGTTGTTCGTGTCACCACGATCGGTGAATGCCTTCAACTTTAAAAAGGCATTCTCGAACCCATCAATGCCCACGATTTTGTCTATGCCGATCCGGACGACCTCCCTGGCCCCTCTCCGATGCAAAGGCTGTACGGATAGCGCGCGGTGCGAAACAAAGGGTTGTAGCGGAGCCGCTTGAAACAATAGTATGCACAATCGCATACTTGACCTGCCGCTATACACTAAGCCTTTCATGGATCGTGTGTATTTGGTCAACTGGTGCGATCTCGGGTCCTATAGAAGTCATCACGGGCTCGTGCACGCTACGGGCTCGTGCACGCTTCTCACCCCTCACCGCTTATTCTTCCACACCCCACAACTCCACCAATTTTCAACAGATTTCTATTAAAAATGGATAAAATTGAAGCTGCAATCGCGGAGCTTCACCTCCAAGAGAAAACGAACATCAAGGCCATGGCCGACAAGCATGGGGTTGACAGAAGCACCCTCTCCAAGCGCTTCCGTGGGAAAACTGGTAGCAAGGCAGATGGATACAATTCTCAACAGGTTCTCACCCCTGGGCAGTCCAAGGCTCTTATTAAATACATCAACAACCTATCTGAAAGGGGGCTTCCTCCTACGCATCAAATGGTGCGAAATCTAGCCTCAGCAATGGCTGGGATTATGCCAGGAATCAACTGGGCTTCGCGCTGGGTCAAACAGCATTCAAAACACCTCAGATCAGGATACCTCCTTCCCATCGATAAATTAAGGAAGAGAGCTGATTCAGCGCTGTATTACAGCCTCTACTTTGAACTCTTAGGACGAAAGATGCAGGAATACAATATACAGCCAGGAAATGGATGAGAAGGGCTTTCTTATCGGTTAGATGAAGAAGAAGAGGAGGATCTTCAGCAGGAATGCCTTTGAGTTAGGAAGAATGCGCAATGTTATCCAGGATGGAAATAGAGAGTGGATTACAGTAGTAGCAGCCATCTGCGCAGACCGTACGGCACTCTCTCCAACGCTCATCTATCAAGCTATAACGAACAACGTCCAGGACACATGGCTGGAGGATTTCGACCCCGACGAATATAGCTGCTTCTTTATATTAACACCTTCTGGATGGACTAATAACAACCTCGGCCTTTAGTGGTTAAAGATCTTTAATAGAGAGACAAAGGAAAAGGCTAGGAGAGATTGGAGGCTTCTTATTATCGATGGGCACGGTTCTCACGTGAATATGAAGTTTATTAAGTACTGTTATAAGAATAAGATTCTCCTGGCTATCTATCCTCCTTATTTAACTTACCGGCTTCAGCCTCTGGACGTCTCTCTCTTCTCTCCTCTGGCCATTTACTACTTAACCAAATTAAACCGGTTTATTTTAAATTCTGAAGGATTCTCACGCTTTATAAAAAGGGACTTCTTTAGGACGTTTTGGATAGCATGGGAGAAGGCTATAACACCAAAGAATATAGCTAGTGGGTGGAAAAGGACTGGTATACACCCCTGAGATCCTAATGCAGTATTGGACCAATTTAACATCAAGAAGGAAGAAGATGAAAAGAGACCATCCTCTAGCAACTCCACAAACTTAATTCTTATAGCTGGTGATTGGAAGAAGATAGAAACCCGGCTAAAAGAGGTGGTAGAGGACGTAGTTCGATCCAAGACCGATAGACGAGTAAGGGCTCTTACCCGGGATATTTATAAGCTTATGGCGACTAATTTACTTCTTTAAAGCCGTATTCAAGGCTACCAGGAAGCGTTTAAGATAGAACAGAGGAAGAGGAAGAGGCAGAAGAATCTCTTTCAGATTCTAGCCTCCAATGATGGTGGTAGAGCTATTATCTATTTACCTAATAAGGTGCGGCAGGCACGTGAGCTCCACCAAGAGAAGGAGGATGCTAAGGAAGCTGATATTGCTCGCAAGGCAGAGGATAAGGTGCGCAGGAAGCTAGCAAAGGATGACAAGCAAAGAATTAAGGAAATGACGAAGGCTAGCAAAGCTACTAAGAAAAAGCATCAGCTAGATGCTGAGGGCGAGAAGAAGCGCGCTGCAGATGAGGCTCATTATGCACGTGAGTTCAACAAGCAGCTCAAAGAGGAGAGCAAGTTGATGCAGCAGAAGCAGAAGGCTAAGACGGTTGTATTCACTATTCCTGAGGAGCCTTCTGCTGAGCAGGAGTGCGAGGGGGAGGATGGGGTTGTGAAGGCGACCTCTGGCCGGCCTCAGCGAATGCGCAACCCCCCCAAATGGCACGACGACTCCGTGGTGGTTATAGAATGAAAGTGAAACACCAAAAGGCTCTTGTATTTCAATTTGGTAGAAATCCATTCATATTTGATTGAGTTGTGAGGTTTTGAAGTTGGTGGTGATGCGTGATCAAAGCGTGCACGAGCCCGTAGCGTGCACGAGCCCGTGATGACTTCTATATCCAGAGAAAAAGATTGTGACAGATGCCATGCTGTGATTGCTCTGGCAAGGAATAAGTGAATGCTGCTGCCCACAGTCGAGGATGGAGGTGAAACAATGCATTGAACGAGGTAAGTAATGTATTCGATGAGCATCTATCTACGCTACGTACGCCGTATATATACTCTGTGTGTGTGTGGAGGCTTACTAAGCTGTACCGTAGAACTGTAAGGGCTAAGTATAGGAATCGTGTTCTATATTAAGGTAGCCGAGCTAGCCGTACCATACTCCGTAGGCGGTCTAGTTCGTAGGTGGCTAAGAATACGTACTCCGTTAACAGTTAATGTAGAGGCTAGACTAATGTTAGCCTTCTCCAGCCACACCGCAACCTTAAAATATTTAAGGTTGCTGAATGGCGCTAATCTACTCTAAGCCTAACCTCCTGCTGACTCAGCAGTGGGACTTTGCGACCCAAATGTCGCCTTCTTGCATGCTCCACCGTGCTATCATTTGATTCTTGTCGCCTCTAGGTTTTTTTTGCATTGCCTTTTTAGCCTTTCCCGACGCCATGAGTCCTGCCGACGCCTAGTTAGACGACATCTTTGGCGCCGGCGGCGCACACGAACCCCCTTTCTGCCAAACGTATCTGCAGACTACCTCGCCAAGCCGAGCAAAACAACGCCCTTATCCTCCTTCGTCCCGTCGCTCGCGCTTCGAAGCGCACACGCTCCGCCCCCGCTGAGATGAGTCTGCCGCCAAACGGTCCTGCCCTGAAAGCGCCTACAGACAACCGCGCGTAGAAATACTTCTGACTCGCAGTTCCAGACTCGAACCTGATCTACACCGAGGGCTACACAAATGAATACAAGCATGGAGACAGAAAGTGGTGGGGCGCTGAACAAGGCTCCAGCACAGCGGCGCAACCGGCCCAAGCCTGTTGTCTCGCGGCATTTGGAAAGGAACGCTGTAGATGGCGCTGATCCAAATGCGACTCCACAGGCGACTCGACCCGTGGTTATCCCGTCGGCTGGCTGACGTCTGCGACCGACCTAGTTGTAGAAGGCCACCAAGAGCTTCGTCGAGGCAGCTCCGCGCCTGCCGTGTCTTGACACCAGAAAGCTGTCCCTCGACATCAGGATCTCCTCAACGAAGCGTACGTTACAGGTCCCCGGAGTGGTCTCGTGAGACAAACGCTGTTCAAGAGGCAGAGCGTTCCTAAAGGTACAGGCGATCGATGCGTTGAGCGACTCACTCTCCTGACTTTCACGTCCTTCCAGTGTTGGAGTTCGGGGGTATTAAAGGCTTAACTCGGGCGCGCTCGCGGAAAATACATGGTTCTCTGTTAGGGTTGCTGTCGCCGGACGGCTATCATGGTGATGATGGGGAGGTTTCGAGCGTCTCTTGCGTACAAAAATGGAGGTGTGTTTGACGTGGCGAGCGTAGCAGTTTAACTACTTTTGGGGATGTAAGTACTTGAGCTCTCTAGAGGTATCTCCCGGCGAGTAGCACCTCATCCAAACCCTCCGACATGGCGACGTCACCCCTTGATATCAAGATTACAACGCGCGACGAATCGCCCTAGGGCCTGCGAAAATGGAGCCGGAACCAGCACCCAAAAATTGTAGAAGCAGGTCCAATGCGATGCGGCCGAGCAATAGCAGTATAATGTAACGTGATTTAGGCAGCATCGCCTAGTTGGATGGATAGGGTACATATATCGATTTTGTCCTAGCGATGGGTCATTTCCCTTGCAGCATGTGACAGCGCGTCCGTACTGCACCTGGGGTCCGATCTGGGAAGTGTTTGAATATATCCTTCCACTCCATGGCCATGTTCCTGTACGCAAGTAACCGCAGGTCGTCCGACTCCAACCACTGTACACGCGTTCGTTGGCGAAAGCGCATATCGCCTCTGTTGAACCTTGGACCAGGGCCCATAGCATAAGGCTTGTGTTTTGCTGTGTCTTCATCTCTATCCTCGTTCTCGTCCTCTTCGCCCGTATAGTTGTCTGGGTGGTCAGCGCCATAATTCGCAGCATCGCTGTTATTCTTCTGGTCTGCACTGAGCACTGTCCAGCTCCGACGAGGACGTGAGTCTGATGAGGTAGGTATATATTAATAATATATCTTTTTATTAGTATATTAGGCAAAAAACCTTTATAATCTTTATAAGCAGGATCGCGAACACAAGTTAAACCGGTAGAGGGCGGTTTCCTAAAATATTATTAACTATACGCGATAACTAGATTAGGGCTGTCTATCTATTATAGGCGTTTATAAACCCCAGTAGTATTAAGTTAATATCTATCTTTCCCCGGCTAAAGATTTATTGTGGCTTATATTTAATCGCTAGAAGTTCCTGTTTAGTTATCTAATAAGAAGCACTGTTAAAGCTAAGTCTGCCCGCTGAATTATTAGATATATATAAGAAAGGTAGTACTAGTAGCTTAATATTGTGATGTAAAGAGTATTAAAAACCGTTCTGGCTTGTCTCTTAACTATTTCCGCGGTTAGTGAAGTAAGCCGTTACCACTTTCCCTGAGATATCTCGTACCTTCGCTCTCGAGACGAGCTGTCGTATGATAATGCAACTAGACTTTGGGATGGCTCCATTTGTATATCGTTGTCTGAACTTCCTCCATCGCTATGCTGATTTTGAGACGAGTCCTAGACAGTCATTAGCCGTATTCTCTTTCATCGTGTCTAGAAAACCCAACCATCAGAGTCCTGGACATTGCTTTGGCAGAGTGACGCGTAAATCCATTCCTTGGCACTTCTTGTGCAAGCTGGAGCGCTGTAGTCCTGTTCGACGCAGATTTATGTAGCGCCCAACGGGACAGTACCGTGGACCTCATGAGCATGTCGTTGCCAGTGCATCTTGTTGTCCAAGTCGACCTGACAGATTGCATCTGATAGATTCTCCTTTCCCAGCATTTGCTAGGTGCTTTCTCTTGAAATGTTTGCTGAGATCGCCAGAGGTATGAAACGAGTATGTGCGCAGTTCTGTCGGCAGATTTTCGTTACCCAGGCAAACGAAACATATCCTCGGCCTCGTTTCCTTGTACACAGACACCTTGGCTGCCTCGAATGCTTCTTCGTCAAGCTCTATTTGGCTCTTAGCCGGCGGGGTAACGTTTACGCTCCGTCGCTTTGCTCGAGTGGGGTGCATTCCGCCCTCCTCAACCCCACAATATTCCGTGACGGCTTGGATGGCTCTATTACGCCGGCGTATCTCTGCTTCCAGAGTGACTCCCGGCGGGGCCATAGTAGCGTCGACCAGCTTCGCGAACGGGCTGGCGGAGGCTTCCGCAGAAATCGGCTTCTTCTAGCCCAAACTCGACCAAGCAATGGGCACTAGCGACGTCTTCTACGCCCCGGAAGTGACAGCTACATCCGCGACGTCTTCAGGCGCGGTTGCGAGTCAACTGAGCCTTCCCAAAAACCTCAGACCCCAACTAGTCCTCCACGACTACCTCCGTTAGCTTCCTCTGAAAGAACATCCGCATATCACACTGCCTTCAAGATTCGTTGATACACCTCGCCTCTGCCAACAGACGAGACTAGACAAGATACGTGCGTGTGCTTGAGGAATGATGGAATGGCAGCTAATGATGGCGATTGAATAGATATTGATACAATGTCACGCCGTTCTCTGGCGTCCTTGAGCGAGTAACTGGACTGAATGTCACCAGCATGTTTAAGCAGTTGCTGGGTCGAAAGAATTCGTACCAAAACCGAACGCGCTCAAACACTCCTCAAACCTTCCTTCGAACTTAAAGCAGCTTTATCCCACACCTTACACAATATCATTCGACAGATGCAGCTCTTGCAAGACGACATACTACCGCCTGATGGGGAAGAGGGGCGAGGTGGCGGGTATGATGGAAGAGAAAGCGAGCGGATTGGACAGGAGTGACAACAAGACAATTCACAACACAAGACGAGCCGCAAGACGCAGTACAAGCTTAAAATAATACACAAGTTGAAACATTGCGAGCTGCGCAGGACGGATGTGAGAACCAGGCACAAGAGGTCAACATTGACATTATAAAGCTCAGGGCGGCATGCAAACAAGCGTCAGAACGTATCTTTTCAAGCAAGAGTATTTCGGCTCTAACATGATCCTAACTGCGCTTGTCCTTTCTATCGCCCCAGCGACTCTGAGGTTCAAATTACAGCGAGCAGCGTACTTACGTACGACGAAGCCTTACTCACTCTCATTCTATAGCACCAAGGGCGATAGGCTCTCCATTAGGCATCTTTACTGGGTTAGCGTAATTGGACAGTTCAAGCGGGGCGGACAGTTTAATCATGCGAACAATTCAATCACGACATAGGATCCTGTTTGCACGATTCTCCCGCTCTCACGACCCTCCCACAACACCTACCTCACGATTGCCAGCCCACAAGGCGCAGATGGATCATGAAGTCACAAGCTACCGACGCACAAGTCACCGACACCGAGTTTGCTGCCAACAGCAAGGTCGCCAACAGCAACCCCGCGAAGCTCGCCGAGATTATCAGCTCACGGCACCATGATGAGCTCATCGCGTAGCAAAGATCTTCATTACTAATAGACGGGATATCTTCCGGCACTAGGGTAAGCTAGGGAATCGTGCAAGCCGGGGAATCGTGTGAGCAGATCAATCGTGTGAGCAGATCAATCGTGTGAGCAGATCAATCGTGTGAGCAGATCAATCGTGGAAGAAGTAGTAGGTTCGCGTTGCATGTTTTGCTCACAAGCGCGTTGCAACAGCATCAGTTTTCTGCGAAGATAGTGCGTAAAAACTCCAACAGAGCAAGCATAGATTCAGTCTACGTTTCCAAATTTTTGGATATCTGTATCAAGAACCCTAATCCCGAGGACTATCCTTACAAAAACCTCATGTTCGCCAGAACAAATTCCCCCTATATCTCTGCTTGACTAACCGTTCTCTTGCGAATCAAATGAAGTTTCACTCGCTTCATTAAGAGGCTGATGCAACCGCTTTGGATAAAAAAGGCGTCTCCACGGTTCCACCTCGAGCACCTTCAACGCTCATTGACATGGTTCGGCCTGGCCTGGTACGGCGACGCCCTAAGGCTGGTTGTATAAATGGGGTATTCAACGTATTTTCGTGCACTTCCTGTGCGGCGGTGCGAAGCTGAGCCTTTGTGAGAATAGTACCGGCGGTGATCGGCTGGACCACGCTTGCCATGGAATAAACCCGCGGGAATATGAGGTACGGCTCGTCCTCTACATGGTCAGCATTGACTGGCGAGACAGTCTGCTCTCCTTCCTTGCGATCTGCAACCTGAAATTCGAATATCTTCCACTGGTGGCCAAGCTCATGGGTGTACTGGAAAGTGGGTTCAAGCCTTTGCTTGCCGTACTGGGCGGACCGCCAAGTCCCATTTGCTTGCTCTAAGAAGCTTTCTAGCTCCTTTTCGAACATCCCAACAATATCCGGGGCTATGATATCGCAGATACCGACTTTGTTAGTCAAGTCATCCACAACTGAGTATATCCTGTGTCTTGCTTCCCCCTCTTGCTCCTCAGGAAACATTGACATAAGTATACCTCGAGCAAAAGTCTCTTTCTTGGTTTCGATAACCGCTTGGCGGTTTAGAACCGTTCGGATTCTATCGCTGCTATTGCTGCCGTCCAATAGATATACGGGCTGAAATATATGCTTATTAACCAGCCTCGCAAGGTTTCCGAGGGCTGTTGCGATCCGCATCTCTTTCGCAATGTCGGAATTTGATGTGGGTAGTGGTATTCGGTGGTTGAAGATTGTGTTTTTGTGCAACTTGGTCCAATGTTGCTGTACACCAGATGAGAACTTAGATGTGAGAGAGAGGGTTGGATAGGCGCACCTGGAGCATATGATCTGGGAGATCCTGTCTGAGAAATTTTGCTACAAACAAAGTTGCCGAATTCCACAAGTTCTCCAATTCGCTCGCCCTAGAGCAACATTGTCAGCTATCGAAGTTGCCGCAGATCTCAAGTTGCTTACATAGTTGGCAGATTTATGTCATGTAGAGGTGCAGAGTAGCTGAGTAATTCCTTTAGACTTTCATCCGTATCTTTGAACTTATTCTGAAGAACTTCATGCTGACGCGTAGACTCCTTTAGTAGCCCTTCCAGCTCAGCTACCCGATTCTGGGAGTCGCTCAGTTTCTTGGAGGTCTCGACTGCATTTGCCTTCGATTTCTGTAGCTGATTTTTCAGGTCTCCAATTTCCTGCTCTCTCTCCTTCAATCTGGATGTCTTTGTATCGTGCTCAACTTTGAGCTTCCTGCCTTTTGCAATGGCATCATCCCGCGCAGTTTTGAGTTCGGCGTTCTCCCCTTCTTTGCCCTTTACCTCGGTTTGTAGCTGAAAAATCTTATTTTGGAGTGCGGCATTTTCGTCCTTGAACTTGTCGTACATCTTGTTGTAAGTTGACAACGCATTCTGCTGTTGCGTAGAGTGGTTTTCCGTTTGGGTTTTCAAATGTGTCTTCAGCTCCTCGAGTTCATTTTCCTTCGCTCCAATTTCTTTCTTTAATTGGGGGACCTGATCAATCAAGTGGGAGAATGCCTGGAACCCGTCGTTTGAGGTAAGAAAGTCGATCGCAGCTTTGAAATCTTGGGCTATACTGAGGGAGCCAGACAGGGATGTGATGCCATTGATGGCCGAGCCGGCTTGGGCAGACGTTTGCTTCAGCGCCGTAGACATTGTCGCTTCTGACCACCAGCAAGGATAAGTCCGTCCTAGCAATGGCTTTAAAAACCCGCGAGTATTGAACAGACTTTGAGGCTCAAGAGATACGCAAGCCTGCTGTGCTCTCGGAACCAGTAAAGTTGCTCTGTGGACCTCCTCCTCTGCTCACCGATGCCCTTTGCCGCAGACGCCGCGGACAAATATCAGTCACCAATTAGGAGTGCGCTGATGCTTCGATTATGCAGGAAGCATCTGTCGTGACTGGCCATCACGTATTGTTATCAACAATTCTTCAAATGTGGCTTACAGGAGCAATTAAGAGGAGAAGAGTGGGGGTGCCAGCGCGAATTAGTGGTTGCGCGGATACGGGAGGCATACACGTACATGAACTGATGCATGTCACTCCAACTACAGAGGTCGATTGCAACGGGAGCTTAGGCAACAACGATCCGGTGGGCCGCATCGATAATCCTTTACCCCGCGCTGGGAACCAATAGTTGCCATTCCACATAACCTTGGAGACGTGGTGGATTGTTACTAGGCCAGGGCGTGCCCTATCTCGATGTCAACTCACCAGGCAGTAACGTGTCAAAGCGCTGAAAAGCGGGACACGGTGCTCCCTAGCCAGTAAAAGGCTGGCAAATGTACTGTACTGCAGTCCGCGGAAGGCAAACAGAGGACCTCAAGTGACAGGTGCTCTTTAAGGTGTTTAGTGTCACAGGTGTGATCTGAGTCGCGTGCTGACGACGAGTGGAAACGCAATCTCGATTCAGCTAAACGTGCAATGCAATGCACAAAGCTACGCCTTTCTTGCACCCGCTTTGCTACATGCGGCGTGCCCACCTTAACTGCTCAGCAACATAGAAACGTTGCGCCAATCGTACTTTGCCACATAGCACTAAATGGTGCCATCACTGTGCCGCAGAGGATGGATATGCGGGCGATGCTAAGTAGATATCTCTCGCTTCGTAACTTCCGTGTGATGCCGGACTCTCAAGTGCGTTCTCTCAAGGAGCTAGGCCTCATTCAGCTTAGCGGCTCCTCCACCCCCTCCAGTCTCACCGAAGCTTGGGGACTCCCACCTCAATGCCACTCGACTTCTTCAAATTTCCAGGCGAGATCCGAAACAGGAACTACGTAGCTTCCGTGTGACGCTAGACTCTGAAGTAGGGCTTGGTGGAGCATGGGGCGTTCTCGGAAGGAGTGCATTGGAGTGGGGAGTACGGGACGGGACGGTACCGGTACGGCCGGCTCAGATCACTGCATGAAAGTGCCGAGTCGAATGCTAGGTAGCTAAGCGAAATGAGACCTTACTCGAAATCGATGCTTATCCAAAATAAACATCGAAGCCAAAGTCCGCCGATCGACCGAATCGAGCTATAAGGACCTTGAGGAGGCACGATCGAAGCGTGATGCAAAGAGAAAGCCACCGCAGGCAAGGTAAAACGTGGTCGTAAGCGCAAGAGTCCTGTGGCAGAGGCAGAGGCGGGTTCGTCGGTGCCAAAGCTATCTCTACATCTTCCCCTCGCCATTCAGGCAGAGTTAGAAGGCTGCCGTCTAGTCAGCGCGGCATCTTTGTCCGTGTTCGAAACATAGGTCACAAACAATGCATCGAGTGCACTGTATCCGTTGTGACACCTCTTGTTTGGTGAAAAGCGAAGGCTCAACCACAGCGACACGCCAAGGCTAGCAACAGCAGACCTAATTGGTAGACACGTCAACTACAGGCATGGTGACTGTTCGCGTATTGTCTGGCTAACAAGCGTCGTCACTGAGACTGGTTTCGTTTTATCGCCCAATCGTCACAGTACATCAGAACCCCTTCGAAACAGCTGAAGGACTCTCTTTAGTCGTGCCTATGCGGATATATCTACTATCTGCCGCGATTTCTTGGGGGGCAGATCGATCGTTATCTGCAAACCCTACCGGAATAACATGGAAGGATTGCGACCTTTACTAGGTCTAAAAGCCACTTCAATCGTCAGGTCTTTCACAACGGCCTCGCCCACATTGAGTCTTCAGAAAACAGCCCATAGTCACTCTGGCTAGCAGAAGGTACGAATTCTACTTTGTCAAAGATCGATCTCTGCCTGACCCTGACGTTAGGGGAAGGATCGGCCGGCCAATCACGGAAAGCCTTGGACAACGAGAGACGACCGCCGGCTTCTGAAATTATGTGGTCAGAGAAGAGATAGTCCAGAGATCTCCAGAATTTCGCGTCGGAGCGTTGCCTCCATGAAAAAGAGGAAGGCGACGTTAACAATCAGTTCTCGACGCCCACAGGACGATAGACCCGTGTCCATAGTTCACCAACTTAAACGAGCCTTGATGGTGTGGATGTGATCCAGGCGAGGGCGGCGGCGGGAGAGATAGATAGAGTGGGTGTTGACTAGGTAAAGTCGAGACAGGCTTGGTCGTCGCGTAAGAAAGGTGACGAGTAGCTACAGGAAAGAGGGCTATAAGGTAACCCCTCGTGCTACGTATCACTATGCAGCTACAACGGAGATCTCTCACCAGTATTGAGCCTTCAGTGCTTTTACTCTGATGAGTTTTTGATTCATATATTCTCGTAATCTAGATCGTTGTCTGCCATACGCTTCGTTGCTCTCTCCTCTTGCTCAACATATCTTGCTTCATCGCTCGAAGTGATCTCTTCAGGAGGCGTTTTCGACCTCTTCCTCTTCTTGATTCCAGGGAAAATAGTATGCCTGACAAGTGCTTTCTGCCGTTTGATCTTGTTTTCTGCAGTATGAGACCCTAGCGGAAGCAGCTGAATCTGCCAAGGGAGAATCTGAAAGGTGCGCGGCGAGCGCCATGCCTGTCGACGATGATTCCTCCGCCTATGACGATGTTAGAAGCTATTGAGGGCGAAGTAGGGTGCTAAAAGCTTACCGGCGTGTCGGCCGCCAAACCCTTTAGTCCACATAAGACCCATGGTGATTGTGATTGGTTGAGTGGTGGTGGTTTTGGTTGATGAAGTGCTTTGAGGTTGATGAGGTCGTAGAGAGGTTTGGTAGAGGTGGTGCAAAAAGAGCGGCAAGGTCGGTATTTATTGCCTTCAAAGGATTGTGTGACCTGGAAGCTTGCTGTCGGCAGCTTGTTGTGCCCAGAGAAGTGATGAAGGCCAAGCCAGAGCCAAGCCTCGTTCTCATTCCCACTTTCCAACCTCCACCCCCAGGGATCGGGATGCATCTCGATGATCGCATAGCCACATGCATAGCCACAAAATGTGGCGTCGGAAACGTGGGGTTTCAAGTGTTCTAACCGCTTGTTCATTTTACACCTCCTCGCCAAGGCCTAGAGATCCTCGAAGGCCCAGCACTCAAAAGAAAGGATCCTTTTGACACGGTCGAAATACCGACTCCGAAAATCGCAGTTCCGCAAATAGCATCGCGAAGCATTTTCCATTCTTGGAAGGCTAATCAAGAGCAGCCAACAGCAGAAGGCAGGCATTTCAAAGCCTGTACGGACCTCTCAATCTATACACAGCCTTAACGGCTTCAACGTATCGACGGGAAGCACGCATAGAGGTCACGAATCGATGCACTGATGAATGGCCATCGCCATCATGTTCCTTACAGACGCAAGTTAACGAGCGAATGGACAAGGCTTCAGCTTCTCACGATATCAATGCAACACGTCATCCACGAAACAGTTTCAGCTACTAGTAGGATTCTAAAACGCCATTATGCACTAAGCATCCATAGGAGCGACGGAATGTCCAAGCAGCATAAGCACTGCTTTGCGCCGCCGAGACTAGATTTCCGCCCCAGGTTTCTCAGCCTTCAGCTTACTGAGTAGCCACTACTAGGGGCCATAACCTTAGGATATGCACCAAAGTCCATGATGCCTTTCCTTCTGTTTCATCAGTCGTCACTTTGTCTTCTTCTCTTGTAGTGTGCCCTTTCGTAAGATGCCAGACCGGCAGTCGGCAGAAATCGCACACGATGGCACCCCTGAGCTGAGTCAGAAACAAGGCTACATTTTGTACCTATGCCATTTACTATCAGCATGGAATGCGAGGTCTTATGAGTTTGCTGCTGTTCGTTTCCATTGACGCCCACATCCCCAAGCTTGTCTAATTTCCCTCAACTAGATTCTGTTCACAGCCGCTGCATATCCGGGCGGTTTTCGGGCTACATCTTTCGTGTAAGCTCTGTATCTTCACATCTTTCAATCAAAAAGCCCATTTGGGAGTATCTAATGTCGAAAAACAGTGGTATTACTATAAGTCTCGCTGCCATCCTCTTCGCTTCGGCCGTTGGAAAATGGATCGACCACGCCCCATCGCGTTTGAGAACACTCCTAGCGACCATCATCATCAACAGATCCACCATTATCGTCTCCTGCTTTGGTTGGTTCTTGATAGTCGGCGGGCCCAGCACGAAAATCCACGGGCGAAGTTCTCCCCTAGATCAGGACTCCTCCTTTGAACTACGAGGAGCACCAAAACACATCGTCTTCGCCTTTGGCCTAGGCCTCGGTATCATAGAAACCCTCTCCCGAAAGGCAAATGTAATCTCGATGGAGCGCGACTGGGTGCCTGTACTCGCGCCCGAGACGGGCGCTATCCACTTCACTCTTACGCAGGTCAATGCCACGATGGCACGAATCGACATGATCTGCAAAGTGCTCGCTCCCATCGTCGTCTCAGGCTTTCTTTCCATCGTCCCATCGATCCGATATGGAGTGGTAGGAATCGCGTTGGCGAATATACTAAGCCTGTGGCTAGAGTTCTGGACAGCCCAGTGGCTTTGGAGCCAGTGCCATACCCTGCGGGAACCAAAACTGCCCGTGATCGCAGAATACGACTGCAACGGCGACCCTATCAGTCACGCATATCCTTCCCAGCGCGGGAACACGTTCTTGGCTCTCTGGATTGAAAGCGTCCAAGCATGGTGGCATGGGTACATCCCTAGCCTGCGCCTTTTCTTTTCCACCGAAGTCTGGATCTCAACGATAGCAATGTGCATGACGCACGCTTCCGTGCTGTCCGTGAGCGGCAGTGTGATCGTGTTTCTCTTGAATTCTGGCTACTCCATGAAAGTAGTGACCGTCGCCGAAGCAGCCAGTGCCATTTTCGAAGTCGGTAGTACATTTGTCGCGCCCTTCGCCGTCCGGAAATTATCGCCTATAGCCTCGCCAGCGTCACATAAGTTGCTCCGCGTGTCTTCCAAAGACGACGCATCCGACTCCTCCGTCGAAGAAGAAGACGTGGAGTCAGACGTGGACCCCGATGACTCTCTCAATCACCATAAAGCGGGGCCGGATATCAACAAGGGGATAACGCGGCTCGGTCTCTGTGGTATCCTCTCAATGGCGTTAACCTTAGTACCACTCCCTCCCCAACAGCTCCTGGCCAAAACACCGCTAACAACCCCAGACCCCCACCGTCCCCCTCTTCGCCTATCTAATCCACCACCTCACCTACCCCATCCCCCCATCCACAGACTCGCCCTCCCTGACAGCCCATCCCTTCATATCCCTCTCCATCGTCCTCCTCCTCTCCGCCTCGCGCCTCGGCCGCGGCCTCCTCCAGCTCTCGACCCAGCAACTCGCGCAAGCCCGTGTGCCAGCGCACCAATGCTCCAGCTTTGCGGGGACGGAGGTCGCTTTCGTCAGCGTGTTCGGTCTGAGCCATAACATCGGGACCGCGATCTGGAGCGCGCCAGCGCAGTTTGGGTGGCTGGCCGCTGGGAGCGCGGTGGCGGTGGGGATGGCGGCGGCGGCGTTTGGGTGGTGGGTTCGAATGGAGCGGAAGGGGGGGAGGGCTAGGTTGTAGGGTTCTAGAATTAGAGGTATGATGCTGAATATTTGATCTGTGCGTGTACGTTTTTGCTGCTACGTGAAGGGGTTCTAGGACTCAGGAGTCGTCGTTCTGAGCAATCTTTAAGGTTTTGAGCAGTGGGCCGTGGAGTACAGTTGAAGTAGACAAGTGTGAACGGATCGGCAACTAGGCATTGCTCATATTGGAAAAGAGGTGCCTTACTTGGTCGGATGCCTTGCTCAGCGGCTCTGGGGGTGCAGATTTGGAGAGGAGGTCTGCGCGCGAATGATGTGGCATTGAGGAATCGCATCCTTCCCGCTTGCTGTTGACAAATGAGAAGGATCAATAGGTCTAGAGAGTGAATTAGGAGCTGAACGACGCTTGAAAGTTTTATGTGCTGCGCTTAAAAAAGGTGCAAAAAGATATTAGCATAGTTGACTTTTAAGGGAGCAAAACCCCAGGGCTCGCCGTAGTAAGCCCACCACTTTTCTGTGGCCGCCGGAAGAAACCCCTTGGAAGAAGTTTTTGAAGCGATCAGTCCTCGGACCATTTAGATTTTCTTGTTGTGAAAGCTCTGGAAAATAATGGAAATATAGACTACCTCAGAAAGTAAATTACCAGAACCGTGCATCTTACGCACTATCAAGCCACCGGCTCTTACCTTGTGGCATTTCAAGTGGCTTTTCGTGGAGGTGCACGGATTTGTTCGGGCTGGTCATCAGGAAGGTGCGTTTCACTGTTTAGGATGGAGTGCATCAAGCATCCTCGCAAACACGGAGAGCCACCTGGTCTTTGAGAAACGCCTAAGATAATGTGAAATTTGTCCTCATTGTCGGTCGCGTCTACGGCTATGATGTCTTTCTTTGAGGGGATGAAGATCGAAGATAACTTATAGCCGGTCACGTGAGTGACACACTTTCCAACCAACAAATCTTACCAGAGTCGAAGATATAATAGTGAAGCCCATGTAAGTAGTTGGTTGCGCTGTGGGGGTACACAGTGGCTCTACTGAAATAACAGGTGGGCTACAAGGATATCGCCAATGTATCGCAGGTTTGGATCCCCAAGGAGCGGCTCGAGTCTCTAAGCCCTAGTCCACGTCCAGTTTAACTATGATGACGTTCGAGCGTAGCTTGAGCAGGACGGCCTGGGCGACAGTGCCATCGTCATTTGGTGTCTCGCGTTGTAGCTTTATTCGAAGGTTATGGTGTAGTCCTGACTTGGAGTTCCATGACCTGTACATTTGTTTCGTAGCCGATCCGCAGCCAAGTGATGGCTTGAAAGGCTACTAGGCTCGCAGTCAGCGCGAAGCATAGTCCTGCTTGGGAGTCTCGAGAAAGTTACATCCTGTTTCAGTTTTCATGCTCACACTGTCAGGCCTACCCAATCGAGAGTGGCTTCGTGATTTAGTATTGAACCAGTGTTTGCTGTGGTCAATGATAGAAAGTCACACAAGCGTAATAGGAAACAAACATGATAGGAGAGTGACTTTTAAGACAGCCGGAACCCTCCCCCAAACCCACCCAGACCCTATGTACAGTGAGAAGAGGACGGTCCGGGTATGAGACCCCAAATGCCCAACAATGACCGTTCGTGGCAGTATTTTAGGGATAGATGCCATCGATTCGCATCTTCAACGAGTTTCATCCTTCGTAGCGCCCCAACGCTTATCCGCATTGCGACCCATCATTTCATCGGGTAACACACAGCATACAGCACGAATCCCACTCCCAGCCTACGCGCCACTCTATCGGCCAGGCAGACCCCCGGCTTGTGCCATGGCGGCATTCTGCTCCTGGAAGCGCTCTCCTAACCGCGTCTGGCTCTTGAGATGTTTGTCTACGCAGCGCATCACACAGCTCTCTTCCCGCGAGGTGAGCGACTTGGTCTCGAAGCTGTTGATGCAACTGTTGAAGCAGTTCTGGACAAGGTTCGAGTAGACCTGGGCGCCGGATTCGTCAGTGGTGGTCTTGGTGCCGGAATGGAACGGGGAAGAGTCGAAGCCGGCATTGGGGATTTGAGGCGGGGGATGAAACAGTCTTACGTTCATGAACTCCTTCATCTGCTTCTTTTCCATGCGGCTTTGCAGCTCGCGCTGTTCTTGTGGGTTGAGTCTGGGTTTGGTTAGGAGGGCGGCGGACAATGAGAGGCGGTACGCACGCGTCCATTCCAAGAATGTGGTGAAAGCTGCTTTGTAGGGTCTAAGGCAGGGTCGTACGAGATGGGGAGTGTGGGCGAGAGGACGGGTTTGTGGGTTACAGGGTCGTGTGGAGGGGATTGATGGAGCTCTCGGCCAAGCTCTGTATATTTTGCAGCTTGGACGTCGGCTCCCAGGTTGAGCCACTGTGGATTCAGCCACACGGGGAGCCGTGCGGGCCTCCAGTCAACATGACTCCATCCGTATATTGCTGGCCTGCCGACATCAAGCTGACCTGCTCGAAACGCTGCAGCCCTTACCAATCTGCTTACCCAGGTCCACTCGGCGCGACTGCTATTGCAAGCGCCGGCCTCGTGCTCTTCCTACAGCCTCACCCCCAGCGCCAAGCATCTTCTTTATTATTAGACGGCAGACAAGCACAGGCCAGTCAGTCAGAAGAGAGCGACACAGCAGTCGCCTCCAGCTGCCAGCATCCCATCAGCTCGGGGGACGGGTGCCCTGCCTTGGAATCTTGGAACAGCTCTGCCCATCAGACATTGGCGCGCTAAGCTGTCGAGGCTGCTGTCAGGCTGTCTCTCACTCTCCGCCCCATTATTCAACTCGACTCCTCCGCTCTCGTCCCTGTATGGTGCTGTCTTCACCAGCCCCTCCACACCGAGCTTCATTCACTGTCGCCTGCCAGCGCTCATACCGCACTGTTTGAGTCGCATCCACTCCATCGCGTCGCCGCGTTTTGCACCCGCTTCCGCTTCCGCTTCAAGACGTCGAGCCCCCAAACCCTCCCAAATCCCGCCTCACCAACCCTCCAACTACTGCGCTCACACCTTCAACTGCGTCCGCTGCTCTCACCGCACCTCGTCGCCAGCACCCTACCCGTGGCGCCCGCCGCCCGCTGACTTACTCCTGGCCGTCCGCTGAGCTTTGCATCTCGCTGCCGCCTGGCTATTTTGGGATACCCAGCTGCCGACAGCTACCTCTCACCGGCCCGCCTGCCGAGGCCATTGCGCGAACGCCTCCTCGATATATTTACTGACGAGGAGCCCGCTCGTCGCCCGCCGCCATGGCGAACCACAGCTCTGCGCCGCTGTCGACGCCGCGCGCAAGGAACGGCGAACCCCAGCCTGCTCCGCCCCATGCCTCTGCCTCGACCGCAGCCGAGCCCGCCTCGACCAAACGCGATCTGACAAGTTGGTGGAAGCAGTTCAAGCGCGGTAATCCCCGCAAGGAAGAGGAGAAAGGTAAGGATATCTTATATGGGTTGTTTGAGGCTGCTCAGTGCGTTGGTGGGGGATTGGCGCTGTTGATCCATCTGATAACGGCCGAGCGTTTTGCTTTTTTAGCGGATGGATTTGCATTCACACGGTGTTAGGTTCATATGCTAATATTTTACAGAACCCGTCCCTCAAGGGATCTTTGGAGTCCCTCTCGATAGGAGTATAACGTATGCCAATGTTGCTATTTCACTCTTCAATGAAGGAGGGGAAAGTTATATATACGGCTATGTGCCCATTGTTGTTGCGAAGTGTGGTGTCTTCTTAAAGGAAAAAGGTTAGTGGGCATGTCTACAAGCCGTCTCGAAGTGAGCGCTAATTTATGCGTCTATCAGCAACCGACATCGAGGGAATTTTTCGTCTTGCTGGGTCAGAGAAACGGATAAAAGAGCTCAAGACTCAATTCGATACGCCTGATCGGTATGGGAAAGGGCTGGACTGGACGGGGTATACAGTCCACGATGCCGCCAATATTCTCCGGAGATACTTCAACCAACTACCGGAACCCATAATACCGCTGGACTTCTACGAGCGCTTCAGACAGCCTCTTCGAAACCACCAGGCTGAAGCAGTTGGACCCATGGATGGCCAGGCACCTTCAACCGGAGGCTTTGATGTCAATGCCGCCATCAGAATATATCAACTGCTGATCAAGGATCTACCTCCACTAAATCGGCAACTATTGCTCTACATCCTCGATCTTCTCGCGGTCTTCGCAGCCAAAGCCGACGTCAACAAGATGACGACCTCCAATCTTGCAGCTATCTTCCAGCCAGGAATCTTGTCCCATCCATCACACGACATGTCTCCCAACGAGTATCGTCTAAGTCAGGACGTCTTGATATTTCTGATTGAGAATCAAGACCACTTCTTGATCGGCATGGAAGGGACTGCGGTAGATGAAGGGACTGTTAAACACATTGAGAGCGGTGCTTCGACCCCACAGGCTCGCACTCCGACGACACCCGCTCGAGTAAAGTCTACCGGCCTCGGGAGATCAGCATCCACCGCAAGTGCCGTCAGTGCAAGTGCTGGCGCCGACAATGTCAAAAGATATGGATTCGTCAAGAGGAATGTTTCTGTCTCTTCGAGGGGTTCACGGCACTCAGGTGTTGCCCCTAGTCCAGTGACGCCTTCGTTTGCAACACCAACGTCAGCATCTGGTGTTCACAGGAGTAACACTGTTCCGTCACAACGGTCGCCTGCCATCGGCCCAGCTCGGTTCTCCCGTGAAAAGAACTCAGACCCCCCCACACCGACTGAAGCCCCAGGCATCGCTCCGGTACTCGAGCAAGCTATTGTCGCAGCGCCATCTCCCCAGAAGCAGCAAGACCCGGTACCTGCACCTGCACCTGCACCTGCTCCAGCTCCAGCTCCAGCTCCAGCTCCAGCTCCAGCTTCAGAACCCGTTCAACAAGCTCCCGTGCCTGCACCTGTGCCAGTCCAGCCAGCGACAACTCTGCCACCTAGCGAACCACGTCCATCGGCAATTGTTTCTCCTCCATCAAGCGAAGACGTAACTCCGACGCCGCCTGCGGTTAGCGAGGCTAGGTCGATGTTAATGTTGGCTCCCGAGACACAAGCTCCCAGGCACATCAGTCACTCGCCAGCTAGGGAAAGGTCGGAATTTGTGGAAGGGCCGATAGACAGTCCGAAGACGCCAACGTTCGAGTCGATGCCCGGAACGGCGCGCACATTTACTCAGATTCTCAAGAATCGCCCGTCTCCTCAGTCTGCCGAGGAAAAGAAGGTCGAGGAGAGGAAGACCGAGGAGAAGAAACGGCCCAACAAGCTTCAGAAAAAGGGCCGTGTTCCTAGCAGTGCGAACCCAAGCGCACAGAGCTCAACGCATTCTCTGTCTGGCCACACCATGACAATGGACCAGCCACCGTCGCCCCTACCTCCTGGGATGTCGTCAAGTTACCACTCTGCTTACTCTGGAGATCCCTTCTATACGTCTCACCAAGAATCCAACCCATCGAGGACGTCAGGATCTACGTTGAAGCCGGCCCCCTCGCCTTCTCCGTCCTTCAAGTCACACTCAACGGCAGCGGAATACTCCGAGGGCGATGATTCCGGAGCTCTGAACAGCGAGAAAAGGGAGAAGAAGCGATGGCACATGCATAAGCGCGACGAGAGCAAGTCAACAGTCACGCCGACAGCCAGCCAGACTGCCTTCGGGTCGGTAATTGGTGCTGAGAAGAGCATGAGCTCGTTCAACAGCTCTAATCAAGGGCGGCGCAGTCTGCAAATGGACAACAACCAGTACGGTCAATCACCACCTGAGCCGTCAACCCTACCAGGCAGTTCAACGGAGCCAGCGAGCTCTTCTAGAGACGGCGAGAAGAAGGGCCTCTTCAACCGCTTCCGCGAGAAGATGCACGAGCGGAAGGAGGAGAAACAGCGGCTGAAGAGCCCGCCTGGTAGCACGGTTGACTTGCCTGCGTCAGGACAGACTCTGGGAAGGCCGATGGAACCGATGCCGGTAAGGGGGAAGAGCATGGATGTGCCAAGAGACAACAAGCAGGAAAGGCAGGTCGAGTCTCAGCCTCAGGCTGCTCCTCCGGCTGTTGAGCAGAAACCTGGCCCTGCACCAGCTCCCCCTACCCAAGCTCAACCTCCTCCGACAGCTGCACAGGCTCAACCCGCTCCTGGTGTACCCTCGGAGCAGACCCCGACAAATGCTAATGCCCAGATTTAGTATTCGTCTTGAAGCTCTAGTAGTAGAGAAGGTGCTGATGACGGGTTCGGTCGAGTCGCTGCAGTGGTCTGAGCGTTGGATGTAGGGGCTGTGTGTCGATTCGAAGACGTAATGAGGTAATTGGATCGACGAAAGGCGGGGGGGGTTTGAGTGTTGGTTGCGGTAACAATTGGAGCGAACGCGACGAATTAGGTCGGAAGAAATGTTTGGGTTTCAGCACGACACGATGGCCTTGGATCACTGATCACGAAGAGCGAGACAGAAAGATAGTACATGTTTCATTGGAGCGTCACAATTAGTATTTGTAGCTTATTCCCTAAGGTCAGTCTAGTGGGTTCGGTCTGGTCTGAAATCCCTTTCCCCGAATGCTAGCCGTTGGGTCCCGTGAAACTAAAGTCCCTCGAATCGCTTTCAATAGTGTCATTGATCGATAGAGGGGTTTATCTTCGCTGGCTTGCCCAAATCAGTGGAGAGTATCGAGGCCGCGTCGTCTCCACTGCTGTGCTGCGCCTCAATCTGTCGTGACGGTTGTTTTCTCGATCGCTAGGGTGGGTGGCAACGGCAAATGGTGAATGGACTGCCAAGCGGCTCTCGAGCGGTCCACGGGCTATTCTTAGCATGCGATCAGCGCACAAGCCCCAGATGCTTGTGCGTGCATGCATAAGCCTGCTTTTTATCTGGCGGCCTTGCGATTGGCTGAGTTTTAAGAATGCTAGGATGAAACTCCAAAATCAAGACAGCCTCGGGTTCTCCCACGCTCTTATGCCTCGCAGGCCTATATCAAGGATTGATATGAGGTGGTGAAGGCTGGCCGAGTCGTGAACGGGGAAAAGCATGACAGCGCCAGCCGCAAGGAGACGAGGGGAGACGTCATGCTGGGACGGTTGGATACCGTTGTGCCGTGGGTCGTTTGGTGGGCCTGGTGGAGCAGCTCGTGTCGGAATGCGGCAAAATGCAGCCAGCGCCGTGGTTGAGGTTTCAGGCGGATTGTTTCGCCTGCGCAGACACGAGAGAGGCATCGTCTCCGCCGGTCGTGGCAGCGACAGCGGCAGGCCACTCGGAATGGCTGGCGTGATGACTGATGCTTGCAACCGTCGTCGAGCGTGACGGTGCGACCTCCGGCGGCCGAGATCCGGCTGGCACACTGGTGATGTGGTAAGGTGCTATCCCGAACCTATCTACTACATACCGAGCTGCCCCCTCGTCCCGTGCAACTTCTCTCGCTCTTCTGCAACTGTGTAATTCACTGCTGTCCAAGGACGCCGCTCACTTCTCGCACCTCACATTCGCTTTCTGCAGCCTTGTCACCCACTTCGTCTCAGATCACGCACCTCCAAGCCAATCGCTATCGCTGCCTCGTGCACTGTCCGCTTGTCTAGCCTTCACCTCTCAGCCGACAGTGACGACTCCCAGCCACCGCAATTGCAGGGCTATTGCTCCGTAAGACATTTCTTCAGCTCCCACTCGCAGCTTCTTCGTTCAAACAAAACTCTCCAAGGACCTGGCAAAATGCTAACGATTACATGACCCCTGCAGATATCACTTCCAACTATTATTTTTATTCCCCAGCAGCATCGCCTCATATCCTCCACGCCCACCCGCAGCCTGCCGACCTCTCCCGTGCCTTGAGCAACCTCGACATGTTCTCCCTCCACAAATGCCTCCTCCTCGCCCTGCCCCTCGTGGCATTGGTGCTCGCTCAAGCCAGTCCTGAAGCCATCCCCGAGCCCAGCGAAACACAAGCCGTGAATGTCGACCTGAACAAGATCTTCCAGGAGCTTCTCAATGCTCTTCCCGAAGAGTCTCTACACGCCGCCCTGCATAACCACCACCCCAAGTTCAAGGACGGCGTCTGGGAACATGACAGGACTGCCGTTGAGAGAGTTCACAGCGAGAACCCATCCCTGGCAACCCGCCTTATATCTGCAGCAAAGTTCGACCTCATGAAGCGACAGGCTGCGAACTCCACCGCACCACCCGCCGCCTCCACCCCAGCTCCCGTAGCGCCAACTTCCACTGCCCCTCCTGCAGTCGTCATCCCCGTCTCCATCACGACCACCGATGCAGCCGGCAATACCATCGTGGAGAGCACCTCCGTCCTCTCCGCACCGACCGTCAGCATCCCTGTGGCCATCACAACTACCGACGCCGCCGGCAAGACCATCGTTGCTACCACCAACGCCCCTGGCGTCGTCTTGACAAAGACCGACGCCGCCGGCTCCAAGTTCGTCACCACTTCTGCCGTCGGCTTTGCACACACTGTCGGCCAGGTCCTCACCGAGACCAACTCCAAGGGCAGCACATTCGTGACCACCTACACTCCTGACGGCGGACTAGTCAGCTCCATCGTGCTGATTACCACGACGGGAAAGAACGGGCAGCCGGTCACGCTGACGAGCTATGCGTTTGTGGGTGCCGCAGCTACAAGCACGAAGACCGTTGGCGCGGGCGAGCAAACTGGGACGAACACCGGAAAACCGGGACTGCAGACTGGTGCTGCTGGTGTTCTCTCCAGACAATGGGGAGTCGAGGCAGCAGCAGTAATCGGGGGTGCGGTTGGGATGGCGTGGATGATATGATCTCCCCATATCCCCAGATCTCTGGAAACCGAGCCTCCATGGCATATACAGTATACACGCGACACGGCCACTTCACGAAGAAACGAATTCCCCTGGACTCTCCTTTTACACTACATATATACCCATCCGCTCCTTAATGTCTTCTGACGCCACTATCCTTACAACTAATAGTCTTCATTTCGGAACTGTATATTTTGATTTCTGAGCATACTCTTATGCATCAGCGGGTTCGATTTTTGGTTTAGCGAGGGCATAACAGGACGGCATTTTCATGCAGCATGCTTATCAAAAGTTTGAGCGAAGGAAAGGTGTGGGATGGCACGTTCCTTAATATCGTGCGGGAGTGTGACATTTTGTACGAAAGGGGCGAGTCCTGAGAGTGATGGAACGGGTAATTCGGGCAGGTTGAAGCAACTGAGAGTCAGGCATTGCATTGCGTGGAGAGTAAGGTGGTACAAGTGACAAGAATAGTAATTTTAGGGGAGAAATTGAACAAGGTTGAACTGCAGAAGCGTTCGTTACACCTCTTCGACGCCGCTTGAAGTGCTTCAAAGAGCTTTCAGCAATCGAAAGCTCATTCAAATTCATTGTTTAGACAGGCCTGAAACTTTGCTAGGCCACCTCAGGCGGTGGTGAGTGGGTATACAGAGGCTGTGTACGTTTACTAAAGAAGGGGTGTGTCCCCGTCATAAGTTATTGTTGAGCCTTCTCAAGCTCGTCGACTCATCCCTCACCTCTAACCGCTATGGATTATCTACCACGATTTGTACCCTTCCCCCGTCATCGTAGTTTAGCCGCCGTATAAACTTTTCTCATGTCGAATGTAGTCAGACAGCGAAATTGTGCCCAGTCACCTTCCATCGCGCGTCGATCTAGAATACCTATTCTCAGTCTCTCTCATAACTTCGAGCGTGTCATCTTTCGCAACAAAACCTCCAATATCCCTCCCTGTGTACTTGATTCGATTCCCCTATCCATCATGGACGCGCTGCCCGTAGAACTCGTCCTTCAAATCTTTTCACGCCTCGACGTCCCACCGCCCTCTATTCTGAATTTCGCCCACGAACCTACCAAGGATCTACCAAGCGCTCCATCAAATTTGACGCCTCTCAAGGCTCTCAGCCTGACCTCCCGCCGCTATCACGCTCTTGTTACACCTCTATTATTTCGTCATACCGTTCTTCGCCTCGATGACACGCCTACCTAGCTTCCCGTAGATGAAGACACGCTCAACGCAATGCAACCTGCTCTGAAAACGCTCTCGGCCCACGAACGTGACATCTACACGAGAATGCGTAAGAAGATAGCGAAAGGCTTCCAATGGGGAATAGACAGCGGCGAAATAGCCGAGATGGTGGAGTTCATCTGGATCCGCAACGAAGACCACTGGTTCGCCCAGAGCAGCTCCGCGGTATGGGGGCCTCCCCCTTTGATCGATAAAGTAGAAAGCCTCGTCATTGTCGCCTCCAGGGAATACGACACTAGGTACAAAATCTTTCGCAACGCAGAGGCGGCGCTGCACCACGCCGTTGTGGATCTCTGGACCCGCGTGTTCGATGCCCTGGACCCGGAGAGAGTGGTAGTCGTTGCGCCGCCAGCCACGATGATCGAGCTAACGGAGTTGATCATTCCAAGCAACGGTACGTGGGTCTTCGAGAGGAACTTCCACTATCTCGAGCTACGTCAGGATTGGCCTACGAACGGCGGACGTGGGAAGAAACCGCGAGTACAGGTGGAGCATGCGGCGGAGTGTGCTCGCGCCTGGGATGGTTATAGGAGTCTCATCCATGCACACCCCTGGACGCACATCGCATACAATGAAGACAGCTGGGTGCTAGCATACCTACCTAGGGATAGAACTAACGGAGTGGTCTGCTGGCAATGGGGCTGCCTAGAGACCTTCTGCCTCCTCCTTGAGCGCCTGAATCGGGAAGCACAAGTCTGCTGTAGCCTCCGCAGCGTCGCCTTCATCGCCGTCTTCCCCTGGGCTTCGCACGTTACTACTACGCTCCACCCGCTAGAACAACACCCCACGCCCGAGCGGCTCACCACACAACTCGCGCCAGGGCCGGAGAATGGGGTACTAGACGATGAAGAGAAACTCGGGGCGGATGCGCCCCTTTGTTTCTGGCACGAGTGGAGAAAGTGCCATCGCCACGTTGCGTGGTTCCTGTTTCGCAGGCAGTGGAGTACACAAAGAGGGCGTGCTGGATTTCAGGGAGCGGATATCGAAGGCTCGCAAGGAGGTAGAGTGGACAATGGAAGAGTGGAAGGAGGGGGGAAATGGGAGGTGGAAGAGGGTTGAAGGGCCGCGTAGCTATCCCCGCATAGCTATCCTAAGCAAGAGTATTCAACAGCACAGGGCTAGCGGAACAAACTACAAATACTATTTGATAGCTTAGTTTTCTCTCTGCCTTTTCCCAGCTTATCTAGGTCTGAACTCTGACGCTTTTAGCAGGTCGCCCGGAATTGCTTGCTAATGCTAACATCATGGCGGGGGCAAGGCAGACTTGGAGCAACATATTACGTACCCTGCCCTGCTAACGACCAAGTATTTTATATCTTATTAGGCAACAGCCATACGGAACCTGAGCCCTGGGTCATTCCAAAATCGTGTTGCGCTTTAGAATCTGGTAATATTTCTGCGGTAATCGGGACCGCGGCACTGCTCACATAACACACAACACCACAACAACAGCATTCTCTAATCTAGGCAGAAGCTTTACAGGATTCTGCGCTACTTTAGTAGTTTATGCGCCGATCCGTCTAAGCAAAATCCTTCGCGGCTTAGTGTTTCAGGCCTGCACAGCCCAGGCAGCAGGCGGAGTAAACAACACGTTACCAAATTCAAAGAGTTAAAAGGTCTAGAGTTTTGCCATTATCTCGTTCTCTCATATTAGGCCTGTTCTAAGTAACTTTGGCTGATTGCACTGTTGCGTCTAGCCAATTTACTGGTGTGAATTCTGTTCATCCCATCTTCCACATATTCTCCTTCAATTCAAACATACCACTCTTCAAAATGGCAAGCCCATTCTCCGAATCCCTCCCAGCCCCCGAAACCACCTCCGAAGAGGCCCCTCTCCTCGACTCCTCAGACCCCTCCTCTGAACCCCCACTCCTGCCGCGCCCTCAGCTCCGAAAACCCATCCTCATCTTGACTTGGCTCTCCCTAGCTCTCGCAGCGACGACATGGCCGTTCCTCATCGCCCTCAAAGTCCTGTGGATCAACGACGACGACCACCGAGACTACCACTACAGCTGGGGCATCCGCGACGACGCCGCTGCACTGCTCGGCCTTGTCCGTCCCCCCTCCCCTCCCCTCCCTATCCCCACCATCTCCTCTAACACGTCTCCCAGTCCATCACCGCCGCCATCTTCGCCGCCCTAAACCTCCTCCGCCTGCGCTTCTCGCGCCTCCACCTCCCCCTCCCCCTCGCTATCAACCTCGTCGTGGACGCCGTGCTAGCATTCTACCTCATCGCCGTCAGCGCGACGGGCATCAGCGACGGGCTGCAGGGCGGGTGCTACAAGAGCTGGTATCCGCCGCCGCCGATCGGGGACCCGGACACGCCGTCCGTTCCTGCGCCGCCGGCGCCGCGCCCCGTGGACCCGGCGTGCTATGTGTATGCGTACAGGGTGCTGGTGTTGCAGGAGGTTGTGATGAGTGTGGCGGTAGTTTTAGGGTAAGTTCCCCGGTTCTTTTTGAGAACGGTTGTTGCGGAGGCTTTGGCTTTTTGCCTTTCCTTTCCTTTCCTTTCTCCGTCGGATGGTGGCGGTCGAGGGCGAGGGTTGTGTTTCTTCGATGGGGTGGTATAGAGCGGATATGCTAACGAGAGTGATAGGATTACGAGTCTTGTCCTCGCGGTACTAAGGCTTGTCCTGGCTTACCGCAGGAGGTTCTGGCAGAAGATGAAATTCCCGACGGGCACGTTCTCGGTGGAGTTCTCGGTGAAGATACTGAGGCAGGGGGATCCGAATGCGCCTGGAAGGGTTCAGGGGGGGAGCTAGGGGGTTCGGTACAAAAATATGAGTGACTGGGTACTGGTAGTAGACGACGTTGTCTGATGTGCGTCTTTGAGAACTCTTCATGTTATCGAAGGAAGAAAAGCGAAGCTGAAACACGCTGTAACCTGTGCCTTACGAATACCGCAATGCTAAAAGTTACTATATCTCTCTCTACCACGTCTCTGGTGTTCCAACACATTACCAAAATCCACGACACAATTAACCTACCTCATTCATATGCCTTTCGCAACCTCTCCTCCCAAACTTCTATCCACAACTAGTGTATACGCACTCTTCCCCAGCGCAAACGCCAAACCCCAAAAATATGCTGAGAAAAAAAAACAGAACAAAAAACAACCACAAATCATCGTCGAACCCACGAGCTCGCCGCCAGACCCTTCAACCTCAATACCACGGCGGCGAGCGCTGTGCGACGAGTTGCATGGCAATCGCCAACGGGGCAAGGGGGACCGGTTGGTTATTTTGGAATAGAGGTGGGATGTTTAACTATGTATACTTTTTTTTTGGAAACCGCTTCTCTTAGGAGTTGTACGCGCAGGGCGAAGAAGACAGATTATGAAATGCTGGCTGCGAAAACGAGAGCTCGACGCTGGGAGCGTCGCGGCACGCAAGCTGTATATCTGTCCGGTATGCTCCCTGTGTGGATCGGGGCTTGTTAGAGGGATGGGGTTTGATCTGCTTCCTATTACCTGGATTGTTTCAAGAGCCTATTCTGTACACCTGCTGAGAAACCCTCAACCCCCATCTTTCCTCATATAGCTATCCGGCGACTTCATAATCATACCCTCGGCATTTGAATGCGAAAACCTCACTACCTGGAGTCGTTTATCCGAATGCTTACCCCCCCCTAATTAGTCTCTATGCCCAAATACCCCCTTTTCCCCAGCCCGTCCCCTCCCCTCACACCTCCCACCATCACTCACCTCAGACGTCACAAACCCCGCCTCAACCTCGCTTCACCGCTCCCCCGTCCTATACCTTAGCAGCACCTCAAATCAACTTATCCGCGTTTGCGCCAAGAAGCACCGCAACGAGTTCCAGTTGGCAGAGCCCTGGCTCTCGACCCTACAGAACGTGAAGAGTGAACCTTCTCCTCGTCATCGCTGCCCCAAGTCGCCGAAGTTCGCGACGAAGCGCGCGAGGATCGGGATCTAGGAGCTGGAGGCGGAGAGGACGTGAAGGGGGGCCGGGGGCCTGGCGTAGTAATTGTAAAGGCTGAGCGGTATCATTCGCAATCAGCCTCTGCCCATTCTCGTATTGTACATATCGTTAGGGGTTTAACCGCCACGGATAGTTTATTTTGCTGTTATGGAAAGGAGATAGCGGACTTCGACGATGGCAGGCCAAGGAGCATTGAAACAGATGAGGAGGAGCGAATGGGGAAGGCAATTACAGTTGAAGTTTGAGCGAGGAGATGGAGCTGGAAAGAACATGGCATATTATCATGTCGTACTTGACATACAGCACAATGAAGTTGATACGAAGTCTAGTTGCCCATACCTACATTTACACCACAGCTAATTTGACCAATTGACCACGCCAAAGACAGTTTGGGTGGAGCAAACAGATTGAGAGATTGATTGTGTGGATGTTCCATGGTAACCTGGCTGAGGATGCTCGACCCATAATCTTCGTGGAAAAGTACCTTGAGCTGAGTATCTGCGTACTCCCGCACCCGTGGCATCGGGCTGACCTGGGGTAAATTCCCTAGGTACATATTTGACAGGTCGGCTAGCAGTCTGTGGTGCGAGTCTTATCTGTGTGCAGGAGAGCGGTCCAACAGCGGCCATTGCGCGCCGTGCATGCTCAAAAGAAATTACAAGGAAATATATGGGGACATGTGGCGTGGACTGATGCATATCACGCGAGCTAGCATGGGATTTTGCACATATGCCCTGACTCGAGCAGCATGGGAAACTTGATTTTTGAGGGGTTGATCAGAGCGGGAAAAGCCACACCCGACGGATCGTGGTTAGCGGTGATTGGAGTGATGAAGGTCAATGAATTGCCCATGTGACAGACAGATGCAGACCCTCCCGCGGGTTGTTTGCGGAAGACGCGAGAGCAGTAGCGACTTTGGCAATCGATCATGGCTCGTGTGGCGCTTGGTGTTGTGGCTCGGGCACTCGGGGCGTTATTTGATTGTCTGGACGTGTCCAGGCCTGCAATGTAGCTGCCTGTACCCGTGGTATCAATTTCTGGTGCATGCAGCTGCCAGAAACAGCGTCAAGTCCCGTAGACGCAGTCGATCGTGGCCGATTTCATGTGAACAGCGCTGTGGCGCCATCTCGTAGCAACAGCGGTAAACGAACAGCGAGTTCTCAAAAGGAGAGTATTCCGAGGTTGTGGTCTGGCATCGTCATCAAAGAGCAAGCGAATCCTGACCGTCGATAGCGATGCATGATGCGGAGTCCTGGGCAGCTCCTGGACCGCTAGGCCCGCTAGCGTGTGCGGCCTCCCACCGACGACGTTGTGGCTTGCCGCGGAGCAAACAGCCGCTCCCTGCCTGTGGACCGTCCGCAATTGATGTCGCCACATCGCTGCAGGTTTGCTGCGCAGCTTGCAGCAATGGAACGCGGAGGACGCTGGTGCACGGAAACGGCTGTCCAGACGTGGACTGCTGGCTGCGAAGTGATGCTGGGAGATTGGCGTGCGGCTCGAATAATGATGACGTCTAGGGTGTGTCGGCTCCTGCCGGAGATCCTCTGGAGCATTGCGAACATCGCCATCGCCCTCGTCTCGCAGCCTGGGCCTCTCCACGTCGCACGCGTCATGCCTCCAGGGCAATTCACCCTTCTGGCAAGGCGCTGCTCAATGCGGGCGGTCCAGAGCTGGTGCTGCTGATCGGGCCCCCCTTAGGGCGGCGGGGAGCAGGGCCAAGCTGCCTGTGCCGACGTCAAAGGCGCGTCGTCGCATCCAAGTGGCCTGTGGGCCTAGCCGCACGCGGACTCGTCGACCTTGGTTGTGGGTGGAGAGATGGAGGAGACGCTGTGGCCAGCCGATGCTGAGGCCCAGATGACGTCCTCGTTGTTGTGCTGTGGCGCCACAGCGCTCACCAACAATTCGGGCCTGGCATGCGTAACAACGCGCCCTTCCGTCACAATAAAGCGTGGCCCCGCCGCCAGCTGTGCTCTCCTCCTCACACACCTCACCACTACTTTTTGCGTTTCCGTTTATGATACCCCAGTAGTAGCCTAATATCAGAATCCGCAGCCCCAACACTATCACCACACCACAACACACTACGCCGCATTGCTCAATCATGGCGTCAAAGGCCGTCAACGTTCCCACGAACCAACAGCAGAAGGAGAAGGACGTCAATGCTAAGCTCCAGCTGTACGGCATCTACTCTGCCTTCGCCAATGGCAAGGTTCCATCAAACAAGCAAATCGACGTCGCACTAAACAGCGCCCTTTCATCCAAGGCGCTTGCGTCCCCGTCGAAAAAGCTCTCCACAGAAGGCCAACAGCTCGTCGGCGACCTACGGGACGTCATTGAGAAGGCCAAGATCCTGCTCCTCACCAAGAACGACGGCAACCTCCTCCAAGACTTCATCTGGCAGACCCAGCAACTAACCGGCGGCAACGCTGCTGTTCCTGGCGCACCCGTCGACAAGGAGACTGCCAAACAACACGGTAATGAGGCACTCGAGGGTCTGCGCACACTCGGCACGCTGATAATCTCCAACGGACAGTTCAGGAAGCTCCGTACGTATAACTGAGTCCTCAGATTGCTTCGGTGACTAACGGGTCTCAGTGAGCGACGCTACCATTCTCCTCCGAGACATTGCTGGCGATGGTGCACAGAAAGCTGCCAACAAGGTCAACCCGGGCGAAGAACAGCTTTCCCAGATAGATCGCCCTGCCGCCGATAACACCTGGCACGAAGTGCCGGACCTGTCCAGGGATAACCTCACTGGTCAGCTCAAGTCCAGGGTCCCATTCAGCAAGGGCGACGCCCAGAAGGCCGCTGGCGATGTCACTCAGGCTGGTCATCCCGATGGATCTCGCGACCCCGCTGATGCGGCTGAACTTGCACAGTCCGAGGCTCAGAACGGAGGTTCTTCTGGTCTGAACGCGAATGCCGCCGCTGGGGAGCTCAGGAACCAAGCTTCTGACAATGTCCCGGATGAGAAGAAGGACAAGCTCCGCGAACAGCGTGAACGCACCAACAACTACCTCAGGAGCAAGATGCCAAAGGAGCGCCGTGAACAGACCATCTGGCGTCTGAAGAAGATGGTCGTCGAGATTCAAGGTCACCAGGATTGTGAGTGTACACAACGCTCGAAATGAGTACTTTTACTAATAGATACCAGATCTCCGTGCCGTTGATACTCTTTTGCGCCTCGCTGAGGAGTACACTGGTCACTCCAAGAACCTTGCTCAACAGGGCAAAGGAACCGTGAAAGGTGCTCATACTGATGACAGCTTGCAATTAGCTGAGGCTGACTTGAAGGTATTTTTTTAGGCTTTGTTTCCGATAACCATTCAATGCTGATTGAATTCAAGACTCTCATCGAACGCTTTGCGAACAACACTTCCTCCGATGATCTCTTCGATTCCATCAACCAAATCTACCGTGATGCCGAGAAGGACCCTGAGCTCAAGAACTGGTTCAAGCAACTCGACACCTATATCCGAAAGTGCTTGAAGCAGCAGGGCTACATCATGGAGGACAGGTCCACTGATGAGTGGAATGAGCTCTACGATCACGGCCACTTCCTCCTCCGCGAGCGCTACCGCGGCCACACCGACCGAATTGTAGACGAGTTCAAGTACTTCGGTCAAGAATTCGACAATGACCCGCAGAACAAGGCTTTTGGCAATAGCCTCCAAACCCTCTTCCAGCATCTCGGCAATGACGAGAACGGCAAGCCCACCTTCAAGCCTCATCTCATTAAGGACCTGACTGAGGTCATCATTCCTGGTATCTTTGAGAACATCCGCTATGTCCCTATCCCTCGCATTGAGTACTCCGATCCTATGATGGATGCCATCGTCGAGAACTTGGTCATTGAGGGCGACAACCTTGCACCCAATGTCCTGGAGTTGAGCAGTGACAACTACTGGCGCTGGGGCCGCAAGAAGATCTCCAATAAGAACAAAAACAAGGTTATGCTGTCAGTATCTGGCGTCCAGATGGACCTTAAAGATGTCTCTTACTACGTCAAGAAGAAGGAGGGCTTCCCATCCATCACCGACACTGGTGTCTGCGACGTCTTCATGGGCGGCAACGGCTTCAGCTTCAAGGTCGAGATGGAGACCGCCGACAAGACTGATACGGCTCACTTCTTCAAGGTCAATAAGGTTAACGTTGAAGTTAAAAATCTTAATATCAAGCTTAAGCAATCCAAGCACAAGCTTCTCTTTGGCCTCTTCAAGCCACTTCTTCTCAAGGTCATGCGCCCGGTGATCCAGAAGGTTCTGGAGAAGCAGATCAAGGACAACATCCACCAACTGGACGGTCTTATCTACGATGTGAAGACCGAAGCCGACGCTGCCGTTGCTGAAGCCAAGCGCAACCCTGATCCGGAGAACGTTCAGAACATCTACCAGCGCTACGTATCTGCTGCCAATAAGAAGATCCTGCAGGGCAAGCAGAAGAAGGAGGAGGTTGAAGCGAAGACGGCTGACAAGCACGTCAATGTGGCTGTCACCCAGGAAGACTCCATCTTCAAGAACATCTCCCTTCCCGGCGGTATTTCTACAAAGGCTACGGAGTTCAAGCAGCTCGCCCGCAAGGGTGACAAGTGGGAGTCGCCTGTCTTCAGCATCGGCTCCGCCAAGGAGACCAGCAACCTTCCAAAGACGGGTGCTGTCTCCAGGAAGCGCGGTACCGTCGCTGGTGCTGGTGCTGGAATCGGTGCCGGTGCTGGTAACGAATATGGCGCTGGTGGCCTTACCCAGAATCGCACCGTCGGCAATGGTGGCTACGAGAACTCCAACTCCAACGGCTTCGGCGGCCAACTCGACAACGCTTTCAACACTGGTGCTACCAACGGAGGTGTTAACGGTGCCTTGCCATCTTCCGACCCCTACCACACCACAATGGGCAAGCAAAACCCTGTCCTCCAGGGCTCCGTCTAAACCACTCGATACCCCAAAACTTTTCCGACGGTGCCAAATCCGCATTGTTTGTGATGGACGCCATGGTTCCTTTCGCCACGATGGAAACGCACCCGCTTGCATGGGACGGCTTCATCTCCTAAGTAGAGGAGGATTTCCTTTTGTCATGATACCACTTTTCGCGCTTGCGCAGTACACATCTTGGACGATGAAAAGTAATGGGAGGAGGCTGAGTGGAAGGCGCCTGAGGGCATGAGTTGAAATTGGAGATGGGTGTACGATTAGTTAGGCTACCGTAGTTTAAAGCATTTTGCTCCTTAATTTTTTGACGCATGGTGATTTTCGATGACCGCAAGTGACCCAATGAAGTACGCGGTATGTTTGGTGGAACTGCTTCGACGCAAGAGTGCGTGTACCTTCTAGATGAACATATTTAGAATTTCGACAGGCCCGTACCGTGGTTGAGGTACTTCGTACACTACTTTGCCATAGATATCCGTACACGTTCCTCCCACTGTCTGTGGGGCTCCAAACGTACTAATCGAAACCGGGGGCAGCGGTAACACTCCCTATCTGCGTACACCATGTTGGCGCTGTCTGCGGTAGCCTCACGAGTTCACTAGGGGTCCAAAATACCGAACTTCACTCTTACTCAGAAGGCTGAAAATACTACGAGGCCCCTCATGCAGCGGTAAACGACCTGTCACTGTAGCCAAAATATCGTTTGTCTACCACCTATCAGATCAGGGGCCTTGGCAGGTTTTTGAGACGCAATATTCTATTCAGAGATGTCCCCACGCTGGGCATGCAAAAAGTAGCACACTCATCAAGTACTCTGCCTGTGTGTACACATGTCTGCCACTGCATGAAGTGCTTCAACAAGTTTCCACATAGTCCAAAGTGGATGGCTTCTATCTCATTCCGTTTCCTGAAAATTTTCTGAAGTACACCAAACAGCGGCAGACAGGTGCACGCGTGGTTCTGTAGGAAATGAGGAGCGCATGCACGTTTTGACTGCAATTCCGTGATAAAGTGACGTGAGGATGTAGTTGCGCCAAGGCACTGCTGCAAGAATCCCGCCCGCCATCGCGGCTTCCAGGGGTGGCGGGTTGGTGCCTGCCCTGCGCAATTGTGCCTTACGCCGGCACGCGCTCTCAAGGTGGAGCCTTTTGGTTTCGAGTCTAGCACCTCTCTCTCTGCCATGTCACCACCTTTCTATCCTTAACATACTGGGCACTCCACGCACGCCCTTAAACCACTATACCATATGCTTTACACATACGACATACTTACCACCGCCCAGCTACGCACACTTGGTCACTATGTTTGGCAATAAGAAGAAAGAACCCCGAATCCGCACTATCACGAGGGTTAAGGAGCAGAAAGACCTTCCAAAAGCCCCTTCACCAGCGCATAACCCGAAACCCACCTCGAAGTCCCCCGCCTCCTTTTCCCAGGCTCACAGGAAGGCGGAGAAGGCCCAGAAGAAGCCGCATAATGGCTACTCAAATGGCCATGCGCCACCTGCGAAAACTTCTCAGAAGTCGGATTTTCTCGCTGTACAACACCCGCATCGCAAGCGCAAGACCTCGACGCCCCCACCGATGTTTGCGTCGAGCGACGAGTCTGAAGAGGAGAGTGCCAAAGGCTCGAGGAAGAGGCACAAGACGAGCAGCTCGATTGAGCCGGACTCAAGGCGGATGCTGGAGCCAGATATGAAGAGGAGGCTACGAGATACCGAGAACAATGGCGAAAAGCTGGACATAATACATGGGGTGGATATGACCACGGGTGAGCATGGGAAGGAGTACAAGGCGGCGTTCAAGACGGAGACAGGGGACGAGGACAGGTTTGTGGTGGAGCTGCAGTATCCAAGCACGTCTCCACGCGAACGGTGTGTTGGCTATTCTCAACTATGTGTAGCCGGAGTAGCTATGCGGAGACTGATGTTATTCCAGCTTCGAAACAGTAATACCCCGCGACCCAACGGGATATGACCCGATCAAGGACATCGAATACACTATCGACGAAATATGCCTTACCTACCTGCCTGAGGCGCAGTCTCTCGTCTTTCGGGACGATGACTCCGGCGTAGTACGCCTCCTGAAGCGTGCTGTGGCCAAGAAGTCGCCCTCGGATTACTGCAAAGCTCTCGATAATTTCAACGCCCACATCCGCGCCTCGCTCGCCGACTCCACCATATCCAAAACCCTCGATAGCAAGCATGCCCTGCCGCCGTCCCTGGTCAAGCACATCTTCAGTCAAGTCTACCAGCGCATCGTCTCCCCTCACGCTCACCGCCTTAAGAAAGTAAAAGATAAGGCGACCACCTATGGCGAACTTATGCCCTCATTCGTGAACACCATTTTCAGACAAACCCACCTCAATTCCTCCTCCATCTTTGTCGATCTCGGCTCTGGTGTGGGCAATGTAGTAATCCAGGCTGCGCTCCAAACCGGCGCGCAGAGCTGGGGCATTGAGATCCTAGACACGCCCGCCAAGTTTGCCTCAGAGCAGGCGAAAGAGCTCCAGGCACGCGCAAGGCTATGGGGCCTCTCCATCGGCCCAATCCACTTACTCCACGGCAGTTTTCTCGAATCTCCGGAGATTGATGACGTGCTGCGCGTTGCAGACGTCGTGCTAGTCAACAACAAAGTCTTCGGCGAGAGGCTCAACGGCGAGCTTCTCTTCAAGTTCCTCGACTTGAAAGACGGTGCGCAGGTGATTAGCCTAGAATCCTTCGGTGCAGGCCGACAAGGCGCCTGGAACCAGCAGCAAAACGCGGCCAGACTGTTCCGGGAGAAGCGGTACGAGAGCGGAACGGACGCGGTGTCTTGGGACGGCCAGAGCGTGGACTACTTCATCGCCACGAAGGATGAGCATCATGTGAAAGAAGAAGATCTGTAAAACCTGTGAAGGAATATGAGTATTCGTAACACAGCGCGGGACACACCTGTTTGCCGCTGTTTGGGGTGCTTCCACGATTTTCCATAGTCCAAGGCGAAGGATTTCTGGCTCGTTCGGATTCCTGTAAATGCTTTGAGGCACCCCAAGCAGTGGCAGACAGGTGTACGCATGCGAGGGGCGCATTTTTAGCGTTTGGTTCTTCGCTAATAAGCCGGGATTTAGGGGGAAGATCCTCTACTCTCATTCGCGACGACTTCAAAAGCCGAGAAGAGAGAGGGCAGGAGAGTCTCCGGGGAGATCGTTCATTGTCTATCCTTTGGATATGGGGTTAGGGGGGTCAGAATACATAAGCAGGTGATGGGTTTTGGATTGCATTTGGTTGATCTGCCCTGAGGTGTGGTAGCGGTGTATCTACATTGGATTTGGTAAGTGCGTAGATTGGTAGGCATAGGGATGGGTGATGCGTTTACCCAAAGCACAGCGTTTGGACTTCTGTCGTTGTATAGTTTTTACCGATGCTTGGAGTGCTTCGATGCATTGTCAAATATATCCAAGGTCAAGCTTCCCTGATGCAGTCTAGCGCCACATCCTTGTCCCTGTACCCCAACGTCACGTCAAGCTGCAGCTCACAAGCTTGTTCCACTCCACATCCCAGCTCCGACCAACTTCCTGCGAACGTCACGAAACACCTGGTAATCGTCCTTTCCCTTTCTTTCGCTCAATCTTCAACCTTTCTTCAACTGTCATATTCAGGGTACTTCTTTCTGGTAATTCCAATGGACTCTACCCGCTCTATATCCAACTCAGATTAATCTCCAATGACCTCGAAACCCTCCGCCACCCGCCTCCCTTCTACCTCCTCTCCCACCACACCCCAAACGCAAAGACCTCGCCCCAAAAAGCTCTTAAACCCAGACCACGAGGCTGAGGGCGGCGTCATGCTTCCTCCAACCTCCACACCCTCTTCATCCAAACTCCCAACCACCAAGCCAATAGACCCCAAATCAACAGACGCCACAGGCCCAAATCGGCGCCGTAAACCTCGTAAACTTAACAAAGACCCCCTCCCAACCGATACTACCACCGCCGCACCAAAAGCAGAAGAAGCAGCCGTCGGCAACGAGCTCGAAGCGCTGAAATCCCGCGTGAGGGGCTTAGAAGCGAAGGTCGAGGAACTCTACACCACCGGCAAGACAGGAAACCCGAAAAGTCCACGCCGGCGTGGCAAAGGACGAAAAGGTTCTACCCCGGCGCTCCCCTCCACCGGTATCGACAAAGAAGCAGACGCAGAAGCAGACGCTGGCATCGACGCACCCGAAACCGCAGAACTCGAACGCCTCGAGTCCGAACTCGCCCTCGCCCGCCTCGACCTCGCGACCCTCTCCACCACGTCCCGAGCACCACGGCCCCGCCCTTCCGCGTCGCGGGTGCAGAGCCAGGATGAGGATGTCGAGGATATCCCGAGGGGGAGCATACCAAGCGCGTCCGACCCCCGCCCTAGAACCACACGTAACGCTAGTTCCGCGAACGATCGGAGCGTTACGCTGACGGGATCGTATCGCATCCCTCTCCCCCCCTCCGTCAGCATCGACGACGTACGCACGATTCAGAGCGGGATCGGGGCCGCGCAGAATGTGGCGCGCTCGTTCCTGGACTCGAGAAGGGAGAATGCGGCGAAGACTGGCCCGACTCAGTCTACTGCGAGGACTGCCCCGCCGGGGAGGAAGAGTGGACCGGATGCTGGCGGCGGTGGAGAGGCAGGGGAGGGAGGGCAGAGCTGGGGCGAGTGGTTCGGCGCGTATAGCATGTCCATCTCGCGCGCGGTGAAGAAGATTGAGGCCGAGGCCGGGGTGGAGGTAGGGGCTGCGCAGCCGAGGATAGGAGCGGCGAGACCGAGTGCGGGAGCGAGGAGGGCGAGTGCGCCGGGGGTGGGGATGGCGGCTGCGAAGAAGGGGTCTACGGCTGGAGGGAGCGGTGCTGGTGCCAAAGCGACAGGGGGAGGGAATGCGGCAAAAGGAGCGGCGAGCAACAACAGACCGCCCCTGAAGCCCAGAGCCTCGAATTCGAATTCGAGGATGAGTGCGGAGCAGGTTAAGATGCTGATGTCGTAGTGTGTCCCGTAGAAAAATGGGTTGGATATAAGATAGATGATCTGAGTAAAATGTACGAGTACTGACGACTGAATGAAAACAGATTTATCAGCAAATGAAGAATTTCTCCCCCCCTCCCACCCCCAAATGACGGTTGCTAATCCTCCTCCGTGACGACATCGCCCTTTCCAACTACCCTCTCGCTTTGTTTGCGATTTCTTCTGGATCTGACCGTCCAGAGACAACCCATAAGTCCGGGCACATCCGGCTACCGCTGCTTGGAGCTAACCCCTCCCCCTCTTTCCCAATAAAATCTCAAAAACGCCACGCGCAACGCCAAGCCTCACGCAGTGCGAACCAGACCGACCGCCTCTTGACCCTACTTCGTTGCTTCCCAGCCGGGCTCCTCCTCACAGCGGTGTGTCGAGTGTGCGCAAAAGATTCGGGAAGCCCTGCGGCGACGAAACAGTGTGTGCGCGCGGAAACTTATGCCCTTGTGGCTGCTGTAGATATGCCAGTTTTTGGTTAGACACGGGCGGGGGGTACCTGCTGCCCGCGATGGTTCCTGCACTGTATTTGGGTTCTTTGGGAGAAATACGTCGCGATTGAACTCGGATCAGTCGAGCTTTTTTTTTTTTTTTGGAGACGCTGCGTACCAACCAAGATGCGTAGCCACAAAGCGTGCTGGATAGAATGGGCTCGTGGTAGACTTGACTTCGCTGCTCTGGAAAAAAAAAAAAAAAAGGGGAAGGGGGGGCCCCCGGGGGGGGGGGGCGGAAGATACCCAGGGGTTGGAAGTTTGCAAATTCTTGCAGATCGAACCGTAGAGATGGGGGTTTTAGTTGGACGCTTTGTACATACCAAGCGGCGCGGACGACGCGTCGTTGCAGGTGTCGCAAATACTCTCCGATTGAATCATAGGAAACAGCATTTCTTAGACGCCTTGTTACCCCTGGTGGACCGACGACGCGTAGCTGGCAGGACGAACCAGCAGAACGGAGCTGAAATCGAAACACGGCAGGGTCTCTGGATTGGAAGCCACTCTGTCTACGCCAAGTAGGCTAACTTGACAAATTGCTCCTTGCGTTGGGAAAAGTCCCGGATCGAACCGTAGAGATACCTTTTTGTGAGACGTAGAGGGTTAGGCGGTGTGGACAACGCGTAGTTGCATTTGTTGCAAGTACTTCCCGATCGAACCGCAGAGGTTGAGATTTGTTAGCTGTGGCGTACCTCACCACACGTATATCGTGGCATGCACACCGTGTAGTTGCAATTGTTGCAAATACTCCCTAATCGAACCGCAGAGATAGACTTGTTAAACATCGCATACGTCATCACGTAGCTACCTCGTCGTCACTTCATACCACCACACCACCAACAGGACCCAAGCTTAGGTATTCATTATGATTTTTTTCCTATCTTTTCGTGAGACACAGTTTGTAGATGCCAAACAGCCTCTTGGCTTTCCCCAGACCTACTCTAGATCCATGCCCCCAGTAAAATACAGCATTGAACAACAGGAGGGGAAGAGGAGTGGAGCTGAGGAGGATCATCATCATTTTGTACAAATCCGGGCCAAGGTAGTCTAATGTACAATCGACAGTAGAGTGGGAGGAGGGTGACGCCGGGAAAGCCGTATATTCAACATCTTACACGTGAGGTAGAGAACGGGAGATGGGGTATGTTTAATCGAGCAAGCGTGTGACTAGGCCGGTTGCGACAGTCCTGAGGTAGATGTAAGTAGGTGATGGGGCGGATGTATGTAACGTGGGTTTAGACTTACCGACCACCCTCACGAATGTTAAATCGCTGACCAGGCTCGACCACAAGTGGTGCATGGAGTTGGGCCACCATTTCGACGTTGTCACCGGGCATGGCCATCTTGTCCGCAGCGTTCTCAGTGCCTTCAGGCCAGAACAGCTTGGCGGCTTCGTCGGCAGTCCGCACGTAGAGCTGAGGTCCGTAGTTCTCATGAAACCCAGTGTGACGGCCACCCTCGTCTTTGGTGAGGACATACATGGACACCAAGAACTTGGAGGCGGCCTTGGTAGTGCCCGGCATGGCCAGAACCATACCACGCTTGACATCTTCACGCTTGATGCCTCGGACTAGGATGCCAACGTTATCGCCAGCAATTGCCTCGGCCACAGACTTCTTGAAGGTCTCGATGTCGGTGACCTTTGTCTTTATGGGAGCAACACCCTTTCCGACCAGTTCGATATCAGAGTCCCTCTTTAGGACACCGCGCTCGACACGACCAGACACGACGGTACCACGTCCAGCGATGGAGAAGACGTCCTCGACGGACATGAGGAAGGGCTTGTCCGTCACACGCACGGGTTGTGGGATCCATTCGTCGACGGCCTTGAGGAGTTCGTCGATTTTCTGCTCGCCTATTTCTGGGTTTCGGCCCTCCAGCGCGCAGAGAGCGGAGCCCATGATAATGGGAGTTTCGTCGCCCTCGAATCCGTAGGAGGAGAGGAGCTCCCTCATTTCCATCTCCACAAGCTCCAACATCTCCTTGTCTTCAATCACATCGACCTTGTTGACGAAAACGACCAGTTTCTGGACACCGACCTGCCGCGCAAGGAGCAGATGCTCTCGGGTTTGAGGCCTATACCAGATCAGCATGGATACGGTATGCGCGGTGTATGTCTCCCTACATCTGGCCATCCGAAGCCGCCACCACGATGATACTGCCGTCCATGTTCGCCGCACCCGTAATCATGTTCTTGATGTAATCGGCGTGACCGGGGCAGTCGACGTGGGAGTAATGGCGGGCTTCGGTCTCGTACTCGATGTGAGCGGTGGCGATAGTGATACCACGCTTCCGCTCTTCGGGAGCTTTGTCAATGGCACCGTATGCGAGGAAGTTTGCCATGCCCTTTTCGGCCTGGCGCTTGGTGATGGCAGCGGTGAGGGTGGTCTATGAGAGTCAATGGCGAATTAGGGCTTATGCGAGGAGGAGTAAGACCTTTCCGTGATCAACATGTCCAATCGTACCTAATAAGCACTGAATCAGTATATACTTTCCCCCAACGATTGCCCATTGCTTCTTACCAATGTTGCAATGCGGCTTGGTGCGCTCGAACATGGCGGCGTAGTTCCTCACGGCTCCGACATATCGACTTCCACCCTGAGCACCGAGAGCTTGCTGTACGGGGTTCGTCGAGGGCTGGAAGCGCAGGGCGGTACGGCTGGTCCGCCAGAAAACACGAGTGAGGGCGGACATACTGGGAGCAACGGGAAACAATTACTAAAGAAACCGAGACGAATTGAGATGAGAGGGATGGATGGACGATGGGGGGTGAGGCGAGCAACGCGATTATTTTGTTAGCGCGAAATCGACATTTAGGGTCACGTGCCCAGGACCTGAGAGCTTCTGCTATAGCTTGCATCGTCGACCAGCCTTTGCTGCATTGGCGGGAAACGTCTCCCGGCTATTCGATATAATATCAATTCCTCGTCTGCCAGCTTTCTGTCCCTACTTCTGCACGCATCAACACCACAGCGGCCCCCCACATAACCAAGGGATAGCCTACCACTACTGCGGATACCCGAGGTTCGGAGACGTCTAAAAGGCCTGCGTCACAGTTCAAGTCCTTTTTCACGCGCATACCACGACGCCGCCATTCATGTCTCTCCGCACTTCCTTAAGACGCGCCACAACACCGCTGAGCTGGCACTCGCGGATGACATCCAGCACAATGCCGCTGAAAGCCAAAATTACACAGCCAGCCTGGGTCAAGGGCACCCGATATGTATGCGGAGCTCTCTTTGCGGTTGTCCGGGGGTCTGACTGACCATTCATTGCAGTACTCAACACCAACGGAGGATCTTCTAAAGGAACAGCCCGGTGACGAGGCCGACGATGTCATTTTCACTAACACCTACGGTGTGCGGAGCATTGAATTGAACCGGCCTAAGAAGCTCAACTCGCTCAATGGGTCCATGGCACGGAAGATAATACCTCGACTACAAGTACGAATTGGCCCTTCAATGAATCAAGACACATCTAATACATCTGCAGGAATGGCAAAACTCGCAGCTCGCAAACGTCGTGGTTATTAAAGGGAGCGGACGAGCCTTTTGCGCCGGTGGAGACGTCGCAGCCCTCGCCGAATGGAACACACAGGGGAAAGATGGTCAACAGAAGTCGACAGACTATTTCGGCCTCGAATACAAGCTCGACCATCTGATCGCGACCTACTCGAAACCGTACGTAGCGTTTATGGATGGAATCACAATGGGTGGAGGGGTGGGCTTGAGCGTGCATGCTCCGTTTCGGATAGCAACTGAGAACACCCTCTTCGCCATGCCGGAGACGACAATTGGCTTCTTCCCAGACGTTGGGGCCAGTTTCTTCCTGCCACGGATGGACGGCGAGATGGGGACATACCTAGCTTTGACGAGCGAGCAGCTTAAGGGAGTCGACGTTTTGTAAGTGGACTGCTTTCACGTTTCACGGCTTGATACTGATACCAAGCAGCTACCACGGAGTTGCCACCCACTACATCGACTCAGCCTCTCTCCCTGACCTAGAAGCACGTCTCGCCGAGCTCGTCTTCGCAGATCATCTCAGCCTTCAGGAACGCTACCGCATCGTAGACGCAACTATTGAGGAATACTGCACCGGCCTGCCCACCGACCGTGCACAAATATCTGGTAAGCTCCGCGAAGCCGTGGATCTGTGCTTCTCCGATGACCACCAGAACATCAAGGAGGTCTTCTCAGCCCTCGCAGCCGTCGAGAAAGCAAGTGATCCGGTTCTGTCTAATTGGGCAAAGAAGACGTCCGAGACGATGCATACGCGCTCTCCAACCTCAGTCCTCGTCACCCTGCAACAGATGCGTGTAGGCCAGTCATGGAACATTGCTGAAGCATTCCAAAACGAGTACAACATTGCTGCAAAGTTCATGGCACATGACGACTTCGTCGAAGGTGTGACTGCACGGCTGATACGCCGAATCAAGGAGCGTCCACAATGGAAACCGAATACGTTCGACGAAGTCAGCGCGGATGAAGTGTCTGACTTTTTCCGCCGATCGGAAACCCTACCTCTCATAAACCATGGTGAAGGGTCAACTTACAAGGAGTACCCTCACGAGTGGCTGAGCTTGCCGAGAGAGAGGGAAGTGCGACAAGTTGTCACGAAGGGCGAGCTTAAGACCGCGGATGAGATTGTCAACCACTTCGTAGAGCAGCGGAATGGGAAGCAGGGTGTGAGAGAAAAGGTCACGGAGATACTGGAGAGAATTATGGCAGGAGAGGGACTCGTGCGGACATCATGAGGCACAATCCGAGTTGTAGATCTGGCATATAGATGATCTTAATACAAGCGATTGTAGCATATTGTGAATAGAAGTCTACATCTTACCACTGCTCCTGAGTTGAGGCTTGTCAATGACGTACTTTGATTTCTATTTGGGTAACATGCATCACACCAAATGCCCTTCTAAGGACAGAGACTGTCATTGAGGTTCCCCTTAACCCACATAGCGCATGCTCTATCTTCATCACTAGGAGAATGGTTGTATCTAGGAGCTTGGGCCAACTGAATCCCAAACACCAAGCTTCCCACCTCCGCCATCACCTCCGCATCGCGACTATGCCAGCACGGTGACCATGTCAAAACCCACCGCCAACTGGGAGAAAGTCGGCGACAAATTCTACCGTAAAGTGCCTCTCTACAAGGAGGTTTTTGACTTGGATCTCGAGCTTGAAAACTACAAGGTTGTGGGGGCTCCGTATAGCGGTGCTGTGGGTAGGCTTCCGTTCCCACTGCAGAATCTTGGACTACTCCAATGCTAACATACTCTCCCAGCAATATACCGCGATGAGGACAAGATCCATTCGTATAGAGGCACTCAGGGCGCGAAATCGAGTATCGACATCTACAGCTGCGCGGGGAGCTTGATCAGGCGCATAAACGTAGGCTTCCGCGGGGATGCAGAAGTGGCATTCGGAGCCAGAGACTGACAGTCGCAGTGGGATAAAGGATCGATCAAAGGACTTGGATGGTCTGAAGACGAGAAATTGCTCGTTGTGACTGAGGATGGCACGGTGCGGTGCTATTACGACCTTCAGGGCGACTTTACGCCATTCACATTAGGCCATGTCAGTTTCTCCTAGCTATAGCACCTACCCAGCTAACAAATACGTAGGGCGCAGAAGACCACGGTGTTCTCGAGTGCCGCTTCTGGTCCTCCGGCTTCGTTGCCCTCCTGGGGAATAACCATCTCATCGCTGTAAACCGCTATGACGAACCGCGTCCCAAGCTCCTCGCTATACCACCCACAGAACCTGTCGTTTCGTGGTCTATAATACCTCCCGCATACTCCCTATCGCGGTCTGTGGAAGTAATACTCGCGATAGGGAAGACGCTGTTTGTGATTGATGCTACAGACGCAGAGGACCGTGACTTTACGGCTGGGCCGTTCCAGCACATCAGTGTCTCTCCAAGGGGAGAATTCCTGGCTTTCTATACAGAGGATGGAAAGGTGTGGGTTGTAAGCGGCGACTGGACGGAGAAGCTATCCGAGTACAATTCCAAAGCCAAGACGGTTCCGAAGGATATGCAATGGTGCGGAAGTAATGCTGTGGCTTTGGCTTGGGAAGATGAGGTGCATCTGATAGGGCCGAGAAGTGTGGCGACCAAGTAAGTAAGACGTGCCATTTTCATTTTTCACACTGCTAATGATTTCAGGTTTTATTACGATGCATGGATACATCTTCTACCAGATATGGATGGCATACGACTGCTTACTAACGACGTTTGCGAATACCTTCAGAAAGTTCCTGGTCAGTACATAAACCATGAAACATTGAATTTGACTGACTTTTGGCAGATGTGACGGAAGAAGTATTCCGACTGGGCTCCGAATCACCAGCTGCATACCTCCTAGAAGCTGCAGAGCAGCTAGAAAAGAAGTCACCAAAAGCCGATGACCTTATCCAGCTTATCCGCCCAAATCTTGCAGAGGCCGTCGATACCTGCGTAAAAGCCGCCGGCCACGAGTTCAATATACACTGGCAGAAGCAACTTCTAAAAGCCGCCTCGTTCGGCAAATCGGTCCTTGATCTGTACAGCAGCGACGACTTTGTAGATATGTGCGAGACGCTACGGGTTCTAAACGCCGCAAGATTCTACGAGATTGGGCTCCCTTTGAGTTACGACCAGTATAAGCGGCTTACCCCTGAGAAGCTTATCGAACGTCTAATCAACCGTCACGAATACCTATTAGCTCTCCGGATATCAGACTATCTACATCTACCAACAGACAAGATCTATGTCCATTGGGCGAGCCAAAAGGTCCGCGTGTCGATTGAAGATGAGGAGAGTATCTGCCGCCTAATTGTGCAAAAGTTGCATGGCAAAGCTGGGGTCAGCTTCGAGGAAATAGCAAGAGCGGCTTACGATGAAGGTCGTGCACGCCTCGCCACAGAGTTGCTGAACTACGAGCCTCGAGCAGGCAAGCAAGTCCCACTCCTCCTCGGCATGAAAGAAGACACCATCGCCCTCGACAAGGCCATCGAAAGCGGCGACACAGATCTAATCTACCACGTCCTCCTCCATCTCCGCAAAAAGCTCCCTCTCGCCTCCTTCTTCCGCACCATCAACTCCCGCCCCGTCGCCACCGCTCTCGTCGAATCCTCGGCCCGCTACCAAGACCGTGAACTCCTTAAAGACCTCTACTACCAGGACGACCGCCGCCTCGACGGTGCCAACCTCCTCATCGCCGAATCCCTCAACCAAACAAACACCCCCGCCCGCATCGACAAGCTCAAACTCGCTTCAAAGCTCCTCCAGGACTCCCGCGAGAATGCCTTCGCCGCCAAAGCCATCGACGACACCGCGAAGCTCCTCCGCATGCAGGACACCTTCGAGAAAGACCTCGGCCCCGGCTTCGTCGGCCTGAGCATCAACGAAACCATCTTCAACCTCGTCAAGGCCGGCCACACCAAGCGCGCCGCAAAGGTCCAGTCCGAGTTCAAAGTCCCCGAGCACACCTTCTGGTGGGTGCGCCTGCGCGCGCTCGTCGCCGCGCGCCACTGGAACGAGCTCGAGAGCTTAGGGCAGCAGCGCAAGTCGCCGATTGGGTGGGAGCCGTTCTTCAACGAGATCTTAGGCGCGGGAAACACGCGGGTCGCGAGCGGGTTTATCCCGAAGTGTACGGGGCTCAGCGTGCCGGAGCGGATCGAGATGTGGGTCAAGTGCGGCTTGGTGGTGAAGGCGGGCGAGGAGGCGCTGAAGGCGAAGAATCGGCCGGCGTTGGAGGAGCTCAGGGCGAAGGCCAGTGGGACGGCGATTGCGGAGATTGAGAGGCTGATTGGGATGTTGCCGCCTGTAAGGAAGTAGATAGCTTCAAGCTCTCTAGGGGTTTTATGTCTTTTCCGGATTTTTTTTGGAGTGTGCTGGGGTACTCCTGACGGTGGTGAGTGGGTGTACACATGTGATGTGCGGCGAGTGGTGAGTGGCATGTGTCGTGTGTCTTGTCACATGTTTGCAGGTTTTGGCGGACTTCTTCCAGGTACAAAGCCTCGTTGCCGTCGCGTTCTGACTTTCTTCTTCATGGGTCGTTGGGGGGGGGAGGGAGTGGTGGATCAAAAGAGAAAACAATGGGTCGAAGTATGGCTGGGAAGTCCAAAAAAGAGGGGGGGATCTTGCGTGATGGAGTGGGTGGGAGCTGTGGTGATCAAAAAGATGGCTAAACGAGATCGATGGGGTAGTGGTGGTGGAGTTGGCGCTGGGGCGCCAATGCCGCTCTTTAGGAAGTCGATGATGGAGAACATGCTCTCTACCTCGTAATGACTGACGAAGTGTCAAGGTAGCGATAGGGTATAGTATCGTTCTATGACATTAGTAAGTGTTAAAGACAGTAAGCATCATGATTCACGTTGAACTCCCACACGCTGCAGCGCTTGCCATCAGTCTGTTGGCTTTGAATCTACACTCCACTGCCGGCAGCATCACTGGGCCCCGCTTCCTTTTTGCACACCCCATGTCGAATACACCCCTCCAGTGTTGCATCCCACAGAGCCTCCCTTGATGGATCTTCCGAGTCTTGAGTCGACGCTTTTATAGCCAACAGAGGGAAACAGGCGAGATCATGAGTGAACACGTGCAAATGGATGCGTAGGTTATACCAGCAAACTGTATCTATCATACCTCTTCCTCGTATTATATCATCTCATCCATGTATATCATTACAGCACCCTCACCACTTTCCCAGGATCTACATCCTATACCACCCCACTCCTAGCATACCAGCCATCATAACCCCCTCCCTCCATGCCCTCGTCCTTCCGGCAGCGCCCGTGAACTGCGTAGGTAATTCGCCTGTGCCGGTTACCGCTACACTCACCGTTGCTGTTAGGATCGGAACGGTGCTCGTCAACGACGGCGCAATGACCACGACGCCCGACGGCCCAACCGTGATAGTTGTGCCAGAAACCGTAACCGCTGGACCCCCAACAGAGATAGTTGTACCGGGCGCCAGAACCACGCTGGAACCAGTCGGGCCAACTGTAAATGTCTGACCACCAACTGTTATCGTAGCGGGCGGAGGCAGCGATGGCGCTGGCAAGGGTGTCAACGGGATCGTCTGCGTGCCCACCACCACACTTGAGCCGCCCGAGGGGATGAAGACAGGAGTATTTGATACTGTTGCCGTCGCACCGCCGGGAGTCAATGTGGTTCCGCCAACGACGAAAACCGGGTTTGCGGGATCAGTGGGATTGGGCACGGCGGTGATAGCGCTGCTGCCGATTGTGATGACAGGGGGAGAAGCTGCAGGCGCGGTTGGACCTTTTACGATCTGAGTAGTTCCCCCAACGACCTGTGTTGTGCCCCCTACAATCTGTGTTGTCCCCCCAACGATCTGAGTCGTCCCCTTTACAACCTGAGTTGTTCCAGCAACTATTTTTGTTGTGCCTGCGACCACCTGTGTAGTGCCACCGATGACGACCACAGAAGAGGCTGGGGGAGGCACTTGCAGAGCAGAAGAAGCTGGAGGCCCAGGCTGTCCAGGGTCTACCGCGGTACTGCCTGGGTCTCCGACTGTACTTGGAGGTTGAGGCTGGCTTGGGTCCTGGGCACCAGTAGCCGGATCCGAGGGACTTTTTCCCGGCTCTGCCACGCTCGTCCCCGGATCCACCACGGTTGTGGCTGGATCAGCTGGGTCGGATGATGGCGAAATGGGAGGTGGAGCATCTACTGGTGTAGAGGAAGGCGGAGGCGGAGACGGAGCATCTACTGGCGTAGAGGAAGGCGGAGGTGGGTGCGGAGGAGGATCAGCAGCAGATGTCGGAGTAGTATCAGAAAGCACAGGAACGGAGCTAGTCGGCGGCGCGATCGTTGGCGTAGAAGAAGCTGGGGCAGCGGTTGTTGGTACAAGCAGTCCCCCCTGCGTGAGCGTCTTCGGGGGGTCGTAAAACCCGCCATCGTAGCCCGCCTCGCAAGAAGCCCATGCCGATTGAAGCCCCTGAACCCTCGTGGGGATGGCAAGGATCGGGTGGCATGGGTCGCCAATATCGTCTTCGTTGAAGAAGGCGTCCGAGAAGTAATAATAGCCTGCTATCGTTGAGCAGTTCTGTCCGAGGTCTGCCCAGGTAATTGGTGCCGGAGGGGGTAGACTCGTAGCGCCTTCTACATCGGGACTGCTGGTTTCGTCGTAGAACGTGCAGTTCTCAGTAGTTATCCAGTCCCGTACGGTACTTATTTCGCTTGCATCAAGGGCGATGGTGGTGTTATAAAGCGCCTAGTAAGCAAGTTAATATCGTGAAGAAGACTGCTGAACATGTCTTTTGGAAACACTTACGGTTCCCACCTGTCCGCAAAAGTCTGTAGCACCTAAGGACGTGAATGCGATATAAACGCTCGGAGAAATGAACGTAAAGCCGGTGTCAGGATCCACGTAAATCCCACTACCATTACCACTGATTGCAGCAGCAGTAGCTGCTGGCGCTTTGACCTGATCAGACCAGTAGAAGAGCTGAATAGTCTGCGCAGTCAACGTGCAATGTCCACAGCATGGCGGTGAAGGGGTGAAATTGTCTCCAGCCACGGCAATCCCTAGCCACAGTTATTAGTAGGGACGAACTATGAATGTAGCTTGGCTTACGTACTGGTGTCAGTCACGGTGTAATACGATTCCGCTGTGATCACACTGGCGAGTGTTCCTGTCCCATATATGCCTGAATTATAAGTTCGGGTGACTGTATAATAGCTCGTTATGCTGGCGGACGCATAGTAGTTAGAATAGCTGGTGAGGCTCGCATAGCAGTAGGACTTGATGCAAGGGTCCGCGTAGTCGTAGAACCAGCCGTCATCGTCGTCATCACCGTATATGGCACTACAGCCAGACGACGTCAGGAAGGACACTGCGGTCGGGGTCCTCGGATAGGTAGTTGGACACGTGTTGGTAGAGTTCGATACCGCTTTCTCAATGTCAGTACGCGCGTATTGCAGCATAGTGAGGGCAAAGAATGGAAGCGTTGACTAGAAAGTCAACAGCGCCGAGCTGATTTACTGAATGAAACACGCTACAATGCCCAACATATATTGAGGTATATTTATTTGGAGGGTTTCTCAACGCATGCTACAGCACTGTTGGACTTCAATCCAGCTCGCGGTAGGAACCTGGAGCGCAGCTCTGTTTCAGAACGAGAGAAAAAGTGGACTCACGTTTTCGGCGAGGAAATCCAACATGTCGCCGGGTGGCGAATGCATCACTTCTATCGCACAGGAGTAGCATTAAGAGGATGAAGCAATACGAATACATCTTGTCCTTTACTGGCCCAGTAAAAAGTAGCTGCAAAGGATTGAAGGAAGCTATGAGTGCTCCAAAGGGCGGTCATGGTGGGTCTAACTTACTAACATAACGTCGACACTCGGGCTACGAATGTGAGAGCCGCTCTGGATGCAGGCACACGGCCATGTGCAGCTGTCCCGACGTGCGTGAACTGGTTCCTGGGACTCCCGGGTGTGCTGACTGCTTGACGCCACCGAGGCTTCTGGAGCTGGGATGGTCCATTGTACCATAGTATTCGGTCGTAGAAGCGTGCAGCAGTCAGCAGGTACATCTTGAAGCTCCATAGCTCGATGCCTTAGGTTCGGGATGGTATGCCGAATGCGGCATCTTCTGGCTTGGCAGTACGCTGACGAAGCATAAACGAGGGCATGGGCGCGACGAGAGTGTATCGAGTTCTTGGCCTGTGGAACGAATGGAAGGACAAGTAGATATTAAACTAGATCTGGAGCCGCCCTTCCGAGTTCTCTTACGCCCCGAATAGGCAATAATTGAAAAGCAGCCTGGGCTTTGCGATACTTGGGGCGAAAGAAAACTTGGAACCAGCCTCCACACATTAGGTTCTGTTCCTCGGTATCCATGCTAATGCCCTGCCTAATTCGCCTACCCTAGCCGCATGAACCGACTTCCCGCTCCCGGTTCGGCCCTCTCAGGGTCGTGGCTGCAGGTGTCGCCCTCGTGCTCCTTCGACGGCGCGGGCAGGGCGTTCCCTAGCTAAGCTAGATGGCGATGTTATTATATTCCCGATGAGTAAAAGTGCAGCTGATTTGTCTCTTGGTGCCGAGAGCTGCCCACGTTCTTTCCTGTCAGTTACCTCCACCCCCCGCATCCAATGCACGTTCTTCTGGTATGAGGATGAAGCCCTTTGGGTACCATGGAGCTGCGATTCTCTTGACCATAGCATCGAAAGCTGCGGGCTATGTGCTGGGAGAGAACCTCGTCTTGCGTGATGAGACCAACACCACGATTCCAGCTCCTGTGGTAGCTAGGTAATGAGACCACTACCCCACCATTGGTGCACAAATTGCTGAATGCTTCTAGTGTGTCGCAGTACTGGGAGGGTAATGATGGTCCATGGTCATCGTTCGCGATCCAAGTAGGCAAGACAGCTCAGAATGTGCGCGTCTTCCCATCGACCGCATCGACCTCGACACTAGTAGTCATAAACGTCGGTTGCCCGGAAGATGCGCCGAGCAACTGTAAAGATGCGCGAGGAGGGCTCTTCAACAAGAACAACTCCCTAACGTGGGTTCCCAACTCCATCTTTGACGTCGGCATCGAAGAGAACCTCGGCTTTAATGTATTCGGGGACTTTGGATTCGACACAGTGACTCTGGGATGGCAAGGAAGTGGCGGGCCCACCGTGGAGCATTCCATAGTCGCTGGGTTGGGCGATACTACTATGACATGGCTTGGAGTGCTTGGCTTGAATCCGCGGCCAACGAACTTCTCAACTTTTGTGAATAACCCGCAAGTTAGTCTGGTCCAGTCGTTGAAGAACCAAGAGGCCATACCTAGCGTTTCCTGGGCGTATACCGCAGGCGCCCAATACCGTGAGCCTTTCATGTATTAGCAGATCTCGGTTCTGAAAGCTAGACACTGACTTACCGTTTTCAGGTCTCGACAAGATCTATGGCTCTCTCATTTTCGGGGGCTACGACACGTCCCGTTTCACACCAAGCACCCTCACCTTTCCCTTCTACGAGGACATCTCCCGCAACCTTGTTGTAGGTGTACAGAAGATCTCTTCCTCAGGAACCTCTTTGCTAGAGACCGGAGTCTTTGCCTTCATCGACTCCACTCTCCCGTACTTTTATCTGCCCACCTCAGCCTGCTCCGCCTTCGAGACAGCATTTGGCCTGACCTGGAACTCCACTTCCGAGCTCTACCTTGTGAACTCTACACAGCATGCCTCCCTCTTGAAGCAGAACGCGAACATCACTTTCACTCTTGGCACCACCACCTCCGGTGGCGAAACCGTGGACATTGTCCTGCCATACGCCGCGTTCGATCTGAACATATCTTGGCCACACGTCGAGGAAACGACGCGCTACTTTCCTCTCAAACGCGCGACAAACGACACGCAGTACACGCTTGGCCGGGCATTTCTGCAGGAGGCGTATTTGATTGCCGATTATGAGCGGTTCAACTTCTCCGTGCACCCGTGCAAATGGGAACCGAATGCGAAATCGAGTATTGTTGCCATTCGGTCGGTTAACGATACGACTGAGAATCCTTCTAATACGACGACTCCCACGGGGAACAAAGGCGGATCGCATTCTTCGTCGCTTGGAGGCGGCACAATCGCTGGTATCGTTATTGGAGCTATCACAGGCGCAGCCATTCTCGGGGCCGGGTGGTATCTCATGCGCCGCCGCGGTCTGTGTGGGTGCGGGGAGCCATCCGAGCTCGATGCAACCGAAACAGAGCGGGAACAGAACCGACCCGCTGTGCCGTTGGATATTATTCGGGCGCAGAAGGCGGGTGATGAGCAAGAACTTGATAGCTCAGGAATCCACGAGCTGCCGTCGCACCATAAATTCGGGGTGCTGGAGGCGCCAGGGGGCGATGAAACATTCCCGAAGCCTTCCGAGTTGGATGAACAAAGAGCTCGACAGGGACGTTTTTCTGAGGTCTTTGAGATGGATTCGGGGCCGATAGTGAGAATAGAACCGCCGACAGCAATCGAGACAGAGGCACCGGATTTGCCAACACCTGGACAGCTGGAAGCTGTTGAGAGAGCACAGGAAAGAAGAGTTGGGCATGATGATCAAGACGAAGAAAGATAGAAGAGATTGAGTCAACGTAAGCTGTGAATGAGGAGAAAGCAGACGTCGGCGCTGTGTGTGGAAAGCAGTATATATGTTGGGTCGTAATTACATAATGTACAGTACAGCACCAGGACATTAACTAAGTCGTTGCACACTTACTTAGCACCATTTGCGACGCCTCAGGGAGCTTGTAAGAATCTACTGCTTCGCCTTGCCCTTGCCGCGCATGACGCGTCGCCGCTGGCTCATCATATAGGTATATAGCATATATGCGCCTGGGAGAGCATTCATTAGCCTCCAAAGGCAACAAGACGAGCCGCACCGACTTACCAGGCACATAGGTCGCCAGCACGCCCCAAAGAGCATACCCAAAGAGAGGATTCCACTCCGAAGCCGGCGCAATAGCTTTATAGATCAACCAACATTCGCTCGAGATTCCGATGGGATAGAGAAGGAAGAAGGTGTTGTATCTATACCAGCAATGATTAGCTCTTTATGTCTGGTCTCCCTTCAATGCTCTCTGACATCTGATGTGAAGCGAAAAGAGAAACGCACCTCATCCAGCTCAGCACCCCTGGAACCCCCACCCCACCCAGCACAAATACAAAATACGAGTACCGCACCACCTCTGTCACCGACCACGCCAGCAGCATACTCGAGTAGGCCGGGCTGTTCGCCGTAGTCTGTGGGAAGTTGTATCCCACGCCCCATGTCAGCAGGATGCGGCTCGCGACTTGGGTTAAGGTCGTGAAGATGGGGGCGCGGACGATGCCTTGTAAGCGTTAGCCAGCATCCAGATTCTCGGTTGCTATTCCCATCTCTTCGGAAGACCCGGTTTGCCCCGCGATTGACGTGTATATTGAGATGGCACTCACCAACCAAGCTATGCACAACCTCGAGCAATGCGCCCGTCTGGACCAGTCTCGTAAAGCTCTCCAGCCCTTGATACACCTTTCCCGTCTCCGCCGCCTTCACTGGTCCACCATTATCCTTACTGATCAGCACAACACGGCCCAGCACCGTGAGCCAGAGCACTGCGGAGACAAAGTTATAGGCGAGGAGGTAGTTTGTTTTCGCGCTGGTGGGTCGGGATTGAGTTGACATTCTGGGGGTAGGACGCGACTGGAGGGAGCTCTGTCCAGTGATCTGGAGGGAAAGTCTGCCGCTTGAAGTGGGCATTAATTTCTGGGGAGTGGTGAATTTCTGGTGAGAGCTTGAAGCTCAACGGATGTGAGATGGGACAGGCATGCTTAGCGCGCTAACCCCGGAAACGCCGAGGCTCTTCACACATCAAAAGCAGCTTCGTACCTGAGCCCTGGGCAAAGAATTCGAAATTGCAGTTAGATTCTAAATATTCCAGAGAAGTACCATTATACAGCACTAGCCTACATACAGTCGAAATCGTAATACCGCCGAAGGTCCTATACCATGACCATTGCCGCCCCCTGCCAACAAACTCCCAAACCAGATCTTGAGCCCGAGTCCCAGGGTTATGCAAAGCGACAACAAGAAACAAGAAAAAGTGACCCTATGATAGGAGTATGCTGGTGAGAGCTAACGAAATTGAAACGCTCAATTGTAAGTGTAAGCTCGTTGAAAGAACCAGCGCATTCAGACACGGTCTTTCATAGGTAAACTTGAATCATAGAAGTCTTGTGGTGCACCTTTTTGTCGCATCCTTCAGCAACACAGGTTTTGAATGCTGGTGGAAGGTTATCGGTAGATCTGCTCTTCGTCTTTCGCCCTTTGAGTTGACGGTGTGTTGTACATTCGCCACAATAGACCTGCGCAAAATTAGCATCCGGAACGTCCTACACTAGAATCCAGGAATACTGACATGACCACATCCTTTCACAAGCCAGACCTGTTTCTTGAGATCCGAGTCCCCAGTACACAGTTCGTCCTTGCAATTCGGGCATATCAGAATTTCGTCTTCCACTGGCGATCTCGTAAAGCCTTTCGGCGCTGGGTCGGGCTTCTTGTACGTTGGTGGCGGTGGTGGTGGACGTTCCCTCTCTAGGCCCATGTCGAAACCCACCGCCGCAAAGTTCAAATCTGGCGCAGCAAACTGAATGATGTTCCGCGGACGTCCACCAGTCCGCAGCTCAGGCGCACGCACCGCACCGCCCATCCCCATAACTCGCCACAACTCTCCTCCTGCCAACGCCCCAACAAAGCCTTGCCGCAAGCTTTCCATCCTCATTATGTTTCCCATTCGTCGTCCATATGCCAAGTCCAACGCCCCCGTTCTGAAAGGATCATCCCGTTCATCATGCTCGTGACGCCCAAGTGCTCGGAGCATGTTGTCGTCTGTTAGATCGATATCGGCATGGCGGAGATTGGGATTCGGAAGGTGTCGGCGCGGTGGATCGATCGTGCGCGCAGAGACAAACTCCACATCCGGGCTCGCTGGTACTTGTGAGGTATTCTCTGGTCGATAGGAGGATGATTGCCCGGGCACGTCATCCAGATGTTCGACGTCAATAATCTCTCGGTGATAGCGCGGGGGCCGTGAAGCACGAATAGAGGCCGTTTCTATGGGCTCTGGTGGTCGAGAAGGCCCCGCATCGTCCGCTGTTAGATCAATGACGTCCATATCCGCATTGCGTGATGTCGAAGCAACCGGTCGCCTGAAGTCCATGCCGTCTCCTGCGTATCTCTCTCTGTGTATGCGAGGGAGCTCGATTCCCGTGAGGCGGTCGAATTCTGGGAGGCGGCGTTGAGGCGGGCGTGGGTTTGAACTGGACTCCTCTGAGGTGGAGCGGACGCGTAGGAATGGGCTGCTACTCCAAGAAGAGGACGACCTTTCGCCGTCCATGTGATTCCGAGTCCTCTGCGGGGGAGCACAGTCAGTCTCGCGGGTTATGGAAGCGCATCTGGCAGACCAGCGCTTGAATTCGGGGCTCTGCATACCTTATGTCTGTGCGAGCAACCGTAGTACGAGTCGTCGTCCATGCTCTGCAGCGGTTCGATGAGGCCCAAGGTTGAAGAGAGGTTGGCGCGAGTAGGAGCTAGATCGGGCCAAATTACAGGAGGAGGCGGGTGTCGGTGCGTTTGTGTCCACGGACTGCTGAGTTGTTGTGTACAGCGGGTTTGGTGGTGGCAAGGGTTCGGGCGTCGATTACCACGAGCGGCGCATGTCATTCCATCCCATCAGAACAAAGATGAAAGTGAGGAAAGCGACATGCGCGCTCGTTGGATTTGTCACGCTGGAGGAAGCCCGTCGACCGAACCACTAGGCTACCGAAGTTCACGTTGCTCGCCATGCGCCTGTCACGAGGGAGTGAGGCGAGACAGTCCTGCAGTTGTGCATTCCAACTATGGCATTCCAACTATTCCGTGCCCATCGCATTTGTCTGCAAGCCAACTATCTGATATATTACACTCGGAAACTCCATGCCCAAAATCACTTGACACGCCCTTTTGCCCTGTTCAACCCAAGATGCTGATGGCGCCCTCCGGCGTCAATACAACCAGAGAAGATGCGTCCGGTCCCCACTGTAGGTCCTTGGCGGGAATAGCCTTCCTGAACGGCTCTGACCAGCTCTTTGAGGACTTCACATACTGCTGGACCGAGACGCAGCCTGGCCCTGCAATCGCGACAAATTGTCCGGTGTAGTCCCAGTGCACGCTTTCGACGGGACTTCCAACATCAAGCACCTTGATGGTCTGCATCTTCCGGAGATCAAAGATAGTCACGCTAGTCTGTCCCTTGATAGACGAAGCAAGCCAAGTGCCGTTCTCCGAAAACGAGAGACTGTTCGGCACACCGCCGGCGTCAAACGAGGCGGCATTAGCTCCGGTCTTTACGTCGAAGAGCTTGATCTGCCCGTCCTTCCCACCTACTCCGAATAGATGGCCATCTGGATGAAACTCGCTGCACAAGATTTCTGGAAAAAAATTAGTGACTTACAGTATAAAAAAGGGGTTACGCATACCTGTGTCGGTATAGATGTGTGAAGCAACCTTCATGCTCGTCAGGTCGTAGAACATGAAGCTCTTATCCGCGCCAGTTGATGCCAGGATATCTCCGCTTGGGTGAATTGCCAGCGACGTGGCAGACCCAGCATGAGACCCAAGCTGTGCAACCTCTGCACCGTCTTCAAACACTTTTACTGCTCCTGCAGAGGTCGCAACAACCTGGCGCGGCCCCCACCATGCTGTCGCCGTCACCGCGCTTCCACACTTCAGAGCATGCACAACCTGCTTTTGTGATACGGAGTATACACCAGCAACACCATCTGCTCCGCCGAAAAGGGCAAGATCTTTCTCCTTATCGACAGAGACGATGCTGCTACCGGGATAGAGCGGTTCGGAGGAGTCCGTGGGCTCAAATGCTTCAATCGTTTCCGCAGTGGCCCAGCCATCCGGAATAGGCCGTTTGCGCCGTGTGCTCGAGAGCCTATGACCGTTAGAATGTGCCCAAAACAACGTTCAGACAGGACGTACTGTTGCATTGTCTCGTCAACCTTGGCCGCTAATTCCTCAGACAGTTCCTGGTTGTCCACTTGCATCGCATCAACATTTGTAGCCCCGCTGATCGTGACATTCGAGAGCGCCTCTCGAGCCTCGTCGCGTTCCCTTGTGATCCTCGCAATAACCCTCGTGGCTGCATCGTTCTGGTATAGCGCGGTGCTAAGCTCTTTTCGCGTTTGTGATAGCTGTTGCTTCAATGTGAAGGTCTCGAGAGCGATCGCGTCCCACTCGGCCTGGAAGGCGGACAGAAGTGAAGGAATAGAGGTCAGGGTTTGGGGTCGAGGTTTGACGACATGAGATGATTTGAGTTCAATGAGGTCGTCCATGGAAAGATCTTCGCCCGTTACTGGGTCCGTGTGGTGCTCTGAAATATGCGCCTCGATCAAGCGCTTCTCGAAGACATTGCCTAGGTGCTGTCAGATGCGATCCAGACTCAGAGGGCAAGGTTGTGTACGAACCGCTCTTGCGCGAAGCTACGGGGAATTGGGGCGCTTCTCCAGAAACTAAAGAGATTGTCAGCAAACGGCAATAAATCATGCGCATAAAGTGGTACTCACTGGCGCAAAGCATCTTAGCGGTGGGTTTTGTACGAATGTTCGAGGTTGCAGCTCCAAACATCGTCGAAGCCATTTTCTGGAGGCTCCGAGCAGTTTTTCCGACCCGACAATCCACGTGACTTAGACGTCTTTCATAATAACACTTTCTTATGCAATGAAGTCATTTGACGAGTAGCTACTTCAAATTAATACAATGCCTCGTCAGAGGAATTCGTGCACTCGTTTACCGCTGCGTGAGAAGCCTCAGAGTATTTTCAGCATACCGAATGAGAGAGAAACTTGGCATTTTGGACAACTATTCTAGTAAGTTCGCGAGGCTACCCCAGACAGTATCAACAGTGTGTACGCAGATTGGAAATGCATACACTGCCCCAGGTATACATTAGTACGTTGGAGTCCCACACGCAGGCGCAGGAAAGTGTACACATATTTTTGCCAAGGCACTGTAGGCTCGAGTCTGATGCTAAAATTACAAAATCTCAATCTTCCATTTCCTCATCCTCCTTCTCCACCGCACCCGCAGCATGTTCCCATATATGCCCTAATCGTCTGTCTTTCCTTTGATCTTTCTAGCGCCTTTGCCTTCGCTCTTGCGGGAGCTGCTTGGCTTCTTGTAGCTAAGCAGCTTGCGGAGCTCGTCTCCGAAGACCTCCATCTTTGCAGCCTGTTCGACAGCGTCCTCTTCACCTGGGGTTCGCCAAACGGTTCGTTGGGGAGTAAATTCGGCCAAGCTGATGATATCCACGGCAGCATCATAGTTTCCTTTAGCCACTCCAACGGCCTCGAGCCAGTGGAAGCCGTCGCGATAGACTTGTCGTGCTACTTTCCGAATGTTGTTGCCCCAGCCGATACGGCACTGAAAGTGCAGGCGTTTCAAGTTGACGGCACCGGAGAGCATAGTTAGTCCCGGATGGTTTAGGGCTTTGTGGGCTTTGGTGTAACCCCAGCCGTGGATGGTGACATCCTCCAATAGCTCTCGAGTGCGTGGCCTAAGGTCGGCCATGAAAGAATGCAGGGCGGTCGTGTCTTCGAGCATGAACTTGTTGCTGTAGAGGATCGGAAGCGCTTCTGTGCATATCTGGCGATTGACGGCCAAGAGGGAAGGGACAAAGGATACTCGTCCACTGGGCTCTTCGTTCTCATCTTCATTCGACTCTCCGTACAGAACGCGGTGATGGTATCCTCCACGTCCGAACGGATCGTTGATCGCATTCATCGAAGGGTTGCTGCGGATGACCACACGACGATAGTGTTCGGTCTTCGAGATTAGATGAACTCCGTTTCCGTCCACGAGAGCGTGTTCGTAGATGATGTTCCGAAGCTCGGCCGGGAGAGATAGAAAGGGAAATATTTTGCGCTTCGGAAGCGGTCTGGGCTTTGCCTTAGATTTCTGAAGAGGGTCAGACTCGTCTTGAAAACCCGGCACGTTGCTTCAAACCTTGTTCGCAGAGAACTCCTCGACTTCCTGGTCCGATTCATACAAGTCATTGTCGTTGCCTTCATAGTAATTGACTTGAGCTCTCTTGCGCTTCGGCTGAGAGCGTGTGACAACCTGAACGTCCGACATGATGATTGCTGTGATTGGGAGTGAGGTGGAGTGTAGCAAACGCGTTGTGATGCGAGAACACGAAATGAGAGCGATGTCAGGTGGATTAAGTAGAGGCTGGCAGTGGCAAGGCTTGTGAGGATTCGGTTAGCGTAGGCGACCATCAGGCATCGAAGGCCGGCCTGGGACGTCTGTCGAGGCACCAAGTCTTGGTATGAGGCTGCGCCGTCAGACTATCATCGCGTGACGAGGTTGATACCAATCGAGCTGCCTTATGAGCAGACGGGACGGTGATGAAAGTGAGAGCAGAGACGTGGCGGCTGAGAGTGAGGGCTAAGAAAAGAACAGGTGCGCGCTTGGACCATTTAAATTCTCCTCGCCGCGACCTCACCTGCCAGATCCATCACCATCCCGTAAACCTCTCGTTTCCCGAAACCTTTCACGGCTCGAATGAATGCATCATAACGGGGTGCCTGTCGAATAATAATGAATTATAGACTTTGCCATGGTGCAAATTGCTTCAATCGACTCTTTAGTCCTCGACCTACCACCAAGCTGTGTGGAATTCTGGCCTCATGATCCCGAGTACGCCGTTGTGGGAACTTACAATCTCGAAGGAAGCAATCCCAGCGAGGAACAGACGGAATCAGTATCAGAAAAACCGCAGTCTAGAAATGGTAGTCTGATACTCATACATGTTCATGGGAGCTCCGTGTAAGTGACGCCCCCAAATGTTTCAGGTAGCCGGGAAACCAAGGTCTTGAATATCTTCAGCTTCAATGTTCAACCTCAAAGCCTTCTTTCCTACTTCCGCACCATGTGGTGTCTATGAGCCAAATCATGTCATTCCCATGAATGAAGCGGTTGCCGACGCATTGTTCTTCGAATTCTGTAGAGCTTCCGCTGATTTCGATTCAAGCAGAATTCTTCAAACACTTTCTACGCCCTTCGCCATTCTAGATGTTCATTTTGTTCCTTCACATCTTGGGAATCCCTATCTACTTGGTGCAGCATCGTCTACAGGGTCACTGGGATTGTACGAGCTTAGAAAACCGGATTCGAGTGCGTCACCTTCCGAGCTTCATCCACGACTAGAGCATGTGCGGACCTTGCAATACGTTTCAGAGAGCACGCTAATCACTGCTTTCGCATGGTATCCTACCTCTGCAGATGTTGTCGGCATCACCCTTTCGAGCGGCGAGGTAATGGTATGTTCTACTGAGGGAATCAATGCTCAAGCCAACATCATATCACTACCTTCGCACGATCTGGAGGCCTGGACGCTCGCCTTCCAGCTTGATGGCAAGGGATTGCTCTCCGGTGGTGATGACAGTGTGCTTCGGTACTGCAGTCTACCGAACATTCCATCAGTACAATCCACACCGGTATTCTTCGAAGAGATATTCGATGAGGACACCGGCTCTAGAAGTACCTGGATCGACAGAAGAATTCATGGAGCCGGCGTCACCGCAATCTTGCCCTTGGAGAGAGATATCTTCATCACAGGAAGCTACGATGACCACATTAGAATCATCCACGCTCCGCTAGTTGGACGAAAGACTGTGCTTGCCGAGATGAATCTAGGCGGAGGGGTATGGCGATTGAAGGCCCTGAGCCAGCCAGCGGCTGCCCTGGCGGAGAATTTTGGGCCTTCGGTAGAGGTAGTACTGCTTGTCAGCTGTATGCATGCCGGTGCCAGAATTGTCAAGATCCTCAAAAATTCGGAAAAATGGCGCTTCGAGGTGCTGGCCAAGTTCGAAGAGCATAAGAGTATGAACTACGGCAGCGACGTGCAGCCTAGTCATCACGGAGAGAGCAGAACTTTCATCTCGACGAGCTTCTACGATAAATTGATATGCTTGTGGCGGTTTTGAGACCGTTAAACCCCTGGTACATACTCTCTTTAGTACAGTACCAAGACATAAGTTTGCGCAGTCCTGGCGACTATTTATGGTACCCTAATAGACTCTTAAAACTCCAAATACATTGTAAAATTAACACAGTGGAAATCAGACTACGTTTTGATGAAGCTAATGCCTGCTAGCTAGGGAACCTCTTACAGTGGTGTCAGGCGACCAAGAGTGGAGCCAGAGCAGTGTGATACCCGTGTGCAGAGATTTATGACCTGGTACTGATAGATTGCATTATCATTTAGCACAGCTTGGAACGCCCCAGTGCTCTTTGAAAATTCTAGAGGACGCGAAGTTTCATGCAACAGGGGCCGAGCTAGTTGGATATGACGTCCGAGTCCGTATGGCAGCTACCTAACGAGGAGATTGGTTTGAGGCGATTATAAAACTGCTTGGAGGATATGCGGGCCGGGACGGGGTGGTTTGGGAAGAAGCTGTTGATGAAGAGGTAGATGTAGAGAGTTCGTATACTGTATCTACGCTAACGGCGGTCTACCAGTCCAACCATAGACATTCCTAGCCCGGATCTAGGGAGCGCAAGTCCTTCCCCCACATTTCCAGCATTCATAGATAACAGAATTCCCGCCTAATGGCTGAGGCTTTGACATTTTGATGGCCCAATCAATGCTAACTTCAAAAGGATTGAAGAGCGGTTGGTCCGGCTTGGTGGGAACAGCGAAGTCGTTGAAAATGTTGTCAGTTGGCAAGGCTAGGTAGTTATTTCTCATACCGTAGGTCAATGTCTCTTGGTAGTGAAGCTAAAAGGCGTATTTTTCTCATCCACGAAAGGAACCGGGAATTTTTCGATCGCCTCGGATTGTCCCCCATAAATATCCTGCTCGAAAAGCGAGCGTAAATTGCTAGCTTCGCTTGTAATATTGACTGCTTCGGAAGACGACCCTATGGATAACGATATATCTTGACTCGGTTAAACATAAATGTCCTATAAAGTGGTAGGCATTTTAGACTTACCTTGGGCCCGGGGATGGATCTTTTGTTCATGCTCGACCATCTTGTCTGTTCTCGCAGTGGCATATATGCAATGCGGATATGAGCACGTCTGCTTTGGGCCGTGAATGGTCTTTTCATGGCGAATGAGATCATACACTCGCGTAAATGTCGAGCCACAGCTGGACAAGGCACAGATCCAGCGGATGCTATGCGAGTGGTGATGCTGTTGCCGATTGTGACTGGGTGCTTTTCGTGCTTTTCTCGTGCTCCGGCTGTGGGATTTCTTTGTGTGAGGCATGGTGATTGAGCAATGAGAAACCTATAGGTAAAGACAGGTTTCACGCAAAGAAACTAGACATTCGAAGATGGACCTGATCAAGTTTCGTACTTAAATACATCGATGCTGAACGGCACCGTTCAAAAATTCGCATTAAGGCGGTCGTAGAATTAGGAGGCGGTCTTCCCGCGCAAGATCTTGTCGATTCTACATGGCGGGCCATGTAATGAATCACCCGCGCGGCGGTCTCCACATTCAAGGAATACAAGCGAGGTGGTCGTCCTAAACTTGAAGGTGGTCTCTCTAGTATGTAGTGGAGGCGGTTTTCACCTTTGTAGGATTGCTTCGTATTTCGTGAGGCTGAGATAGGCGGTCCACTATGTTGGGATAGGCGGTCCACTGTGTTGGGATAGGCGGTCCACTATGTTGGGAAAGGCGCGGAGACCGTGCGCAATAAAGCTATTCCGCAATAGAGGACCGCCCACTTGAGCCCTCACGCCTGCATGGCGCGGACGCTTTCTCTCCACCATGCCACGATCCTCATTAAGACCATGCTCCCCTAATCATGTCATTGTATCATACATGACACAGGCACGCTTCCGGCTTGAAGAGAACGTCACAGCAGTCGCCTAGAATATATCCTCAGCCTTGTCCATCCCCATCGTGCGGAACGAGTCTCAAAAGAGCCTACCGTATAACACCAGCCATAGCGAAACACTCTATTTTTGCTCTTTTCAGATACAGTTGTAATTAGCCCAATCTCCACGCTGAGAAAAAACCTCTAACTATGCCATATAAGAAATGACTTCTACGCATTCTACAGTACTAGGCCATAAGTTTGGGTACACGGATATACGACGGCTTTGGCTTCACTCTTGCTCTCTCGATACCACTGTAAGGAGTGCAATAGGTAACATGTCTACAGTGGGTCGAAAGGGAGTCTAATTTCGACTGCGTTGACCTTCACGTCGTATTTGAAGTTTCAAAGGCCTATCGGGTTGCCCCAGCCAGTTGCTAGGAGTATCCAAACTTATGTCGTGGTACTGTACCACATGAAAGACATCATCTAGTTCACAGGACCTTCGGTGGCCACCAAGCTGATACAGCCGCCCTCGTATGGCTTCTCCCGTGATCTCTGGTGTTGGTATTTATCCATGTATGCGGCACATCTGTCGTACTTGCGCTGACCTCGCCAGATCTCAACGATCCCTGGACTCGATCTATCTATACTCAACTCGTCGAGTTCAAATTCGACCTATCGAAGGAGTATTGGAGTTTCGAAATCCCCACAACCTTCCAGTAGAGAAGCCTCCTGTCTCTAGCTCACGAATTGGAACTAGAATACGAGTATTCCCTAGCCTTCAGGTCTGCCCGGATTAGCTGTACCACACCATTGCCTTCTGGAACTGGAAATTTCTCCTTTTCTCAACTATTCCCTGCAAATCATGCAGACGATGCGTTCGGTGAATTTATAGATTTTTCTGCAAACCCTACGCTTGACGAAGCTTCTTCAGAACAGTCAGGTGTTTCCCTGCCACTTCCGGGTCAAGTGGACTTGGAACAGTACGACTCATCATGCGCGTTTGACGAAGGACCCTTTCGTCGACAGAACTATTCCCTTCTGGAGTCGGAACCCAGCTATGACCATCTATCAGCGTTTAACAATCACCCGGATGCTAGCACCGTCAGCTCATTTGGATGTGGATAGTCTTCTCCTTCTTTAGATACTCATGTCTCCCAGAGTTCCACTCCTCTCGTCCCGCTGCCCCAAGCCAATATTCCCTTTACTTCGCCAGCAGCCTGGCCGATGACCTGGCAGGATCCGCAGCTGAACGGGGAACGCACCCAACCTTCACCTCTAGCAACACACACCCAGGAAGCACACGCTCGGAAGGCTTGATCGATCCGATTAGGAATGCAGAGAATAAATTGGAGTGCCCGCATTGCAACAAGACGTACCTCCTCTTGAGGCATTTAAAGCGCCATTTGCTTAGACGTAGGTCGTCTCTTTCATTCTGTACCCTTCCAATACATCTTTCCTGTCCACTCTCTATTCACAGTCTTATAATCTCTCCTACTTATACGTACTACGATCACGCAACCTACTCCCGCCTTCATTCACTTTCTACTCAATGCTGTTCAAGCCCACCCCTCTTCTCATTGATGACTACTAATTTGTGTCAGATATGGGAGAGCGTCCTTACCAATGCCATCTTTGCAAGGATACGTTTCCGCGCAGTGATGTTCTGAGGCGCCACTTCCAGAAATGCACAATTCGTCGCGGTAACCCAGCCGGCCAGAATTATCTTGCGAACTCGCAGTCTCACCTTAGCGAGATTCCATTACCAGGGGCCAGATTGGAGGCACAAAATCCTCCGAGTAAGTCGTCGAATACCCTTTCGCCTCCTTTTTGCTCTGCATCCTTCTCAGATTCTATGACCAATCCCGATAATGCGCTCCCCTGGGTGCCCGATGCTATGACGGCTCGATCGACTACTAGTCGACCCTCTAGTCGTGCTAGTTCCGCAGGCAGCACACAGAGCCAACGTGGGAGGAGCCGTATATCTACATTCTTCCGCAGGTCATCAAGTGCACACAGCAAAGCCAGCTCTGGCTACGAAGAAATCGTTTTGGACGCCAATCCTACTCGCTCTTCTAGCCAAACTTCGGCCTTATCCGGGCGTCGTGGTCCGACGGGCAATTTGGCAAAAGCAACGATGAACGCAATCAAGAAAGTGGGCGCATTTTGGCGGTGTAAGATCTTGAGGAAGACTGTAAGTGCAACAATAACTCGTCAGAAATCCGTGTACACTTTTCTACCGCTGCTTGAAGCTCCTCGATGCCGTTTCTGGTTTTCAAACTTTGTTGATTGGAGCAATCAGTAAGCTTGCCGAACCACCTCAGGTAGTGGCTGATGGAAGTACACAGTGAGCTGTTCTGTTCGTCACTCTAGTTTCTATAAGCATGTTGGAGCACTACGAGCAGTGCCAGAACAGTGTACATGGATCAATAAAGAGGCACTGTACCAAAAAGCTTTGTACTGACTAGCTATAGTGCGATCCTGAACAGCTTTGTCTCGCATGTCCAACACAGGCGCGTGGATCTCACTGGCGAGATTTTGGTTGCAGACGTGGAACACTTGAGGAGGAGATTTCTCCAGTTGCCCTGTGTCCGCACGCGATTGAAAATATGGGGCTCCAGGATACCGGATACTTTCATCCAATAACAGGACTTCGAAACGAATTGGCAACGAAGGAGACCGAGAAACGCGACCACGACATAAAGAGACTGATCACATCCATTGATCGAGAGAACCTAGATTCTGGCGACGCTGTCCCAGAACATATGACATGCCTTCGAAGGGCTTAGTCCAAAATTTGCACAGTTCCGAGCCCATAACAAATCCGCCTCACTTGTCTCAGACACATCTCTCAATTGCCTCTCCGCCGCTCCAAGAGTGTGTGTTGTCTACCGCTGGGAATTAAATCACCGGCCTACATCTAAAGCCATTTTATTGGGCCCGGGCATACCCCATCTTGAAGACCTTGGTGAGCTAATGGGCCTTGCTGCCTTGTACCAGGAAAGTCATAATTGTGTGAGTAGAGTTTTCATGGCGCCTAAAATGAGAACAATCACTAACAATGTATCTGAGAAGGATCGATTGATTGGCCGACCACTTAAATGCATGCGGAGCTGCCTCGAAGTCTTGCGTTTTAGTACGCCAGCTCATCACCTCCACGACTTTTGCAAGAGCTCCATTATTTGCACGGTTGAATGTGTCCGGTACTTGGAGCACCATCTGGAGAACTATGTGATGGAGCTATCTCGAGTTTTTTTCAAGAAGAAAAATCTAAGAGGAAACCTTGATTGGTGGCTCCCTGCCTTCTATAGTCTCTGTATCCAAGGTTTCGTAAGAAGGGCACTTTGCCACATCCTCAACAGTGAGGACTACCATAAAAATATCCAACGTTCTATCTCCGCCACCCAATACCTACATATCGCCGTCCGGTTGTTCATTGCTAGATCTGGTTTGTATGACCCACTAGTTCCGGGGAGCCTAGATGAGAGCCTAGGCGCGGATGAAACCACCATTCACAACTACCAAGCTGCTCAGGTCGCAGTAAACTGGTCTTCTTGGGCATCACATGATATCTGGAACTCTGGCAGCTTTCTCAGGTACCTGTTTGAAGACAAGGGTGGTGTTTTGCCCACCAAGGATGATACCACTGTGGAGAAATTACGAAGATAGAATGAAATTGTATAGAATGCAGAGTTATACCCAATATAATATGGAACAAGCAAGTTTGGGACCACTGGAACATATCCTCATCTGTAGCTACAATAGAGCCAATCAACGCTTCTCCAATGGGTATAGGTTTCCACGTTTCTTTATGGTAGCTTGGTACGCAGCAAGCGTAGTTCAAGTATGTACTTTGCCTTGCCAAAAACCTGGGCATACTTATTCACCACCGACGGAGGTGCTTCAAGGCATTCTAAGAGTTTTGATTAAATGTAAAGTCCCTGAGAGCTTGAATCAGACACATTTCACACGCTGATAGTCGGCCTACTCGCCGCTGTTTGTGGTACTTCAACACCTCATCATAAATCAGGACGAGATGAAAAGAACGGCGTGCCCAAACTTGTGTCATAGTATTGTAGCAGTCCTCAAAGGCCGAATTCTAGTGGTCAGGGAAGCAAAGGGGTCAGTGCGGTCGTTCTTCACGTGTTGCGACCGCGTGAAGTCCTCCAGGGGTGCTTGAAAAATCAAGAGGAATGTCACGTTTCGGAAAGCTCGAATTGAAAGGCTTGAAATTGAATTGCTTTCTAGCTTCAAGAGGCCCTTTGGAGTCTTCCAACATACTCGGAATTTCCAGGAGGTGTTGTCATCTCCTCGCATGCTAAATCAGACGTGCGTTTTCCTCTTGGCTTATATAGTTTTTCTTGTCGAAGTTGGTCCCTCTCCCAAACCACCTCCCCCACTCTTCATTTACGACAAGAACCATACCACTTACAGTCATCTTCAAAGGCTCGAAAGATAGCACTAGCTCCACAGCCGCAACTTTCAGCATTTCGGCCTGCGGGGCTGCGGGGCTGCGAGATTCGCCTCCAGCGCCAAGTTTCGGCGACGGTGGACTTGCAACTCGGATTTACGATCCGGCGAGAGGTCAAGCTAATGTCGGATGTAATGAAGGGTGGAGGGTATGCAGAGTCTTGTGAAGAGAGGGTGAGAGCGGAGACCGAAGTGGCTAAAGTAGTCGAAGTAATCGAACTGGTTGCGGTGGCCGTCTGGGAGCGCAAAGTTATGTAGTTAGCCGCACACAGTTAAAACATTCCAGTTTCTAGCGTCCAATTCCACACGCCAGATTGACAATCCTGCACAGATGAGATTTCAATCTCTCATTTATGATACATCCGGGAGTGTTTCGAGACTGTAGCTTGACTCACAGATTGCATTCCCAGATTACCGTGGATACGGAATCCTCATGTATTAGCAGAAAGGGGGAAGGTTAGGGCGGACTCAAACAAGTCCAATTGACCAAGCTCGCCATTGTTCGGGATGGCTCATCAGGCCACCAGAGACCTAGAAGAGAGGTCAACATTAGCATCAGGTATTATGTATAAATATCTGTCTTGGTACTGTCCTTCTATAAGGGAACCTCTACTGCGTGCAACACCTCTTCTATAACATCTTCCGCAGTGACACCATCCAACACGGCCTTTACAGCATCTAATGAACTTCCCCACTGCATGCTTCGCTCGTTCTCTGGCGTGGTAAGCACGATTCTATGCCGGAATATCTTGCTGGTTGCAAGGGTGACGAGAGACGGCGACGCGTACGTATAACCGTGAAGGGGCGCGAGAGCTCTGTAATGAGAATGATGGTCAGAATCCCCATCCAACCATAATGGGAGAATATCGACACAGCAAGATTGGAGGCTTACCGGACTAGCGCGCTGAAATGTCGCGTAGAGGCTGCGGAGATGCCTCCTGCAACGGCGCGATGTAATCTCAAGAAGACGATGATGTTGTGCATATATGCACGGATTTCCGGGCTTATGCGCACCTCCGCGGTGGAAGCTACGAGTGCATTAAGGTCCTGGAGGGTAGTTAGCAAGGTTGGGCGCGATGTTTAAGACTGGATATTTACATCTTGCGAAAAGATCGGCATCGTAGGCTTTGAAGCAGGGAGTTTCATTGGGGTCGATCGGATTACCGATGAAGCTGATGTGCCATCCTCTGAAAAATTCGCGTTGGCTAGCAATTCCTCCAGGTTGGGAAGGCCGTCCTCGGCGAAGTGCCTGTGCGAAATGAAGAATTGATCGTTCTGTATGACTACTTAGATCTGCTCGTTGAACATATCGAAGATAGGATTACCAAGTGTTGGATGAGCTTGAATTCGGACTCAGAAGCATTCAAAGCTATGAAAAGAAAAGGCTTTGGTGCTGCGTGAACTGCTGTTCTCGTGAATACTCTCTTTCCACGTATGAGCTGCGAAAAAAGTGAGCATAGGGTCATATTTACATCGCCTTCGGATGAAGCCTACCTCAAGAGCCTGAATCTGAACTTGTTGGTGAGTCTCGTTCAAGTTCTTTGCAATGACGATGTTGGCGATCTTCCGGCTGTCTAGTGGGTTGAAGGCCCCCGGCGACCTTGGAACACGCTTCTCTGAGTGCCTTATTTGATCCGAAATTGAGAAGGACGAGAAATACTGGATGCATGGATTAGATACTGATGTTGGTTTGCTAAAGCGAGCATTCGGTGACAGAGAGGATTGGCGTAAGGCTTTATCCAAGGATCAATGAGGAGAAACTCTTACATCATCGTTAGATCTTCTCCGTTCACTGAAATCGAATCTGTCATCGTCTTCGGTCACGAGAATGCCCTTTCCGAAGTCATCCAAAGTGGTACTTTCCGAGCAGTTCAAGACGCAGCATGACAATCCAAAGACATCGGAAGACACCTTTATGCGTCAGCTAGAACCTCATTTCTTCGTTCAATGCCTGGATATATTTACAAGTTGTATCTCCCTCTCAACTCCATCGAGTAGCCCCTCTTCGGCCTCGATGATGCAATGCTGGTCGGCGACAAGGCAGAGGAGTGAGGCGAGTTCAATGTCACTCAGAGACTGAACCCGTTCGACGATGGTGCCGGCCACATGGTCCATGGGCGCTAACGTGGCATGAGGCTCTGCTACAGCATCCGGTGGGGAAGGTCGGGTCGATGGCGATGAGTTGGCAAATGCAGAGGCGCTCGAGCCAGATGCCGGACTCGCGCTAGGGCGGGAAGAGGCATAGCGGCAAACCTTCCGCGCACTCCCTCCCCCAAGACGTCCAGGCAACGTCCAGGCTTCAACACCACGATTCGCCTCTGACCGCTTCTTGACCTACTCTATCTGGTGGCAAATCCGACGATGTCGCCACTCGCCCAGCGGAACACCACCATTGAGAGTCCACAGCACCACCACGGGCACGCGTGACGGCCCAGCATTCACTTCCCCTCAAGACCTCTTCCGTCCTATTTGACGCGTCAATTACTTACCATTACACTTGAACGCAATTCTTTGTCTCACTGTTCGTGCTACGCATACTTCAAGGGCCGAGAGGGTGCTCAGTACGACTACTCTCCTACGGGGCATTCATCCATCAATCGCCAGTGTGAACGGTAGCATCCGGCCGATGACTAACTACCTCTCACGATCTTGTCAAAGTTGCTTCAAGAAACCCCATTGATGGCATGGATCGTAAAGCTATGGAGCGAGCTCCCAATGCGGCTCATTGGTCGGCCCTGGGTATCCGCGTTGACCGGAAGCAAAAACCTTGGGCGCGGCATGCGTTTTAGATCCCTTCGTACTCACCGCGTCTCCTCCAAGGAGATGGAATCCAACGAAGCCAGTGGCTGCCGTGGCGGAGTAAGCTCTGATTCCTGGAATGTCCGCGCCAACATCCGCACTAGTCCCATTGTCCTGTAACCGACTACGCCCCGAAAATATGCAGTCGCAGTTCAACACCGTCGGAGGTGGCCAGAGAGCTGTCGCGCTTGCTAAAGCTGTCGCTTTGTAAGACTTCTTGATGTGTTAGAGGACCTCAAGCTGTGCTAGGCAAGTGTGCACGAACCCAGAGAGGGCGAAGTTTCAAGGGAGTCTGTCGTCAGACGGATACAATATGTAGGGCTGGTTGGCTTGCCCGACAAGGCGCCATGCAGCTGATATCACATGAAGAACGGGCTAGTCGGACCAAGCGAAATGAGAGAGACAAAATGTGGTGCCAAGCTCGTGACCCGCGTGTTGCTTATCTCATATCATCTCTCTCCCCCGACTCATCGCCACAGTTCCATTCACACAGTTCATGATGCCACATGACACCTCATACCAGCGCTACATATTGTCTCCTAGATATTGTCACTTACCTTCTAGGATCTGTAGCGATGCCTTTTCCTGGAGAACGGGACGCTCACACACCTTCGAACTGTATGGCTTCACGTAAACATCCGCGCGGCAACTCTAACAATCCTGCCGCTGTGTGGCCAAAACAAGGCAAACAAGAAAGTCGTTCAAATTTACCTTCGCCCCATGCCACGTCAATTGCTTGCTTTGCCCAAGATTCTGCGGCGGTGGCGGGTCAGCGAGTTCAAATCGGAGTCGACACCCCATTCACCCACCTAAGAGTACCTAACAGATTGATTTCGGATCCCTTACATTACTTGGCCTCTTTTAAGTAACCGCTCCATGGTCTTTAGGGTATCGTAATGACGCTTGTTCAAGTGACAACGTACGGAACGGTATCCACCCGTCGTGTCACTGTACCTAACGGCAGCAGCACACCGAAGCAGGTGTCAGACACCAACTTCGTGGCCGTCATTTCATTCCATAATGCGGAACGAATCCATTTGGCAGCAGATTCGTCATTATCTGTAAAGAATGCGCCCGGCGTGCACCAACCATCACATCTCCAATCGTCCAACACGAACCCTGGCAAGTGTTAGCAAGAGCCGCAATCTCCTACTCATACATCCTAAACACTGTCAATCTCTATTACCATAGTTCACATGGTTTATGTTCTACATCGTTTGACCCATCTTTGTCGATGACCGATCCTAAAAGGGGCATAAGATGCTGGCTAACACTTTGCAGGCCATCGCGCTGCTCAGGAACCGTCGCCGAGCTGCAAGTTCCACACGCCACTTCTTAACCGCGTCTCAACCGTTTCCGATACCAAAGGGCTTGATCCGATCACCCGCTGGAAGTCGGAGGGACCTTCAGACCAACCCGCGCTCTTCTCCAGGCCGGACAACGGAGAGCTGTCAACCTCAAAAGGCTGCTCATGCGACACATGGTGGGAATGTGCTGGTGGATTGACTGATATTGCGATGGCCGGTTTGGATGATGAACACTACGATGATGTTGGAATACCCGGAAGTACTGCATTACGGCGTGAGGTTCCTCGCTGAATTTTCTTACTTATTAGGGTTGGCTATACTTAGTAGTCCTGTCTCGCGGTGCTTGGCAGCAGTGTTTGGGGTGGCCCAACGAGCTTACAAGTTGTACGAAATGCCGAATTATTGTCTCTTTTGTAAGTTCGAGAGTGGTTTGGAGTACCTTTACCTGTGGCATGAGGGCGTATGCAGACCTCTGACGGGGGATTGTATTTTCATCTTAATTTCGTTAACGCCGCTCTGTAGGAGACTTGTTGAACGTCGTTATTTTCTCGTTTTAACATCATTATCACCCCTACACCGTCGTCAAACTTCAATGCATATTTATGGACATCTATATTGCTAGGTACTCGCCCTCTTCAACTTTGTGTACACTCGGCTACCACTACTTGAGGGCCACTAGTACGTTATAATTCATTTTAAAGCGACAGTTTCGGCAAGTCCGATAGCTCTCCAGGCCACCTTAAACAGTGTTAAGCTGCCACTTTATGTTCAACGGAGCCTGGCAAGACTGACTTACTGTCCTTGGCATTTTACCCTCGTCAACTCAGATTTTACGGGGATTATGAAACGACCCGATCATACGACCAAGCACTGATGCTTTAGGCATACTGAGACACAGATCATCTGGAACATGAGGCGATGCGGTTAACGTTCGGCAGCTAACACACGGAGGACCTGGTGTTTCATACTTCCATGCTCACCCGCACAAAGATAATCAAAGCATGGCGTGCATTGAAAGCACGATCACACGGCAATTGCCTGCTGGGCTCACCTTCTAGAAGTTGTTTCGGAGTAACGGGGACTGCCTCGACTCGTTGTGCTTGGATGCTGAAATGTCAGACGTGATAAGGCAAGCACTTCCGTACCACGCAATGTTCACCTTCACTTCCTGAGTTGATCTCTATTGTTTCTTTTCTTCCCCTTCATTCTAGCCGCAGGCGGCTTTCTTCTTACGTTCTCTCTTCAATCTATCCTATACCGATCGCGCAAAGATGGGTTGGGGGGTTCTTCAAGACCCGCTGATGGAAAATCCTCCTGGGACAGCTACCATCGGGGCGTCGCCAGTGATTGGTCAGGAAATCTATTGTATAGAAAAATGAGATCTTCGCTAATGATATCATGTTTGCAGCGAATGCCACTGGAGATACCGATTACTTGCAAAAGGATGGGAACATCATCCTGCAACCCCAGCCATCCGACAACATCAATGATCCTCTCAATTGTAAGTCAAATAGTATGTCTAAAACCAGTAGCTGGGTTCTTACCTATGAATAGGGTCTCCGCTATGGAAAAATACCATCATGGTTATTCTTGCGTTCAGCTCGGGGCTGACGACTGCGTAAGAACCTCCACCTCAGATGGCACCCATAGACATACAGACACAGGCAGTAAGTCTGTGCACCCGCTCGCTACTGCTGGGGGTACCCCGATGGGATTTCCAAAGCCTAGGCGTGATGTCAAGTTTGATGCAGTGTAAATCGCACTGCTTCTTGACTCTCTAGCTGCTGACTAGCTGGGCTACTCCTCACGGTGGTGTCAAGTGAGCAAGATCGGAGCTAAGCAGTGATGAATGCGTGTGCCCAGACTTATGGCCTAGTACTGTACTGACCAGTCCACCAGCCTCGGCCCAATGCTCACTCCCGGTCTCCATACCATCGCAGTCCAGTACAACGTCAGCCTCGACATGGTTTCCAGCTTCATGATCGGCTTCTTTGCATTTTGGATCGGATCGACGACATTCTTTACAGCCGCCGGCGCAAACATTTGGGGAAAGCGGCCTTTCTTCCTGATATCTACGGTGATTCTGATCGGTACTTGCGTTTGGGGATATCTAGCTTCCGTATGACCTAGCCATCGTTCCTAGCACCCACCGCTCTGCTGACCTGGCGCAGTCCTTCCAATCTCTTGCAGCCATGCGGGTCGTCCAGGGCATGGCCTCTGCTCCCCTAGAAACTCTAGTCACCAGTTCTGTCTCCGACCTCTTCTTCGTCCACCAACGCGGCTCTCGCCTCGCTATATGGGGCGTCATGCTTGCTTCCGGTGTTCTCCTCGGGTAAAACTTCCCTTCCTACCCTTCACTCATCACAATCGTTCATACTAAAATATACAGCCAAACCATCTCCGGATACATCATACAAACTCTCGGCATCCGCTCCACCTTCGCAATCGCAGGAATGATCTTCATTTTCCTCCTGCCCTTGACCTACTTCTTCGTCCTCGAGACCACCTTTACCTCCCCACGCGAGCGCACCGCTCAGCTCCAGGAAAAAGGCAACTCCTTCTGGATGATCGAGCACGACGGACGCGAGCCCTACCGCCGCCAACTACGCGTATTTCGCGGCCGCCTCAGCCCTGAGAGCTACTGGAAAGGCGTGATCAAGCCGTTCCCGCTAATCGCGTACCCGGCCGTGCTCTTCAGCACCATCGTCTACGGGTCTTTCTTCACGTGGCTGCTAGTCATCTCGCTGCTATCAGCGACCGCGTTCGGAAGTCCGCCGTACAATCTAACACCCTCGCAGATCGGGCTGACGAACCTGCCATTATTCGGCGTCGCGCTGCTCGGCTCGCCGCTGTCTGGCTGGATGGCAGACACCGTAGCAAAGGGCATGGCGCGCCGCAACCGCGGCGTCTTCGAGCCCGAGTTCCGGCTCACGCTCATGCTCGTCGCGATGCCGCTGTCCACCATCGGCTTCCTCGGCTTCGGGACGAGCGTGCATAACCACGCGCCGCTGGCGTGGCCGCTCGTCTTCATGTCGTTGCACGCGCTCTCGGTGCCGTTCGCGACGCAGGCCAGCCTGACGTACGTGATTGACTGCCACCCCAGGGACGCGAACCAGGCGTTTGTGACGATCAATTTCGCTAAAGCGGTCTTCACGTTCCTGGCGACGACGTACGTGAATGGGTGGTATTTGCGGGTGGGGCCGAGGCAGGTGTTTTATGTTATTGCGGCGGTCAATTTGGGGGTTTGCACGTTGACGGGGCCGGCGTATGTGTTTGGAAAGAGGTTTCGGGGGATGGTGAGTTCCCAGCCCAGTCGTGTTGTGAGGAGTAGGCGAATCTAATTGGATTAATGTTAGGTGGCGCGAAGTCGATTTGCGCAGAAGCTCTCAGGGTAACGGCGATGAGGTAGGTCATCGTCGCGGTGTCAGGGGGACTACACAAAGCCGCAGAAAAAACCCTTCAGGGCAGGCCCTGGGGATAAGGCGCTTCGCATAAAGGACTACTAAACATGTTACTTCCACAGACATCTTTTCATCTATCAAATTCGTTTTGCTCCGTTTTGTGTGAGTTCGCTGGGCCACCCCAGACGGCGTGATCTGTAGAGTCGCTCGCTTCCTTCTAGTCACTATTGCGGTGAAGTGGTGAATACCTTCACTCACCAACCTGAGCCTTGTCTGCTAAGCCAGAAAAGCTATCCTTAATCTTCTCGCGCATGACCTGCTTCTCTTCCTCCATCGTACAGATCCGTCCATTGAAATTTCGGAAAATCTCAATCTGACCAGCACCACCACCGCCATCATAGCCGACAACAGCGTACGCTACTAACCTCCTCATGTCGCATTGAGGCTAATGCTAATTCTCACAGCAGAACCACTCCAACACCCACTCCCCGGCCGCCGCCATCGCCGCCTCTACCCTTGACCCCCCCTACGCCACCATGGAGGACGCGCCTGCTCCCGCCGTCCCCGCTCCCGCTGCCCCCGCGGCGAAGAAGACCAAACGTTAGTCCTCACTACTACCTTTCCCTGATCGCCTGGAACATTCCAGACGTCTGCCCGTCCTGAAGGGTTGAGGGGCTTCACATCAATTCATGATTTCGTAAAGTTTCAAACCAAATGCCAACTCATGAATCATAGGCCCCATCCCCACCGAGAAGCGGCGGCGTCAGCTTCAAGCTGTGCACGTCATGCGGGCCTCAATAGACGTCAAAATGGCGGTCTTACAGGGAAAGATTTGGGCGAGGGAGGAGGAGATACGGGCCATCCGAGCCCTTCTGGCGCAGCCCGAGGAGGCGAAGAAGGACGAGAAGATGGAAGGTTGAGGGCTTGTGGCGTGGTTTTGGGCAGTATCTAGTGTTGAAACTTGGATCACCAGGGCGATGATCCGGCTTTGCAATGTCAGAAACAGAATCCTTCGGTTCGAGTCCCTATCATGTACATCATTGAATCGTACCCCAAACGCCATGCTACACCAATCGTCCGTTATGCAAATTACGATCCTCCCAATCTTCTGGCATGCTCTCACCCCTCCTCGTCCCTACCTTTCCCTAGTATTCCCCACGGGAGATGGAGACGACTCCTACACTCCTTCCCACATTGCTTATGTACCCACCACCGGACGCCCCGTCCCAGACCCAGCCCACACTTCGCACACGTCTTACACCGATTGGGGTCTCGCAGCTCCGCCTTCGTCCTCTCCTCGCGCCGCTGCGCCACCTCCAAAGATCCCATATCCCAACACATCGCGCACAGCAGCCGCGATGGTGCCGTCCCACTGGCCGCCACTTGAACCCTAGTAGCCGTCTCCCCGTACATGATCCTCTTCCACCAGCTCGGCGGCGGCTTCGGCGCACACACGCACTTTGTGTTATCCATGGCCTTCCCCTTGCGAGCGCAAACGTTGCTGAAGTAGCAGCTGCTGCAATAGGGCTCGCAGCCGTCGAGGTGGAACAGCGTCGCCGTCTGCGGCATGTGGCTCCAGAAACCGCAGCCACGACATGTCTGCATCGTGCAGTTCCAGCACTCGGTTTTCGAATCCGGCTCGCAGGTGTAGAGGGCGAAGTGGTCGGAGCGGGCGGCGTGGTCGGTGCCGGGGAAGACGACGTCGCGCATGCTCTTCGAGGTTAGGGAGAGATTGATGAGATCGACGTAGTGGAGGTCGCGGGCGATGAGGACGAGAATGTCGTAGTTGAGGAAGTCGGCGAGAGGGTTAGGAGATTGTTCGTAGGCCCCATGGGTGTCGTAGCGGGTATGAGAGGGCGGAATGGGCGTTGGCCGCATCATGCGCATCTTGATCTCTTCTGGCGGTGGTAGAACTTCGGTGGCTTTGACAGTATAGCGGGTGCCGAAGCGGAAGCGGGATTTGATGGGGAGAGGGAGACAACGGAAGATGATAATAGGAATAATAGACAAGCCCATAAGGATAAAGAAGATGAGGCGAGGCAAGGCCATGGCGGAGTCGATCAAATTCTTGCGAAAGGACTGTGGGGTTGAAGACTTTGCGGCGGATACTGTTGAGATGATGCTGAAGGCCAAGTTGCAGAGAGCGATCGTCCAGTAGAGGGTCCTGTTGCTGATTAGAATATACTCATGAATGAATCCGTCTACTCCAACTCACACAATGGCCATGCTATATTTCCATTCCTGAACATAGTCCCTGCACATTCTCTCCGAGGAAGCGACTGTAGAATTGAGTCGGCCAGCCACAGTGAAGAAGCTCTCAGTGCCGTTGGGCACCTGCCAGGTTTCGGCACCTCCCCATTTGCAAGTACCGAACGTGTGAGGACTGTGTTTCGTCTGCGAGTTTAGGGCAAGGCTCAACATGGTAGCAATGGCAGTGTCGAAGACGCCAACTAGGAAAACGAGAGGTCCTGGAAAGATGATGTTGGGTATCCAGATGGCGAAATTCCAGTAGAAGCCGATTTTGGTCTATTCTATCAGCAAAGGTTCTAGAATCATAGTAGAGACAAGAGACGTATTTCTAGAACGGAAGAGTGAAGTAGAGATTGAAATTGATCGAGATTGGTGAATAATCGTTGCTGGCTTTGCAAAAACATCACAGCTGCAGGTTGCAAGCAGAACGCAATGTCGAGGGCGATGATAAGAGGAGGTGGAAATAACCGCATGAATAGAATACTGAGATACGAGAGTAGTAGATACATACCCATCTTGCTGCAATGAGCTCTCCGTGACCTATGCTGGGGCTATAGGGAGCATGCTGGAGGATGTCGTGCTTCCTAATAGTTGTCCAGTGTTGCCCTGCAGTTGCATAGTAGATGCCAAATGGCACGAAAATGGCAAATCGCAGGATAGCAGCCGGGTAGCCCGACGCGCTAGCATCAGGTATCGCCATGTGAGCTGGAGGTGGTGTTGCTGGTTTCGCGCCTTAGAAATGGGCACTTGGCACACCGCGCCCGATGCGGTAGAGGACTCCAAAAGCCGAGGAGAATAGTGAATTGATAAAATGCTGATGGAAAATAGTATTCTAGTGAATAAGGATGATGAATAGTTGCGCGACAGGGATGGCGACACGTCGCACGGGCGGAGAGTGTCGAGGACCAAGCGAGGACCAAGTACCGTGGATGATATAGAAAAGGTACCGAGTCGCGAGTCGATACGCAGGAACAGTTCAGGCAGCTGGCTGCCTTGGCTGGGGTTTAAGAATGTCGAGGGTGGCCGCTGCACAGCCGCTGCGTGAAGAAGAGGGAGGGATGGAGGCTGATGTACGAAGTGCGCCTCACGAACCACTAGAAGGGCTGCACCTGAGCGCCACACCGGTGAAGGATACGGGCAAACCCCATGCCAGCGCCAGACAAGCGCCACACGTGAAGGGCGCGATCGTGAAATGTCAATCAGGCTGGGGTGCTGCACATTGACGCCATGCGGCATTTGGACATGTTGTTGCGGGCTTGGAAGGTGTCGCTAACCCATGTTGAAGCCCTGTCATGCTGGCCGCTCGTTGGAAGAAGCATACTCCGAAGCTCCAGTTCATTGGCATCCTGGACCGGTTCTGCGGGAGACTGGAACGAGGACTTTCGTGGGGACCTTGTCTGAATTGTAGTCATGAGATGATAGTTACCCAGGGGCTAGCTGCATGTGAGGCTGGTGGGCTAATTGTGGCGCAGTTTTAGCATATAGGCTGGTTGGAAGGCGTCTAACTTCAAAAGTGCTGAGATGCATGTACTAGATCTGAAGCGTGACCGGCCTGCGGGCGGAGCCGGCAAGTTCGAGCCATGATTTGAAATGGAGTTGAGCGATTTGAAGCCTACGGCAGTGGTAGTTAAATGTATATACGATGACTTCTGCCTACGTGCATGGTGAAAGGCCCAGCGTGAACAAAGACTCAATTGATGAGAGTGGGGGAAGATGCTCGTTGTACGCACGCAATGTAGATAAGTACATGGAATGGACGCTTTGAAGTATCTCCTCTGTTTCCACAGGACACGAAGTCGATATGTACATACAGCGTCATATTTCCCCCTCGGGCCGATGATCACGTGTGTTCCACCACGATGTGCCTACGTCCTCGAAGTGCACGTCGTTTCCTTGCTTCTACCTCTCACTGTAACTCCATCATCATAACTCCTCTCCTCCTTCATCCTCCGAAGACGGTGCGAATTTGGCCCAAAGAACCTTCGCCCAGAAAATCGACTCAGCTGTACCCGCAATCGTCAAGGCGATAATGACAACAATCTTCACAGTCCGAGTTGCGCCTAGCTCTTTGAGACTCGCTCCTCCAAATGACGGGTTTTTGATTTTCGGTGGTTTTGAATCTGCATTGAATGTGGGTTTTGAAGTGCTGAATCTGATTCTTTGGGAGCTCAGCGCGGTCGAGGGCTGGCTATTCGCAAGGCGCCGAGTTCCCGCTCGAGGGATGAATGGTCGAAACATGATTGGCTCGGAGCTGAATAGATTATATCTCAATTGGAGATGCCATGTCCTTATATTGACGGTCCTGGAGTCGCGGCATGACTTGCGCCGTGCTTGCTGCCGACTCGCCGACTTAGTATGTCGAATTGGGTATTATGGAGCGTTCGGTACGGCGTGGTGCGAAATGTGGCCCTTGAACCTAGACATGTGTTGGAGATGCTGCAACCGTACCACCAGCATTCTCGCTCTGCCGCTCTGCAGCCGGTGGCGATATTTGTGGGCCTAGCGAAGATGGTGGCACAGTGGTGATGCGCGAGGCAGCTCGGGTGCAAAGGCGCATGGACCGTGCGCAATTCACCGATCACCGCAGCAACGGGCCTGTTTACTTCCCAAAAGCAAGCCTTCGACGCAGCCTTCTAGAACGCTCACCTGCCAATCCCACAGATCCAAAAATTGCGGAGACGTGTCGGGGGGCTCGTCCAAAAGTTCATTGGCGTCCTGCACCTGCTGCATCTCTATCTCTACCATCCTCGATATCCCGAATCCACTCCAGAGCTCTCCGACTCTATCTCCCTACATCTCAACGCCTGCACCATAGCATCTACAATCCACACTGCTATAATCTTAAGCAGGCGGTCAGATGGAGGCGCTCCTCTCGTTGTCTTTTGACAACATCGCCTCGAAGGACAACTCGAAGATACGCAAAGGCCTCCGCCAGATCGAAGGACTACTCGCCCAGATATGTCTCTCGAACTCGAAGTCATCGGCAGCACTACACAAGCGGCGAGCATCTGCCATTACCCTGAACCAGACTGCATCGCCGAAGAAGCTGAGCGACTTGGCGGACGACCCGGCATTCAGGGAGTTCTTCAGGATACAAGATGGCTTTGAATGGAATGGTATGTCCTAACATCCCCAACGAACAACACCCGACCGACTGACCTTGCTGCATAGTTGCTACACGGATAGTCGCCTGTCTTGAACGCCTGCTTGGTATGAGCACCAGTAGGCTACCACCCTCCATCCTCTCTCTCTACCACACTAACAACCGCCAGGCGGTCAAAACGACCTCTTAATCCTCTCCGCTCTCTCGAACCTCCAAGGAATCCTCCTCCTCCATCCTCCTTCCCGCACCATCTTCTCACGCGAGCTCTACATGAACCTCCTCCTCGACCTGCTCGACCCCTTCAACTGCCCAGCGATCCAATCCTCCGCCCTGCTCGTTCTCGTCACCGCGCTCATCAGCACGCCCCGCAACACCCGCACCTTCGAGTCCATCGACGGCCTGCTCACCATCACCTCCCTCTTCAAGAGCCGCGACACCGCGCAGCAGGTCAAGCTGAAGCTGCTCGAGTTCCTATATTTCTACCTCATGCCCGAGACGCCGTCGATTGGCTCGGCGAGCGCACCGAATACGGCCATGGGTCTACAGCGGAGTCCGAGTAAGCTCCTGGGCGCGTTTGAGCGGCGGAGTAGCACTGTGAATGGGGATGGAGCTGGGGGTATAGACGAGGCGAAGAACGGCACGCGGAGCACGGAGGAGAAGCAGAGGCTGCTGGGGAGATACTTGAATAACGTGGATGACCTGGTGGAGGATCTGAGGGAGAATGCGCCTTTCGCGGAGATGGTGTGATAGCAATTGCGTCTGCGCTTGATACAGCGTCGACGCGGGTGGGTGTTTGGGCCCTGGTTGACACTGTTTTGGGTGCCTCAAGGCCCTTTCCGGAGTTTCCAGAACACAGGTTGCTGCGCTTAACGCACGATTCCTTTTTCTATTTTCCTTTTCTCTGTTAATACTTTTGACTTTCATTATCGTGCTCCTAGTATCAATTAGCCTGGCGTTGGTGGGTTTGTTCACTTAGTATGTAGCATTATCAGGCTGGCGTCTGACTATTTTCCGCATCCGTACACTCGTTTACCGCTGCGTGAGGAACCTCATAGTATTTTCAGTATCTTGAATGAGAGACAAGTCCGGCATTTTGGACAACAAGCAAACTCGCGAGGCTACCCCAGATAGCGGCAGCCGGGTGTACGCAGATTAGAGGTGTATACGCTGCCCCCGCTGAAGGGGGATGTTCACCGCACTACGAGGTGGCTTTCCTAGATATCCCTTGCAACCCTCCTCACAGACCTGTGTACACCTGTTCAGCACTGTCTGAAGTCCTTCAACGTACTCAGATGAGGGCGAAATCCACGGTTTTGGATGGTCTGATACCTCTCTAGGGCACATCAGACGGCGTCATAGCTGGAGATTGTGACAGCTGCTATAGTGTAAAGTGTGGTATTTACTACTTCAAAACAAGAGTACGCCAATGAAGCCCCCCAAAGATTCCTCCAAGCACCAAGTCCAACGCCATCGCTTCATGCACCTTTTCCGTCATCCGATATCCACATACCCAATCCCCCCAGTACCCACCTAGGAGGCATAGGTTTCCTTCGCTCTTCTGTTGAAGTGCAGATGGTCGTCCTGGACCTTCCTCCGGAACAGCGCAACGCCCTTCAAAATCTCCTCCATCTCCGCCTGCAGCTCCTCCGCCATAGTATTAGACTCCTCATCGTACCCAGAGTCGGAGTCATAGTCGCTGTCGCCTTCGGACTCGCTGCCCTGATCGAGGACCTCGATACCTCTATCTTTCTCCCCATCCTCATGTTCGAAATCCCCCGGCTGGAGATTCTCAAACTCCATCTCCACCGGCTGCGGTGGCGGCAGGATGATCGGGTTCTTGAGCTCGCCCAACGCCAGCGACAAATGCCGTCTCAGCGCTTCGACTTCGTTTCTTAGGGAAGTATTCTGCGGCCGTAGTTCCTCGACTTCGTAGGCCAAAGAGCGGATGCGGGCTTCGCTGACTTGTCGCGTCTCCTCCATTAGGCGCTGCATGTGACCGACCTGCTTCTGGTATTCCTCGAGCTCCGTGGCTTCTTCGCGCTTGCGGACCGAGGCGGCGTTGACGGAGACTTGGAGGGAGCGAATCTGCTCGGCCATTTCCGTGATCTGAGCGTCGCGCTGGGCGGCGGAGAGGCAGTCTTGGTTAACTGAAGCGCGGGTGCGGATGCGCTTGGCTTGGTCGGCATAGCGGAGAGTGGAGAGGGTTTCGTCGTAGTCGCAAGGCGAGATGCAGGCCACCATGGCCGTCTTGCTGTTGCCGCCCAAGCTGTCTTTCAGCAACCATGTGAGCACACTATCGCGGAATGGGACAACTTCTTTAGGTCGGCGTCCCCGTTTGGCGGCTGCGCGGTCGGCGAGTGCGGCAATGACGCGGCCGAGGGTGGTGAGGGACTTGTTGATCTGGCCACCTTCCTTCAAACGTTGGCCGGTTGCTTCGGTGCTCTTCGCTCGCTCGGAGCCTGCGAGATCGACCAAACGCATGCGAGCGCAGCGCTCAATGGTCTCGTCGGAGAGAAGGGAGTGCTGAATTTGCTTGAGTTGAATTGTGAAGACGGCGTGAGAGCGTGACGAGGTGTCATTCATCTTCGTAGCTGCGGTTGTTCGCGTCTAGAATGCTCGTGTCAGTCGACATTCACTTGAGCTTATTCGAGCTCGAACTCACAGAGTCGCCCATATCCATAAGATGTCTAACGTCGCTGAAGTTCTTGACTTCCACCTCGTTCAATCCTTGAACGTAAACACCATCACTCTGAGACTCTCGAATCTTCAAATACATGGGCGGAGCGGTGCGAGGCGCTAGAAGATCGCGGACATGCTCGTTGTAGACTTCGAAGTATGAAACGTGAACGTGGTAGTTCGTATTTGGCGAAGGATCCTGTTGAATGCGATCAAAAAGCTCCTCGCAGGTTCGGGGTATTAGACCCGGCTGAGATTCGGTGCCCATCATGGTGTAGCTCTTCCCGGATCCAGTCTGACCGTATGCAAAGATGCACGTGTGGTATCCATCGAAGTTGTGGTCGAGAAACTCCTCTCCGAACGATCGGTAAACATCCTCCTGGTGAGCGTAATGGGGATCCGCTTTGTCGTGAGACCAGAAGGACTTGTCGAAGGTGAATTCCTTGTCTTCGAAAGCCCTACGAGTGTTGTTCGGGCGGGAGGGGTTAGAATCGAAGTCGGTGATGGGCGCGAGAATAGTGGTCGCCTGGGTGGCAGGATTCATTCGGATGATGCAGGGTGTTCCCTTGACGCGCTCTGTTTAGATTTAGCAATTGAGACTTGCATAGGAGTAGAGCTAGCTCTTACCTCTCTCGACAAACTCTCGGACACGCACGACGACTTTGACATGACCGGCATCGTCGGCGATGGGCTGGGGAGCCATCAGAGCGGCGGGTTCTGAAGCGCGCAGGGAGGGCGCAGAAGCGGAGGTTTCAAACGGGCTGAGGCCGCGGTAGAGTCTGGAGTCGAGGGCCATGTCTTCGAGCCGGTCGCACAGGTCGCGGATGCACTCTCTGGACTTGAGGCGGAGGAAAGAGTGCATGGGCGATATTGTGGAGGGCGATACTGACTCGCGTTCCCAAAGCAGCTAGGAGTAAACAGTGACGTTGCGACCGGGATCTGCCGGCAGGCCGGTGCGTCGATGCCAAGCCCACTCTGGCAACTCGACAAATCGCGTGAAAGAATCTTCAACCTCAACTCCGACAAGAAACAACGACGTGTTGACGGTCGCGGAGATCAGATCTGATGAGAATACGTTCGGCATGTTTCGTCTTGGAGTAGCGCCGTGGCAACCATAAACAACATTCATCCCCGCATTCCTAGCTCATCTCTCCACCATGGCATCCCTACCCGGGCTGGCTACACTATTCCTGGGTCGGATCCCATCAGAAGCCAGAGAAGACACCATCCATTCGTTCATAGAGAGTATAAAGCCTCGAAATGGAGATCCATTAGATCTTGGCAGCGTCAAACTGGGTTTGGAATTACTTCGGGCTTGTCGTGGCGTAAGTAGCCAATCTCTCCTTTCGTGCGTGGACACTGTGCAGCACGTGGAACAAAGCTGTCTCTCGTCGATAAGCGAAGAGCTCACTGTGCTCCATCTATTTCTATAGGTTGGATTCAATGTTTCAAGCCCCATGTTTCACTTCTTGTCTTGTGTATACTTTCCTTCCACGTCTATCAAGTTCATCGAGTGACCATCTTTCGAAAATTGAAGCTCGTAGCATCTTAGGCGTCAAACACTAATGTTTCTCAGATCGAAGGTCTTGGCAAATTATGCTCTTTCGTCGTCGAGGAGTTGGACAACGGCAGCGGAGCCTCTGGAAAGCTGCGCGAAATCACAAGTCTTTGCTCCGATTATGAAGATCTAGGTTGCCAAGTTCTCCAGCACATTGAAAACGATCTACTCAAAACAGCTCGCCTTCTACGCGTCTCCGATCTGGGATATCATGTCCCAACAGAAGCCTTCCTGAATCACCACATGGTAGCAAGCATTCCTGTCCTAGACGAGACTGTGTCCGGCGATGGCATTAGTCATCAAGTATCGACTACGATTCGCTACCTGACCTTTTTGAAGGTTCTTCTCTGGCATGCTAACGAAGACCGCATAAGCATATCCAACACCATATTCACTAGTCTACTAGTGTTGCTAGGAACTGGCCCCGAATTAGCCACAGCATCCGGGGATGCTATTGCTGCTTTCCTACCTCTGCTGGAAGGCAATCATCTTTCGTACTCTACGGAGGTAAGAGATAGTTTGATCGCACAAATATGGGAAAGGATATGCGATCTCCTTTCCAACCCCTTACCATCCGAGCCTGCTGGTTCTGCTTTCCGGTTATGGTTTCGCTGGATATACCAATCAGGTGGATACGAACCTTCTCAAAGTATTCTCCAGCAGACACAGTATTGGAATCTGCTCCAAATCGGGCTTCTTCACGGGTATTCTGAGCAGCGGAAGCTCTGTCTTGGTATCCTCCAGAAATCAATCGCAATCTTGCAAAGCAACGTGGAAAATACCCACATGACTTTCAAGCTGCAAGCTCGACGCAATTATGAACTGCAGTACACTAAGTACTGTACTTTGTATGAAACGGTCGTACTTGATCGTTATCCTAATCAAGTCTCAGCATGTCTGGGCGATCTGGCTAAAATTATGTCTCCTACTTCTCATATTCATATATCGTGGATAACTACTCTTCTATCAGCCGCATTGAGCTCTAAGATCCAGGACGGAATCCGCAAAATAATTGGACTCTGGTACATTGACTTCACCAGTCACTCCGAAGAGGAGCTTGAATCTCAACAAACGTTACTGTTCCAAGGCATTCTCCCTTGGGCAACTCAAGGGTTCCTGTTTACTCAGTCACTCTTTTCGTCTCGCGAGTCTACAGAGTGCCTTCATGCGCAGAACCTTTGCAATCTCATTCAAAGATTCGCCGAGAAATGCTCTGGTACTAAAGAACGGCTGTTGTTCTTGAGGAAGGTATTGAAATACATATCTAACGATGCGAATATATTTCCGTACGCTATGCTATATATACTGGAAGGCCTTTTAGAAGGATTTCGAAATACCAAAACTCTACCATTCTTGGAGATTGACGAATTAGCATTAGTTGCCACGACGTCAGTGCGGGCTGGTTTACCTGAGGTAGCTAGAGATCTGTGCACAACCTATTGCATGGCCTTGACCACGGAAACCCAAAAGAATGTCCGCGCATCTGTGCCCGGAGTCGATGGATTGGAACAAAGATGGAAGAAGCTTGAGAGTACGCCGGTCATTACTCGCGATGCGGCTAAAACTACCGACCTGGCTGAAAATATAGGGAGAAATCTCAACAATGACACCGATGGTCAAAGTACCCAGATTGGTGCTACAGCTATACGGTCTCACGCCGAAAGTCTGAAAACCATAACTTACAGATCCGCCAGGGGAGATGGGCTGCTTCAAGCCCTTGACACACTAGCTTCGGCTTTAGACACTACCGACGCGCATGACATACCTCCAAGTCTACTCTACGAAGCATTGGAGATTTTGTGGGACGAAGTCGACACCCAAGAGTATCCAAAGGCGGCACTCATGAGGATTCCAGGTCTCGCTCTGCGTCCAATCTTTATCCAAATCTGCATCAGCGAAGACGGAACCTCCGAAACTAACAGCCTAACTGTTCTTTTAACAAAGATTCTAGAGACTGTCCATAGACTATCCGAGAGTCGATCGTATCTTCTACCTCCTTTGGCACAGTCGCTCCGGGCCGCATGTTTGTCGTACCCTGAGGCCTTGTCGATACTGCCTGTAGATGACTTTCTACTCCGCTTTGCCAACCATCCTCCGTCCCCGCGACCCGACTTTCTCTTCGAATGTGCTGCCGCTTTAAAGCTCGAGGTATTCTTTCCTCATCTTTCATATACGTTCTACTACGGCGTTCGCGAGTGGTTTGGCTACGCATGCGTCATGGATCTTGTAAACAGACTGCCAAACCTCAACGCTGTCATTACTCGGGATGTTCTGGATCAGTTAATCAAACCATGGGCGACACAAAAAACTCCTGTGCCTCAAGTTAGCAAATGGAAGACGCTCACCCAACTTCAGATGATGTTGATCCTTTCCGAGGCTTGCATTTCGAAAGGAGATCCAGTGGAGACGAGTCTATATCTGAATACCTTCATGGATATTCTTTCTGTGGAGCCATGGCCGAAATATCGATATCTTCTCGAATGGATGCTGGCACGTCTCTACCTACACAGTCCGGACGATCGTAGCCTCTTGCTCGACCGCCTGGGCAGCCAAGGCGAATCAAACCCAAAACTCACCGCTTCCTTGATGAGGATGGCAGTAATGGTTGCCTGCTTCCCTGACACCCCCGAATCCTTCAGTTTACGTCTTGTGACCCTCCTTATTCCCCTCTGCGCCAGCGGCAAAATCCAGGTCCGTCACGAAGCCCATTGGGCTTTCCCGTCCATTTGGGACCACGTCGAAACGCGCGGCTGGTCGAATATACTATCAAACCCAGCGTTCGCTGCCTTGAATACGCATATTCGCAGCCTCTGGCGCTTTCAAACCCCAACCTCGCCTTACAACAGCCGATCCCTGACGCTTGATCTGGTAAAAGATCATAATATGGCGAATCTCTTCCAAGGCGACTATCTTCGCACCTACCCGCCAGAGCGCGAGCTCGTTACAACCGCCGACTTCGAAGCAGTATGGGCCGCAGATGTACGCAATAAGCTTGCGGTCCCTCGACCTCACGCTCCTCCCTTGATCAGTCTTGGCTCACCCAAGCCTCCAATTGAAATCGAAATCCCCACCTCATCTGCTACAGTAGCACCACTTTCAACGCCCTTCACCACAGCCGACCTTTTAGACGCAAACCTTGCCCCCCTCCAAACAAAGTCCACAACCTGGCAGCACTTCCTCGCTCCTACTGGTCCCAACCCTGCCCGCCGGCACACCCCTCTCATCCTCGTCGCCTCCCTGATCACCAACCCCGCCAACCTCGGCGGGCTCTCCCGCATTGCCGAGATATTCGGTGCAGATTCCCTCGCTCTTCCCTCTCTTCAACCCCTCAGCCAACCCGCTTTCACATCCGTGGCCGTAACAAGCCATCAACACATTCCTATCTTTGCGTTATGGCCCGCCGACCTCCCGAAATATTTGGTAGACAAGAAGAAAGAAGGGTACACTATTGTATGCGTTGAACAGACGGATCGAAGCAAAGTTTTAGGGGAGGAGGGCACGGTCGTGCCGAAGAGAAGCGTGGTCGTGCTGGGGAGTGAAAAGGGCGGCTGTCCCGCTGAGGTGCTCGCGGAGGCAGATCTGTGCGTTGAGATCAAGCAGAAGGGGGTGACGAGGAGCTTGAATGTACAGACGGCGGGAGCGGTTTGCTTGTTTGAGTACCAACGGACTTGGGGGTGAGGGGTATTAGGACGACGTGAAAGGCAAGGATGGTTGACAGTGTAATCTATTCGAAAGTTCTGTTTCGTTGCGGCTCATGAAAGATTCCAGTAGAGAAGAGTGAAACTTACTTGACAGCTACACAATCCAAGGGAGTTCATTAATCAGACTGTGCCCATGCTACGGGCGAGCATGCCAACTCCCCGAACGCCCTTAGCTTTTACATTAAGCCAGATAGGGCGTTTAACGCATCCTAAGACTATTAAGCCTCCGTCTCTAAATCTTCTGCTTCTCGCTCTAGGAAATCGACGCAGGCGCGCAGGATATCCTTGGTACGCTCTATCCTCCTTTTCCTCCCCCTGACCTTTCTCTCCTCCCTTTGGTCTACTTGTCCCTCCGGGAAAGTGACGCAGGCGTGGAGCGTCTCCTCGTACTGCTCCATCCTCACCCCGATCCTCCTCCTCCTCCTCCTCCTCCTCCCCCTCCTGGTCTGTTTGCCCTTCCAGGAAAGCGACGCCGGCGTGAAGCGCCTCCTCGTACTGCTCCATCCTCCTGGTCTGTTTGACATTCCAGGAACTCGACTCTGGCGCGAAGCGCCTTCTCGTTTTAGGCCATCCTGTAGCCCCTTTTCTTCCTCTTCAATCCGATTGAGGATTAGGTCTGGATGAGTGTGGATTCACCGGCCGGCTGATAGAGGGATCGAGAACTGGATGGATTACTGCCCACGCTGCGGGCGGGGGAAGAAGGGAGGTCCTCCAGCAATATCGAAACCTACACCTGATCTGAAGGACTAGCTGTAGCGACAAGTAGAAGAGATGCACAGATAAGCTCGGGAGTCAAGGGAAGCATTAAAGCTCCTGCCAGGCTTGATGAAGAAGCTAAGTGTGTCCAAGGAGGAGTCGGCGTGGTGTTGATGAGGGAAGAAGAACGACCTCGAATCGCAAGTTTACAGGCTCGATGCGACACAACTAAATTAGGTTCTAATTGTAATAGGCCAGGCCAAGAACCTATTTCGTGCAGGCTTGTAAAGGTAGTGCTCTTGGTCTGTCTACAAAGGCTCTGCCATTTCATCCTCTGTAAGCTGTCCACTTTCTTGCGTAATAGGGCTGTTTATTAGAACAGGATGTTGAGGTCAGTGAAAATCGAAGAAAGACTAGATCCGCTTCATACACTGATCCACCATAGCAGGAACAATAGGACCGCGCAATAAGCAACAAGGCTGATTACCTAGCTCACTCACAATCCACAGTGAGTTCTCCTAGGCAGTCCCCCGGGCAGTCTCCGGGCAGTGTACTCTCAGCGTACACTTTTCGGCCCCGTCTACGCTAAAGTCAGGATCTAGACGTAGGTCTCTGTACACGCATCTGCTTAAGATCCTCTAATAAGTCATTCAAAAACTGGAATCCGACAGTTTTGGAAAGCCTGATAGTTCTCTGGCCCACCTCAGACGAAGTTAGGATAGACTGTCACTTTACATCCAACGGAGCCACGGAGCCTAGCAGTCCACAAGTGCGTGCGAATGTCTATTCTGAAGATTTCCCATTATTCTTAGGCATACACTCGCTTGTGTACACTGGCCTAGCACGCTTAGGGTCTCCCGGTTTACTATAAAATTTGGTGAGGTGATAGTTTGGACAAGCCTAATAGCTCTCTGGGCCACCTCAAACGATATCAGCTTAGACTACTGAGCCTACCAGTGTTGCGAGAGTGCCTTAGTGGAGGTACAGCCAGGTGGGCAGAAAATGTACAATGAGAGTGTACTGCTCTAAGACCGCCCGGAGTTCTAACAGCTTTCTCTCTTAGGTAAAGCTGGGCTTTGACTTCACCCGCCTCTCTTAAAACCGTCGACTTCTAACTTCGTAGTAACGCTCTCATGTAAATCGCCTTGCCAGAAGTTTGGGCACATTCCCTCACCACCGTTTGAGGTGCTTTGGCGTATCATAAAAGTTTCGCTAAGAGGTAAAGGTCTCAAGAACTCAGGTTGCAGCACTACAACCTAGGATCAACAACTCATATGCCAGAAAGCTACTCTCCGAACATCAGCTGTAGAGAACCCAGCTGAAATCTCAGCTGTAGAGAACCGAGCTGAAGCCTCAGCTGTGCAGGGCTCATCTGAACTTACTAGCGCGCCACCCTGGGGGTGGCCCCCTTCCTTCCCCTAGTATATATACAACTAGCTAGACGTCTATAGAAATCAGAGTTCACATCAATTTCAACCTGAGTCAAGAGCTTAAATCAGAGAAGCTTCATGTGCTTACAGTCAGTACACTTAGCCGCTATTTATGGTACCCCAGCGCATTATCATATCCCCGGAACAGATCAACCGACGACGTGCTTAAACCTGTATCCTAATACTGTAGTAGAAGTCTTTCATTAATCTAGTACCAGGTAGGGCGCTTAAGTGCCACCGTATGGGCGCACTATAGTGAAGTATCAATATAGAGGTCTTCAATCGTGTCGGGCTCTGAAAGTGCCTATTGTGATGAGTGTTGGATAGCACTTCACTTCAATTTTCACCAACCTCGAAACTATGTGACTAAGCTAAGCGAGCTTTGCAGAATATAGTAGCATTGTACGGCTATTATAGGGTAGTATAGCATGCTGATGCATAGAATGATAGAAGACACCGAGATGACCGAAGGCCCGGCCGGCACGGCCTTCGAGGACCAGAAGGACGAGGCCGAGAAGTCCGAGGAGGAGCCCGAGGAGGAGGCTGAGGAGGAAGAAGAGGCCCCTGCCCCCGATCCCTTCGGTTAGCGCTGTCCTAAACTTCTCACTTAACGACTTCATCTATATCGGCCTTTGATACTTCATTGTCTCTTGTAGAAGTGAAGTGTTAAGTAGCCATATAAGGTTGTCGTTGCTATATGTTGTATAACAAAACAATATATGTAGTCTTCGCGCCAAATGGCAATGGCGCTTCTTGCGTCATCTACAAGGGTGGCTCCCTTCGCCGACCAAACGGTTAGTTGAAATTATTCCCTTCTCTTATCTACCAGTAATCTACTCTATAATATGTCTCTTAAGCTTTAAAGACGAATCTTAAAAGGTTTAAGGAACGGCATAACAGTAGAGAACTAGTCTAGATGCTTGTAAAGTAGAGTGCTAATGTGTAATGTATATAGTCATCGACAGGGATACTCCTGTCCAAGTGGGCCGCCGCAAGATGGCGAAGCTGGAGGCGGAGAATTTTCGCATGAAGCGGAAGATAGACGAGCTAGAGAAGGAGATTAAGAAGGTTTCCGCGCTTGAAAAGCGCACTAAGTACCTGGAGGACTGCATGGAGGCTCTGCTAGGAGAGAAACTCGGCTCCTATTAAGTCTTTAAAATACTTATACATACTGGCATGATAGAGAATGAAAGTTTACCGTGAAGAGCACGTGTTTGCATGACTATCTAAATAAGTTCTTTAATAAGCGATTATCTAAATCTCTAAATGCTCCAACCTAAGTATTTATCTATTCCAACGATATATAATATTGAACCTATATCTAATAGTCTAATATACCCTCTAGTAGACTAGCATAAGACACTAATCTCTTAAGAGCTCTGTGTGTTTCATAGATAGTCTGTCATAGATACTATCTAATAACAAGAGTTTAAGCTACGATTACAACGACTTGTCAAGTTACGTTGTAAGCTGCGTAACATACTATGTAGGTACGCTTACCGTTCGCGTTGTGAATCTCCGTCCTCGTACGTATATTAAGGTAGCTCGCTAATTCAAGATTTATTACGTAGACGCATAAGCTCCCTGCGCACTATAACATTACCTCTTCGCCTTCACCCGAGTCTATATCTTACCCTCTACACTCTTGCCTCGGCCATCCAGCAAGAATAGACCAATCTAGTAAATTTGAAACATATTTTGCCAAAGGTGAAGAAAGTTAAGGCCTTCGAATTCGAGTGTTGGGCAGATGGATCCTATCTAGACAATTTCAAGCGTAGAGAAGCACTCCAACCTCTAAACCTCGAAGAATCCTTCAACGCGCCATCAGAGCTTGAGCTACAACACAAAACACGCCCAGGATTGCCTGACCTAGGAAAGAAGCTTTCTTCCCTTGTGGCATGCATCACGTGATGGGTGCAGTACCTGAAACGCGTCTCACGCCGCGCAGCACCACTCTCCCAAAACACCAGCGTTACACCAAGATACGTCTACAGGAGGTCATCCTGCTTTCTAATGTTCGTAATCTAGAAGGGGCTGAGGGTACCGTGTGTACAGTACTAGGTCACAAGTCTGGGCACCACACGGAGTTTATCACTGCTTGACTTCAGTCTTGCATACTTGACACCACTGTGAGGACCAGCCCAGAGAGTAAGCAACCTGTTGGCCAAGAGGCAGTCCAATTTACAACTACTTGAAACTTGACATCGTGCCTAGATTTTTGAAAATCTATGGGAGTACCCCTAGCAGTGGTAAACGGGTGTGCACAGACTTATAGCCTGTCGCTGTGAAGACGGAGGAATTTCGATGCACCGTCTGTAGAGCCTAGCCAGTCTCTAGGCGTGCCAAAATCATTCACGTACGTACCGTCTGAATAGTTGAAAATGCATCGAAGGACCTCAAGCAGTGATATGAAGGTGTACGCAGATTCATGTCCTAGTACTATACAGTCCGTAGAATACAATTCAGCGCTCATGAAATTACCAACCCGCCCGTCCAAACCCCACAAGCATGCATTTTTCAACAAAGCAGCTACTCAGTAGTCTTCTTAAAGTTTTGATAGGACCCAAGTGTCTCTCCCAGCACAGCCTCCATGCAGTCCTCTAGGTGCTTAGGGCGCTTTTCACACGCACTACAACACACTCGTCCTCATCTTCCCATTCAGAATCTCACTCGGCACCAGACTCCGCGTGCTCATCCGCACCTCCTCCCCAGGATGCTGCCGAAACACCGTCGCGGTGGTCACGCTCGTCAGCGTAGTGCTGGTATCGTGGCGCTGATGCTTCGTCATCGTTCCCCGATTCCCACCAACGCCACCGCCTACGCCCACACTGGCTCGCAGATTAGCCACATTCTTTGGCAGCAACGGGACCTCAGGGATTTGTGCGGCCTCATCGTCGGTGTCCACGTAAGCGGAGCCTTGGGTGCGGATCTGGTCGCGCAGCCGCTGCTCCTCGACGCGCGATGCCTGCTGGTCGACCCACGAATCGATAGTGCGGAAGCGGGGGACAGAGGAGCGGAACGTTGCGACGCTGTCGCGAGGTGGCACTCTCCCGGTGGGTGTGGGCATAGCTGAAGATCTTGCCGCCGAGGCGGGAGTCTGCGGCGGCGCGGGAGTCTGCGGCGGCGCGGGAGTCTGCGGCGGCGCGGGCGTCTGCGGAGCTTGACTGTTAGTCCAGCTGAAGCGGGAGATCATTTGCGGTTGCACGAGCGCTGTGCCTGGCTTAGGGCCTGGATTGGAGTAGCTGCGATTGAAGAGGAATTGCCGGAAGGATGGGGCGGGTTGGACGTTCAGTGGGGCCGGCATGGCGGCAGGTTCGGGGTACTGGAGTTCGGAGGAGATATTGGAGAGGGAACGGGTGTTGTGGGTTGATGCACTTTGCCGCTGCGTCTGGAAGGGGAGAATAGGAGATGAGGGTGTCTCGCTGATGTCGCGGTTATGCGAGTTAGAGCGAGATGGACGGGGCGAAGAGTCGAGGAGGAAACTTCGCTCTTGGCTCCTATTGCGGTTTATGCCGGTTTGCCTAGTCATAACGGGGTGGCGGTCCAAGCTAGTGAGGTGTCAGCAATTATGATGATAAGTGATAGATAGAAAATGCGATTTGCGATGTTGCATGGAACTTGAAATTGAAGGATCTCTCTTTTGGGGACAACAGATAATGTAAATATCACATGAATGAATATTGGAGATCATGCTTTGATGTACGTACCTTTGCGTATCCGAGAAGGGATTCTGGGAAGAGTTTGAACCAGCCCGTCTGATGATTGGACGAGGCGTGATTGGCAGAGCCTTCATTGAGCCCTGGTCAAATGGCTCAGTGCGACCCCAAGCATAGGCTGGTGTTGTCCAATTCCGGACTGCAGTTTGAGGCTCTTTTGGTTTGGATCGTCTTCGGTACTTCACTTTCGCGAAAACGTCACTAGACGTGAGACCTCGCTTCTTCATAATGTAGAAGGCGAAGAAGAGTAAGATGACAATAATAGTCGCACCTATCCATTGTGAGCAGAGGTTTTGGAACTGTTAGCTTGCGCATACATACCAATTGACCCAGCGGCAATCAACAGATGTTCCGTTGTTGGAGATAACCCGCCCTTGTGATGTGGTGGTGGAGGCGGCGGTGGTAAGATGGTAACGAAGGTTTCGGTAGCAGGCTGGGCTACTAGTCCGGTGGTAGTTGGTTCAAGGGTTTTCACCATAGTCAGATGCATCTAATTGAGTTAGCATCTCTCACTACTGGGTGAATGACGGCTCCAACTTACACCGTAGTCATTTTCACTACTATGCTTATAATCTCCTCCAACAGACGTCGAAACCGCCTTTTCTTTCTCAGTTGGGGTTGGCGCCTTGGTTGTTACTGGTGTTGGGGGTTCATCGTCCTCAGAATCGCTGTCCAACTCTTCGGTCTCGTCGTCGCGTGGTGTGATATAGCTAGTAGTCACAACATATCTAACCCTATTGTCCAAGCCACGGCGCCTTGCTATGGGCATTTTCACTTCGATTTACAGGTTCGGGGTGTCGAAACGGATATGGATCCGTCGATCAGGCGGCTCGCGGCTCGATTGACTCCACGAACAACATCTGATCGGACAACTGAGAGATGCTAAAGAAATAAGGTGCAATTGGAAGTCCAGTCAGGACCAATAGGTATCGAAGAGAAAAGAGTGCGGTATTATTAGGCGTAGCGCAGACCGGCTGCGGGCGAAGACACGGAAAGGAAGAAAGAATGGACAAGTTTCGAGGGGCGAAGTCTTGGAGACGCTGGGAGGGAGCGGGAGGGCGGGCATATGAGGGCACGCATGAACAGAGTGGGCCATGAGTCGGCCATGGAGCCACTTGGGTTTGAGGCAATGGGGTAACCTGGACGTGCACGCTGTGATCGAACAAGGCGCTTTTTGCAGCCAAACAAGAGGCAGCGTAACCACGAAAGGAAGCATCATTTGCCGACAGCGCAGGCCAGGCAGAGTACTTGCCTGCTTCGAGCGAGGTCTCACGTCGCCAGCGTGAGGCGCGGTCGTTGCGTTGACTTGTCTGAAGCTAGCCCCTGGGCCAGGGGCACCATCGCGTCTCAGAGCTGGGGAGGCTGTTTCAAGGCATGCCTTCGTGGCGGAAGGGGGCAGATCAAACAGCCAAGCTAGCTTGTGGATGTGGAGAGGCCCCGCGGCAGTTGTCGTGATAGATCACGGGAGCGCAGCGTGGTGTTGATTGATGGTGATGTTTGTGGTGGAGAATGATCTGCCAACGGCACGGGTAGGGATCCCGCCCGAAGACGGGACTGCTAGCTGTGCCACTGCTGCGCCACTTTATGAAGCGACAGGCATTCCGATCTAAATAGGTGGGAACGTTGGGTATATATAGTAGAAGAGCTTGCGTTTCCTTTATCACAAGCTTGAAAGATCACTTGGAGGTCGAATGCTTGTGATACATGTGATGGAAGCCCTAATTCGTAGAAGAAGCAAGGCTCGGTCTTACGTACGCGCTACTCCCTAGGGCAACATTTCAGTCAACGCTAAGCGCTGTCTGTGCTTCAAAACTGGTGTTATATACGAAGTGACCCCCGGGACATCTTCTGTTCTTCCTGGGTCGCTAGTTCGTTTTCCCTTAGACCTCAACCTTATATTCACGACCTGAACCGGAACGCCTCGACACTCATGAACAAATCAAATATGCTAATTGATCTAATGCTGGGCTAATTGGACAGGTTCCTTTCCATATTTACAGATTTACAAGTACTCGCTGTGACTATGCCGCAACTCCCACTGAAGTGCTACGATCAACGATCTATCATCTTGGCAACAAAGATTCCATCTCCACGCTTTGACCAGCCACAGCCGCCGCGTTGCTCTCCTCGTCCTTCTCGTCGTCATCTCTCTTCGGGGACACAGCTACCGGCTCGTCTTTGACACCGCAGATAGTCTCTTCGAGCCATTTCGTCGCAGATCCACAGCGCGGTTCGATTTTCTGCTGCCACAAATGCGCCAACGCGAATAGTACTGCCAAAAATACCGGGAGCAGAAGGAAGAACTTCGGCGCAGAAGGTATTGGAAACCTCTCAAATTCCCTCACTACTTTCCCATTCTCGTCCTTTTCTTGGTACAAGGTCGGCGCTACAAACGCGTATAGAATCCAATTCAGAAAGGAACGAAGCAGCGGTCCATGAATGAGGTAAATCGGGAAGCTGTGGGCGCCGAGCCAGAGAAGAACCGGGTGGGAGAATATTTGCTGCAGCTTCGCCGACAGGATGATGCTGAGCACCAACAAGACGATAGCTATGGTGTAGAAGAAGCTCTCGTACTCGGCTCCTTTGGGAAAGATGAGCTTGCCTAGAGTCCACAGTGCGTTTGACCAGGGCTGCCATGAGGGTTTATTGACAGGATAGCTCATCAGATACCAGGCGAGCAAGACCCCGAAGAATGGTAGGAGGCGATAGACCAGGCGTCGGTTGACGGAGAAATTGATAATGCCCGGTATCATGGATAGCTCGGTTAAGAGTGCGCCGCTATAAACTGGCAATCCCATATGGGCTGTCACACAAGTTAGTTATTTGATCCTCCCCGAGTATGGCTGTAGAATACTTACTATCCTTCTTTGACCAGGAAAATAGGATCATGGCAGAGAAGATGAGCATCCGGTATCTGGGCGTCGCACGCACTGTTGCTAGGAGCAGCACGTAAAGAGCCAAAGACCCTTTCAAAAAGAAAGTCATCGCCCACTGGTTTTTGTCCAACACATTCCTCCCTGTTGCCCAGGTGGTATAGATGGAAGAAAAGAGTCTACAGATTGCCCCATGAATAGAGGTGCTTGGCAGTGGGCTTGTGTCGACCATCCAAGCAGACTCCACCATCCCTCCGATCTTGTAACCCCCAGCCTCGCATATTATCCAGCTGAAGAATGTTGCGACCGTGCAAGGGAGCACTAGTCTAGCCGAGCGACGGAAGCAAGAGCTTGCGAGGCTAGACAAGGCTGCATCGACGCGGCCAGCGCGCCCTTGCTTGATGGGTTTGAGGGCATTGACGAAGCCGGTGAGAACGAGGAAGGTGACGACCCAGGGAGAACCTTGCGCAAAGATTCTGATGAAGGGTAGGTTGTAGAAGGCAGGACGAGTGTCCTTGGTGCGAGTAGGATGGTCCAGCCAAGACGCATATCCGAGGGTAAGGTGAGAGGTTACGACGAAGAAGGCCGCCATTCCCCGTAGACCCTACTCAGGCAATCAGCAGAGCCCTTTGTACTGTAGTTCAGGAAACGTACATCAGCCCACTTGGTGTCTCGCAAAAGAGGCGCGAGTTTGAGGTCAGTCATGTTGAGGACCTAGTGAAAGATTAAAGGCAAGCATGCACATTAAAAAAGGTGAGTTGAAGCGCAAACGAAAGCAGCAAGAGGAGAGGAGAGCTCTATGTGGGCATGGGGAATATCTGCTTCCTTTCCAAAGCCGAGGCGGTATTGTCGTAAAGTGTGAGGCGTTTAGAAGACGAGTAGGCCAACCGCTGCTCTGAATTCAAAGGGAAAGTAAACGAAGGAAATGATTCAAGGGTGTCACATAATGTTGACAGATGTAAATAGGATGGCAGGGCCCCAGTTTTGAAAACGGAACAAAAGTGCGTGCCTCAGCTGCACATGAAAGGGTTCTGGGCGCTGCATCAGCAGATCCAGCCGTGTGCGGCGAACGGCTGCATGGCCAAGACTTCCGCTATCAGAAACCATCCTTCAGCCGAAGCTGAGGCGCTCAGGACGGAGCATGCAATCTGTTTGGCGCTGGCTGAATGGTTGCGCAGGTCGATGTACCAGGCACGGATGCGTCCAAGAGTCTTGGCTCCCGGAGGAGAGTATGGGATCCGCATGAAATGTGGAGACGCGCGTTTCACTTTGTGTATCCACGGGAACGTGCATTTGCAACAGTTCAGCGTCACGGGTTTCAGTGTATTCGTAGCTCACGATCAGTGGAGGAATCGGGGCGTCTTGCTAGTTGAGTGCAAACGCAGACTAGTGGTGGCACTAGAATCGCCGCCATCCAGAGTGAGGATGTGATCGGGATTACCTACGATAGTCTAATCGCACGTGACTGTATTGGAGTTCCCTAAATAACACACCGTGCATCTTCACTGTGGATGACAAGGGTGATTAGTCTGCATCATTCAAATACGTGCTATTCGCATCAAGTCAGATTTCTCCCCGGGACTACGAGGAGCGAAAGCCAAGTAGCTGTTTGCGGTACCAGCCTTGGCTGCAAGCGATCTTCCGAGGCTCCCCTGTGATTTTGAGGAGAGCTTGAAGTTCTCGAACATCGCCCGCCCATCTTCTCTCCATCCTTACAACAGGTTGAGGGTTGAGGCTGTTGCGCACCCGCAGAAAGACACCGTTACCAAGGTACGAAAGGCTTGCGCCTCAGTTGCCCGGGCAGCCCGCCACTGCCAAGGTTCGACCTCGGGAAATGCCTGCGCTGCGCCACAAGGGCACTCTTGGGAACGCAAACCGCTCAGCTGCGGTCAGGATGCCTCCGATCACAACATGCAGACGCCGCCCGTTGCGTGCTTGCCGCCCGGGCTCTCGGCACCAGTTGGCCAGGCCCCGCCGAACTGCCGGCCGGAGCAGCCGATGTCATTGCTGAGCGCCGAGATGGCCTCCAACCGTGGAAGGCGACGAGGTTGTATTATACGGCGCGAATCAGCCTCGACACCTCCTGCAGTGCGCCGATGGTTCCTAGAGTACGGTAAGCAGGAATTCACAACCGTTCCCAGGCTGTACATCACATCCCAAGTCGGGCAAGAGTTCGTCGCGGGGCTGAGTCCAGTCCAGCTAAACAAGCGTGCTCCGCCGCAGTACGTAGTGTAATTTCAGTCATCATCATCAGGTGCTGGGGGGGTATCGACGCCCGTATAAATCAACCCCACCTTCTCTCCAACGCCACTCCATCGTCCCTTCACTCCATCTCCAACCATTGTGCATCATCTGAATACCAACTCTTCCATCAAGCCCTATCTCGTTACCCCTCCAACCCAATTGACGCCCCCTCGGATACACCACCCTTAACTCCGCACCCCGCTTCTCACCCCTCTTCTCACCACCACAATGTCCGACCCATACAACCAGTACGGCGGCCAGTACAATCAGTACCCGAACCAGTACGGCTCGCCCGCGCCCAGCCAGTACGGCCAGGGCTATCCTCCGCCTGATCAATCGCAACAGCAAGGCGGATACGGGCAGTCGCCAAATCCCTATGCTAGCAGCCACTCGCCCGTCCCGCCCGGGCCGCCACAACAGACATACAATCCTCAGGGCCAGGGATATCCAGACCAGTATGGGTCGCCGCAGCAGCAGGGCTACGGACCGCCAGCCCAAGGCGGCTTCCAGCACAGCCAGAGCCATAGCCCTGCACCATACCAGGATCCCTACCAGCAGCAGAACCAAGGGTACGCTATGTCTCAGGTCGTCGATTCTCGCAGTTCACAAGCTAACACCTCCCTTGCGTAGCTATCAACAATACCCGGGCGCTCAGGCCGCCAACCAATTCCCACAGCAGGGCGGGTACCAAAACAGCCAGGCGCCATACGACGCCAATAACCCGAACCAATACGGCCAAGCCCATCAAGCCGGCGCATACGGCTCCACAGACCCCGGCGCGCAGCAGGAGGGTGATCGCGGACTGATGGGTGCTCTCGGCGGCGGTGCGGCAGGCTACTTCGGCGGTAATAAAATGGGCGGCCATGGCATCATTGGAGCGCTCGCTGGTGCCGTTTTGGGTAGCAAGTTGGAGGACAAGCACAAGAAGCCCAAGAACAACGGTGGATACTAGTGACGCAAACCCGCACCAAAGTGCCCACCAGAGATGCTATTTCCTTCACTGTCATCTGATTTCTGGCGTTTCGGCATGTATCCATCCAATATGATGGGTAGACGGTCGGTTGGGATGGCCTAGGAATCGGTAATCCCATGGCGAAAAGCCTATGAACTGCTTCGATAATGGTACATACATTTAATCGAATACCGGCGTACTGTCTCCGTTCACTAAGAGGTGGTCACTCTATTCCGTCCAGCTTACGAAGTATAATAACGTCCATTGAGGCACCCTAAGCAGTGGTAAAAATGTGCACAGACTAACAACCTACTCTTGGTAACGCCTGGCCGCGACGTTCCCCAAGCACCATCCTTGACCCTCTCGATCTTCACTGGGACCAGCATCCAGCAACCTTGTGTTTGAGACCCTCTGTTCCAGTTCGGGTTGATGGCCATCAAGGAGGAAATCCCGATGATTGCCAGCATCGCTGATAGTTGCCCTTCCAATAAGTCAGGAGCGCTTCAAATAGTGTAAACTAATGAGAGTTACTGCAGAAAACAATTCCGCTCCCGAAATGTTTCATGTTGGTGTGTGCAGTTGTTGAGTATGTTAAGCTGCTTCATACATCACAAAAACCTTCATCTTGCAATCCAACTGGTGCTCTCATCTAAGAATAGTTTAGTGTCATCCTTCGACCCCAATCTCACCTGCATCATCCTCCAACTCCAACATCAGACACGCAACCATCGTCAAACCCAACCTCATCATCTCCGTTTCATCTCCCCAAGATCGCAAAGATTCCCAAATTAACCGGCCCCGTCGTCCCACGTAATACTGCAACAGCCCCGCCAACCGCCACGCCATCCTCCTGAAACACGAAACAAAACACCAATCCTGGACCCATTCAGCATTCCTTCGACTGCCGATCGCGCCTTCGATGACAGACACGTAGATTCTATACTTGCCGCTTACGCTCCCAAGGCTCTCAGCGGCGAAACAGCACAACAGCATCTGTCTGATTGCGTATATTTCTGATTAGGCTAGACTGCGATGGCCGCGTGGACGCATGATGTTAGTTAAAAGGTGAGTGGTTTTGATTGAATGCTGACGCGGTTGTGTTTTGAACTAGCGGAGGTGCCGTTGGGCTGTTTTTGCGCGGAGTATTCGTATAGTGACTGGTTTGCTGGCCACACGTCTATGCACACTGGTTTACCACTGCTAGGAGTGCCACCATGGGATTCCCGTAATCTAGGCGCGATGTCAAGTTTCTTACAGCGAGTTCTGAGCTGTCTCTTGACGAAACGTCTTCCTAGCAACGGGAGTGTTCCTAACAGCGGTGTCTAGCTTGCGAAAGCGGCACTTAAGCAGTAATATCTATGTGCTCATACTTATGGCCTAGTGGTAATCCAGAAGTGCCTGCACTGTCCTAGGACACAAATCTGGGCACGCCGTATTTCCATCTCTTCCAGATTTATGATGATGTGTTGAAGCACCACAGACAGTGGCCAAGTAGGTCGACCGTAAGCGCATAAAACCTCTCAAATTTAGGCTCTTTAGGCCCTTCCATCTTGTCCTTTTTTTTCAATACGCTGAAGAACCTCAAACGATGGTGAGCGAGCTTGCCTCGACTTATAGCAGGGCATAGCCAATCTCTTACGCTACAGTACTATGACACAACTTTCAGCGCGCCGTCTTTCTCATCTTGTCCCAATTTATGGTGAGCTGCTGAAGCACGACAAACAGCGGCAGGTAGGCCGACTGTTAGCGTGTGGAAACTCTCTGATTTAAGCTCTTAGAGACTTTGCATCTTCTAAAACCTTTGAGCATACGCCGAAGCACTTCTAACGGTGGTAACCAACCGTGCCCAGACTTTTGGCAAGGCACTGTAACACCTTCAGCGTCATGTCGCTTCGCTTTTGCTCCCTACCCAATGGATCTTAGGACCCTAGTTAATCGCTTTTCTACTGCTACTCCCAAAACAAATGACGAAGCCGTATAGAGAGCACTTCTACATTCCACTTTCGCCAGCTTCTCTCTTAAAGCCATTTTTTGCCACATCCCCTCTCCCAAGCTATGCTCCAAGGCCACAATGCGACATCGTAGCCGCCAGTTTGTCGCAGTCATTGGGACTACCGAGGGGAGTACAATTGTGTCTCCGTACCGGGAGGGGTTTTGTTAATTTGAGAGATAAGCTTTCCCACGGGGGGATGCTGAATTTCTATAGTAGTCTGCGTAAGTATTTGGAGATAGCAATACGATCGCGGTACTTACCTATCTGGCGTGCAAGTCTACTCTAGGGCGGGGCGCTATTGAGTTGAGAGGGAAGCAATCCCACGAGGGGATGCTGAATGTCTTGCCATGCTTCTAGCAGGAACACGCCCACCTCAACGTTTTAAACGGTAACGACGACACTTTATCTCAGCCTCATCTCCAACAGAACTCGAGAGCACCTTGGAAGGTGCAATCTTGCATCAAAGTGACCACGGGGGAATACAGGAACGCGACAATCAAAGCTCACACGAAAGCGACGACCACATAAGACAGAAAGACGCTAATGACAGAATGCAGCGACGCGATAATCAGAGCTTCAATCAAGGCGACAACGACTATATATTGCAGCAAAGCGATGACAAAAGCACACACCAAAGCGCCGACGATGTACCACTTATGCGGCGGGACGAAGTTGAAGATAAGGAAGAAAGCAATGAGGATGGCATACGACAGGACGAAGCTGAAGATGAGAAGGAATACAGTGAGGAGTGTAACGAGGAAGCCCTACATGCCTACACAGCTTTCCTAGAGCGACAAGTAAACGAGCTGCAGACGGAAGCTCGTGGATCTCACGTGGCGAGCATGTGGCTTGACATGCACCAATATACTCTACTGGCACTACCACTAACTCGCTATCAGTCTGTGTAGGTTGGTTTGCCGCTGTTGGACTCGCCCTGACACACTGTCTCAGATCTGAATATGATCGTTCTAGAAAGGCTATAAAGTTGCGGGGCCACCTCGGACAGCGGCGTCACGGGAGGCGTCGAATGTCCTCTCGGGCTGAGCGGAATAGCCGGGGTATTTTGGGACAGAAATGGAAGACGGACTGTGTATGTGGCTGATTACGCTGGTCTGCGATGGCCGTGGATACGTGTGATGTTGGTAAAGAGGTGAATAATTTTGATGGAGTGCTGACGTGAGTGTTTTGGACGAGTGAAGGTCCCAGCGAAGATGCCGGTAGGGCTTCTTTTGTGCGAAGGGTTCGTATGGTGACTGGCCGTAAGTCTATTATGCACACTAATTTGCCACCGAAACTCAAAACACGATGTAAAGGTTGATGCAGCGGATATCGGGCTGCCTTTTGACCAACCGGCCAACGATTAGGTGGGGCCACTCCTTACAATAGAATCGACCGAGCAGGATTGGGGCCCGAGCAGTGGTATCTTCGTCTATCCTAAACTTATGACCTATCATTTTAAGTGGACTAAGAAAGACAAGACATCCTCCTCATCAAACTCTCCGACTAAGATGGCTTTCATTCGAGAGAAGCGAAGCGCCGAGATATCACAACATGGAATTGCAAGTTAGTGAACCTGCCAGGTGCTTAGCACGGCAATCTCCATACTCTGTGCTACTAGTGTATGGGAGCCTTCTTAGAACGTAGTCTCCCCCAAACTTCTCCGCCTTCAGCTTTTCCACGCATTCTTCCAAATACTTGAGGTCTGGCATTTGAGCGCGCATATCCTCAATCTCCGCAGCTAGATCTTTCGCAGCCGCCTCCAGCTTCTCAACTCTCTCCTCTAGCGATGGTTCTATTCGATTACACGTTAGCATCTGGCTTTGCGCAATGCAGAATCATACATTGTGGCGAAGTCGCTTGTAACACAGAATTCTCAACGCCTTGAAGCGGACGTTGAGGGATAGGTGATCCGGGATAATGGGTGGCGAGAACTAACCTTCGGGCTCGGCCTTCTCGTCCTCCTTGGCCGGGGAAGCAGACGGGTCGGCGGCGGCGGAGGCGGAGGCAGCGCAGGCCTGGGTGTGGGTGTTGGAGTGGTTCTGCTATGAGATTTAGCATCGGCCTCAATGCGTCATGAGGAGATTGATACATGATGGCGGAGGTGGTGCCGGTTAGATGGAATTTCGCAAATCGGTCTGTATGATGGAGGGGAAAAAGAAGCAGGTCAGGCGCGAGAAGACAAAAGATCGCTTTGCTGGCTTAGTCACGCAGTAGTGATGATGATGGTGAATATCGCGAAGAAATCAGCGTCGTTCTGTCTACCGATTCAATATGAACGAGAATGAAGCAAGGCATCTGTTCAATCCGCACCTCTTCATTCTACTTGTACAACCTCCTCGAACTTGTGTATACTCCTCCGTCCCTTCTTGAGGTCCTCTAGTGCGTTATCACAGGTTTCAAAAAGACAGTTCTGCCAAGCCTGATAGCTCTCCAGGCCACCTCATCCGGTGTTAGACTGCCACTTCATGTTTAACAGAGGCACAGAGCTGGACGTTCCGTTTCATTCATACGGGGAACACGTGAGTAAAGAAAGACAGAGCTTCTGATTTTGTTTTACCCCTCGCACGCTGTGTATCCCTATTTGCCCCACTCTTGTAATTACTGGTTTGTTACCAGGCCTAAAAGCCCCGGGGGTTTAGAGCAGCATTACGAGTATATCCTTTGACTTTAGCAAGTGCCTTCAAGTGTTAATTGTGTGGTGAATGCGGTGAAGGTGGCTGTGTAGTCTGTTTTCTTCACCACTCTCGAGTCTTGAATCCCACGTGACCATCGACGCTAGCGAATCTTTGATATATCCACGTGCGAGCTTCCTCTCTTTCCTTTCCTTGGACCGAACGCACCGCACTGCCGCACCACCATCACGCCCTCAAACGTGCCGTCCAGTTCATCACCCAGGTGAAGGAGAACGGGTCTGAGAATCACCCGCACCAAGCCCGTACGCTGCCACGCTTCCTTCTGCCTGGAAGATGAAACTCATTCTGGTCTTAGAGAAAGAGGCCTCGCAAGAGGTACCCACCTGCCGCACCGCCGCCAGCTCTCCCCCCGGCCGCCCCTCCCAGCGCACCCGATCTCCCTGCGACCCTTGCCGCCCTCACACTGGCCGGCCCCCGCCCTCGCCCTCGTCTCCGGTTAGTCTATACTTAATCTGTCTACTTGACCTAGCCTATGAGGTCTATTCTGGGGTTCTACACGCTATGTGTTATGGATTCCTGAGTGGCTTCGTAGTATTGGCGTCGTAGTTAGTCTAGTAGTATGCTAACACGAGATATAATAGACGCTGCTGCTGCGGCCGGCGCACGTGCTGCTACCCAGGCCGAGAAGGGCAAAGTCCCTGCCGCCACCGCCGCCGCTGCTGCTGACCCTGCGGGTTAGTTTACCTTTGTTGAAACCAAAAAAAAAAAAAAATTGAAATGGCAGTTTGCTAACCGGTAGTTCTTAGGCAATCAAGTCGCCTCCGGGCGCGTCCAGAAGACGAGCCGCTGCGAGAGAGGTTGGTCTTTTGTTACTCTTTTCTTTGCTGGTTACCTACGTTAGCATGCCTTCTCTTCAAGCTTCTGGACCTGTCTTTGAGCTTTAGGGGAGCTGCTAGTGTTAGGAGAATTAGTACTGTGTAGAATAGAATGCTAACGCATGTTATTTAAATAGCCCGCCAGAAGATTACCACCGGGAACATCATGCGGATGGAGCAGGCGCTGGGCGAGCCCCGGCTGGCAAGGCGGAGAAGGAAGAAGAGAAGGAGGAGAAGGAGGTGGAGGAGTAGGAGGGGGAGTAGGAGGGGGAGGTGATGGAGGGGGTTGAAACGGCCTAAATATAATGATCTTGCTGAATGGAATTGTTGCCGACTCCCGCTAATTCAACGCATGCTTGCTATGTGATATAATCTGAATAGAGCAGAGAGTCCGCCCCCTCGAAGCCAAATTGGCGGAAAAGAACGACCTCATTGCGGAGTTGAGGAGGGAGCTGGCGGCCGCCCGCGCTGGGGAGAGAGGGGTGCGGTGGAGAAGGAGGACGAGGAAATGGAAGGTTGAGATTCTGTAGTATTGGCATCAGACTCGAGCCCATGTCTGCTAGAAGGCCAAGCTCGAGGGATACACTTGTAGTCGGCATTAGCGGACTGAGACAAGAATTGCAAGGCCGCATTGAAGGTGTGGACAAGCCACTGCGTGTTGACAAGCCACTGCGTGTTGACAAACCACTGCGTGCTGAGAAAGAGCACAAAATGTGCGAGAATCCATTCGACAGTGCCTTGCCATAGATATCCATACACGTTCCTCCCACTGTCTGCGGGGCTCCAACGAACTAATAGAAAACGGGAGCAGCAGATACATTTCCAACCTGCGTACACCCTATTGGCGCTGTCTGAGGTAGCCTCGCAAGATTGCTAGCTGTCCAAAATACCGAACTTCTCTGTCATTTGGAATGCTGAAAATACTATGAAGCTCTCACGCAAGTGGACGGATTTCAATGACGAGGCGTTGGAATACTGTTTTATTTAGTCTTCGAAGTCGCCAGAGAGGCCCTGGACCTTCCATTTTTCACCTACTCACCGGTCATTCTAGGGCTGTCTACGTGTGAAAGCAACCTGCGTATCGGCAACTGGTATACTCTGCTGCCTTCTCCACGTGTCCGTCTGTGCCACACAGCAACCCGCGCCCCTACAAGTTCCACGCCGCAGCGGCGTTGCACGTCCCAGACACCCGACATGTTCTTAAACCCCAACTTCGCAGGACAGCGTACCTACCAACAGCAAAACATCACTCAACCACTCGTAAGACTACCCCTCCTTTACCACCTGCATAGTGTCTCACATTCGCAGCACCGCATCAAACACGCTACCACTTCTTCGACATGAAGCTTCGTGCCTCCATCCTCGCCCTCCTCACCACCTTCACCATCCCCATCGCCGCCGGCCCGATCGGGTACGGCGTCTGCCAGGCCGGCTGCGCGGGACTCGTTATGGCTTGCTACAGCGCCGCGGGGTTCACCTGGGGTGCTACTTTGGGCGCGACGGCTCCGGCGACCATCGTCGCTTGCAACACGGCTTTTGGCTCCTGCCAGGCAGCTTGCGCGGCTGTCTTGTTGACTCCGACGCCTTAAGGAGGCCGATATGAGCGAAATTTCATGAAGTTCGATCGATGCTCGGCGTGCTTCGACGACGAATTGGGGACGCTTTTCGGGCGATAGGGCAGCTAGGCGCTGCTGGGATGTGGCACGGCGATTGGGGTGAAGGCTGGATGTCGATATGAGATTGCCTAACACACGCTCTTGACTTGTTGTGGTGATGCTTGATGAAGCTACTGGAAGACGGGTGATACTGCTACGTGTGCTCTAGCATGATGTCTTGAACGTAACCTGTATGTCATGGACGATGCCCTTGGAAGTAGGGCGTAGACATCCGCGTAGTCAGGGACGATGTACCCGTGGCTTTCGCGTAGTGCAAGTTTCTCGTTCCTCGAAATTTGCCCCACTTCCACCTAACTAGTTAGGTGGCCGCCATCTCAGTGCACCGGCCACCTCAACGCGTCAGTTGTACATAGATTATTTGACACCGTGATTGCTCCATCAACATCATGGATTTGACCTACAAATAAGAAGAAATGCGCGTGCAGGATGCATTGGCAGCCTTCCACAACAATACATTCCCCTCCCTACGAAAAGCTGCTGCCCATTATGGCGCCAAATACTCACGCGTCACAAATCGTGCCCGAGGCCTTCCACCACGGAATGAACG